TTGTTTAAATATATATATAAAAAAAAAAAAAAAAAAAAAAAATATATAATAAAAAAAAAAAAAAAAAAAAAAAAAAAAAAAAAAAAAAAAAAAAAAAAAAAAAAGGTTGAGGACTTGAGAAGATCTGGAAAGTGAAAATATCACCGGATAAATCAAAAACAATCCTTTAAAACCTTTAAGAGAAAAAATCGGTAACGAAAAGGGTGTAAGTATCCTGATACTTTCAAATGGTTGGTACTCGTATAGATGTGCAGATAGATCTAATAGAAGTAATAGGGGTAGGATTGTGAGGACCACGCACCCAGGCACGCGCGATCGTACAGGTCGGCCAAAAGACCTAATATGACAAGTCTTGTCATGCTTGAGACCGGTATATATAGTAGCACACCGTTGAGGCCGCCACGCAGGGGCGCGTCCTAACATTATCCCCCTCCTTTATCCAAAGAAGGGTATGCCCTCATGCTCTGGTCTACTCCTCGGAGATCCCAGTATTCACGCGTCCACAGACCTCATATATCAATGCATGCGAGACCAGATATGTCTTACTACCAGGCATAAAACATAACATCTAATATACCGTTGGCCTCCAGAATATATTTGTAAGCCCAACGAAACCATATATTATCGGTTCTCGCTAGATCTTCTATTGTATCTAATCGACTGCAGTCTGACTGTAGACCGATGTTTAGAACATACTCTAACCCGTATCAAATATACGATTAGTAGATTCTAACGTTTTGTTATAATATAAAAACTATGTATCCAGATATATGCAATTGTATAAGTCGGCTAAAAGATCTAATATGATAAGATACTAGTCTTATTATATTTAGGACTGGTATATATACTTAGTAGTGCACCGTTGGGGCCGCCACGCAGGGGCGCGCCCTAACAAGGATTAAGAAAACCCCCATATTAGGGAATGTAAAACCCTAGGGCGTAGAAATGCGACGAACAATTCCAAGTCCTGGCAAGATACGATGTCGATTCTGAGTGCTTAGAGTGAGAAGAGGTGTGGATATGATGCAAAGAATCCGTATTCATTCCATCAATAAGGTACCGATGTGGAAAGAAGCTGAAAGGCACAAACCATAATTAGTTGGTGCAAGGAACAGAGAATATGGGAAAGAGAAAAGCCCCAGGCGCTATGCGAACAGGAAAATCAGAGCATGTGAACGGACAGGATATATTGCAGTTCTCAAAGCCAGAGGGCCACGACACCGAGACCTTGTAACACAAAAAAAGAAGAAGGGGGGGAGGGAGAACACGGGGAACAGGAACGAGCCCCAAAAGCCATTTCAGAGAGATTGGGCAAAGTAATAGAGCACACCTCCAGGCGACGGGCTACGACCACAGACGCAAGTGAAAATACGAGCCAGCGCAGAGTATACACGGGGATTTAGAAGAAATGTGAGAACGCGGCTTGGATGTACATGTTCTAGTAACATCTAGAACAGACAATAAGCATGGGTATTTCCGTAAGCTGCTAAAGACGAAGCAGGACATCGGGGAAAAGATACAGAAAGGAAACGAGTGAGGGCGCTGGGTCTATCACCACATATCATCGTCGTCATCGTCATCTAGTTGGACATCATCGCCAAACGACGAGTGCCCGTACTGATAATGCCCTGGACCGTAAGCATTGCCGTTTTCATAGCCCTGCTTGCTGCCCCTTGACTGGGCGCCGTAACGATCATGCGGATCGTCGTCATAGTCGTAAGCAGAGGAATCATCATATCCGCGTTCCGCGTACTGTTGCTCCTGAGACTGGGTATCGGTGATGAGTATGCTGGCCACAGAAGAGTGAGGGGATTTGCTTACTTCCTGGTACCGCTGGTATTGCGTATACTCATCTGGCTGGTCTCTGGACTTTGAGGATGATCTATGGGAAGACCCTGATGATGCAGTCGACATTTGTGGGTGCATTTGTTGGACCTTGGCCAGGTATGAGTACATAAAGTTACTCAGCAATACCTGTGAGTACAGGGCTCGTTTGGGGTTTGCAAGTTTGATATGTGCCATGCGATAGATAGCCCTCTCCTCCAAAATGGAGAAGCGGGTCCAAGGGTAATCAAGATCAGCACGAAGTATCCGCATTGGAGGGTCGGGGGACAGGTTCCGGGACGAATGTTTGCGATGGTGGCCCTCACTGCTATGCTTCTTTCGGCCACCGCCGAAGATGGAAGAAAAGATGCCATCCTTTTCCTTCTTCGAATCCCCTGACGTCCTTCTCACATTGTCTTTGCGGCGTTCTTCATCTAGCTTGGGGTCTAGGCGGTCCAGAACCAGGCTTTCGCGCGCTCGCGGTGTACTTTCAATCGAAGACTGGAGTACATCCAAACGTGTGTTGTCATGGGATTTATCGGTACCCTTTGATTTGCTCTTTTTGGAGTCGTGATCCTTGTCCTTCTTTTTGTCCTTTTCTTCACTTCCCAACAACCAATGCCAACTGGACTTGCGACCGCCTTCCGAGTCTTTCTTGTCCTTTGATTTTTTCGTGTCGGATTTCCGTTCTTCGGTTTTGCGTTCTTCTGGAAGAGTAGGAATGAAGGAAAGGCTGTCGGTACGGGTGCTGTTGCCAGGTACCATCTGGGGGTTGTTGGACAAGTCGCCGAGCGAGGAAGCAGGTTCTTGCGGCTGACGAGCATTTTTCGAGCGTTTTGATGATGATTCGTGCGAGTGTGAAGGTTTTTGTGATGTCGATGTTGCGGCAGGACTTTGAGAAGGTGGACTGGGTATGCGGGTTGATTCAGGAGCGGGTGGTGTTTCGACGATTGCGGGTATGTTCTGTTGTACCGGGGCAGCATTTACGGTGGAACGTCCGTTCGAGCTGATGCGAGATTGCCATTTTCGTGAATTGTCTGATTCCCTTGAGTCAGGTCGGTCCAGGGCAGCATCTCCATGCCCTCCAGCCGTCGACAATTCTTCTTGCTCGGCCTCGGGGTGATCGGCGATGGATTCGAATGTCGAACTTGCGGAGAGGGCGGGGGAATAAGCCCCGCTGCGAGAAGAAGCAGAGGAGGTTCGCGCCGGCCGCGTCGCAGTGGTAGGGGCTTGGTCAGTTGACACGCGCGTCGATCCCGAGATGGCCTGATCTTCATGCTGTGAAAGAGTCCTGGAACTTGTGTCACTCCCTGCAGACTCAGAGGCCCCTCGTCCAACACGTTTGGAGTAGGGTAATTTTTCACCCTTTTTGACGGTGCCCGCTTTGATGTATTGTGTTCGAGTGGACCGCCGAAGACTGTTTCCAAGCGGCGCAGGAGGTAGAATCGGTTTGTCCTCATCCCTGATGCTGGCATTTTGCATGTCACGCAGAAGTGTGTCCTTGTCCACCGGGTTTGAATCGTCCACCAAGGTTTCCAACTGTTGTAGATTAGGACCGAGAACGCCATCTCGTTTACTTGACTGTGAGCGCTGACGTTCAAGTCGATCGGCGCCATCGGTGTAACCTGCAGAACTGTCGATTTGCCTTGACAACATCGACTTCTTGCGATGAAGCCCACCTGTAGATCCTTTACGTTCCGTAGAGTAGTCGCCGGACCTGCGCTTAAGATGATCCGCCTTTGTGTCCAGGAAGGATTTGAACTCTTTCGGGGCCAACTCAGGGTGTAATCGCGCGGGGACCCAGAATAAGCGGGAGGCATCATCTTCGTCGGCCGAGGGACTGGGAGGTGGAGAGAAGCCGGGGAGGTCGGGGTCACCAGCGGCGGCCACATCCATGGACATGCGTCGGATTGCCGCGAGATTGTTCAATTCTTGGGCCACGGCGGCCGGATTCGACTCGTAGTCGATGTCGTTAAGAGGAAAGGAAGAGGTCGCCGTCTCAGAGGGCGGTCGAGTTCCATCGGGATGTCCGGCATCGGGCTCCTTCTCATAAGACCACTTTCCCACCAGTGGGGGTCGATGTTGGCCATTGGCCTGTGTGTTTTGCCCATCTGTGAACGAGTTCTGTAGTGGGGAGGATGGGGAGAGCGACTCAGCACCTGCGGTGGCTCGCGGAATGGTGGTGATAGATTCGCCAAGTGGAGAGGTTATATAGCTGAGGCGTCTCGGATCGTTACGATCGTAGTCGTCGTCATACATGTGCCCGATGGCTTCCGTTACATGGTGGCTTGGATCGCTAATCGACAAATGGGGAACATGCCCTCGCCGCGTCGCGTGTCCGGCCTCATGGGCACCCGTTGAGGTCTGGGGGGTTCGAGTAGGTTAGATTTGGACCGGTCACATTGAGCCCTTCCGAAGGGTTCCCTAAGGGAAAAACGAGGGGCTCATGAGTGAGAAGCAAGGACACGAAACCTACCTGCATGGGGAGCCAATCTTGCACCGAAGACCCTAGCCAAAGACCCTAGAGCCCAAAGGGCAGAAACTCAAGAGAAGACAGTCGGAAGAGAGAGACGAATAGTCATTGAAGCGGGAACGACACATTCGTCTGGAGTGGGTTTCCAAAGAGGAAAGAAGGGTAAGGCGGAGAGAGCTGACTCTCGGGGCACCTGACAGAACGTCGTTGTTTTGGATTTTCGGTTTTTCTTTTCTTTTGGTCTTTTGGTCTTTGGGGTCTTTTGTACTGGCTCTTTGGCCTTTTAAAGGTCTTGGCTTTTGATAGATCTTTAGTTCTGGATTTCTTGGATTATCGGTTCTTTATTCATTTTGGGATCCACTTAGAACGATGATCTACACTGACTTATATCGGGGTTTCTCGACAGATTGCCTTTGGTGTGTACTCGTACATCTTTTTTGGCTCGGGTCGAACGGACTATGTCTACCTTTCAAGGGAGTGGCACTACCTCACTTACCTCTCGTGCTCGGCTACCTCCTCGTCAGCTCGGGAGCCTAAAGTCCCCCCCACTGGGAGGGAGAATTTCAAACCCCACCAACAGCAAACCCAAACGTACCATTCACTATTTGCCATTTGCCATCGCAAACTCCGTACGGAGTACTCGAGGGTCACTCAAGGACATGGAATGGGATCAGGGTACTTTGACGCGTTGTGTACTCCTGGCTGTCCTGGTACTACAATATACCTCAAGAGTCGTGTGACCTCACCTCTCCCCGAGAACTGACATCTAGGACACATCAGCATCAATGCAAGATCATACTGGACATGCGTGAGACTGAAGTCAGGTGAGTCAGGTGACATTCGTAGATACGGAGCTAGAACCCAAAAGAATCCCTGGGGAGCTACAGATGACCTGATGCACGTGAGCTTCTGGAACTATATTGGGGAACTCAAGAACCCCAAGAAGCTCAGGCTTTGGTTGCAGGAGAGTAACCGGTCATTTCAGCCTGAAGGGAGACCTTAGGGGCACGGGTAAAGATATAATCTAGGAGTGGCATCACGACCATAAAGGGGCATATATTGCATAGAACCAAGAGAAAAACACGAGCATGGAAAGAAAAGACACCCCCAGGCACGAGAACGAGGAACTCCACGCTGAAGAATGGGAAATGGCAGGATCTGATGAACAATAAAACGGAGAATCCGCAGACGCCAGGATATATTGAGAGCATGGGAGGCATGTATGTCCAAGGACCAAACCTCGGAGAAATGTGCAGTGGATTTTCACAAAATGTGCTGCCTGAACCAGCAAACAGACACAGCCTTAAGAGGCATCGACATAGTTGCTACAGTGTCATTAGCCTTTGCTTTGTGAGGATTCAAAAGAAACCACATACCTAGGGAAGATACCCTCGCGGTTACCAACGCGGCCGGTCCACCAGTCTTCTGCTTTTTCCGTTCGCTTAAGGATTGTAATGACTTCACCCTTCTTGAACCCGAGGTCTCCATCCTGGTCGGCGTCGAATGTGTAAAGAGCAATGGCCTGGTCTGATCGCAGCTGAGCCGCGCCTGTCTTTTGCCCAAATACAGGCTTGGGTGCAGTGGGGCGAGTAGGTCGGCGATCTGAGTAGACGTAGTCCTCCTCGAATGGGGCGGTATTGCTTCGGTTGCGCCCCGTATCATATGCGTCACTAGGCGCCCGAGATGTTGCAGAGCGTCCCAGACCCCCAGGGGACCGGTCATAAACATCATCAGCCCAAGTGTTTGCGCGGCGCGGCTTGTCCTGGTAGCTATAGTCATCGTCGGTTGTGTTTGCTCGGCTGCGTCGGCTTCCTTGACCGTAAGCATCGCCTTTGCGCCCTTCCCAAACCACATCGTCGTGACTATCGTCGTAGACGGGAATGTCATTGTACATAGCGTCTCCGTAGGCCCTCGAATTTCCTTGGAAGGCGCGCGAGTTGAGCACGCGCATGAGGGCATCAGATGCTGGGGGCGGGCGAACGCTTCCAGTGAGCAGCTGGTTGGCAGAGACGCGGCTGCGATACAATTTCTCGTTGGCATCCTTGCGCTCTACCAACATACTACCTTCCAAACTGACACCGGCGAAAAGACCTTTAGTTTTGGAGTAAGAGAAGACGGCTGCGACGCCCTTGGTGCTGGCTGCTCCGGCCGCCTCGGCATTTCGGCCGACAGGTCCAGCAGCCAGTGAGACGTTACCACCGAGAGTCAGGGTTCCAAATTGAGAGAATGTGCGGACAGCAGCAGCATCATTGAGAATGAACACGAAGTCGGTCAACTCGAATCCAATTTGTCCTCCAATTCCAGCACCAGCAGTCGCAATGGCCGACGGGGCCGACCAAGTGCCATCAGCAAGGCGAGCGACGACAATACCGGAGCCGAATCGACCAGAGCCCAGGAATCCGGCTTTCAGAACGGTGAGAATCGCGAGACCCTAAGTTGGTAGTGAGTCGGCGATACATTCTCCAAGCAAAAAAATCAAAGGAACGTACCTTTGCGCCAGCCAGAATTTCTGGGGGAATGACTTTATCAGGGCCGAATGCTTGCTTAGGATCGACAAATGATGTCAAGATCTTTGCGGCCTTCTTGCATTCGCCTATTGTGAGAGCAGTCAGTCACAGCCGGAGATGCCGCAGACGATTGCGGGGAAGTGGGCTATTGGAGAATTGGGGGGAACTTACTGCCCATCGACGATGGGAGCGGATTGTTGATCCCCAGAGGCATGGCGGAGTTTGTGCAGCGCGAACGATAACTCGGAAGTAGACAGGAAGAGTTACGTTGATGAGAAGATGGTCGGGTTTCTTGGAGGTCGGGGTTAGTCAGTGGGGTGTGGGCCGTATGACGGCTGACACGGGACGCCCGTTCGTGAGTGTAGATGCTGCGTTCAGTCCACTATTTCGCAGATCAGGTTCGGTTTTGCACGACTGTAGTCCTGATTACAGATTTGGGGACGTTGGGTTCATGTTTGAATGCAATTGCACAAAGGCTTTTTGCTCTTGTCATTTCTGCCAGTGGCGGAGCAAGACGAGCATTGCTTGGCACTTTTTAGTAATATGCAAGAGAATAGAAACCCATGGCCGATTTGAGTTGAGTTGAGTTTGACTTCAGTATGTTATTCGCATTAAGCTGTAACGAGGACTAAGTCCTCTGTATTCTACTCCGTACTGCTGAGAGCTTTCAGCCCGCACGTGTAGATGCCCCAGGCGCCAAGACATTGTTATCGTATCGCGATAGTCCCCGAATCCACCTCCGAATCGCGTCTCCTCTCCCTCTTCCCCCTCTGCATTGACCCCAAAGATATGATTGGTGCATGATCGATTGGCGAATCGCTCGACGCGACCATGGCAACCGGTACTTGCGGCTTAGAACTTTTGGAAACACCACTAACGTGATGCGCAGTTCGGATTTGCGTCTGCGGAGACGAAGGGACTGGCAAGTCCAGCCTCATTACCTCCCTGGTGAAAGGTGTCTTCGTTACAAACAAGATCCAACCGGTTCTTCCTCAGATCACAATACCACCTACCCTCGGAACTCCCGAAAATGTCACCACTACGACCGTTGTCGATACATCTGCCCTACCCCAGGAACGCAACAACCTCGCACGGGAGATTCGGAAATCAAACGTCATTCTCCTAGTGTACTCTGACCACTATAGCTATGAACGGGTAGCTTTGTTTTGGCTGCCATACTTTCGTTCATTGGGTGTCAATGTCCCGGTGGTACTGTGCGCAAACAAGTCTGATCTCGGGACTGGTCACACCCAGGTGGTCGAGGAGGAGATGTTACCGCTGATGGCAGAGTTCAAAGAGATTGACTCGTGTATTCGCACCAGTGCACGGGAACATCGAAACGTGAACGAAGCATTCTTCGTCTGCCAGAAGGCTGTAACCCATCCAATCGCACCTTTGTTCGACTCGAAGGAATCGGCTTTGAAACCTGCGGCAGTGGCAGCTCTTCAGCGGATTTTCTATCTCTGTGATAAAGATCGAGACGGTTATCTTTCCGACAAAGAGATCAAAGATTTCCAAACTCGCTGCTTCGGGAAGCCCCTGAATGAAGAGGACCTTGTCCACATCAAAGACACCATTCAAAAGACCTTGACAGAATCAGTGACACAGTCCGGCATCGATTGCCAAGGCTTCATTCATTTGAATAAGCTATATGCAGAGAAGGGACGCCATGAAACCGTCTGGATCATTTTGCGAGCCTTCCAGTACACGGATAACCTTTCGCTGCAAGAGAAATTCCTGCATCCTAAATTTGAAGTTCCACCTTTTGCTTCTGCGGAACTATCACCCGAAGGATATCGTTTCTTCGTCAATCTGTTCTTGTTATCTGACAAGGATAATGATGGGGGGTTGAACGAAGTCGAGCTTGCATCATTATTTGCCCCCACCCCTGGCTTGCCTGCATCTTGGGCCGATGGCTCGTTCCCGTCGTCTACCGTCCGAAACGAAGCAGGACATGTGACTCTACAGGGTTGGCTTGCTCAGTGGAGTATGACCACTTTCCTCCACCCAAAGACCACTTTGGAGTACTTGGCATACTTGGGCTTTGAGCCATCCGACCAAAGCGATGAATCTATTACGGCAGCATTGAAAGTAACACGGCCACGCAAAAGGCGCCGGCGCCCTGGTCGTGTGGGACGAAATGTGGTCCAATGCCATGTTTTGGGAGCCCCCGGTTCCGGCAAATCGGCCTTACTCGATGCGCTCCTCTCGCGTGGCTTCAGTACAACTTATCATCCTACCATTCAACCCCGCACCGCAGTCAACACCGTCGAGCTTCCTGGCGGAAAGCAGTGTTATCTGATCTTGGATGAACTTGGTGAATTGGAGCCTGCTCTCCTTGAAAACCAGGCAAAATTACTGGACCAGTGCGACGTCATTGCGTACACATATGACTCCTCGGACCCAGACTCTTTTGCTTACATCCCGGCCTTGTGGGCGAAGTATCCTCATTTAGAAGAGCTGCCAAGTGTATTTGTTGCCCTCAAGGCTGACTTGGATCGGACAACCCAGCGAGCCGAGCACCAGCCCCATGAATACACGGCCATGTTGAACATGCCTAGTCCACCTCTTCACGTGAGTGTGACTTGGAATTCCATTCAGGAAGTGTTTGTCCACATCGCAGAGGCTGCTATGGAGCCAAGTACCGCTTTCCCTCGCAGCGAAGAGGACGTTGAGGGCAAATGGATGTCATGGGGAATTGCCCTCGGGGCTGTGGTTTGCGCTGGTGCCGCAGCAGTGATGATCTGGCGACGCAGCGGAAACTAGAGAAAATATGTGCGACTCCATGATGTCTGCTGGCAGGATTGATGGATCTTTCCGAGGCCATTGCATGTAATTCGCCTTAGAGAATACCCCGTAATGTCCACTTCAATATCATACCCCATTTTAAAGAATTTATTGCGTTTTCTTCTAGAGCTCTTAATTTAGATCTCAACAAGTTCGGCATGCATCTCGCATTAACATAAGGAGTCTTCTGTACTTAAGTAGTAATATTCCCGGCACTGTGTTGTCCGGGGAGTTCGGGCCCCGCCAGGCACGCGGTTTCTTCTCCGCGCCAACTTTACCCCGGACATCACTTCTGTCGCTGATCCCTGCACCCTCTCCAGCTCAGTGTATTCGCATCATATTATACACATACATATATACCCTATACATCCTTCGAAGGTCATTCACGGTTCCTCTGACATCGCATCATTGTGCCACTCGACGCCTTCGCCTCTTATCTGCAGCCCGTCAGCCCATTCCCCCCAGCCTATAAGACACCACCTCGATATCGTTCATACAGGACCGGAAGGATACAGCTATATAATTAGCGCAGCACAAAGTTTGTACAGATTATCAGCTTCGGCATCGAGGTCGCACAGCATCGCAGTCTAAGCTCAATTCGAGCGTGTACGAGTGACCTTCGATCATGTTGTAAGGCTCACACACACACACTCGCTCTCTCTCTCTCTCTCTCCACATCACTCTTTCTCTCCCTATCTCTTCTCATTCTCCACATCAAATCTTGCTCGGCTTGTTTTCTTTCTCGTGCGCAAAGACCCAGAAAGTGGCGAGATTCAGCATAGACACCCCCGCTGACATGCCGACAGTGTTCTTCCACCTCCCCCTCCGCGCTATACCATCCCTGTCGCGTATGCGGCGGGGGCGGCAAATGGCATGGCGGTCCCCGTTGTCGAAACGAATAATACTATTACCCACCCCGAGCGCGGGTGCCCATTACAAGTCGGAGAGGGTATGTAACGTCAATGCGATATGCGGGCTCCGCAGCAGCCCGCTTCCACTTGGATAACGCTCACACAAGTCCGCAAAAGGCACATACGTTCTACAAGATGATCTCCTACTCGCGACCCCACCTCCCCATCCTTCCGAAGCTCCCATCGTCAATCCGAACCCTCTTACGACTGTGCCGGCACCTCCGACTTGTGGCGTGAAGTTGTCTTTGGTCAGCCTCGACCCACGGAAGAAGCCCCCGACATTTTTGAAATCCGCGGTGATGGCACCGCAGTTTGGCGATGGGAACTCGGCACTTGCGGCACCGCCGGTTACATCAAAGGACGCATTGAAGAGAAGGAAGCCCAAGAATAACATCATCAAGAGCAGCTCTTCGTTTGTCTCCAGAGTCATTACACATGAGACATCCGCCAAGAGGCTAAGCGATCGTGATACTAATGGTGTTTTCGCATTCGCCAATATCAACCGAGCCTTCCAGTGGCTTGATCTAAGTTCGCCCACGAAAGAAGAGCATCTCACCAAGGTGCTATTCACCAAGGCGCATATGCTTTGTCACGATATCAACGAGCTCACCAAGACCTCCTCCCATTTGGACATTGTGATGGGATCTTCTGCAGGCGATATTATCTGGTATGAGCCCATGTCGCAAAAGTATGCTCGGATCAACAAAAACGGCGTGATCAACAACTCACCCGTCACCCATATCAAATGGCTGCCAGGTTCCGAAAACCTATTCTTAGCATCCCACGCCAATGGCGTCTTGGTTGTGTATGATAAGGAGAAAGAGGATGCACTCTTCACGGCCGAGTCAAATGGCCATTCCGAAGATCCAGGAAGATTGCCCTTGGAGATCCTCAAGTCCGTCAACTCGAAGAACCAAAAGACCAACCCGGTCTCATTTTGGAAATTGGCAAACCAGAAAATATCCAGCTTTTCTTTCTCGCCAGATCAAAGACATCTAGCCGTTGTCCTTGAAGATGGATCGCTGCGATTAATGGACTATCTTAAAGAAGAGTAAGATTTCCTTCAACCTCGCAATAGAATGTGAGCGTGGAACTGACATATTTCAGGGTCTTGGATATCTTCCGAAGCTACTATGGTGGACTTATCTGCGTCTGTTGGTCTCCAGACGGCAAATACATCGTTACTGGTGGCCAGGATGATCTATTGACTATTTGGTCATTCCCTGAGCGCAAGATTGTTGCAAGGTGCCAGGGCCACTGCTCTTGGGTTTCCTCGGTGGCATTTGACCCATGGCGCTGTGACCAGAAAACATACCGACTAGGCAGTGTAGGTGACGACTGCCGTCTTCTCTTGTGGGATTTCAGCGTTGGAATGCTCCATCGTCCCAGGGCGCACCACGCGTCAACCCGCAACCGAACGAGTATCATTGTACCCGGCTCACAGACTGCCAGCCGCCATCGGTCAGACAGTGGCGACGGTCGTGTGCGCTCGGACTCAAATGGAACAGATAATTACAATGGGGACATTGATCAGACTCCCAATCACCCTGTGGAGCCTCGGTCGCGCACAGCTATGCTGCCCCCGATCATGGTAAGTCATTCACAGGAGGCTCTTCAAATCCAAGGTTAATGCTAATATTGTTTCAGTCTAAAATCGTTGGCGAGGACCCTATCTGCTGGCTTGGCTTCCAGAAAAACTGTATCATGACATCCTCTCTTGAAGGTATGTGACCCAGCTAGTTTACCAGACCGCTGTGATGTTGTCCTTGCTAATCTTTCAATCAGGCCACATTCGCACCTGGGACCGACCCAATGAGAGTATCGGCAAGTCATGATGTCGCATTTGTAGCTCAGAATCAATGCTCAATGCCCTTATTCCAAGGCTGCCAGATACCCCTTCCTTTTCATGTCAATAAATATGTACATATCATTGTTGTTTCGCATATATTTTACCTGAATTCACTATCTACGAGATCAAACATGAGTTGCGATGAACTCACCATGTATAGTTTCAACATGTGAGCTGGGGGATCATCAACACAGGCCCTTTTGGTTTAAGGTGTTATCAAGTTTCCATAACAATAAAGTATCTCATTAATGTAAGGGGCATATCATAGGTTCATAAACCAAATCATCAACATCAACATCCATAAATTCATAAGCCAAAACAGTTGGTCTCCCCACTTCAACATTTCCTTCAACATATAAGCACGCCCAAGGGCTATACCGAGACAAAGAACCACAGATCACCCAAGGCCGAACCATCGGCTAGATCTTCCATAGGACTCTTGCCATGACCACATCGATATCTAAAGAGCCAAAGCAAACAGACCCAAAAGAAGACTACCGGCAGGAGGCATCAGTGCAGCACCGGCATTGGCAGTGGTAGTTGCGGACTCGGTAGCAGTCGAGGTGGAAGTCGAGGTTGAGCGGCGAGTCGTGGTCGAGGTTGTGGTCGAATGAGTTGAAGTAGACAGGGAAGTGGAGGTCGAGGTGGATGTCTCAGTTGTTACTATGAGGAAACATGTCAGTTCTTGAACTCCCCATATCAGTGGTATGTGCAAATTGTGATCTTGGAAGCCGTGCTTTCCGCCTTTACTAACCCCGGGTGGTGGTAGAGTGAGAAGTAGAGTGAGATGTGGATGTGATGAAAGAGGTAGATGTGGAAGTAGTCGGGGTTGAGGTAGAAGAACTGGCCAAGGTTGAAGATATGACAGAAGTTGAGGGTGTCAGGGTTGAAGAGGTGACTGGGGTAGAGGTGAGCATGGATGCAGGGGTGGTTGACTCTGTCGAGGCTCTCAGACTGGTAGGGATTGACGAGGATGAGGTTGCAACGAAAGAGGTAGACGCACTTTGAGAAGAGCTAGTCATCCAAGAAGAGGATGTAGGGGTAACAGAAGTAGAGGCAATAGATGAAGAGGACGAGGTAGGGGAAGACGCACTGGTGGAGGAGTGAGTAGCGGTCGACGAGGGATAAGAGACACTCGAAGAAGTGATATCACTTGTTGATGCCGTGGAAAGCAAGGTGGACGACCCCATTGACGAATTTTCACTCGCAGTACTGGTTTCCTTACCAGAACTCATGCTCGAAAGCGCACCAGGCTCAGTCACCCGGAACTGCTGCGACTGAGCCAGAATCCCGTTGGTCGGAGAGATGAAGTTGATTTGGTATCCTTTCCTATACAAGAGTCAGTGGTTAGGACTGCCTTGGGCGTAGTATTTGCCTACCCTGTGTCGACACCGTTGAAAGTCTTCGCATCGACTGTGTAGGAACCGCTCGAAGAGTCGACATTTGCCGCTACGACCTCGGTGGTTGGGGGATAGACGTTTTGATTGACCAGCTGGATCTCAAATGTGTCAGGGTCCGTTCTAGTGTTATCAATTAGCATGTTTTCGTGGAAGTTCAGAGATATCTTGAGATGCCGGCTTACTCGACCGACTGCCATTTGATAACGAGGGGCCGATCGGGATCAATCTTTTCGCCCATCCGTGGCGAGGTCACGACAAGACCTGTTTGATAAAGCACATCAGATACCACTGTTTTTGCTGAAGGTGAGAAAACGGACCTGCTGCTGTAGCAGCCAAAGCCATCAGAGTGACAATGTTGATCTGCATATTGGCTTAGAGTGCAATTGAAACTTTAGGTGTCCTAGGGCTAGTTAGCTTTGAGGGCTGAACAGCAATATAGTAGCAAAGAGCTTGAAGTAGAAAACAAGAGCAAACGATGGGAAAACCACACTTTATATCTCGATCTTAGTTTCAGCTGTACATCCCACAGGGTCTTCGGTTCTACTCTTACCTCCAGGGCTTTATTTTTGGGCTAATTTCCCGTGGTGCCTTGATCCATCGTACGTCGTGCTCCCAAGTCTACCGGGGTACAGAGATAGCAAGATAAGGACTGCATTTTCAAGTCCCCGTGATGTTCCTTCGTCAGATGGAGGCGCCAAAAATGGTCAACAGGAATGGCAACCGAAGGTGTAGCCCGCTACTACACTTTCAGCCCAGAATCAAATTCCTCATCGGTAGCTAGGCAACTTTACGACGTACAGCATCAACGAAGTTGACTGGCCGCGCGTCATATCTCCTGTTTGCATTGCAAAATGAGATCTTTCATCCTCATCTCAAGGTCATTGGCGAGGCACGGGTTCCCTAGGATGGCCGCTGCAGCCCATTTAGCTTGAATGCTGATCACCAGGGATATGTGTGAGACCGGAAAGTTATTTTATTTAGATTGGAGCTATCATAGTACTGAAGTAGGCTAGAATAGTGCTCAAGTGGAGCAGACCCTGAAAGCTGATACTGAAGTACATATTTTCTGTGGAGTATGAGTGTTGCACTTGGGCATATAGCGCCATTCGAACCCTTGGAATTTCAATGAATCGTATGTTTGCCTTTCAATGATAAAACTAAAGCTTCTCAGAAGCTCAAACAACTAGCCGTAGGACAAAGACTCCGAAAGGCCTTAGCGCACCGGAACCATTGGGCTCTTTGGGTATTCTTGGCCACTTTAAGGTAGGACAATGCCAAGCCGAAGGTATCCCACGTTTGCAATAGCAGACAAGAACAATCAGCCAATGTGGGATCGCAGTAGAGGAGCTGGAACATCCCAGAAAGATGCAATCGCCCCTCGCAGAGGCTCTCTGGGAAATTCAAAAACGGCTGCCTACCAAGGGGATATCTGCGAAAACGGTGAGTATCACAAAACATGAACACAGCCTCGGAACAGCACTCATTCGCCAATTTCTGGAGGATATTCAAATTTCCCAACTCACAAGCTCCAAGGTTGCTTGCCGGGGCCGAATTATGTCTCAACTGCTGTAACAGATGGCCCCCGTTCGGCCTCGACCGTGTGCTCGTGTCTTCCGACATTTCCACTGTTTGTCCAAGTCGCTTTTGGCTCCATTTGCCTCTTGTCTGACCTATATATATTCGTAGCCATCCTCTGATTCATCTTGGGCTGTTCGTCGTCGTAAGCAGTCTACGAATTCTTAGACATGACGTGAATTGCAAACGCAAAGTGATGAAGGTTGACTCGGGCATTTCAGAATGTCACTTTGATTGCCATCAATTGAAACAAGACGACGTAGCAATGCCACATGGATGAAACAATAGGAGCCTAGACTTCAGGAGCAGTCTGGATTCACAGGGGGCTATGAGAAATAAGGGATGTTATTTAACATTGAAACTGGCTTGGAACCTTGAAGCCTATGAGTACATACAAACCACGAATTTGATAGAATGATTGTGTTGAATTTCCCGACTAGACAAAAAGCCTAACAAGTCAGGAGTCTAGGAATCTTTATGAATATTCAACAGATTGAGCCCTCAGCACATCTATATATCGAGAGCCCCCAGAATAAATTGTAAGTATTACTTGAAGCATTGTTTCAATTGTTCAGCCAATTCATTCCACTACTTACTTAGTACTTAAGTACTTCTCTGCATACATTCAAACTTTAGAACCTTGGAATCAAACATCGAGAGATGGAATTTCTAACCCTGGCGCAGACTTGGCAAATGATGGGCAATGGAAGCATTGCCCTGTCGTTCTCTCCCCGCAGTGAATTCAGCTAGACCCCTTCCGCTTTCTCCTGCCGTCCAGACTTGGCAAATAATAGGTAAAGGGAAGCATGGCCTTGTCGTCTCGACCCCCATATGTAGATAGCTCGCAGCCTTCTAGCTTCTCCCTTCTCTCTCTTTCTCTCCCCGCAGTGAACTCAATCGGTTCCCTTCCGCTTTCTCTTGCCGTCCAGTCTCAACAACGTGTCGTCCACAACATGAATCCATACTCTTACATAGTACCGGTCTTCCGCTCAAAGTTCAAGCAAACTTCGCCCGCCATCCATAGTAATCCTCTGTCGTACTCGGATATGGACACATCGAGGACCAAGTGGGAGAGGAGGACCTCGCGAATCAGTATCAGACTCTGCATCCTGGAAAACTTCGGTATCATCGGACCCAGTAGAGTTTCCAGGATCGTACGGGATGCGAGAGGCAGGTCTTTCGTAGTCCAAGAGAGCGGTTGGACAAAACACCAGTGCCTCACCGGTTGCAAGCTGGACGATCTTGCTGAAGATATCGCCGTCAAGGCCATTCTTCAATCCCGTGAGGTGGTCATTGGCACCCGCGATGTGACTTTGGATTGACTTGTACCAAGCAGGAGAGGAGAATCGGTGAATGATTGTAGTGTTGCAAAGCTCAAGTAGAGCTGGGGCCAGTGTCGGCTCCTGGGTTGCGATCAAAACACGAGTAGCAATATAGCGTTGTTGACGGATCATCGACAAAAGGGTCTCAGTGAGCTCAACAGCTTCTGGCGAGTTATCGTTCAAGAACTGAAAAGGGTTATGAGTCAGTATTGGATCAAAATTTAGTTGAGAGAATGGGAAATGGGAATTACCTTGTGTGCCTCATCTATGGCAAGGATTCGTCCAGTCTGATGACGGTCTTTCAAGAACAGAGACGCAGCAATGTTGAAAAGAGCACATGCATCCTCTGGATCAACAAATGGACAACTCAGGTCAATGATTGTCAGACTCTTAGCCGGGAATTCCCAGATATTGCGAGAACCCTTTTTGGGTGGGTTTGCATGCGCAGCTGCACCTGGCACAGATCCAGGCTCAAAGAATGACTCCAGAACATTCAAACGCATATTGAGGGGCCCAAGCTGACCCTTGATGAAGTTCTCCTTTGCTAACTTGTTTTTGAATTCAGCATAGTTGAATCCAGCTCGTCCCTGGTTCGCAATCGCCATATCGCGGAGGATTTTCATAACGACCTGCGTGGAAGAGAGATGGTTAGTTTCATGGTAGTATGGATCGAAACTCGGTTTGAAGACGAACCTCAACGTAAAGTGGCTGCCCTGCCTTTCCATTGATCCCCATCAAAGTTTTCATCATGCTGATGTTGAGGTCCTTCTGCGGGAGATACAGAGGCTCCACCGTCAGCATTTCGGAGTCACCTGCCAGTTTCCCATACGCGGTCTTCATTGCAACGAAGTTCGTCGGAGAAACAAGAACTCTCACTGGAATACCAGAGGAGTAGAGATACGCAGCTTCGCAGAGTTGTGTGCTCGAGAAGGCCGTAAACTTGTCATAGTGGATGACCAAGCCAGCGAGAGGTGAGGTTAGTCTTCCAGCAGGCGATGAAGGCAACAGCGCATTCTCCAGCAGGCATGATAGGGAATAACTTTTTCCAGATCCCTGACTGCCACAGATGAAGGCAGACCACGGGGCTGATACATTAGCATAAACAAGTCTCTGTGCCTCAGGGATACCTTCAGGGCGCTGGAGACTGAACCCAAGAAGTCCATATTGAACAGAAGATTCTTTGTCATTCTCCTCAGAGTCCTTATTGGCAGCAAGTCTCTCGGATGTGGCAGGATTAAAGAGAGGTGTCGTGAGCAATACTTCGTCCCAGGCCCTATCTTGTTGACGCGGATTCAAAGAGGCCTCCGCATCACCTTTCGCCAATTTCAAGTGAGTTTCTGCCTCAAGATGGAGACGTTTGTTGAAATCCATATTGTGATCTTGAGTTATGCAGTTCGAAAGAGGGTTCTGAGATCAAAAAGGGGGGAGGTTGGGGAGACGAGGAAAGATCGTGAGATCTCACGATGTAGAGGACTAAAAGGTGCAACACACGAGAATGGAAAATCAGAACTTTAGAACGACTAAGCGGCTCGCCCGTGAGCTTAAGCAATCGACGACTAAGCGATTGACCTAGACCTTACGGGCTTCGCAGAGTTCGCACAATTTCCGCGCCTGCTTCACATTTTATGGCATCTATAAGCTTTTCCGTTATGGCAATCGTAGCTGTGGGCCAGTAAAGCTTTGTAGATGAAGATGTGAAAGGTACAATGACGCACATATTGAAAGCCCACGGAACGGCAAATTGCATGTAGCTGATTGAGAAACATTCTCGTTGAACTTTCATATTGCATGTCTACTTTTCATCTGATCCTGACCTGGAGTGAGTGCGGTTCTATTCCCAGAGGTAATCCGACGTGTTTTGAGCAGAGAATACCACCGAGAATCACGTACCGAGTATCTCCCCCGGGCCAGGAGCCTGTTAATCAACTCTTGGTACTATAGGTGAACCAAGCCATAAGTTGTCTCTTGCCAATTCCAAGTGCTCGTATAGATAGGGACGATTGTTGACTGAGAAATCTCCATAATAATCAAACATGGATGCCTCGACCTGTAGTCGTAGTTGGGAGTCCGTGGTAGCAGCCCATGCTGCCGCTAGACACATTAAATTGTAGCCTGCTCCAACAGGCCTGAACATGTTGGACTCCTGGGCATGCAAGAGTGTCTCCTCGACGAGCGACCGTGATTCTGTACTGTAGATATAGTCCCCGGGGTCCAGTGCCTGAAGCATGCAGTTGAAAAACAGGGTAATTCCGAGCCCGATGCCATAAGTGCGGAGATAATGGGCCTGTAATAACCGCGTTATGAATGTCGCCATGTTGTTGCCAAGATCAGATGATTCGCAATCAACTTTCCTTGCTTTCAGGTCCTTCAATATTAGCTTGCACTCCTCATATATTGGCTGGACCTCTTTTGCCGGAGGCCGTAGATCTTGCATATTGATCTTGGCTTGTTTGCCACGTTTGATTAAGACGGGAGCCTTAGCTAGGCATCGTAGGATACGGCCTTCGGGGTGATCTTGATCAAAGTCGTTTATCACCAAGGCATCCCATTCATCGGAACTGAGGTCGATGGCGTCATTATATAAGCCCTCAAACAGCTGCGTAATTGATTAGCATCAACCTGCCCTTTTCAAAAATGGTTAACATACAACACTGCCCCTTAGCGAGAGGAATAACTTTTGCTCAAATTCATCACGGGGTCCGAAATGCTTTCGGGCCCGGAGAATGTTGGAAGCACCCTGTGCGTGGCCTGTAATTGTTCGCCCATTCTGCCCGTGGAATGATTGACACAGCAATAAGATCATAACCGCACATAGTGTGTTGGAAGAGATTGCTTGGATGGGGTCATCCAAATAGATTCTCAAAGTTTTAAGAGCCGAAGAGTATTTGGATAAAGCCTCTATTGAAACCGATCGGCGGGAACAAAAACTTGCATGTGCAGTTGCCAACGCGTCAACTGCGCGGTCAAGTGCTTCGTTGGTGCCAATACGTCGAGGAACCTCCTCAAGAAAGATACCAAAGGACCACCATAGGTTGTACCGAAGATCATTGGTCCGTTTGATAGCGCCAACAAACGATCCGGTCAGGAATGTGATATTATTACCGGGGCATGTTTGGGGGATTTCAAAAGGAGGAGTGCGGTTTCCACTCGAGTTTGGTGAGTCGAATTTTATGATCTGATTTTGGTTGGATTGAGACGAAAATCGATGCTCTTGTTTGAATTTATATCTCTGCTGACCGGACCCCACACAGGTTAGTTTGAGGCGAAGACATCGGCCGCAGGTCGGCTGTTTCTCGTCGCACTAATTAAGTGATGAGAATTGGGAAATTTGACATGGATATCGATGGGTATATCTGCACCTTTTTCTTTTGTTTGCGACACCCATCACAGGCCCGTCCATTTGGCACACCGGGCATAGTGGGGTCAGATGCGGAGCGGCGCGTAGATCTCAAAGGGGACTTGGACAGAGGACTAAGCTCTTTTAGTATAGTGAATATCGCAAGGCACACTCTACTCAAAGCCAAGTACGCAGTGCCCCGTAAAGTGAGGTGACTGAGGTTATCTCGCCCCCATGGGATGCAGTCTAACCGCTTTGGGTCCCATGGGCCGCTGTACATGGCTGAGTCCGGCATTTCTGATTGGTCCACCGATCGTATACGACCCGATTTCCACGTTAATTATGTGAACGCTCCATTATGCCCTTAAAATCCCATAGTGGCAGTGCTTCAAAGCCACACTAATGAAGTCGATCTGAAGCTTGTCTGTGGTTCTTGCGCCAGACACTATACCGTGTCTAGTCCCCATTGGGATCTATGTTGCGCTTCATGGAGACCCCTTGGGGTACTTATAGATTTGTGATTCCCTTCATCTCATGATAGATTAAGTGCAAAAGATATTTACTATACCATGGTGTCCGCTACCACAGACAAGGCTGAAAGCATTTACTTGTACAATCCAAGTCACATCCTACCCGCGGTCTTTGCTGCAATTGTCGGTCTATCATTATTATTTCATGTTTTTCAGAACTAGTAAGCCTCTCAAACACACGACAAAGAAAGAAATTCCTAACTTTACCAGTTACTACCGATTTTGGCGTGTCACCTTCTTCCTCTGCTGGGGTGGCCTCCTCTTCACCATCGGCTGGATTCTACGATGCATCTCAAGCTACCACCCAACAAACGTCGACATCTATATTGCATCTCAAGTATTCATCTATGTCGGCCCGCCTATCTATTCAGCCTCGGCATACAATCTTGTCGGACGTCTCATGAACTACCTACCGATGCATGCTGTTCTCAACCCAAACCGTGTACTAATTTTCTTCATCTACGTCGGCGCCGCAGTGGAAGCAATTACAGTAGCTGGTGCAGCCAAGAACGCATCCGCCGGCTCGGATCTCGACAAGTACAAGTCCGGTGGGACTCTTGTGGCTATAGGTCTTATTCTCCAAGCCGTCGTGGAATGCGTGGTCGTTGGACTGGTCGCAACGATTCACATACGCTGTTCCCGCGCGCGAATGCTCTCACCGAATGTGCGCAAAGTATGTTTCACTCTGTACGGGACCTCGACCTTGGTGTTGCTGCGGTGTATCTGTCGTGCTGTCGAGTCCTTCGATATGTTCAGCAAGCTCGGCTGCCGCGTGGACTGCGGTCCAATCCTCAGCAATGAGTGGTACTTATATGCCTTTGAGCTGGGTCCTATGCTTATATTTACCTGGTGGATGAATTTGATGCATCCAGGTCGGTTTTTGCCTCGCCAGAAGCTGCGATATCTGTGTCCAGATGGTCGCACTGAGCGGATGGGCCCTGGCTGGACTGATCGACGGTCTCGGTGGGAGACATTTGCCGATCCTTTGGATTTGAAGGGGATGGTTACGGGTAAGCCTTCTCATGAAGAGTATTGGCTGCGAGAGGATCAATGGCCTGTTTGTAAAGAGGGCAGTTTTGCTTCTGGGACGGCCACCAACACCAGATCTACTTCGCAGGCCAAAGAGCTTGCTCCCTTAGATCATAATGTTTGATTTTACTGTGTGCCTATTTCGTTTGTATCAATGTCTATAGTGAGCGTTTTTCACCGTGTTAATTTTTATTTCCAGTTATGATTGGTTTGGAGTTTCCTAAGGCCCATCCCTCGTTCAAAGGATCGTACTGAGTAACTTTAGAATCTAATATAGATCATATTGGAAGGCTCAAAGCAAAACTCTCTCTCTGTAATTACAGCTTGGCTTGTTCAAATGGACTGAGTCTTCTGAGTGGTGGACCTCCTCTGCTTCCATCGCTCTTCCCGTCGCCCAAGACCGTGCTCTTGGAATCAACGTCAGGTGGTGGAGCCATCCGCCATTTTTGGCGCAGGTTCTCGGGTGCCTTGTTCTCAAAGCAGTCTGCGATATACTTGCCTAGAACGGGAAGGAATTTGAATCCACTATCAAGGGTTAGTGAAAACGTTACTATCTTGCAGATATCAAAGAAGAAACTTACTGTCCTGAGCCACCAGTTGCCATGAAAAGTCCCTTGATAGTGGGATGATGGTCGATGATAAAGTCGCCCTTCGGGGTTTCCGTGTACCAACACAGGCGGCGGTTCATCCATGGGCGGTCACCCAATTTGGGAAAGAATTGACGCAGACCTTTTCGTAGGGATTCATCTGCGTCATCCGGCAGGTATCCAGTGGCTGCGTTGCTGGTTTCGAACTTCGGGGATGAGACTGACTTTTTGACACCATCCACGTCAACCTGAACATCTGTCGCATAGCCATAGCCGTGTCGGGCCAGCTTGAGTACGTTGGTATCGGGGGTGGGTGGGAATGAGAAGACACCGGAGCTCATATTGATCATCACGGGAATCTTTCTCATTTCGTATGCCTCCTCTTCGGTCAATTGAATAAAACCGACCGGCTGACCAGTAGAAGTTGCGGCGTGGCCAATGTTCAGTAGACGATTAGTCCACGCTCCTGCGCTGAGAATCACCCGTGAAGCAAGCAACACCTGTCCACCCACAAGGTTGACACCGACGACTTGCGACCCTGCCCGGCGAAGGGAGGTGACAGTTCCCCGGGGTCCGGCGATAATCGAGACTCCAGCAACTGTACATTTCGAAGCTAGCTTTTGGATGCTGCCAGCAGCATCAGCCCAACCACCCCTGGCATTGTGGTAGCCATTCATGCCGGACAGTTCGGCTTGGACGCTGGGGTAAAGTTTGCGGATGTCCATGGCATCATCGAGATCGTCTAGCTTTCCACCCGCGGCACGAGTCACTGCCTTGGAACCTTCCATGTATGCATTCTTAGGAGTGTCGGAGAATAGTGCGAATCCTGACTGGAAGAACTGGTCTTTGTACTCAGTGGTCCATCCATCAAAGGCTTCACGGGCCATTTGAGAGTAAATTGGGTCCGCATAGTCAGAGCGAATGATACGTGAGATGTCAACACTGCTTCCATCTGCTGATGGAGGGACAAATCGGTCGACAACGGTGATGTCAGTGTATCCGCGCTTGTTCAATTCAAGCGCTGTTGAAAGACCGAAGACGCCAGCGCCCACAATGAGAACTGAATCGGTTTTGACTGGAGTCATTTTGAGAAGATTAGATATTTTGCAAAATACTTGTCGTCCCTTGTTGCCTTTAAGTTTCAAAATCAGTGTGGAGGATACAGAGGCAGACCCGGCTCGATGCCGGCTCTTGGCAATCGCATCATTCAGACACGGCCCGCCTCCGGGCGGAGTATGGAACATCCGCTTAGTCTCAATTACTAGTATCACGATGGGTTGATACTCAGCCAGTCTTCAAATGCCCTCCCATAGTCCTGGAGCTGAAGAAAGAGCGTGTCACTACCTGGGAAGTCCACATTGGGATCATCTGGGAGCCCAGAAATATCTATAGTTGGTGAAGTTTGACTCCCTGCCTGTGTCGGATCCTCAATCTGATCGGGGGGATAAGTGACACACTCAGACGCGACAGTTGTGTGTCCAGAGATCCCGGCAGATCCAAAAAGTGAGAAGTCGCGCTCAGTGATGGCGCCGGCGGAGGGATCGCCGGAGTGACCGACGCTGTCCTTGGCAAGTTCCGGACCGAATATGTCCCCAGCAACATCCGATGTGTTGCTGGCATGAGCATAAACCAAAATCTTCCATAAAAGCTGCAAATTGACTGACCACTTTTGGTGGGTATGAGACACTGCGGGTGCACCTCCATCTGTGGTCAGTCCCCCAGGAGCAACAGTGTCCCGAAGCTGTTCGAGGTGTCCGACCTGGAAGATGGTAAGCGAGTGTCTATTTCGGATAAGAAGAGTAAGTTACCTGGCGGTCGATATGTGGCCATCGGCGGCCCATGTTACGGAGGAACTTGAGGCATTTTTCGAATCCCATCTGTGCCTTTTTGCTGAAAGCCCGATCTTCCACAAAGCTGTGCTGGAGGTATATGGTGGCAACTATGGCAACGCACTGTCCGATAGTCGGATCAGATACTTCAAAATTCTTCGACTCGGTAAGTTCAAGGAAATGAACCACCCAGCCCGAGTGGAAGGTCAGCTGCTCGAAGGAGTTTCGAAGAAAGGACTGGGGCATTGTTCTGCGAAATTTCCGTAGTCTCATGGAGAGGAGGAATGGATGATTGGCTATACATGGCACCGCATGCCAAACCATTTGAAAGAAAATCCAGGGCCCCCAGTAGTCACGATGAGCCTGGAGCTCAGCTGGTGGGTGATCTTGAAAACGGCTTGCATGTAGTCGGAAGCGAAGTGGCATCAAGCTCTCGTGCTCACAATGATGGAAGTTGATTAAGCTGTAATCGGATCTGGGGGACCATGGTGAATGAGCGTCAACTCCCACATGACTGCTCGCATAGTTGCATGCCAGGGCCCATAGCTCGCTTGTATGGACGTTGGTTCCACTGATTCCGATATCAAGCTTGTTGTCACCGCTGCTACCCCAAGAGATTGCTTTGGTTGATGATCCCGTCCTCAATAAAGAGTTCCACCCGCCAGGAGCTGCAAGCGAGTTAAGGCTATCTCCAACTTCAGGCGGCTGTAAAGACCCGTGGATATTTTGGAGCATGATAAGACTGATGTAGCATAGCTTACGCTCGTCACGCTCTGTTTCCAAATTGCTCAGTTTCTCAAAGCCATCTTTTTTCAGATGATGGATGAAATGAGTAGCAAGTCCAGTGTAGGACCCAGCGCGGATGATGTGACCCGCTGAGTTGAGGTATCAAACGTCAGAGGGCACATTATGACAAACGAGGGAGTGGGCATACCTGTGAATTCCAGCATGCTGAGTATGCATAAGGTCTGTATCGTTGACAGCTCCACTGTACCTGCGGCTACTCGCATCATGACCATGCTGCAAGCCCTTTCTTTTTTTCTTCCAATTTCGTCTTGAATGGCCTTGCTGTGAACTCCCTGGTCTTTAAAACGAGCACCCATGGCCCCCATAGCCAATAGGAGCTCAACGTCCCTCTTTCCCAGAGAGGCCAAAGAGGATCGACATGGGAAAAGAAGGAGTGGCTGTGAGTTGCAGTATGTCAAATAAAGCTCGGCATCCTGAGCCTCCGATGATTCGTGGCTTGAAAAGGGTAAGTTAAGCCAACACACGTAACTTGCAGTCAACATACCTTAAAGAGCCTTCTGGGAGAATATTATCAACGACAGTAGGATTGTTTCTTGAGACAGCCGGTGATAGTGGTGTTGTAGAAGCCGATTGCCTGCCGCGTGGATCAGTTGCCTGAATCGTACCCATACACAAGACATGAGTTCAGCAGGGAAACTTCAATACATACGTGATATACTCCATCATCTGCTCCAGCTTGCCTTCAATGCCAGAAATTCGTTGCTCCTAGACGGTGACGAGATATCAAAAACTGTGCTTACATGGAAGCAATCTCGCCCTTGGCTTGTGCTCACCAAAAGCTTCTTGGAGCCCCCCGGTCCTTCTTCCACTATTTCAGCCCCGGCGTACACACATCTTTGACCCAATCGCTCGCAATAAGAGCAGATTGGCTTCTCACCCGGGCAACGGGACTTTTTCCGGCTGCGAAAAGATCAGACGCATCCAGCCGCGATCAATGGTTAAACTTACCGACATGGCTCACATGCCTGACGAGCTCGCTTCAAGGGCCTCTCATCTTCTATTGATGCCATCCTGGGTCACATGAGCTTGGTGATGGACGAGGGTAAACTCGAAGGCGGGGAGCGGTCCGGGAATGTCGGAAGAGAATTTCCGCGTTCCCCGTGTTCCGTTTGACGCCTATTTTATCAAATACTCTCTGGGCCCCAGCTCTGTGATCTAGTTGTTTGTGCAGCTCTTTTAATATACGACTTTTGTCTCCCTTCTCACGACTACTGTGAAGGTCTTGCAATTAATGGATTTGTTCCATCCTGAGGCAAACATTGTTTCTTCACTTTTTTTCCATATATAGACCATGTCTACAAGATACCCTCGTCTTTATTGGTGCAAATAAATTACTGTGCATGGTGACTCTTTGAGTGTCGAGCCCTGGAGAAATATTTGTCATATTTTGTACTTGATTTCAAGCGTTCCATGACAATTCATAGCACACGACCTAGTTCTGAAGGTGGTTCAAGTATAATATGGATTGGGTCATCTGAATGACAACGTGCGGAGTATAGTTGCACTAACTACTATGTAGCACACTGTTTTCTATCTGCATCTCTAGATATCCACGCGCTACATTGGATAGCCTAAGTGGGTCATTGAAAAGTACTCCATACAGATCAATCTGTTCGTTTTATAGATTCAACATGACTTACCAGATATATTTAAATGGCAGAATGTCCCAAGACTCATAAATAGAAGAGCTATTCCAAAGTTTTATACTTCACAACTTGATACCAAAGATCCTCCAAAGAAGTATACCCACGAAGGTCGTCGCAGATCTAAATAACCTCTTCCGGGTGGAGACCAGTCACGTGACTGGATATCGGACTGACGTCGCCTCCAATTCCGACTGTTGGCCACCGACCTCCGTTCAGTTCTACACACGTCTTGTCCTTGGGAGTCTTGCAGTTTTATTTGAATATCATCCTCATCCGAATTCTTTGACTTGCAAAATGAGTGATGCCTATGAGCGTGAGCAGTAGGTCTCCTTTCTTCAACCTACCGCATCAAGTACCGTTGCTAGGATGGTCACTTTTCGCAGAGACTGATCGCTAACCTTTCACACCAGGCAGAACAATGCTCTCCTGAACTCTCTCTCATCCAAGGTCTCGGCCCTCCGCTCTGTGACTATCGACATCCACGACAATGCGCGCGATCAGGACACTCTTGACCGTACGGTAGGTCTACTGTCATTACCCAAACCATGAGTCCATGGATTGATCGCTAATGAATTCCTCTAATAGAGTGACGTATTCTCCTCGTTCTCAACGAATCTGAAGGGCAGCGCATCTCGACTTACGCGAATGGCGAAGCAAGGCGATACTGTGGCAGTGCTGAAGATCGCAGGCATCTGTATTGCTGCAGGATTCCTGCTCTACATCGTTCTTGGGTGGATCTTTTGAACTACGGAAATTTCCACGTTACATCACATGTGCCCTCTCTCGACTCGACACTCTTGCTGGACCAAGACTCAGTTCGATCATATTCAATTCTGAGCTATGCCCTCACAAACACAGTTAATACCTTCTCCTTTCCCTTGAGCGTGGCTACATCGATTTGCTCGACTCTGATTAAGCCCCAGAGGCCTTGATGGGCTGATCTCGGGCAGCCTCAGATCGCCGTCAGTCTTGCTGGTGTGCCCATGGAACCGATTGCATGGGCTGCGCACATACAACTTTCGGAACTATTGGCCCTGACAATACGCCTTGCATTATCTCTTTCAATTCCTTCTCGCCAGCGCTTCTTGATTTCTATTATCACTTGACGTTCTCATAACTTGTCACTCGCCTCAAGCGGGAGATCTTGCCCGGAGTTGAAACCGCTCAGTTGCATTACGATATTCGATTTCAACTTGCCTCTATTCTGTATCATGACCCCATTGGTTACCAGCGAACATAGTTGATTTGGTCTAAATAAAGCCATTCCGGTTTGAATTTTTCCTGTTGATGAAAATAACGCACGGAGTTGGAGGTCTTAACCAAGACGTAACATTTCCAAGGACAGGCAGAACGTGAAGACTACATGCAACTCTACGTAGAAACTCCTGAAGCCCCGGGAATGACATTCTTTGAGTCCTAGATTCGGCCAATTCTCCATTGGGGGTTGACATGTCGATCCCCGGATTAAGCTCATGCGCTGGACCAATGGTCGAGAGGAAATCCAAGTAGCACTCAAATGCCGAAGACACAATACAACATGGCACATCAAATTATTTCGTTCCAAAACTAAGGCACGTGTCACTTGCCGGAAGCGTATGTTTATTGTCACAATGTCCCGACTCACTGGTGTGTGCCTCAACATCAACCGCTTTCGGCCATGCTCCAGAATGTCAACCTTTCCACAGCTACCGTCTCTTCAAACCGGAAAAAAATGAACCAAATGAGCTTCCCGTTTTACTCACTTCTCACGGCAGTTTGTAAATGACCGATATTCATTGCCTAACAGGGGGATGATTGGCTTGAGTTTGTTACGAGTACAGAACTGAACCCATTCTTTCAGCGATCTGAAAACGACCCCCATCGCCATAACCCAACTCGACCACAAGACTACCTGGACATCAAAAGTGAAGCAATACACTCCCACTTCTCAACGCCCAATCAGCGCCATGGTCTCAACCGAATACAGGGCCTGTCACGCCGTTGCTGTCGCAGCAGTGATACTTCTAGGAACATGGGTTCTCTTCAAAGAATTCTGCAACATACCAGCAAGCTGGCGCGCCGATCGTGAGACTGCCATATTCCGCGGCAACCTTCCACCAATACCACAATACGAGCTGCCCGACATGTCAACAAATTCCCAGCCTGAATCGGATTTTCCGAGCTTCGATCGCCATATGTCAACACCCACAGACCCAGCATGACTACTCGTACACCTCGAGCAACCCCTTTGAAGAAAGCTGGACGGCTGCGGGGTTTACTAGCTCGAATGCTGTCGATCAGATCGGACAACTACTCGTATACCACCCCCGGGCCATCATCTGCAGACGTCAGCTGAACCAGTCAACCTCGGCTGATGGCTCGATGGCACATGATTCATGCATGTCTGGGGCTAGGTCTCGACCGTATCATGTCAGGGTTTCTGCAGGGATCTGCTGATTGATTATCCATGCGGTATTGGGCTGGGCCCATCTCAGCCTAGTAAGCGTGGTGCGACGTGGCTTGCGCACGCGAAGCTATTATCTTTATGCTTAACGAGTATCGGCAGTTGGGACTGGGCCCGATACTTATCAAAGCCGGTCACTGGTGCTACTAGTTAGCTTAGGTGATTTGGTTTTCTTTTGTGTGATGTGTGGCTTGAGTCAGACAAAGGCGAGAGGGTCTGAGAGCTTCGGATGATTATGACAGAATTGGCCAGTCGAGTCTTTTCGAACGATTGCGTCTGGAGGAAAAGTGTGATATGCTATAGTAGACGATTAGCAGCGTCATGGGCGGTTGGGTTGGCAATCCGCGAATGGACGATGTACGATATCCAAGCACCGATCTACTCGTAGACCGGAAAAATCCCCAAAGAGCATGACAGTGCATGTTGCGCAATAATTGCCACTGATTGGATCAGCGAGAGTCCAACGCCGCGAAAATTCTTTTCCCTCATTCTTGGCAGCCCGTCGATCCACGCGATCTTCTTAGTTCCCGCAGACATTGCAACCTCGCCCCTGGCGATCATCGGAAGTTTACCAATGTCCTATAATCGGCACGAGAACTATCGGGAGAAAAAATCAGTTCAGCGCTTTGACGGCGCTATTTTGACGGAACTGAATTTACTTTTTATCCGCTTAGATCGTATGTTTGCCCTAATCATTTAACCGCGTGTCGAGGGAGACTTTGAAGACATTGATCCACCAAAGAGTGACAGTGTGATATGTACGAGTATGAATACAGTGTGTGATTGGGTCCACTTGACGTCTTCAAGTCAATGTGCAGATTGCATGTGCAAATTCTCGTATGCGCAGTATTCGGCTAGACAAGGATCAATAATTGTGACGACATGTCCATATTGACCAAGGTTATTGACGGCCATAGAAACAAGTCCTGCATTGACTTCGATTGCAATGATGCAATGTGGATGGAATTTGATGTTCTGGAACTCACACCGGAGGGCTATATGGAGCTCAGAAGTCCTAGTGGAGCCAGGTAAAATTTCAATGATCTACGCAAAGCTTCAAAGGTCCTTGGAATCGTACTTTTGTTTATAAATTTTCTTCCTCGGAAATATTGTGATTGGACATAGGGTTGGTGTGATCTTGGTCAATGACACTGACCGTTTCAGCTGGCAACGTTCTACTGTAATTCTACTCGTGCAAATCAGTGAGCGTCAGTGTTCTAGACTACTCGTACCCTGAAAGCTCCCAGTGGACCAAGCCAGAAGCTAAGTGGCGCGTGCCATGGAAGTCCGCACCGCAACGTTGCGAGACACAGACGAGCATCAAAAGTCAAACTCCAAAAAACACACACCGGTTGCCTACACTCAGCAACGCGGCCCAGCATAGACACTCGGGCAGCCCAAGTCGGCACACGGGAGTCCGAGCCGGTGAAGCGGAAATGCCCGAAGGGATCCCGAATGGGCCCGCAGTCGGCTTGCTGATCGGGAGCAGGCCGAGTGCCGATTTCTCGAAACATGTTCGCAGACGCCACCAAAACACGTATCGGGACCTTATCGATTCGAGACACCAGGGCCTATCACCGCCGCACGCTGGATGACAGCTGGGTGGATCCTGATCGCACCCGCTTCTACCGCCATGCTCTCTGCGACCTGCGATACGCGGTTAGAGCACGGGTGTTTCCGAGGACACGAGTCACAGTGAGTCAAATGTTCCACGAGTCTCGTGCATGGGATCAGCGGGTAATTTGAGCATTGGGGGTTGAGTACATCTTCAGGGCGAGCTGCAGGAACACACGGCCCTCTTTGTGCTCCAGTGCGCCTGCAGTGTCGGAAACTCCGATCACCTGTGGAAAGAGCGGTAGAACAAAGGCGAAACATTCTCATGGTGGCGCCATCGATAGATAAGGGTCTTTTTCGGGTTGCCTGATCTGATCAATTGATAGTAGTAGATACGGAGTATGTGGGTATGAGATGAAGTGGGGGAGATTTTACAATCTTCACAAGTACTTGTAGCACAGGTAGGATGCGTCGCACATCGTACTCGTACTTGACTTGTGTAACATGTTGTGCATTCAACAATGTCGATCAAAGTGATGGCGTGATGGGGCAATCAGCTTGTAAGGTGAGCAGCTTAATTCCCCGTAGGGCACAACAATTGAGTTAGGCTATAGTTACTCCGTGGCTAATAGGATAAATGTATTGTACGCTGACGTAAAAGACTCAATCTTGGGCGTCTGAGTTTGAGATCAAGTTCAGAGTACAGAGGATATGAAGTAGTATAGAGTGACTCTAACCCTAATGGCACCTGGGCAATTCTTGCATATTAGTCACTTATCCGCCACTCCCTAAATAGGACTGAAACGAAAGCAAAATAGCTCAGTGAAATAGTGAAATAACGAATTAAACAATTAAACAATTGACCAAAAAAGAACAAAAAACGAAAAAAAGAAAAAGACCGAAAACGGCACAGCGGGACCCGTTGGTCGGACCAGGTTTGCGTATCAGGTCAAGTTCCGGTAGATCTGCGATAGAGAAAAAACGGGAAAAAAAAATAAGTGACTCTTATTCTTTCTTTCTTCTCTTTCCCCTTCATATCATAATATTACTTCCGTCTTTACGACGGCACCTCAAATCATGGCTCTCAGCTTCTTCAGCAGCGGCGGAAGCTCAAGTAGCGCCAAGTACTTCGACATTAGGTGGGTCGTCCCTGCACCCTGCATGGACTCGCATCTAATACTCTGACAGATTGAACGATGAATATATTGTGTTTCGCGGTGGTGAACATGAGGCCGCCAGCGCCCACCTGCGGGGCACTCTGATTCTCTGCTTATCAGAGCCCTTGACCATTAAACACCTCCGACTGCAGCTGACGGGCATGTCTCGCGTGTGGTATGTGTCGCATGCGCCCGCTTCATGGCCTTCGCTAATCCCCAATTCCCAGTTGGCAACTACCATCGACCTCCGCCTCCGGGGGGCGCAAATCGTGGCGGGAGCGGGTCTTCTACGATAAGACATGGCGATTCCGGGACCCGGGTAAGGGAAAAACCGAGATTCTTCCGGCGGGCAACTATGAGTACCCCTTCGATGTCGTCTTAGAGGGCTCGATGCCTGAGAGCGTGGAGGGGTTGTCCGAGACATGGGTGATGTATCGCTTCAAGGCCGAGATCGGTCGCAAATACGCCAAAGACATTGTCGCCCGCAAACCCCTCCGAATTATCCGCACTCTGGATCCCAGCGCCCTCGAGCTCTCACATGCAATGGTAAGTGGGCGCTTCGGCTTGACTCATTTTTCGTGACTAACGCCCCGCAGTCGGTGGACAACATCTGGCCAAACAAGATCGAATATTCCATCAGCACTCCGACCAAAGCCATCGTGTTTGGCACGGCCATCCATGTCGATTTCAAATTGATTCCGCTCTTGAAGGGCCTTCGAATCGGTACAATTACGTCACAATTGATCGAAAGTCATGATCTCACCTTGAATCCCGAAGACCCTGATTCTATTCGCAATACATATAAAATTACCCGGACAATTCTGACCGACGAACATGAGATGGATGAGGACAGCTTCGAAATCATCGATGAAGCCGCGGAGGGGTACCATTGCGCGCGTGTGCTCGACATGCCACAAACCTTGACCCGCTGTCTGCAGGATACGGACACCAAGGGCATCAAAGTGCGCCACAAGCTCAAGTTCCGCATTCAGCTGCACAACCCGGATGGACACGTTAGCGAGGTGAGTCGCGCAAGAAGACAGAAACTGACCAGGCTAACATTCAAACAGCTCCGCGCGACGCTTCCCGTCTCTATTTTCATCTCACCACATCTCGCTATTGACGAAAACAACAATCTCCTAGGGCAAACACCCCAATCGACCCGGATGGCAGTGGATGATTTCGCTCACCAGGCCCCTCCCCTCTACGGCGAGCACACTTTCGATCAGTTATATAGTGAACTGGACCCCAGTGGCTATCGTACACCAGGCCCCGGCAGTGGTCCGGGCACTCCGTTCGGCCCTCTCAGTCGCAACATGTCGTCTGAGAACCTTGCCTCTATGAACGCCTTGACCAACACTGATATCTCGGCATCGGCGCTGCACCACCGTCTCACCAATTTAAATGCCAGCACGCGACACCACCCCGCTACCCCCAGTGCAGTGACACCGGGTGTGATGACCCCCAGCGAAGGATTCCATGGATCCCAATCCCCAATTGACAACCACCCCATCCACCGTCAACTTAATGTCCCGAATGATTACTTCGGACCCTCCTCTGGATCCAACTCGCACAGTCATGGCAGTCCGGAATTGTCGCGCCGACCCTCCGATGAAGTGGACCACGAAGCCCTCCCCTCAGGCATGGCCACTCCCTTCCACCCTCAGTATGCCGAGGTGGAAACCCTCAGCCGGGTACCCAGCTACTCAACCGCCGTGCGCTGTGCGGTTCGACCTCGTGATTCGGGTCTCCCAGACTATAACGCCGTGATCGCCAGCAGCTTGCCCACGATCTCCGTTCCCCAGTCGCCCCAACAGGCCTACCTTCGCAGTGGTCGAACAAGTGGCATAGCGACTCCCTTAGAGGTGCAGAACCGCCCCGGATATTTCCACTCCCACGGCACCCATGCTGACGACGAGGATCGCAGACTTAGACTCGAACAAGCGCGCGCCCGAGCATGATCTGTGGCTTCGTTGCATCCGATGTTTCATCTCATGTCTCCTCATGATTCACTTCTTTTTTAACGACCAAAAGTTCCCCCCTTTAGATAACCAGTGCTGGACATTGGGACCCTCCGGATCGCCTCTCTTCGCCCTATTCCCCTTTCCCTTTTGAATGTGTTTACAGTTTTTCTTTTTTTCTTTTTTTTTCTTTTTCCCGACGAGTGATGGTCCGGATGCATTTCTTATCTCGCAACTCTCCGCATCTCTTTCACAGCGCCACTGTTTGTTTTTCCGGCGTTTAATAGATTGGATTATTTCTGGATGGACTTTACGAATGGGACCCTGGCACGAATTATGCATAGCCTTCTTTTCTTCTTTTTTTCAATACTAGATGTTTGATGACGTCACACACCCCGATCTGGCGCCGAAACGGCGATCCTCTCTTCGTTGCGAAACACGCTGTTTTCGTCAATGGCGTTGTTCGTTTGCAATTGAATAGATGTAACCTGGCTGCCGATCCCGTCCAAACCAATAACTAAAGCCAAATTCACAAACAAACGGCGAATTCAAGATGTCAAGATAGAGTTGAAGGTCATAGTTCTAGTTACCAGGTCCTTGGGCCGAAAGCCCTGGAGATCGGGTACGGAAGACTCGGAGTACTCCAAAGACACGTCTAGTCCAAGTCGCATTGATCAACAGATCAATTCAGATCAATTGGCACACATTAGCCAAAATGGCATTCGATCGGCACTAAGCCACAGTGTGTAGGTTTGACAGTGGGTTGGAGGGGCACAGTGACCTCATTGGCGTATTCCGAATGTTAAGAATGTCCAACTCCGTACTTTCTACTTGCTACTTCGTACTCTGCCTCTTCTTTTTCTCTAGTTTAGTATTTCTCTATTTTCTATTAATTTCCGTTACGTGTACAGGTAAGTGCTTGTCTCCATTTATGGATCTGTGCTAGTGTTAACTAGTCCGCCCACAGACTAGCGCCACCCCCTCAACCCCCATTGAATTCTGGGAGCTTGTGTACTACATCTCCCTCTTTAATTGATCGCTTGACGCAACATGTCGACCCCTACGAGCCCCGCGGATGTGAAGCTCCCGCAACGGTCTGCTACCGTGAGCAGCGGCTTCACCCGTCGCACTTCGGTGAGCGACGATGAAGCCATTCCCGATACCGATAGCAGCGAGGTGTGTCTCAATGAATTGCGTGGAAGTAACGACCAAGAGAACTGACTCAGACTGATAGACCACTGGTCTGCTGCTTGAACGTCTCCGGGCATGGAAGCACATGTGTGGATATCTGGAGGACTACTTCTCTGTGACCGCTAAAGTGCAGAAGTCCCAGTCCAAGGACTATGAGAAGATCTTGAAGGTGAGACCCGGATCGACCTGTGACACAATCGCATGAACTGACATCGGCACTGTGATTCAGACTGTGAACGAGCCCCTCAAGGAAGGTCACCACTTTAGCTCCGGCGCCGGTGGCGTGACCGGATTGTTCGAAAACATCCGCAACAATACCCAGGGCATTGTCAACATGTACTTGGATGGCGAAAAGAACATCAAAAACGGCGTCCTCCCCACTCTCGAGCGTCTGCACAAGGAAATTAAGAACAAGTCCAAGGAGCTGAGCTCCGGCGCATCCAAGGGTGCCAAGTCTGTTGAGAAGGCTCGCTCCCTCACCCAGAAGCACATCGAGCTCCTGGGCCAGAACTCCGCCTCGTTTGACGCAGCCGCCTCCAACAAGCTCGACCAGCAGCACGACCCATACATCCTCAAGCGCGGCATCAACCACCGCCTCAACAACCAAGTCAATGAGGAAAACAACCACCGCCAGGACATCCTCGCCGTCCAGAACTCATTCCAGCAGTTCGAGGCTCACCTCCTGCAAACCCTCCAGGGAGCCCTGGAACAATTCCACCAGCAGATGGGCGGCCAGATCGAGCGCCAGCGCGCCATGTACGCCGACATCCTGGGCACCGCCCAGCGCATCCCCCCAGACTTCGAGTGGGTGAACTTCTGCATGAGCAACGAAGCCACTCTCGTCAACCCAGATGCGCCCCCGCGCTCGTTCTCCAGCATCACCTTCCCGAACATGGAGCACCGCGCCACCCAGCCCTTGATCGAGGGCTCTCTTGAGCGTCGTTCCCGCGCCGTCATCAAGGGCTACTCGACCGGCTACTACGTCGTCACCCCAGCCCGCTACCTGCACGAGTTCAAGGACAACGATGACTTCCGCAAGGACCCAAGCCCCGAACTCTCCCTCTACCTACCAGACTGCATCGTGGGTTCCATTGACGGGGTCAAGTTCAGCGTGAAGGGCAAAGACGTTTCCTCCGGCAAAATCGGTAACGCCTTCCACACCAACACAGAACTCAACTTCAAGGCCCATACCGCCAGCGACGCTGAGAAGTGGGCGTCCGTCATCAAGGACGCAACTCGTAGCCCCACCCTTGCTTCCCCCGCCGTTGCATCCCCCGTGGCTGCTTCCCCAGCTGCCTCTGTCAGCCCCTCCCGCAATGTCTCCGGCCAGAGCCAGCCTCCCACCTATGCCGAGAAGGAGATGGAGAAGGCCCAGCCAACTACTCAGCCTGCTGCCCCCTCAACCACCGATACCAAGGATGCTGCTGCTAGTCCTGCTGCCGCTAGCCCCGCTGCTGCCAGTCCCGGTGCCGCCAGCCCGGCACCTGGTATCAGTCGCACTGCCAGTACCACCAGCCACTTCCACGGGTCGCCTGGTGGAGCTGCAGTCGAGAAGTCCGAGAAATCGTAAACAGATAAGAGTGCCACCAATCCCCGCTGATCCGCTTCTCAGTCTTTTGCCTTTTGGTTTCTGCATTATTCGCATACTTATGCATTGTGTGCTTGGATCGTGCCATGCTCATTATTACGCATTGCGAATTTGCCCCATATTTTTTTGGATATACATATATACCACCTAATGAATTTCCTTTCTTCGTTTGAAATAAGCTCGAAAACAAAAAAAAGTCCAAAATGCAATATCGCATATCGCGATCGCTCATTGAAATCATAAAATTCCACAATCCCACAGCACCAATTGCTAGGTCTTGAATATCCCCCTCACGCTATATTCTATATAGCATCAAATCCACGCATATCAAACTAGAAATCCTCCGGACTTTCCAAATCATCCAACTTCTGTCCCAAAAAGCGAGCTAGAGCCGCACACTTCGATTCCAGCGCTAACAAGACAGCCGGCGAAGCAGAGAGATTCAAACTAGCCAGCCGGGCCAAGTCAGCCGTCCGATCAATTTCATTCCCATCCAAACCAGGTGAAGGCGCAGGCGTGCGTTCGTCTGGAGTTGTAGGTGCGTCTGTTCCAGGGAAATCTTGTGATTCTGTAGCTTTGGAAGGACCGACTGCAGCTACTAGGACTTTGTCTGCGATGCGAGTCACGACTGCTACTGAGTCGTTTAGTTCGAAGACGATGGAACCGACGTCGCCTAGGGACATTGATTTGGCGGTTACGTAGGAGGAGGGGTGGCTGGCTGGGTTTACGCCTGTCAGGTTTCCTGTTGATGCGCTTTTGGCGTAGCAGGTGTATGCGGCGCCGTAGGTGGCGCTTAGGTTGCGGAGTTGGCGGGAGGAAAGGGTTGAGCCGTGGGCGAAGACGGCGCCGTTGGTTGCGAAAACGCTGGGGTTGTTAGTTTGGTTTTCTGGGTTTGGGTTTGGGGGTCGTACATTATGGTTGTTATCTCTGGTGGGGAGAGATTATCTTCGAGGAGGTCGCTTAGTGCTTCTGCGTCGAGCATTTTGATATCTGGGAGGCCTGGGATCATTGTGGGTGGTTGTGTTGAGATAGGGATTTGGTGTTGGTCCTCTCTGAGGCAAGGTTGCCTGTATTCGTGCGGGGGTGTCCAGGAACAGTCTTCTGGGAAGAAGAAGCAGTTGTCGCGGTAGTCTTCGTCCTCGTGGTCGTATTCGATCGGCTCCGGGGAGTAGTCTAGTAGGTTTTGGGCGCACTTTGTCTCGTATCGGGCCCAGTAGGGTAGGAATGCTGGCTCGAGAGACTCTTGTGAGGTGTGGGAGGAGGAGAGCGTGGTCGAGGAGGTTTCGGATACGGAGTAATAGTCTAGGACTGGAGGTTCGCATTCAGCCATCTTCAAACCCATGGATAGGACTCTCGCGTATAGAGATGGGATTTGGATTTAGGTGCCCCTCCACAGGAAGATCAATGGACGGAGAACACGAGGGCAGGAGGCAGCGATCTCATATCGGAGATTTAGGCAGATGACAGGGGAGGGGAAGCACGAAGCGGTTCGGAACACCGTTGATTCAATGCGCGGGCTTGCTGGTCCAAATAGCAAGTCACGATAATTTCAAATCTGGCCGGGTGGTACCATATCGGTAATCAGAGAATCGAGGGCTTTATGAGGTCCCAGGATCATGAGATGTGGGAGGCTCCGCAGAAGGCAGCAGGCCGGAGGGGAAACGTGTACATTGGCCAAGTTGTCATTGGTAGAGGGGAAGTGATTGGCAGCTGAGTGCTAAGCGCGGCAGCATAACAAAGTTCCAAGTCAGAGGGAGAAGAGGCCAAAGACCGTGATTCCGAGCATGCGACACGACGCCGTAGCGACCGAAGCCAATCGCAGGGAGAGGATCAACCGAGGGCGGGGACAAGAGTGTGGAGGAGATGCAGGAGATGTACAGGGAGTCAAAAACAGTGGCCACCAACCTTGAGAATTCAATTGAAGGAAGTGTTGCAGTGCAGTGTGAAGGTGAAGTGTGAAGATGCCCGACGATAAAGTGTCCGTTGATCTTTGCGGAGAACATGACGTTGATCTCCGGCTTCACCTCGACTTCTGCAAATTGATCACTACCACTTTTTTCCCTGTCAGGCAATTCGTGCATCTCCCTTGCACTTGAGATCGATGCCCAAATTCAACACGCATTGTGTATGGCTAATTCCTACACTCGCTACTCGTGGACAAGTATTCACACTCCACCGGGCATTGCTAGGCTGCGAAGACCCGATACGAGTATGGGAGCATCGAGATGAGATTGGCCGATATGCCTCTCTCGCTCCGTACGCTGTACTCCATGCAAACAGAGGGATCTGAAGCTCCAGTCAAGATTCAATGAATCTTCATCCGTCATAGCCCCACACCCCTCACGGCTGACAAAAGCTCTTTTCTTCCCCTCCACACGCCACCCTCCATGTTTGCACGTCTATCTCCTGGGGTCCTCAAGCAAAGATTCTTTGTACCAATCAGTCTGTCTCCCTGCAATGGCTTTATAATGACCCTGGCCAATCACTGACCTTCCGAAAGGATTTCTAGCAACCATGGCGACCGATACCTCCACCTATAAGCTCAACCGTTAGTACCCTACCACTAGGGGCTGAGAATAATTTGTTCACATGCACAGACACGATGATGCGGGTCAAGGACCCAAAGCAATCGGTGGACTTCTATAAGTTCCTGGGCTTGAGCTTGGTCAACACAATTGACATGCCCGAATGGAAGTTCTGCAACTACTTCCTGGCCTATGACGGCCCGGCCTCCTTGCAGGGTGATCGTCACTGGACCGATCGCAACGCTGTCCTGGAACTCACCCACAACTACGGCACCGAGAATGACCCGAACTACAGCGTGGTGAACGGCAACACCGAGCCCCACCGTGGCTTCGGTCACATCGCCATCTCTGTCGATAACATCGAGGCGGCATGCAAGCGCATTGAAGACGCTGGATATCCCTTCCAGAAGAAACTGACCGAAGGTCGCATGCGTCACATCGCCTTCGCCAAGGACCCCGATGGATACTGGGTTGAGATTATCCGCCGTGCTGACGCGGACCTGGGCACCACTACCGACCCTGGCAGCTATCGCCTGAACCACACCATGCTGCGTGTCAAGGATGCCGAGGCCAGCTTGAAGTTCTACCAGGAGTCCATGGGTATGACTCTGGTCCGCACCATCGAAAACCCGGACAACCAATTCAACTTGTATTTCCTGGGATATCCCGCTTCAAACCCGGAGATCAAGGAAGGTTCCAAGAACAGTGTGGCAGAATGGGAGGGCTTGCTGGAGCTGACCTGGAACTATGGCACCGAGAAGCAAGAAGGACCTGTCTACCACAACGGTAACACCGAACCCCAAGGTTTCGGTCACATCTGTAAGTCCTGATCACGCGCCTTTGTGTTCCCCATTTCCTAATTGGACCAGGTATCTCTACCGACGACCTTGAGGCTGCGTGCGACCGATTCGAGTCCCTCAACGTGCCCTTCAAGAAGCGCCTGACCGACGGACGGATGCACAACATTGCCTTCATTTTGGACCCGGATGGATATTGGGTTGAGGTTGTACAGAACGAGAAGCTCAAGCGGACGTCGAACTGGTAGCCATAGTCAGTAATATACATATGTACTGCAGTGATAATAGTACATAGCCGCAATCACTTGACCCGAGTTTTGCTTATCCCCCACCTTTTTCATAGGTCGCCGCTGTGGACCCTCTTTCTCCCCGCAGAACGTTCTCATGACTTGGTCTCCTTCTCTCTTTTTTTCTTCTCTCTGTCTCTCTCTCTTTCAGGACAAAGCTTGAGTGATGAATTAATTCCTCCATTTGCGCAATTGCGGGGGTTCCCTTCGCATCTCGTAATTCGCCATGTCACCTGACGAGAAAATGAAAAAGGCACCGCGCAAGCATGTTACAACTGCCTGTGTGCCATGTCGAGAGAGCAAGATCAGGGTATGCGCGAGAATATTCATAACTGGGGAAATTGGCGAAATTGGCGAAATTGGGGGCAGAACACTAACGCGGATTACTAGTGCGACGGAGCTACTCCGAATTGCCAGAATTGCCAGCGCAAAGGCAAAGAATGCAAATACCAACATGGCGATGATAAGCGCAAGTGAGTCTTCCTTTCGCGATGAAATTGGGTGGCAAAGTGGCAACGTGGTAGCGATTTCAACGATCAAAAGCTAATCTATCAACCAGGGTGTCACTCAGAGCAGCAACCGAGCTGTTCTCAGCCAGAATTGACCAGCTATGTCACTTCATCAAGGAACAGGGGCTAGAGCCCCCGTCAATGCAGCCAGAGGATGAAGCGGGCATGAACAGGGTCTTGGATACTCTCCAGATTCCGCGTGGCTTTAATAAAGCTACAGCAGGCGAGGAGAAGCAGCCATCGGCTGAGCCATCGGCTGAGCCCACAGCCCCCGTTGCTTCGGGCCAATCTCCATCTCAGAGTCCAGCTGCCATCAGTCCCAAAGGGCCGGTTCCAGCGACCGACCTGATTGCATCGGGGGCCTCTCCGGCCCAGGATACTGCCTCTAGCGGACAATTCCCCTCGCCGGAGGGATGGAACCCATTTGGAATGGTTCGGGGGGCGACCGACAATCAGAACTTTGTTCATTGGGGCTTCACGTTGCCAACAGCCGAAAGTTTGGACACTATCTATGCCAACCTTAATGGTGGCCCAGGAGGCCCTGGAGCACCTGCCATGGCCGGCATGCCTGTGAACACGGATCTCAGCCCAGACAGCTACCAATTGGGGTTGGACATGGCGCAACAACCAGGTGTCTTAATGAGCGGCCTCCCGCACACGGGAGAGCATGATTCAGATAGTGGGGAAGAAGACGAGGCAGAAAACGACGTGATTGAGCAATTGTCTCACCGAATTGGCACTTTGAAGATTGCGGGTGATGGTCATTTGCGATTCTATGGCGCAACTTCCAATCTGAACTTGGTTGATGTCTCCGCCACGCAGCAACGGCAGCGACCTGATGCGCGAACGGTGCGACACGATGGTCAGGATATTCTGAACCATCTTCGTGTTGGGCAGCCGGTTGATCAGGCTCTCGAGGATCATCTCGTGGAGCTTTATTTCACCTGGCAAAACCCAAGCACATACATTGTTGACAAGGACATGTTCATGACGGCACGGTCTAAATGGCGCAATGAATTTGACGACACGGCCTTTTACTCAGAAGTTCTCACCAATGCAATGTAAGTCCTCATTATTACCGGTCTTTTGGCGAAAACGACCGGGTTGCTGACTTCTTGAAGGTGTGCAATTGGAAGTGCGTTTGAAGCACGCTATCATCCTACTTTCATAACGTTCCCCAAGTCTCTTGCCGAATTCTTCGCAGATCGCGCCAAGGCTCTTCTAGAGATCGAACTCGACTCCCCTTGCGTGGCTACTGTCCAGGCCCTGGTGATCATGAGTTGCCATGAAGGCGCATCAAATCGCGATGCGCGGGGCTGGCTGTACAGCGGTAAGGACATCCTCCGCAGAAATATTATTGGCGATTTTTGTCTAATCACAGTATAGGAATGTCGATGCGGCTTGCCTTCGATCTTGGTTTGCATTTGGATATGACGACTTACGTCAACAGAGGCGATATCACCCAAGCCGAGGCTGATGTGCGACGTGCAGCGTTTTGGGGAAGTTATGTTGCAGACCAGTGAGTTTAACCCTTTTTATACCGAGATTGTAGCTAACATAGTCAGTTTCTGGGGCTTTTATCTGGGGCGTCCTTTCCGAATGAACGCTGGAGATGTCAGCGTGCAGAAGCCTGCCTCTTCTCTTGGTCCAGAAAAGGAAGAAAATTGGCATCCTTATGGACATCAAGCTTCTCAAGCCCTTCTTCAGAACGGATTGAAGAATCCCACTGAGCTAATTTGCAGACAGTTTGTCGTTCTCTGGGAGATGATCTCCCCTGTTGGCCATATTTTGTAGGTGCTTTTCACACCAATCCCAACGTTTCTTACTGACATAGCATCTTCAGGTATGGATGCTCTGATATCTCACGGCATGACTTGCAGAGAATCACCTACCAAGTGACCGAGGATCTATTTGCCTGGAAAGCCAATCTCCCATCAAGTCTTCAAATCAATTTAGACGACGATACCATCCCCATATTACCACACTTGATGATGTTACAGTGAGTCTGTCTAATAAGAGAATAGAAACGTCACATCCTAACAATGATCAAGCATGCAATACCACCAAATCATAATCTTCTTCCACCGCCCATGGCTCTCTAAAAGCTACATTCAACCCCGGGCCCCTCGTCAAGGTCCCGGGTATCATCACGCGCGGCGCATGTGTGTCGAATCAGCCACCGCCGTCGCACGCCTTCTCCACCTCTATGAAAAACACTACACCTTCCGCCGCATGAACAACCAAGTGGTAGCAATCATCTTCAGCGCCGCCCTCATGCTTCTATTCGTCACCGTATCAAGTTCCCCAATGAGTCCCGGCAAACAAGGCGACAGCCCAACCTACCCTCGCAGCGCAGAAATGGTAGCATACCTCAACCTCTGCTTCCGTGCCCTCGACGAGCTAGGCCAATCCTTCGAAAATGCCAAGCGCACCCGCGACTACCTGGTCACCCTACAGCGACGCTGGCAAGCCCACATGCGCCGCTCAGGCTCATCAAAACGCCAAATCAACGGTTCCAACTCGACTTCCATGTCGCAACAATCGTCCATCCAGCACGGGCGTGTAGTCAATATACAAGGGACAGACGTCTCTCGAAAGAAGTCTCGGCTATCTGTGTCTGAGATGCCACCTCACTTATCTTCTGCTGGACAGTCTGCACAACCATCCCATCTTGCAAACCAGCCTTTGCCGCAATATCAGCAACAACAACCTTACCAGCAACCGCCCTTCCCTGTGCCAGACTCGCAGCTGAGTAATCTTGACTGGATTCACAATGCAGATATGCGTCTTCTGTCCGAACAGCAAAATGTCCCTGTAAATGGAATGGGGCAAATTCCGTCTCCGCCATTCCCCGAGGACTCCAAAATGCTTGCTGATTTGGGGGATGTTGATTCTTGGTGGGATTCACCTAACGATGCCCCGGGTATGGGGGGATCTTTGTAAAAGTCGGAGCTATGGAGTGTGGATAGAATAGTCTTGGGTCACTCGATCTTTTGGGAATTTCTTGTTCATAGTTCTTAGGTGTTCGCGCTTTTTGAAAATAGATAATGAAGATCAACACAGGAACCACACATACCTCGGGTATACGCAGTACAGAGAGCGAAGTAATTAGAGATCAATTCCTTAAATGTCATATAAACAACAACCCTAGATTGGAAGGTTATCATGCTAATCCGAGTCATCCAAACTCCCTTGAAAGGCCTCATGAAGCCAATTCCCGGCCTCAGAATCACTGAAATCATCGACCTTCGACAAAGTAACCTTCCGCTCAGCAAAGCCTTTCTCCCGGCCCCAGAAGCACGCTCTTCGCATAACAGAGACCATTTCATCAGCCTGTCTAGCAAGAACTGTAGATCCAACACTGCCCTCTTTCGCCTTGACCACAGGTTTTCTCGACACCTCACCATCCACACCAGAACTATTTCCACTCCTAGCGAAGACCTTCACCCACGGCAAAGTAACCTCCAACCTTCCAATTCCCTCATCAGGCCCAGACCAATTATCCCCACTGAGTCCATAGTCCAGCCCATAAGGCGGCCACCGGGAAAGCGCCTTCCGGCGCCGCGTAGCCGTCGCCGCGAACTCATCCACATCTTCTCCATCCGCATCTGGATATTCATCCAGATCCCAGATAGACTCATCATCTGCGGCTTTAGCCTTCGATGGCGTCTCCCGGAGTACAGGGACCGGATACTCCGGTCCTGTCAGATACCGAGGGAAGGCGCGTGGCACATCCCGACCAGCAGAGCGGAGGAAAAGAATAGGCGATGCAAATGAATCAAAGCAGCGCTCGGGTGTTGCAAAGAAACGAGAGCGTGCTTCAAGTAGTGGGACTAGATCACTCGGTGCGGCCTTTCTTCTTTGGCGCTTTGTTTTCGGGGCGGGCGTACTGCCGTCGACATTATCGGGTATTTTGACAACAGCGCTATCTCGAGTACAATACTCGTCTAGAATTGGCCAGTCACAAACGGGATCAAGGGCGGCCACGGCTTTGATGGATCGGGCTTCTGTCAGAGCGAGCATGAGTGCTAGAGAGCCTCCGATGTGCGTGCCGAAGACTCCCAGTTTGGATGGGTTGAGGTTCTTGTGGATCCAGTCAAATCCGGCCAGAGTGTCGTGTACTGGGGTTGGGTATTTGTATGAGAGTGGTTGGGGGCTGGTTGAGTCTGCAGTTTGGTCTGAGAGTCCATCCGGCTCTTCTGGGATTTGGCTTGCTTCATCAGATGAATAGATTTTCTTCTTGGCTTCTCCTAGGCGATAGTTGACTGTAACTACCACGGCAGAAGTTGTTGATGCAAGAACATGCTGGGGCGATAGTCCCGTGGATGTCAATGGAGCAGCATGTCCATTTGCCTGGCCAAGAGTATCCGGCGATGAAGGATCATCCTTTTGTTCGATATTTGAGTCCAACTGGGGGAACAAAGGCCCAGGCGGAAGATACATGATTACATTCGGCCTTTCAAGACGCCCCTGGCTGGCGAGGTTCAACGCGCTTGGGCGCGTGATTCTGAATGAGTCAGTGTAATTCTTTAGTACAAATTAAGGCATAATAGGACGGTATTTACCGCAAGGATATAGCGCCATTGTTTCCAATTGGAAGAGAAACAGTCTCATCAGTGCAGTTGGATTGGTATGAAAATGTGGAGTGACTCGCGCGCTGGAAACACGCGACGGCAAGATGGTTTGCTCTGCTGCGATGAACGAGGGGGGCTATGCCGCGGGTGGAGCAGATAATAGCTCGCATAGCACCATTAGTGCTTGTACTTTGCAATTCGTGGGGTTTGATGGGACTTAAATGTCAGGGTGTTTCTTGCGAGGTTATCCGCAGGGTGATTGGCGCCTGAGAAATCAGGTTGTATATCAAGACAGACATCAACGCGCATTCTGCTACTATGCAGAATCTAGATAAATGTTCTCCTACTGTTATTGTATACAAAGCTTTATCCCTTGGTTTTTGGTCACGTCAACGGCACAATCAAATTCAATATATTCGCTACTCCGAACGCCTCAAAATACAAGTCATTGCGCCAGAAATATATGCTTCCCGGCATGCGTATGGCGAGAGATCTCAGGACGATGAGTTTCAATATTGCAACTGGCTACTCAAAGACGAGTATGAATCTCTTTGACGAGCGGTAGCAGATGCGGCAGGGTCATCCCGGTCGAGAGCAGCTTCTGGGCTTCCGTCCAACACTGGCCGCACAACCTGCAAGGTCAAAGTTGGATCTTTGGAGTAAACCCGCAATCCAACCACACAAACTGCATTCCACGGGTCGACCGAGAGCTCTTCTTCATCATCGGGAGGTCGGATCTTGATGTCAGAATCCTCCGGGGGCATGTCGACATCGCTGTCGAACTCAAATCCTTCCAGCAACTCCAAATCGCTGGGATCGAGAGTCTCGGTGGCAAGACGAGCGTCAAGACTGGGACGTGGAGACTCGGCACCACGTCTCCAGCTATTACTTGCATGTCTTGCGTGAAGTCCTTCTCCGCCATTGACATGGATCGTCGGTACAGAACCAGGTGTGTTCGGCATTCGACGGTCGCTGTTGTCGCTTGAGATACTTCCCACGTCAACGGGAGAATCCTGAACTGCTTTCTCTGCAAGAATCTGTCCGGGTACTCCACCACGCTCTGAGCTGTGATCAAAGGAGCCACTGCTTGGGGTGTGTGGTGTACCATTCCGGCGACAGGCGTCCATGCGCTCCCGTCGGGCAGACAGTTTCTGGTGACGAATCCACTCTTTCTGCATCATCGTCTTAGTCTTATCACGCAGTTTTTTTCGCTCTACTCTCTTGAGTAGGTCATTTTCGCGCTTCTCTTGGTCGGTTTCCCTGACCAGCCCCTTAGCATGTGCGAGGTCGTATGACAAGCCAACTTGGACTAGCTTCTCTCTCCTTGTCGAGGCGACTTGACGAACAATCTCTTCGGTTGACTGCACATCCGGATGGCGGAAAGCTGTGATCTTCATGAGGACATGGTAGTGACCAGGCTCGAGATTGATTTCGGCATTCACAGATCGACCCATGAAATGGCTGCTGTGGCTGCGCACCAGATAGTCTTCTTCACCCTCTTTCTGCAGGCGAAATTTGAGCACGAAACTGTATTCCCCAGCAAGGCCTTTGAAATAACGTGTATCAAGCTGTATCGATCAGTATTTGCGATATAAAAACAGATAGCAGTTCAGATTTGCAAAACGAACCTGTGAAAGGACAATTACTACTGGGCCACTTGAGGTCACATCCATCATAAACTTGGTGCTGTGGTAGTCTGCAGACCAAGGAACATTCAGCGTAGTCCATTGCTGTGCGATACTCCATTCAGGTCCAAATAGGCGAGTCCGGTCAAAGTGCTGGTACTTCCGAAGAAGATCTTTGTAGTTGATCCAGAAGAACTGCGACAATCAGTATGCTGTTCGGCTTAGTGTGGTGTAAATGCAACTCACGCCATCATTTCCAAATTTATGGCCTAGACGCTTCATCAACTCAGGCGTCCACTCCTTCGACCCATCACCCCAAGCACCATGCCATTCTTTGCGGCCCCATGGATTTCTGATGATGATAAGTACATATTCTCTGGGTTCAGCGAGAGCAAAGCCACTTACCTTAGCCTCAGAAGCCGATGGCCATCAATTTCCCGAGCTTCCATGATGGAATATGAATGTTGCTCTGATATACCTTTCCGATCTCTTGGGGGCCCACGGTACTGAGGATCCAACCAGTTGGAAAACAGACCAGTACCACAACCGAATAAGAACTCTTCATTCACTTTCATGAGCTCCTCGGTCCAAAAGCGATCTTTGTTCAGAATGTTGCCTGATAAAACCTCCGAGGTAACACCGCCAGTGAGATCCTCGATGGCTTCGCCAACGAAGCCGCCCTCAATAGCAGAGTAATCACCGTGCGCTTTGGCAAAGGCTTTCTCTAGAAGAGGGAGCCATGTCTCGTTATCATCCACGCACTGTGCGAAGTACAGCGCCCGCGAGCCTGTCTGCCAAACTCGTCGGTACTCTTCTTCCGTATCGGTTCGATTGATGTCGTCCCAGAGTGGTCTTTCATCCACTGATTCATCATAGTCTGCAGCGCGAAGATATAGTTTATCATCAACGATGCACTGCTGCCATTCGCCGTCTGATAGAAGTGTTAAACAAGCACTTTCTTCCAAAAAGTACATTATGTGCCGCTTACCTCGGTGGAAAACAAATCCATAAATTCCCACGTCTTCATTGCGAGCAACACAAATGTTCCTAATCAGAACCTCTTTATTGCCCATCGTACACAATGCAGCCATGAGCCAGCAATCGCCATCATACCCTTGGCGCACGTCCGATGCCGTGGGACCATTGACGAAGAATTCCGGCTTCTCAAAGATCTCCTGCACACACATCAGCCAATATTCACCATCAACTCAGACCAGGATACACCCACCGTAACCCGCTTCACGCCGCGGGGCCTCATCTCCGAATTCGGCTTATCCAATCCATCGAGATAGTGTCTGCGACCCGACTTCAAGTCGAGTTCAATATCAAAATGCGGATCGGTGTATTTCTGATTAACACGCTCGCACTCCTTCACGATGCGATCAACAGATTTCTCACATTCTCGGCGCGCCTGCTCGTAAGACTTAGCGGCCTCGTGTCCGTGAATGCGGCCACTGGGTACACGCTTGGCCCGCGTCCGTGCGTATGGATTATCCGGCAGGACTGTGTATACTTTGCCAGGATGTTTGGTGTTGAACTGTTCCCAGAACTGCTTGACTGACTCCTGGGGATGTTGGAGGCGTGCCCGGTTTGGTGGTCGGCTGTTGGACCGGGATGAACCTGGTCCAGCTACAGCGAAGCCCATTTCGTCGTCGAACTCCATTGTAGAGTCTTAGAATGTGACTTTTGAATACAGCGCTGTCCCTCGCTTTATGTTTTTTGGAGAAAGCGCGGAGGGGTAGTTGGGCTATTATTTGAATCGCACTAGCTGGTGCAAAGACGACGATCGTTCAAAATAGAACAGATGGGGAATCGTGTCCGTATAAGAATGGAAGTTGAAGGCCATTCTCCAATTTTCCCCTCTCTTCACACGGCCACGCCGACCCGGAAACAGAGTCTCAGCTGTCAGATTTTCACACTGATTGGCTTTTCGTATTCTGCCCCCATAGAGGCGTTCATTATAAGGCTGCATGGTGCATTGCACTAGATCTGGAATGGGCAAATGAGGAGGTTTAGCGCAAAGAGCGCTTCTGGCCCCCAATTAACCCGCTTGTCAGCCCCCCTCAACGGCCCCCATGGGAATTGTCTTCTGCAGCTGCGCCATCATCCTAGGCCTAGAATAGATTAAGCTAGCCCTGCAAGTAAGCAAATGCCGAATGGCAGAATCAAGGAATACCTATGCGTCAAATCTTAATATCTTAGGCTTTGTGGGGCGCAGTTCAGCTCTGACGGCAGGCTTGGGTTTCATCGGCGATTCATAAGTTTCATTATCATTGTGGGCTGGAGGCTGAATGATACCGTCACATCATCATACTAACACAGCTAGCAGAAGCTAGAAAGGGGTATGTACGCCTGTTATTCATGACTAAAGCACTTCGTATCCAGTAAGCCCATCGTGTCACTCCCCGTGAACGCCGTACAGATAAAACACATTTTCAAAGCATGTCCCAGTGAATAAGATTACACAGAAGTGGACCTGTCACTTTACTAGAAGCCGTTGCTTGGGACGCGGCCGGAGTAGTATGCGGTGCCGTTGTGGAAATATGGGTGAGCGCAGGCCTGTTTGGCGGAGAGTCGGTGTGCAGGATCGTACTCGAGGAGTGACTCCAAGAGCTGACATCCGGCGTCTTCCAGGCCGGGAACGATCTCGACATTGGGGCGCTTCCACCTGGGGAATGTGGCCTTGTAATCCGGGAATGAGGTCACACCGGGCCAGATCTCCTCGTCGGGGGTACCAAGGACGCTATCAATTGTTAGGAGTGAAGATGGGACCATCGCAATCACACTTACCGGAAAATTTTGAAGATCTCGTCGATCTCAGAGTCACCGGGGAACAGAGGCTTGCGAGTGCACATTTCGGCGAAGATAGCACCCACAGACCACATATCAACACCAGTAGAGTACTGGCGTCCACCAAGCAGAATCTCCGGGGAGCGGTACCAAAGAGTGACGACCTGATCATATGTTAGCAAAGTCCTCTAACAGTTTATACTCGATAAATACCTCATGTGTGTATGTACGAAGAGGAACACCGAAAGCTCGAGCCAGACCGAAATCGGCCAATTTGAGGTTGCCATCACGGTCAATCAGGAGATTTTGGGGCTTCAGATCACGATGAAGAATGCGGTGGCTATGGCAGTATCGAATACCTTCGACAAGTTGGGCCATGAACTTCTTGACCATAGCATCACCGAGACCAAGGGTAGCACCGGCCTTGAAACCGTCGGGCAAAGGCTTGCCACGTCCACCGTCACTGACGGGCAGAGCCTCCATGTACTTCTTGAGATCGAGATCGAGGAACTCAAAGACGAGGTATAGTTTGTGGCCGTCGGCGTGAACAATGTTCAGCAATTGGACAATGTTGGGGTCCTGCATTTCTTTGAGGAGGGAGATCTCGCGGATGGCGGTACTGGGGACGCCTTCATCTTCGGCCTCCAGACGAATCTTCTTTAGGGCAACGATTCGGTTAGGGTGGGTGAGCTCTTTGGCCTTGTAGACCACACCGTAGGTACCTAGTAAACATTGACGCGTTAGTCGACCTGCGGAGCACAACAGTAAACAAACATGACGAGACTACTTACCTTCACCAATCTTCTCAATCTTCTGGTAGTTATCCATGGTGACTGAAGTCTGAGCCCTAATATGGATCAGATAAGAAACCGAGAAAATATTTGGAGTGGAAATGCAGATCGAAGGAATGGAAGATTTTGTATAGGATGCAAGGAGACACCTGAGGTTACTTACTCCGATACAGATCTCTGAGCACGGCTCGAACAACAAACTCTCCAAATTGCACCCAGAAATCAAAGAATGAGTCTTGAAAAGACGGCGAAAAGACTGAATATGGTGGGGGACGGAAATTACTGTCTGTCAACAAACACCCCGCGTCGACGCCCGGGCGGTGAGACAGGAACCACTTCCGGTCCGCGACGAGCTCACCACTTACTCTCAAATGTCATGGCTCAAATCAAAGGATTGAGCGCGTATGATCGCCCTCCTGATGCCGTCAGAAACCGCTATAAAGAATACTCTAAGATTGCCCTGTCAGACGTCGACAATGACCCGGGCATCCTCGACCTGCAACGACTCGATCGTGACCAACTACCGCATGGAGTGACCGTGACGCAGTCCTTGTCAAGCCAAGACTTGCGGCTGGCATTTGATGATTTCATTAGTGGGGGACATTCTACTGCAGACGAGCATGCCCCCCTTGCCGAAGATATACCGGTCTATGCTCACAACTCAATATCCGGTTAGCAATTATATTGCCCAAGTTAGAACTGACCCCCACAGGACCAGCTGTTCCTGACCAACTGCCAGGTCTCCTAATGATACCTGCATTGTTTCCACCCACGGTCCAGATTGAATTGCTCTCACGCCTGTTCCACCGAGATCTGCCCCGCCCCGAGCACCAGACAAACCTACACTTACACTACGATGTAACATATCCCGAAGAAGCAGAGGACACACAGCAGCCGAAGTCGTTCTTTGAAGATGATCCAACTCGAACCTTCCAGCCCAAGAATCCCCAGGTGCATAAACCGGTCTCTGTTCAAAATCTCTTGGAGAAGAAACTACGCTGGGTCACACTAGGAGGGCAGTACGATTGGACAGCCAAAGAATATCCATCTGGGCCTGCGCCTGAATTTCCCCCGGATATTGCAAAACTACTTCATGCGGCGTTCCCTGAAACCACCGCAGAGGCTGCCATATTGAATCTTTACTCCGCCGGCGATACGCTGAGCGTGCATCGCGACGTGAGTGAAGACTGCGATGTTGGTTTAATCAGCGTGAGCTTTGGCTGCGACGGGCTGTTCTTGGTCAGCCATGACGATGGGAATGGGTGCGAAATCATCCGTCTTCGTTCAGGTGATACGGTATACATGAATGGTGCATCTCGCTTCGCCTGGCATGGAGTTCCCAAAATCCTGCCTTCGACCTGTCCGGCTTGGCTGGCTGACTGGCCTTCTTCTGGGGAGGAATCGGTCCCTGGCATGCCATTGGACTCGTACGAAATGTGGAAGGGATGGTTATCCCAGAAGAGAATCAATCTTAATGTTAGACAGATGGCGGGATCGAAGTCCGTCGAGGCTAGCAAAGAGACTGCCTGACCGCAACGCCACAGATTATATTTACGCCTGGGCCCTGGAGATAACTTGCTCAGGAGGCGGTATCTGAGGCTTAAGTATCAGTGGAATATAGTGTTGCTCCAGGGCTCGCATGCCTGTGCCGCCACTCTCGCTTCCAGCTTCTTCTCCCGGAGGCCATGGGTCTCCGGTCTTCCTCTTGGTGGATATTAGACGGCTTTCTCTCGCTATCTTCCCCGTGCTTCTGTTTTTTAGGTTCCATCTTAGCATAGAATCCGATTGTTTCAATCTTCGCCCTTTCGGTTAACCTGTTCAAACCCAAGAGTCGCAGTAAATTCATATCACAATGAAGTCATAACGTGCTAGATTCCCAAGCCATATGCTACCTAGAGCGAGGGAACGACCCGCTAGGCGCTGTGGTCTTGGAATATCTCCAAAAGCTCAAGGATGCTGTCGCTACTCCGTTTCATTTGCCCTTCTTTTTTCTAAACTCCAGGCACTAAGTGTCGATATTCGGTCTGTTGATACCACGTGCCTCCCAAATACGGGCATCCCCCCGGTTTTATTATAGAGGCCGAGTCAAAAAAACAAAGAACTGCCAAGGTGTCACCTTACCATTTCTGAAAGGCAACTTGAGCCCCAATCAGGCATTGAGGGTCGTCACTCCTGAGCCAGAGGGGCGAGTACTTAAGTAATTGGGAAATTCACTGATGGCACCAATGGCTGGAATGTTATCATTGAACAATGAGCGAATTACAACGAGCTGCCGGGCAGAATGACGGCCAATTACTTGCTCCACATGTAGCGATGGGAATCCGATTTTGAGCCGTGGATTCCTCTTCGGTCATGGGTTAGGGCAAAATCCAAATGTACTCAAGGATGTTGATGCGGGAAGCGGCAGTGGGAAAGCCCCAGAGGCTTCTGTACATTGGGTTTGTCCATTTCATAACTCAGCTCACTTCTGGGAATTTCTAAATTGTGTCAGCTTACTTGTGTCAAGTCTACCTGTAGATCATTGTAGTTACAGTTTGTGTCGTTGCAACTGGGCAATTCCGTATGCCACCATGCCAAATGGAGAGTGGCCCATATAAGACTCCATGTTGCATTAGTTGTGAGACTTCAGGAATTAGGTCGCATCCCATACACGGAAGACCAGTGGGTATGTCTGAGATGCTCAAGTGTGGGCAATGGTATAGATGTGCTGATGATATTGAATCCCCGTGAAAGTGGGAGGCCAGTCTGTGAGGTTCAATGTTTGCTTGTTACCTTGTGCTTCTCCAGTTCTTTTCCTATTTCTAATTGAATATCTACAATACATTTGATATACTCGATTAATCATCAAGCCCATGATCAGCCTTCGATTTCCGATCCAAGTCACCACTTTAGATGCACCCACTTAGACACGGGTAGATACGCTGGGCCTTCACATAGCGAATAGATTCGCACGTAGTTACATTGCCGACACTAAGATTGGTTGGTCTTACATAGTCGCATTGAGGCCGTTACACACCATTATATGTCCCAGAGACCTCGGGAGGAGACTGGCTTACATTCTTGTCATGTGTAGCCAGAATGATTCCCGGTCAAGCTGAGGAGAGAAAGCTCTGTGCTCTAATGGCTTGGCTGATTACTATTCTCGAATTCCGAGTGGCGAATTGTGTAGTGAGAGGTGAAGGGTGTAAATTGTAGTGAAAGTACGTTGGCCCGGAGAAACTCGTAGAGTCTTGGCACTCATTCCCGCTAACCTGCCAACTCCATCTGCTCTTGAGTACAGAACTTGGACGAATTCATTGCTATGCTCTGATCTGCCAACCCCACTTTTGTGCCGTCTTGATTCCTTCTGAAAATGAAGGAGGAATCCACCCGAGACACGCCTGAAGGCTCAACGGCTGAAGACCCTGGCTCCAAGGCCAACCTCGCCGCAAAAGATCGCAAATGCCAGTACTGCCAGCAAGCATTCACCTCCTCATCTTTGGGTCGCCACCTCGATCAATTCTTGTTCAAAAAGAAACCCGACGGCGTTCACGATGTGGAAGAGATTCGGCGACTTCGGAGTGGGATCACGAGGCGGCAGGCCAGGACATCTGCGGGAAGGACGGACGCGAGCCCTGACCGAAGCCAGAGAAAGAGCTCTGTAGATCCATCCACGACCGTCGAACCCAGTGCGAAGTCGCGCGACGCTCCAGTGCGCATGATGTTCAACACCCCCACTTGGCATGCGACTGGGGTGATCAATGATATCCCGAACCCGAGTCGCGTGCCGGATGGACCACGCATCACTCCTTCGCAGTCTCGCAACGTCTCGCTCCAGCTGCCAGATTATGCGAGTCGAGGAGGGAGTGCCAGCAGCCCGGATACCATGCGAGCGCTGGAGCTGGCCTTGCGTGAAGTGCTTGATAACATTAAAGCAGCAACGTACGTTGGACCAAACCCTGTCACTCATCTCCACCCCGGCTCACTGAATTTTAGTGTCCGCTCACCACCTCGGTTGACCCCATTCGACTTCGAAATCCAATCGCAGACCTTCCCTTCCCTATGCTTGCGCCTGCTACCTCCTCCGCCGAGCCTGTTTGCAACCAATCCGTTTCCCTCCTCATCCTCGTTCCCACTTCAACCACCGGGTGCCGACTATGTTGATACAGTCCGACAAGCGCTGCGGTCCCAAGTTGCGCAATGGCACACAGATCAGCTTGCAGCAGATCCAGCTGTTGCACTCCACGCTAGACATGGAAGTAACGGAGTGGACACGGGCATGCTATACCGCAGCATGCAACAGCATGAAGATATCAGTCTGCGACACCTAGAATTAGCCTTCAATCACTGGAACTCGCTCTCGCATGAGGTTCGTCGCGACGCGTGGCAGCTGGAAATCATGCGCGCGTTTGCACGGGAATCCGAGAAACGCAAATCAGTGGATGACCAGCTTGCCCGTGTACAGCAAGAAGCAAACCAACTCCGTGCACAGGTTGAGCGCCTCGGTTCATGCCAGTGGCCTCGCGAGTTTGCTCTCTTCCCACCCGACACACTACCCCTGCCGCGGCAGGTTACGCGCGAATTGGACGCGCAGGATAGTAGCAACATCGGTCCTAACTCATCTCGGTGGGACTATGATAATGTCGTCGCCAAGTGGAAGCGGGTTGTCATGCACGACAAGGGCATGGGCCGCATTGGGGTTGGTTATGGGGGACATGGGGAAGATCATAACCTTCAGCAAAGCCCTGATATTCGGCCACCACGCCCCGGCGAAGATACTACTTCCCACCCGAACCGCCTGCGGCCTTTGCAGTCTACAGCAACCAGGAGTCCTGATGTAGGTGCTGCATCTACTCCTGCGTCATCGACCCATTACGCCTCGCCCCACTCTTATGCAGATCCTCGCAGCCCATCTGGCGCCTTGCCCCCAGTAAGTGGGCTGCCGCCAGCCAAGCGGCCGCGGTTGATGAACGGCTCAGAAGATCATCCTGAGACCGGACCTTCTCCTCATCCCGCCAGCAAACCATGGACATCGTCGACTCCCCACCTGTCCAACATCGCTGCCCCCTCGGGACAGACCCCTCCAACTCGACCTTAGGGGTTCACGGAATGTAATTTTAGAACCAGCATTTTGTTAAAAGGCGTCCGCACGATATCCAGCTCTATGTTATTGAATCCACCCTGCTTTGCTCTTAATGGACAGAACCCTATCTTATTTATTATTTACTCCAGACCAGAGCCGGAGTACTTGGCTGCTGAATACAGAGAAATTCCATGCAAGCTCATGTTTCCTGGGCTGTTCTCCATTAGATCAATTTGCACTTTGGGCAATCTCCGCCCCCAAATATTCCGCCAGAGTTAGTATCTTCTCTTCATGGAACCTCCTGCCTACTAGTTGAACCCCCACCGGGGCACCATCGTATGTCTCAGCATCATCTAACCACCAGTTAGCCCGAGTGTCCAATAAAACTCGAAATTCACAACAGGCAAACTTACAGTCCCACTGGATATGCTCACAATCATCAGCCGCATTCGCAGAGCGCACGTCGACGTTCTTATCCGCCAGAGTAACCGGAATCGAGATACTTGTATAGTCGAGCACGTTCACAAATGCGCTATATCCCACATAACCAAATTCCGTCGGTTTGACAGCCGCGTGGGGTGCCACTGGACAAAACAAAGCGTCGACAGGACGACCAGTACCTGTCAGCGCGGCCGTGCTATTCCAGTAATCCATATACTGTTTCTGATACTCGCGCTTGGCGACGTTGATCGCAGCAACCTCAATTGCTCTCAACTCTGTGCCATCCTGAGAGATTATCACTTGAACGGGCTGATTTTCGCCACTCAGGGTGAAATGGTGCTTGATATCTGCCCCGCCATCCATCTTGAATATCTTGGCCATTAAATCCAGGGCCGTGGAGTGGGATGGTGGATTCCATTCGATGACAGTATGCCCGAGACGTTGGAGGGTTTGTTCGACAATCTTCAACCCGCGGGCAATCGGGGGGTGAATGAGACTTGTCCCATCATATTTCATTAGACCGAACGCCAGCCTCGAACCTCCATTGCTGGGGCCCTTGATCAACGCCTTCGTGCGTTCGACAATCTCATCCCGCCACGGCAGCTCGAATGCAAGCGGGTCATGAAGCCAAGGCTCCTGCGTTAAGACAGCTTGAAACAACAACTTCAATGATCTGACCGTCAGCGCAATAGGTCCTATCGCTGAAAGGATAGTATTCTGACCATCCAGCGAGTTTGCCGCCCTCTCGTAGGGTATTCTACCCGCCGAAGGCCGCAGACCATAAAGACCATTGAAAGAAGCAGGAATGCGCACACTGCCACCAATATCAGTACCAAAGCCAGCAGGCGATCCACGCAGGGCAATCAAGGCACCTTCGCCACCTGAACTGCCACCAGATGAAAGGTGTCTGTTCTTCGGATTCCAGGTGTAGCCGATGATATTGTTGACGGTCTCGCCGGTCATCAGGGTGCTGGGTACACTGGTCTTGCAGTAGAGGATTGCGCCCAGGGCGCGCAGCTCGCGAACGAGTTCACTTTCCTCGGTCTTGTAACGGGGATCGTTTTGGAGACCTTGGAAAGTGTTGATCCACCCCACGTATCCCATGGTTGTCTCGATTCCTTTGATGTGGAATTGATCTTTGAGACTGACTGGGAGGCCGTGAAGTGGACCAATTGGAGCTTTGTGCTCTGCGAAATATGCATCTTGTGCTTTGGCATCTTCGATGGCCGCGTCAAAGAATGTCTCATGGAGACAGCTCACCTGTGATGATGAGTTAGGCTGTAATTGCTACAGGTGGAATAGTATGCTTTAGCTCGGAAACATTTTCCGGACGTACAAGTTGATGGGCGAGCGCGGCTCGGTGGCAGAAGGCTTCTGTCACTTCGACAGCAGACCAGCTTCCTGTGGCTGTATGCGCTGTGATATCAACAGCATCGGTCTCTGTAATCTCGATCTCGCGGGAGGTCAAAAATTGCTGAATATAACTTCCAGTGACATCCCGCAACTCTGTAGCTGGAGGGATGGGATCCACGATTCGCCATTTTTCAGGGATGGTGTTCAGAATCGACAGGCGCTTGGCTTCGCCTCGGTCACGCCAGTTTTCCGTCATTTTAAATGGTAGTTAGCTTGGATGTTGAGGTGTAGAAAGTAGAACTCAGGGATGTTATCTGCGGGGTTTATACTAGTAAGGTTTGCACCGTTTGCTGCCTTGACTAGCCGATCCGATATCGTATCGAAAGTACATACTGCTTTTAGTTGATCTATAGATTGTTTTGACTCAGGAAACACTTTAGAAAATGATCCATGTTGATATGCATTGCATGATAAAGTACTGCATTCATTGACGTACTCGATCCATGGATGTTATTCCCCCAGAATCCCGAACTGATAGTCGGGATCCCTATACGTCCTATTGATTATCAGGAATTAATGGTAATCGTCCACTCGAATTACCTAATGATTCAACCCACACTATGCCTACAAATATAGGCAATCTATAGCGCGGATGATTTGCACCCACGTGTACACTTCGGGCACTTTGGATGCGGGGACGGCAGGCCGCATGGCCCCGCAGCGCCCGAAACTTGGACCGGAGTCGAGTGCATTGTGTCAATTTCCCCGAAGTATCAATCCCCAAATCAGATCATTCAGTCTTCCTCAAGCGTTTTCCTAGCCACATGATATAATCCAACCCGCCCTGATTTGCATGAAATTCAACCAGAGAGTAGTCAACACTTGAGATATGGAACATTCCCCGTTTTGCTTCGTCGTCCAGTGACAAAGATCATTCAAAAATATCATCTTGCAAATGTCTCAGCTCGTACTGCTGGGACCTTTTGCTTTGAAAAAGCATTTCGAGTGTGTTGTTGTTGGAGCCAAGTTGAATTTTCTAGAACAAAGTTGTTTCGGTCATTTGTATAGCGCCCAGTATATTCGTCGGAAGAGAATGTCTGGGTTCCTTCGCGACGCATTGATGCTATCTCCGCTGCTTGGTCCTCGTACTGCTTGATAAATCATCTAGTAGAGTCTTCGGTGAACACAACAAAACCAATAGGATCCGGAAAATCGAAGAGGGCCTGTGTGAGAGGCTGTGAGATGGTGTCTGGAGAATCCGTCAATGCATCTTGTATGCTTTGAATGCAAAAATGGGAGCAAACCAAGCCAGGAACTCGTGTCAATCTCAAACAGCGCGTAGCCCCGGCACATATGTTGAGATGTTCCATCTCAGGGTTCAGACTCGGCGTCTGTAGGACAGTTCAATGGGGAATATCAAAGTGACCTTGGAACTACCTGACAGTCCAGGGCTAACAACCTGCCTTGAATTTGGAATCAAAATCTCGTAATGTAGAGAACCAAGCCCTTAGACCTCAGCTAATCTATGGATTCATCTTACTTGAGTTGCCATTTCCCGAGGCAAAAGTGATGCGGAGGACAAATCGACCATAGCTCACAATTAGATCTACTTAAGTGCAATCTGAGGATCCTCTGTAAAAAATACTTAAAGCTACGTTCCTTCCTTCGGCTTCTTCTTTTCTTCTCTTCTCTCTCACCTTCTCATTCCTCCCAGCCCTCCCCAAGTTTTCACCTTTCTCAATCCCTCAACTCAGCAACCACAACGATGACTCCGGAAAACCCCACCGGACGTGCAAGGCGACGAGCCAAACGCCGCGCCAAAAAGGCTTTGAATGAAACCGTGTCTGACAAGGTATGCCAGAGAATTCACCTTTTCCGTTTTTCTTTGCCATAAGTTTCATCAAACCATGTCACACTTGAGCCTCAACAAGACTCATCTCTCGCGTGACAATCACATCAACCATGCAACTTGATTGCCTCGACCAACCAAATGACATATTGATTTGCACATGCTGATGCTAAACAAAGGATCCGGCCCAGACAGACAACGATGTCCCCCTCCAAGACGGAGCCTCGCGCGGCGAATCCATCACCGACGACTCCCATTCGATATCTCCACCCAGTGCCGGAACTGCCACGGTATCGCCATACGTTGACAATCAGGGCGTACCTGATCCGGTCACCCGGGTCTCGGGTGAGGATGGGTCGCCATCCACACTATTTTCCGGCTCCACCCAACAGCCTCACGGACTTGGAGCTTCTCGCTGGGCAATTGCAGGAGACCCTGTGGATTCGATCTCTCACTTGACATCTACTGGGCCCGGAAAACACCACTACAATGCCCTAGATCTGTCGATGTGGGCCCCACGCGCCCGATCTGGCGCCCGCTCTGCTGATCATATTTCTGGCCCTCCCACTGTCGATGGCCCCAAATCAGATAATGTTGTGGGGTCTGGGGTTCACCCTTGTCCCCGTGGATAGCCCTCGAAAGAGCGAGGTGTTGGCTTTTAGATAAGCCAGTCCTAGATGCAGGAATCTATGGAAGAAAGCTCCAAATTGCCCATGAATATTAGCTATCCTGCTTAGTATTTGGAATTCTTCCATGATTACTTAGTCTTGCTACACCAGCTCACTTGCGAGATCGTGCTTCGAACGAGTGTAAAGAAGTCCATCAAATTGAACAACTGACCCTGCCGACAAATTAACCCTGCGCTTTCCTCTTGAATACTTCTCTTTTCTCTTCTTTTCCTTCTTCTTCTTTCATTCCATCTTTTTTCTTCATTCCATCTCTTCTCTCTCATCATCTCTTCTCTCTCATCATCTCTTCTTCTCATCCACTCACTTCTCATCCTCTCTTCTTCCCATCCTCTCTTCTTCCTATCCTCTATTCTTCTCATCCTCTCATCGCTATCATCCCCACCATCACTCTTGAGCTCTCGTTATCATCAGATTGCCCACTGAAGGAACTCAACCACCAGTATGATTCCGTCCAGTATTACTGGGCGTGCTAGGCGACGGGCCAAACGTCGGGCCAAGAAAGACTTGAATCAAGTCGTGTCTGAGAGTGTACGTGATAAAATAGACCTTTTCCATCTTTTCTCTCCCCTCAAATCCATCAAAGTCATCATGAGCTCCAGCAAGCCGTGTCACACTTGATCATCACCTGCGCAGTTTACCTGTTGCCAATTCTAAAGATCCATCTCTCACGACACTACCTCATCTCACCATACAATTCAGTTGCCTCGACCAACCAAATGATATATCAACCTACATTTGCTAACTGAACATACAGAGCCACTCCAAGGCAGAGAGCGATGCCAGCTGCAATCAAGGAGTAGCCTTGGGGGAAAGATCCACCCAACCCGCTTCGCCCTCCCTTCATTCCCTCGAAACGGAAAATCAGGCTATATCCGAGTCGACCACCACATCGAACCAGCAAAAGCTGCCGCTCAGTAATTCTCCCGGCTCGATTCAACGCCCTTCCGGACTCGCAGCCTCCCGATGGGCCCCCAGGGAAGGTCCTCTGGATTCAAACAGTGCCCAGAGCTCCACTGGGCCTGTCAAGCACGAACCGAATACCCTCGACCAATCAATTTGGGCACGCCGCTGAAGCGACCTACACCCAGACAGGCACGATGGAATTGGGTCTAGTTGCATGGATAATTTGATGAGATCTGCGAGACAAGAGCCAGCCAGAAAAGATATGCTATTATTTGGATCACCGTCGCACTTTCTCTAAGCCCTAAGCTCCACTAACTCCCCGGCCTGTGTCAAAGCTCCAAGTTGCTTGAGCCAAAAGCTGTATCAAAAAGCTCCATGGGCTTCACGTTGCGCATCCTTGTAAACTGAACAGGCAGCGGCCTTACGGGGCTAACTCCTCGGTCGATATCAGTGAGATCATCAAGAGCACATAGTCTGAATTATACTGAAGAAATAATTCCATAGCGTTTATTGTCAGCCTTGGATGATCATCACTTCACTTCTGTCCAACCTTTGTCATGTCATTTGAAATCCCACCATCTCCATCTTCAATTTACTCTATCACGTCATATCATATCACCCTGGCACTTGGGCACTTGACCGCGTTGATGAGTTTGGCGTGTATGCTGATATCTCATTATCATTTCTCTCTGTGTTTTTTTCTCTCTTGACCATTCTCTCAACTTTTCTTTTCTTCCCTCCTTTTCTTCCTTTCTTCTCTTCTTTTCATAACTTCTCCATTACATCTTCCTTGAATCCTTGGCCTCCAATCATCGAGATCTCTTCACGATATGTCAGACAATGCAGGATGGAGTTCAGTCAATTGAATCATTGTGCAAGGTTGTTCTGAGAATACGTCCCATTCTGCATTGGTGATTCACCTCATTCACGGTAATTGATGACCAAGGCATACATTTATTGTTTGTCTTGGATTTTCACCGCTTCATACCTCTCCACTCCTTGTGATCTCATTTGAAACCCCGTCTACTCCCAAGTCTCTATTTTGCCTATACCGCCACATTATATTATTTGGGGAGTCCAGTGCGTTGATGAGTACGACGTGTATGATGGTATCACACGACCACCACAATCCATTCATATCATGTTGCGCGTACTAACAGCAGGAACAGAGGAATAATGAGGACAAATAAAAGCGGGCAGTCGAGCAGGGATGTGAAAAATCAGGCCCTATGCTCAAACTCCCAACCCGAGCTTGTCCCCGATTTGATCATCAACCCGAGGAGCCAACCCCATCAAAGCTCCCCAAACAGACTAGCCCCCCTTCTCTAATCCCCACCACTACCAGCACCCATAAGGGTCTCTAGGGCCTGGCTGCGTCTCGCTCGGCATCTCTTCAACCAGACCCCTCGTCGCCCCCAGACGCTGCGGCCGTGAGCCCTGATTCTCGCACGGTCTACAGCATTATTGCTACCACCTCCGACCCTGAAGAGACGGGTCTCAATGCCTCACGCTGGGCTGCACCAGCCCTCCTACTTGTGGCCAACCCAGGTACGGTAGTGTCCACGGACGGCGGTGCTCTTCTTGCCTCCCCAGCACTTGCCGAAGCGGAAAGATCACACGATGAGCTGATGGATCCTAACGATCGAGGAAAGTGTGGATATCGATTACTTAATGGTGGTGAGATGTTCAAATGTTGCATGGGCTGTCGACCGTTTGTGTACCTCAGTTATGCGCACAGAAATCAAACATAAGGTCATGCAGCTCACTGGATCAACGGTCATTACATTCTACCTACAAGATTTCCATCCAACTTTTCCAAAAAAAAAAAAAAATGCATTTTTCTTGAAACCAATATGCCAGTCCAAATCAACACCAAATCTCGGGCTCAATGCAAATCAAATTTGAAGACTTTTTCCAAAGGCCCCTTCGGATGCCCCACGGGTATACAGTTCTACACCCCCATTGCTCGCGGCTCGGGGATGCCCCGCGCCGAATGAGTCAGACCCCGGCCCCCCACTCCGAGGCCCCACTCCGAGGCCCCACTCCGAGCTCTCGGACAATTCCATCAGGGGATGTACAAGCAGTCGATGGCATGTCATCTTGTCACCTTTCATACCCCTATCTCAAAATGGCCAACAGATTTTCCGAAGTCTTGCGAGACAGTGCTCTAGATTTAGCACCTTATGAAGACCTGTACAGATGGTTCCACGCTCATCCAGAACTGTCATGCCAGGAATTGAAAACATCCGAAAAGATCGCAGAACATCTCTCCCAATTGGATGCTTTTGAAATTCACACAAAGATCGGCGGCCATGGGCTGACAGGAGTACTGAGAAATGGTCCCGGAAAAACGATCCTTCTCCGCGCGGATATGGACGCGCTTCCCGTGAAGGAGCTAACAGGTCTACCATATGCTAGCACTGTGACTATGCAAGATGCGATTGGATTGGAAAGACCCGTCATGCACGCCTGCGGCCACGATATGCACGTCACCTGTCTTCTTGCAGCGGCGGAAACGCTGGTCAAGATCCGGGACTCATGGAGCGGAACTTTGATCGTGTTGTTCCAACCTGACGAGGAGCGGGGTGGAGGTGCTCAAGCCATGGTTGACGATGGGCTTTACTCAAAGGTTCCGATTCCAGATATTGTGTTGGGTCAACATGTCATGCGACTGCGTGCCGGGAGCGTTGGGTTGCGGCCCTCGACGATCATGGCCGCGGCTGACTCGATGCGGGTTACTGTATTCGGGCGCGGAGGTCACGGATCATTGCCGCACCAGACGGTCGATCCGGCTCTGTTAGCTGCCCATATTGTTGTGAGACTTCAGAGTATCGTGAGCCGGGAGGTCGATCCTAGTGATCTGGCGGTTGTCACGGTTGGAAGTCTTCAAGCCGGTCAGACCGAGAACATTATCGCAGATCGGGCTGAGATTGGACTTGACTTCCGTACTGTGAAGCTGGAGACTAGAGAGAAGATCATTTCTGCCATCAAGCGAATCGTCGAGGCCGAATGCATGGCTAGTGGTTCCCCCAAGCCGCCCATTTTTGCCCCAACTCGTCGGTTCCCACCAACAAACAATGATAATGACCTTACCTCCAAGCTGGCCGACTCTTTCGGGAGCCACTTCGAGAATTTCGACGGCGACACGCCGAGAACGAATGTCAGCGAAGACTTTTCCACGCTAGCTACCTGCAAAGATTTGCCGAGTTGCTTTTGGTTCATTGGCGGTATTGATCCCGAACTTTGGGATAAAGCACAGCGAGGACACAGCGATGCAGAGGAAATTGCTGGCAATCATTCTGCGTTGTTTGCCCCTGTCATTCAACCCACGATGAGAGCGGGTGTCGACGCTCTTTGCCTCGGAGCGCTGACATTCTTGCGGGAAGAATAACCTCAGTTTAAGTTCCAAGGCTGTTGTTAGGTTTGAAATTATCCTTTCTGGAGTTTTGTAATTAGACCATCTTCCATCATTGGTGGAGGGTGAAATCACAATTTCCCTTTCGAATGAAATATGGATCCCTGCTAGAGTAGTCGACTCCGATCTTATTCTCAAAATTGCATCGCACGCCGGTAAAAAAACTTGTTAATGTAGTAATATCACCAGTCTTGTGCGCTTTTGGTCGGACATTGGGACGACGGGGTGTATCTGGGTCTCCCCCTGTCTCTGTCCTCTTTACCCTGGTCAACATTTTCTGCATCAGAATGCAACACAGCGGCTACTACAGAATGTCTTCTCTTCTTGCGTGGTCGCTGCATTTTATCTATTGTCGTCGAATTTGGAGAGTTAGCTGTTCTGCCATCGAAGATACCTCAATCTGGTCTCAGTATTCAAAAGTTGGTTGGAAGCCTTTGGATAAAAGGGAAACATTGTATCAAAGAAAACAAACTGATTTTCACATTTCCAGAATGTAGATATAATATAAAGAAAAGGAACGCCACTCACTCCCAAAGCATGTTGGCTCAGAGGAAGCGCGTCGTAAGTTTCTGGTGAATCTCTTCACTAAGAAAACCAACACTAACATTACCAAAGGGGCTCATAACCCGAAGGTACGATACATTCTAGGAAATTACCCATAGTTCACTGAACTAACATAACCAAGGTCCCTGGATCGAAACCAGGACATGCTATGTCACACATATCTTTTTTTTTTTTTTTTGCATCGTCGTGATCCATGGATTAGGGCTATCTGTGGGGTTGATACCTAGGTACCTTAGTTTGGCCTAGCGTGATTTGTGGATAAGTTCAAGTTTGCGATCGATCCTTTTCCTTGGTCACTCGACATGTGGCCTATTCGTGATATGAAATTTGATGATTTGAGTGAGAGAGAATTTACGAGACAGTCCGATATTTCTTCTTCGAGCGATCATGATTGGAGGCACATATGCTGGACGTACTTAATTATTTTGAAGAGTAGATTCATGTCACCGACGCCATTCGGTATTGTCCAACAAGGCGGGCAATCTACGGACGGCTATCGGGGTACAGTCCTTCAAAGTCAAGCTATTGTCCCGAGAGCCCCAGACGGCGTACGCAGTTCAGATATCATTTTTTAAGGCGAAGTGTGTTTACATATGATAGGAGCACAGTCAAGTAGTGCAATGGAATTGATGCTCCAAGCCCTAAGAATGAAACTAATCGTCTGGCTGAGAACATCATGAAAGTTGAATGTATGCATAGCGAGCGATCGGGATGATTGGCAGAAGGTTCCACTGATATATCCCAGCTCGGAAGAGCTCTTTCGTGTGTTCCACATTGAGGGCCGCATATAGCTAGCATCTGGTCTTGGTTCCCTGTTAGTTTCCGCCGTTTGGGCTCTGTGAAAAAGAGCAAAGCAAGCCATGGTGATCACTCCAGGGTACATCATCCGTGTCCGTGAAACCCTCGGGACTGGGCGTGAACGAACTCGGTTGTTCTAGTATTTGCGGTTCCAAGACTCGGATCGTAGCTGGGTTGAGTCCAAGAACAGCGACTTTGTCAAGCCGAGCCGGTGGAAACCGCTTCGTTCCATCGACACCCCATGTATAACCAGGGTCCTGGGGACGAAGAGACTTCCAAACATCCGTGAGGCCGTTTTCTTCAACGAGATTAGCATCTTCTTCAAGGACTGGGTTAAAGTCACCAGCCACCAGGCCACGGCCAGCGGCGGAGAGAAAAGCAGATAGAATGGAGATCTGCTGGGGCCGGAATGAAGGTTTTATCGGAAGAGAGTCAAGATGCACATTCACAAGTCGCGTAAGCGTAGTTGGAGAAGGAGATGTTGACTCATCAGGCGAAGATAGGAATATGTCACAGAAAAGCGCGTCCCTAGCATATCGGCTCGGGTATTTGACTCGCCAAGCAGGTCCCAGGGATGGGTTACTCTTTCCCGGGTCACATTGCGACGCAAAGCGTGATTTCGACATTAGCGTCGCTGTTGAAAAGCTACGGGTGCCCCATGAGCTGTGGCCACCTTCACTTGAAAACCAGTTCTGGCGGACGCGGTCATCCGAGAGAATCTGCTCCAAGGCTGACCTAGACACCTCTTGCAGGAAAACGATATCAACTTTCGGCTCTATGTCTGTGATGAATGTGATGAGTGCGGCGGCACGGTCTTTTGCTCGCTCTGCGCCTGAGTCGATGTTCCATGTCACAAGGACCAGATCTGAAGTATCCTTTTCGTGAGCTGGCTGTACGAGGTCATCTGGAAGACTTGCGCGAGTGGGAATCCACTGTGCATGAGCAGGGTCAAAACAGTGCCATGGCTGAAAGATAGGACGTCCCTGGTCTGGGGAAGGTAGCGGCGTTTCAGATATCCCGGGCATTTTCACTTGTTGCTTTTTTGTACAGAATAGACCGTAGGCTGGGTGAAGGTGAGAAAGCAGAGGTGTGTGTTGATCGACAACAACGGGATCGCAAGCCCCACTCCTGGCACGTGATCTGGCTGATGCGGCTGTGTATTGTAAGAGTACTGTAACTGACGCGTAATTTTCTGGGTTTCGCTTACAGACCTGACGATGTTCGTGAAAGACAATTTTGACCAGGAAAGTGAGAAGAATTTGATAAGCTTATGTTAATATGAACTGATTCTCTCGTTACTGGACTAGAAAAGAAGGCGAAGCGTTTCAAATGAGGCGTTCAATCCCCATTTTGCTTTGTGCAACCTTGGAAGTGAGCTCTTTTCTTTTTCAATTATATTAATAGAGCGGGAGAGAAAGCAGACAGAAGTAATAGATTCACCGGACTAAAGCAAGCTATCTGCTGGGGCTGGGCCGAGCCTAGATCCCACAATATGACTGCATGAAACACACCCTCGAAATGGACACCCATCGAGACTGGAATGTTGAAAGCTCTTTGAAATACTCAAGGGCAGTTGAGACCTTCTTGAGCAACTGTGAGATGTATAATGACAAGTCTCGGGAGCAGTGTTACAATCTTTGCAGTGGCAAATCATGCTGGTCGAGGAACTCAACCCATGTTTGAAGCTTCAATCCGGGGATCTGGTAAATAATCAGGGCTTAGCATGAGGTCAAATGTACGGGGGTGGCTCTGAAATTGTCATTGACCTACCTCGTTGGCCTGCACAAACTCTGCATTGGCATAGACATTGCCGCACTCCTCAAAGATCATGATTTGCTCTGCAAAGTCAAGAGCAATCTCCTCCGATAGCCCGTCACGAGACTGAAGAATCTTTTGGAACTCGCCGAAGCTGACCTTCTTGTATTCTGTTCGGATGTTGTATTCTAGAATTATGGTCAGATAGGAGATTTAAAACGCGTGAGGTAGCGTACTCTTTCCGATGATAGCCAGTTTGTCTGCCTCTGACAGAGGTTGAGAGTAGAAAGCGATGGTCTTCTCGAAGTATTGAGATCCTGCTTCAAGAATGAGATGCACAAGCTTGCCAGTATCCGCGATAGCGACATTTGGCATCACAGTCTGCGGGCTGTGTGGGAAGGACAGTGTATATACCCCCGAGGCATTCTAAAGAAATGCGTATTTAGTGACATCCACTTCGACGCCCTTGGGCAGATTATCATTGATCTCACAGGGCACTGACCTTGGTAGGAAGGTATCTGTCTGGAGTAGTGAGACAATTTTCGAAATAGTTCGGGAAGAGAACCGTTGTGGTCTTCGCCCAGAGCTCTGGGTGAGTGTTTTGAATGTACTCGGTCACTAGACTCTTGCCTTTCCAATGATGAACATTCATAAACTTACCGCCTGACAGCTTGACAGGATCGGGAAGTGCGCTCCACACCAGGTGCTTGAGGGTTGTGGTTTCGGCCGCAGCATCTGCAATCGCCATGCCTTGTGCAATCTCCTCGACAGTGGACTGCGACTGCCAGAAATCCGTCAGGGCAAAAACTGCAGAGGCACCGGCAAAGGCGGCAGCGAGAGCATCACGGCCACTGCCCAAGTCGGCAGAATAGAGCCCTGCTCCAAGCCGGGCAAGTTCCTTTGCAGCAGGCTTCTCGGTGTTGCGAGTAATGGCTCGTATAGCATAGGTATCCGAATGCCCAAGAAGCTCTCTTGCCACGGCTCCACCCTATCCTCGCAAATAAAGATGATAGTCAGATTCTCGGTGTCCTACGCGGAAATAATTTTCAATAAAACGTACCTGTGAGCCAGTGGCTCCGATGACAACAACGGTTTGACGCGTCATATCTAACGAATCCTCTGGAAGATACTGATAGTGAGATGATTGAGAGGGTCTTCAGAAAATTCACACTTCTTGTCATCTTTTTGGGCCAGGGAAGGTTCACGTTATATATCCGCTGACTTGTCCTTCGCTGCCCAGGTGCGTCCTGTGCTCGGGACGAGCAGCAACCCGAACGGCCGCGATGGGGTGAGAATTGACCGGAATTACGGAGAGGCAAACGTGCATTCTGATGAGTTGGGCTTTTGAAGCTTCCCAATTCTGCAAAAAGTGTGGAGGCTCATTTTGGTCTGTGTTGTAACGACCCCCACTCGGTGCGCTCTCCACCGTGACATCTCCTTTGCCTTCACTGCATTGTGAAACCTCGATCCCACCCCGGTGATTCATCAACAAGAGTTACACTGAACCCCGAGCCACTCACGGCATAGATCGACAGATTTCACTTCTGCCTTTGCTCGGATTCCGCAATCTCCACGCCCGAGACCATCTCCATTCGCGACCCACAACGGTCGACCCGAAACCTTCGACTCACCTGGCATCCCACACCGCTGAGTAATCGGGGACGATGGCTTCAATCTTGAATCGATTACAATGAACCTGGATGACACCTGTGGGACTTGGCATTCCCAATAGAAGGCATGCTTTTAACGGAGAATCCCCTTGGCTGTTTTTCTGCCCGTACCTCAAATCCTCCGGCTACGTGAAGGTGATTCGAATCGAATACAATGCAATCAACAGTGATTCTTATCACGGGGGCAAACCGAGGTATGCGAGTTCTCGTCCCACCTTGAAGATACACAAATTGACACCAAGCTCAGGCCTCGGTAAAGGTCTCACCGTTCGGTATCTCGCCATGCCCGATGTGACTGTCATTGCTACGATGCGAGAAACTTCCGCCGCAAACACGTTCGACCTTGAGTCTGTCCCAAAAGGTCCAAATTCGCACTTGATTATTACACAGCTTGATCAAGGGGATTCTGTATCTGTTACAGACGCTATCTGCACCATTGAGAAGAAGCATTTGATTAATCATGTTGATCTTGTCATCGCGAACGCAGGAATTGCCAATCATTGGGGACCTGTGTCAGAACTCAACGAGTCCGACATGATATCCCACTTCCAGGTGAACACATTGGGGCCACTCAGGCTTTTCACATCGATTTTGCATTTGCTCAAGGCTGGGTTAGTGCCCAAGTTCATATACTTGTCTTCGGGGCTGGCAAGTCTCAGTAGACTAGATCAATCTTCTTCACTCACAGCCGCCTACGGTGCGTCTAAAGTGGCGGGGAACTATTTGATCAGAAAGATCCATGAAGAGGAACCGGACCTCGTTGCTTTCTCTATCGACCCGGGGTAAGTCGCTCGTTTCTGTTGCTTTCAAAAAAGCGACGTTTCTCACCACCTTTCTGCAAGATTCGTGCAAACCGATATGGGTAACCGTGGTGCCAAGTTTGGCGGACTTACTGAAGCTCCAATGACTATTGCCGAAAGCGTGGATGGAATTTTCAATCAGGTGAGAAAGAAACATTGTATCCAATCGCCACGTTGGATTATGTACTAATCCCATCTGGTATAGGTTGCGGTAGCCACGAAGGAAGAGACTTCAGGGAAGTTCATTCAATTCAATGGTACTGTGTTGCCTTGGTAATGCACCGTCATACAGTTAGCTAGGTTTATTGAGTACAGCCACATCATACCAGCCGTGAAAGATCAAATGTCTTTACTTTTCATACGGCACAGTATGAAGCCATACAATACACTTTCAGCCACAATGACTACTCTTGAGGCCTCAGAAAGATAGATAATGGCTCGTGAGGAGCTTCATGGAAATCATACTCTGATATAAGAGTCCCTGGTGCCTGGAAACTTCAAAACTAGCGTACTTCTACCTGACCCAGATATCCGCTTCGATCTCAACATGATGCTCCGGGAATGGCAAGCTTTCGACGCCAACCAGAGTGAACAAAGGCTGATGGTCAGGGCACCACATTTTGATGTTGCGCACCATCTCCGTCCGAGCCATTTCCTGTACTTTAGAAAGACCAACCACATATGCACGAATCTTCACAACAAAATTCCAGCCCGTGCGCTGGTCCACCTTTGCAGACAATCCTGCCGCATCAAGAGTATGCACAATAATGTCGTTGACATTTTTGAATGCCTGAGCGACCTCATCATCGAAGTTTGAGGACGTTTGTTGCGTGAGTGGATCCATGCCGGCTAGTCTTTGATCAGTACGCCGTGCTAGTCATGACGTTGAGTTTTCATGGAGCTGGTACTCACTCTGACCAGTGATAAAAATGCGGTCACCAATAATACAGGAATCACTGAATCCATATTCTTTGCGGCATTTCTCACCAAATCCGGGAAGAGAATAATAAGTGAAGGAGGCCATTTTGGTAGTATTTGCGCTTTAGCAGGGGGTAGATTGGAAACTGTTTACCTACCGAGGTAATCGGGGTGCCTCTACTTATGTTCATTATCCAGCAAAGTCTGAGTCTTCTCGATAGGGAGAACTTCGGTCATCGAGTGTCGGCTGATCCGGTATCGTATATCCGCCTTGATATCCACCTTGGCTTCTGTACTCGTCTAAAATCCCGCAACTTGAGGGGCCAAGGGCCGATATCGATCCGGTGGGTTTTGATCTTGGGAAGTATCACCGTTCCTATCCCGAACCGCCGCATGAAGCTGCAAATGGAAAATGTACGTGGGCACCTAGGCACCTGGGCAATATCCCCCGCTTACTCATCGGAGAACCGAGCCTCAGCCCTGGAGAGCCCTGTCATGGGGAGCCTACAGAGCTTGACTATGTGAATTCCCCGAGGTTCGAGTCCAACTGGCCCATACGCAGCCAAAACAACCGATACTGTGAGGCGGGCAAATGGTCAGATCCAACACTATGATACAAGACCAAACACCGTTTTGCTTATGTCGGAGTCGCTTTGCCCATGTTGATGGACTCGATATTCAGTATCCAAGCCCGGGCCACATTAAAAAGCCAGCCCAAGCAGAGTTGAGCGGCATCCAAAATGGCAGCGTCTCCGTCGACCTCTTTCAATGAGCCTTCTCTTTATATCACGATGCTCTATAGCTGCTCATTTGAAGGCTGTGGGACCAGTGGGTCACTTATCGCGCTAACTTTAGAAAAAGACCATTTTAGCCCTACCCTACCAACCTCACCAGCGGGTCCGGCCCCCGGGGCCTTTTTGGGGGAAATGTGAGACGCCTAATTTTTTTTTGCGATATCATTGGGTGCACAATTTTCGGTCCTATCATTGAGCCTATGTGACTCAGCTCGCGAATCCTGGAGGTGCATATACGATGTAAGCACCCAAAATACAGAACAAAATGGAAAAACGAAAAAAAAGTGTGAAAAAAGAACGCCATTCCTTCTAAAGTTCCCCCTCTAGCAACCCATGACCCCGGGACTTAAGGATTGATATCATCATCCGGAATTACTTAAATATCTCTAGCTGCTCACGTAGATGCAACATTTCCCCTTTCGGCTCCTTGTCTCCTTTCCCAAGCCCACTTCAGGTAACGGACGCGGATGAAGTAAAGAAATAGGAGCCAGCCCGAGTAGTGGGACACCATGTCGCGTTGAGACCGGCATTCGTCCTTGCCCCAAAATCGACGACAGACAAGGTAATCATATAAATATGGACCTAAGGCTAGGATGACCATGTAGCTAGAAACCACGAGATCAGTGAACCATACGGCAAACTGGAGTTCGACACTCGTACATGAGGTTATACTTGAAATCAAACAACCGAAGCTTTTTCAAAAAGCGTTCTAGCCTTGGTAATTCATGATCGTCGAGTAGCCGTGGTTGTGGTTGTAGGGCTGATGCCGGGTGGTCGGGATCTTTAGAGTACATCGCGAAGAGTAAAACCCGTAGATTGGGCAAGGTTGGGAAATGTGGCCAAGTGTGAGGAAATAAGTCAAACTTCGGGGAGGAATACCGGTATATAAAATCAGCGAGTGACTCGGAGGCCGTCTGCATTTACCCCTGTGCTAAGCATGTGGGGATCTCTTCTTCTGCTCCCACCTATCCAGCTACTATGTAGTACTACTACTGACTTGACCCATTTTACCAGGGTGGTTCACCGCCCCAAACTCTCGTTGCTTCCATGTCGCTGTGACAGGAAACGATATTTCTGTGCACAATGTAGCTCAGTCAACCTGCTACCCTCGAGCTCGGGGCACCTGCGGTTTTCCCGTATCACATGACTTTCCAGTACTGATACGCTTCGGTCACGTGTTTGGCGTCACGTGACGGCCGGGTGTCAGTCTGAATGGGACTCATTCAACCACACCACCACATCACTCAACTACGAGAGAAGATAAAATACGGATTTTGTGTCATTTGACGTCACCTGTTTTGAAAATTAGGTGTGCCGAGGCCAAAGGCAGCAGGTGGACTGACCTGTCATCACCTTTTCGTGTCAAAACGCATACATTTCACTACTACTTGATCCGTTGAATAATGACCGAGGCCTCGTCAACCCAACGCCGAACTACGCGAACTGTGGGGAGACAGAGGGCGTGTGACACATGCTTCAAGAGGAAGGTAACGCGGTGCTCAGACCTTTCCCCCTTCTTGCACTCCACACCCTCATATATTTATCAACCTCGGGCATCGCTCCGGTGATACTAAAACTATCCTGTGTTGATGTTCCACAGATTAAATGTGATGCAGAATTTTCGCAATGCAATTGGTGCAAACATCACGGTCTGGCCTGCACGTACAATCGAATAGCAGGACGTATTAAATCAAGGTACCGGACCCGCCTTCACACTTCTACAGAGCCCCACAGAACAAACGCCCTCTCTGCACTTTTAGTCTTGTCTGCCCAGACCCTCATTGCTATTTTTAATGTACTGATGAGCCCTAGAAACCAAATCGACTTGTCTTCTGTTGGAAGGTCTATTCAATCAAACTCAACAGGCTCTTCTGTACCAGATTTTGATGCATCCCTTGACTCATCATTTGGTCAATCCCATGGCACAGCTAGATTTGCAAGCCAGTTCCGGAGCGTGACAGCCTTGAGCGGCATTGATCTACTCTCCACGGAAGGCTTTCGGTGGATCGAAGCTCAGGTTGGAGAGAAGATCGAAGAAGCGAAATTAAATACGTTTGACCTCCCATGGACGTGTCCGCGCAGACTACAGGAGGACAATGCCATCACAACCGGATCTGTCACTGAACTGCCCCGACGACAAGTGGTAGAACTATACGTCAGGCGGTATGTCTCGTCATTCCAGACACTCGTTTTCCCTGTCATCAGCAAGTCTCTCTTCGTCCAGACGTTAGATTTGGCTTATGGCCCCCCGGAATTATTTGGTTATGCTAGTGCGAAGGCTTGTGTCTGGTCGTTTCTATCACTGGTCACATTGTTCGGACTCGACACCAATGTCTCTGGGACCGTGGATTGTGGGTTTTCCATTCTCGAGGCTCAAAAGTTGCTTCCACGGCTGATTCAAGAGATGACTGTGGATGGAATTCAATCACTTTTGATGCTTGTGAGTTTAACAGACGATTTCCAAGGTTGGATTATCTGGGAAAGCAATGGTAACTAACACATTCCCAGCTTCAGCTCCAATACTTTCTGGGTGACCTGCAATCCGCCGCAGTGTCCATATCAATTGCCACTCGCCTTCTATATAAGCTGGGGGCTCACATGGCGCCGAAACACATGGGTCTTTCTGACCACACTTTCCACTATGACAAACGGATGCTTGTATTTCACCTCCGTGATCTTTTCTGGCTCTGCTATTCCTTTGACAAAGACATCAGCCTTCGGACTGGCCAGCCTCCATCGATTAATGACTCAGACTGCGACCTTTCACTGCCGCTGGAGTATGCTAGGCTCCAAAACATCAACATAAAAAGACATTATCTGACACCTGATGACCATGTGATTCCTCTCTTCCCTTGGGACCTTCGCCTATCAAAAATCAAATCAGAGGCTTTCAGTGATCTCTACTCAGCGAGGTCCTACACAAGGTCGAATTCGGAGGTTCTCGGGAGCATTCGGCATCTTGACGAAGCCTTAGAGGAGTGGAGGCTCTCGCTTGACCCGGATATCCGTCCGATGCTGTGGCACACCCCGGAAACATCAATTCGCACCAGTATGAACACGCAAGAGGTCATACTGCGATTAGCATATTATCATTGTGTGTCAATAATACACCAGGCAAGCGACAGGCGCGATAATCCGGATTTTAGAACAGGCATTAAGTCTAGATTCATCCATTCGAGTGATGAAATTTCAACGACTGCGAGTCGTTCAACCATTGCACTTCTTGATGCCACATGGCCCTCATTGAAGGGTGAATGCTTTTGGTAAGATCAAACTACGATCATCCCTCCATACATGCACGCTGACTTGCATTCCACACAGGGTTCTTCTCTTCTACATTCTGACTGCAACCTTGACTCTTTTCTGTAATATTCTCAAAGATCCTTCGAACCAAAAAAGCTCCGACGATGTGAATGTCTTATATGCTGTTCCCTCGCTACTGAACAACATTCCCATTCGAAATCTCACGCCGGCCGAGATCATTCATTTGAAGTTCCTTAATGGCTTCACAGCAGAGCTTGCAAGACTTGGACATTGCGCAATATCGAAAGCCCAGGGACAGCTTCGTGGCACTTGAAAACACACAAATGGCTTCGGGATTGACCAAAGCTACAGCAATATGAGCTTTTGCGCCCTTTCGCAACTCGATATGTATTTTTTTTAAACCGGGAATCCTCAATACCAGAGGCATTACACCGTGCATACGACTTCTTCGGGTATATGCTGTACGGGTGCTGCCCAGATGACAACCCCACACAAAATTTGAAAGTCCCAAATGACGATCATTCCAAAAATTGCATAATTGCCGAACACTTGCCATCTTGGACTGGATGAACTCTACTATGACACATTCAAAAGGGTCTTCCAAGCTCTTTGCCCGCATGTAAAGACCATTTTTGACTTGGTGGATTGCGCACAGTCCTCATTTGGGCCCCTGCTCAGCAGATTTCCGCTTACTCATCGGGCTCGGCAGCCATGTGGAGCATTCCAAGGTTGAAGTTGCCAAGGTTCCAAGGCTCTGGATTGAGATCCACGCTTTTGATTGGACAGAAGAAACGACTATGCAATGCAAATCAAGCCACAGGGTTCTATACCAACATCCAGCCCTCATCTGGGATTGACAATCCACACGTAAGCCTTAGCAATGATGGTTCCCTACTAACCAATGGTTGAGTCACGATGCAGCATTTGAATATCAACAGTAGTCCTTCCGCTCATGTCGATCTCCTCATTCGTCGAATCATTTACGCTCAGTTCACAGAAGGTGTATTTCTTTTCAAAACATGGCGAACGAATTACCTCCTCTAAAAAACAATCTATTGCTGCGAGCAGCAAGAGGTATCAAAGTGTCCAAATGGATACGAGAAGAAGTGAAACTAACCACATGACTAGGCGAACGAACAGAGCGCCCCCCAGTATGGATTATGCGTCAAGGTACGATGCTCGATGAAATTTCCATCACGCTTTAGTGCTGCTCAATGCCATGTGTTTTAGTTTCAATTTTAACTAACAGCAAGTTAGCTGGTCGCTATCTCCCCGAATACCGCGAAACAAAGGGAACATTGAACTTCTTCGAATGTTGCCGGATCCCAGACGTCGCGTCGAAATTGACGATTCAACCGGTGGATAGATATAATGGCCTGATCGATGCTGCTATAATCTTCTCCGATATCCTCGTTGTCCCCCAGGCAATGGGTATGCAGGTTGAGATGGTGGATGGAAAAGGACCCAGCTTTCCAAACCCGCTTGACTCACCGAAAGACATTCAGTACTCAAGAATGTCACACCAGGAAGTCGATGTGAAGAAAGAGTTGAGCTATGTCTATGAGGCTATTTCGCTGACTAGACAGAGGCTCCAAGGGCGGGTTCCTCTGATTGGATTTTGCGGTTCACCTTGGACTTTGATGTACTACATGGTCGAGGGTGGTGGGAGCAAGTTCTGCGCAAGGTCAAAAAACTGGATATATCAATATAGCGACGAGTCACACGCTTTGCTACAAAAGATTACCGAAGTCTGCGTGGATCACCTTGCTTTCCAGATTGCAGCTGGCGCGCAACTCGTTCAAGTCTTTGACTCACACGCCGGAGAACTCTCTCCAAGGTCCTTCAGGTCTTTCTCGTTGCCATATCTACGGTCCATCGCAACTGCGCTTCCCTTGAAGTTGCGAGTGATGGGTCTTGAACCGGTTCCAATGTCTATTTTTGCAAAGGGGGCATGGTATGCGCTTGAGGATCTTTGTGTCTCGGGATATGATGTTGTCAGTCTTGACTGGTTACATGACCCAGCTCAGGCAATGGCAGTTGCAAATGGTCGCGTCACAATTCAGGGAAATGCTGACCCGGGCATATTGTATGGAGGCCATGGGGCGATTCGAGACGCGGTCAAAGATATGGTAGAGGGCTTTCATCACGGAACAAAAGGGTGGATCGCCAGCCTGGGGCATGGTAATATCACCTCACAATATCTATTGTTCTGTTTTTTCACCACACACTAACTATTGGACACATAGGAATCACCCCTTTGGTCAATCCAGATGACCTGAAGTTCTTCTTGGAGGAAATCCGAGACCAATGCAAGACCGGACGATGAAGTGGTAATGGCTTGATACTTAGCTATCGTATCATCTCAAGGGCCCATCTCTAGATCAAACCTGACCTTTTTTTTTTTTTAGTCTCTTCAGTACCAGAAAACGGTAATCAAACCTTAGAATGATTCCTAAACATTCCTGCAAGACCTAAATTATCTATTTATTCAAGGGACCCCGGTAGGAGATACTTGGCATTGAGATCTCAATCAATTCAACTTAGTCAATAGCTTCTAAAGTTCACAAAAACTCTTTAACTATGCCCAAAATGTCCTCGATACTTAAGTATTCTGTTTATCTCGGTCACTTCTGAGTTGGTGATGACGGTTGGCTACACTCAAGTTCACTTCAGTCCAGGAATCGGGGGCTTTTCTCAAACTTGTCGAAGTAGCTTCCCTCGTGATCCAAGCAGACTCTGGCGTTTGTCTGTTTGATCAATCTCTTCACGTAGTCACGGCTTCGGAACCACTCGTTGTAGTCCCTCATGAGGAATCCTTGTGGATGACCATCCTCATAGTTCTCTTTGACATGAAATAGATCACCAGTCATAACAACAGTACCCGAATTCAAGAATGTGAGCTCCAGAACGAGGGATCCTTCCGTGTGTCCACGACATCTGTGCAGTATGACTCCTTCCCAGAGTTGCAATTTTTCTCCTGAGACTGTCTTCCAATTCAGGATATCCGCTCTCAGATAATCGGGACGAAAGAGACCATCGTCGTGGCCAGTGGCAGATGACCAGAACGCGTTTTTGAGCTCGTCCTCGTAGCACCAGATTTCAGTGGCTGAGAATTGTCAGCATTTGAATGGACATGGGCTGCAATAAAAACTCACTAGTGCCAAAGAAATGTTCCAATCCACCGGCATGATCCAGATGCAGGTGACTCATTACCACTGCCTTGACATCACCAATTTCCCCAGCACCGGTCGCTTTTATAGCCGCTGGAAGAGAGTGGATATCTTTTTCCCACGTTCTAGGAGCACACTCGAAAAATTCCTTGTCCCACGATTTGATCACATCTTCACATGATCCTGCGTCAAACAAGACGAGGCCTACGTGTGGGTGGTAAAGAAGACCTGCTATCATCAAGCATTGACGGTTTTCATGCTCATGAGGGATTTTTGTGCCTGGTCTTGGGACGTTGCCTCCAGAGAGAACATATGCTGCGTCGATATCAAGGAATCCAAGGTTGAGTAACTATAACTTGTTAGTCGCCTGCTATAAGTACGATCAAAGGAGCTAAAGGGAAAATGGATACCCAGAGCCTGGAGCCCGGTGGGAGTGTGCGCGGCTCAGCCATCGTACGATATGGCAATTGTGGTCCTTTTTGTTGGAGATATCAAGCCATAGAAAACTTAGAATGAATGACACTCTAAGTAGGTCACTTGGGAAAATAGTATCATGTCTTTATAGGATCCCCAGCACCCGGTGCGTCGGAAAAGCGGCAATAGCTCAACGGATTGGTGTCCCAAGCAGACTATCACTACGTGATGCAGGGGGTACTCCAGGGTAGACGTTTGAGAGCTCGAATTTTCGGATGTATTTCTAGGAATTAAGGGTTCCGCTACATTGACATCATTGAGTGTAAAGAAATTACCTTGTTTGAAGTTCAGGGGACTATCTTCTTAGAACGTAAGACGAGGCTAAAATCCAAGTTTCGTGGGTAAATTGATCTGTTTGATCGAGATTGTGGTATCTATCTTCTAAAGTTCTCCTAAGTGCCATCTCTTTGTAAACCATCTCTGTCTGTCCATTGTGCCCATGTCTTCCAAGGTTGGTCTGTGGCTGATAGGCCTATATGATTTCCTCTTCGCACACACTGAGTATACATACATATTTCTTTTTCTTTTTTCTCTTTCCTGATAAAACTTAGAAGTAATATCGCAAGATTTAAATCCCACCATTTACTTGAGTATATAACAAGAGCTATCAAAAAGAGCCACCATCTTTGAGGAGATTCGCCACGGCTTGGACGTCTTTATCCCCTCTTCCGCTCAAGCAAACAACAACATCTCTGCCTGGTCCCAGCTCTTTCGCTACCCGCACAGCGCCAGCCACGGCATGAGAACTTTCCAATGCAGGCGTGATGCCTTCTAATTTACTCAAAAGCACAAAGGCGTCCAACGCTTCCTTGTCATCTGCCGTGATGAACGTCGCTCTTTGCGAATCTTTCCAGCTGGCCAACTCCGGACCAACTCCAGGATAGTCCAGCCCAGCCGACACAGACTTCGTGGGTGTTATTTGACCATGCTTATCCTGCAGGATATAGGTTCGAACTCCGTGGAGGACACCGACTGACCCGTATCCCAAGGTAGCTGAATGATTCCCGATAGACGAGTTCTCGCCGCCAGCCTCGACCCCAATCAGAGCCACGGAGGTGTCTTCCAAGAAAGGATGGAACATCCCAGAAGCATTAGAACCACCGCCTACACAGGCCATGACGACATCGGGGAGAGATCCTGGTTTCAGCTCTTGATACTGAGCGCGCGTCTCGGCCCCGATAACAGACTGGAAGGTGCGCACGATGGTTGGATAGGGATGAGGTCCAAATACAGAGCCAATGACAAAGTGAGTGGATTGGAGGTCGGTGACCCAGGTTCGGAACGCTTCGTTGACGGCATCAAGAAGAGTGCCGCCCTTTTCGCCATCTTTCCCGGGGACTGCAATGACTGTTGCTCCCAAGAGCTTCATCCGGAATACATTCAGGGCTTGACGACGCGTGTCCTCGGAGCCCATGAATATCGTGCACTTCATCCCGAAGAGCGCGGAGAGTGTCGCCGTAGCGACACCATGCTGGCCAGCGCCTGTTTCGGCGATGATGGATGTTTTCCCCAGACGTCGAGCAAGGAGAATCTGACCGAGGGCATTGTTGATCTTGTGACTTCCGGTGTGATTCAAGTCCTCGCGTTTCAACCAAATTCGTGCACCACCAGCATGATCCGTGAGTCTTTGGGCGAGATGCAGTGATGACGGTCGGTTCGCATACGCAGCGTACGACCGAACCTCTTCCCAAAATGAAGGATCCCCGCTCGCCTTTTCGAATCCCTTCTCGAGTTCATTCAAGCATTCCATAAGAATCTCGGGAACGTACTGGCCTCCAAAATCACCAAAGCGATCTTGTCCTCCTGTGAAATTGGGGTTGGAATCCCTTCCGAGGCTAGCGGCAGTGGCATCAAGCGCTGGCGTTCTGACAGAAGTCCTGTCTACCGCAATCAGAGGATGATCGGCAACTTGGTCTTCAGTCCGGCCCGCAACATTCAAACAGTAGTCCTTCACGATTTGTGACTCAGAGCCCGGCGCCGCATCTCCGATGAGACTAATGATGTGGCTGCCGATCACCACGCCATTCGCCATTCGAGCCACCTGTTGAAATTGTTCACGGGTGTTGATACCGAATCCTACAACGGCAGGTACACGGTTCCCAATTCGGGCGTAGATTCGACTAAGCAACCCATCCAGGCTTTCCGAAAGTGTTTTGGTGGCTCCAGTCACCCCCATTCTGGAGACGACGTATATGAATGAATCGGCTATTTCACACAGCATATCCATGCGATCGTCGGTTGTGGACGGGGCGATAAGTGGGATATACGAAAGGCTAGCAACAAGTTAGTCGACAAATCCCAATCGTCTCTCATGAAATGACACTCAGTCAGTCTTACCCTTGTGTCTTGCAAGATTTCCGAAATCGGACTGCCTCCTCGGGCGGGAGGTCAACAATGATGAACCCATTTGCCCCGGCGGCTTTGCTGTCCTGAAGTAGCTCATATTCCCCATATGCCCGTACGGGGTTATAATATCCCATCAGCAGAACCGGGACAGTTAGTCCCTGGGCACGTGCTTTCTTGATAATCTCAAGCATGCATTGAATATTGACACCGTTCTTCAGGGCTTGAGCGTTGGACTTCTGAATGATCACGCCGTCCGTGAGCGGGTCTGTGAAAGGGATACCAAGCTCAATGATATCTTTTCTGTACGTCAGAATGAGTTGTCCGAGCCTTGGACGCAATCATCACATACCTGCCCCGCCGGCCTGCAAGCCTAGCATTACATCGGGGGCTCCTTGAACACTCGGATAGCCCGCCGTCACGTAAGTGATCAATGCTGCACGCCCTTCCTCGCGACAGCGCGCGAATGTTTGTCGAACTTCGTCCATTCTGGCTTATTGCTGAGATACAGTGAATGATCAGCAAAATAACCGGAAGTATTTGAAAACATATCTTCCATCCATTGCATTTAAATGGCTTTCACCACAAACCATGATTCAATGAATTTATGAGTCAGACATAAGTTCATGAGTCGGATAAAACTCTATGTCCGGTTGAGTATCGGAAATATGGCTAGCAGATCCTGCTTGCGCCCTATGGCCACTTCACTGATCCATTACACCCTAGAGCCTAGGGGATCAGCCTATTAGGCGTGCCCAGAACCCCGATGAGTAATCGGAAACCCCAACCGGTCCGGCCCCGATCGCGGCTACGAACCCTGGAAAGTGGAGTTCTATGCCGGGGCCAGAAACTCTGAATGCTAGCGGAAGGTCTGCCCGACAATGGGGACTACACTTGTCAAAGACCCAGAGAGCATCTTTAGAAGGCAGACATACACGGAAAAGGTCAATGGTTCGGAAAATATCAATTGCACTTTGGGATCTATAAGCAGTCGGTAAAGAAGGGGGAGAGGAAAAGGGATAGGACTGTCCACGTTGTTGCCTTGAAAAAGTTTGCCGTGGAGTTTATTCTATGGATGGCTGTACTAATGCTTCTTACCAGCAGGTCTTATTGGTCCATTGAGCTTATCCTGCACATTGATGAGCACTCTTTTCGAAAGAACCAGATTCTGACTGAACATAAGTAAAATATCAAAATCGATTAGAAATCAGCCTTCAATCACACCTGTACAGGGGTAATAAAAATGCAGCAGGCAGAATTGTTCCCTCTGCTATCAACTTTGTCGGTTCCGATTGTGACTCCACGTTCTTGCGCCTACCAATTTGTCCTCAGATCCCACTCGTTGCGGAGAATCCATTGCCTTGGAGCCGGTTTTGTTACATTCTCATGATGGCCCGCAGGGTTGCCATAATATTTGTATGAGTTTTACCTACTGCTCCTCCAGATTGCGCATATCTAACTGGTGATGAAATCGACATTTAGTTTCCAAGCCTTGGCCACATCGACAAACTAGCTGAAGCAGAGCTGAACGGTATCCAAAAAGGCGGCGGTTGGGCCGACCTCTTTCAGTAAGCCCCGGGGCCTGTCTTATCTATAATGATGCCCCACGGCTGCTAACTATTGGGATGAAGGGTTGAAGTATCACCCACAAACGATTTGGTCATTCTCATGCGTTCACCGGTGTCATCGATTGTCGGGCCGCAATACCTCCTTGCCTACGATGCAATACTTTTTGGCATATCGGCCGGGTATAAGAATTTCCCCCCAAAATGGTATTTGTTCTGGGAGCAAACGAGCAGTCTCTGGGCCTCGATAGGATTCTGGAAAAAGCATGCGGGTGTGTTCGTTTCTACGGAGGTGCTTGGCGGATGTCAGGAAGCTGCATGCATTGCTGCCATGAGTACTTTGACTTACCATGGACTATTTTATGTCCCGCTGGGGGAAACAGCATTATTACCTTATAAAGAAGGGCTTGCTTATGGCCAGGGGGCAAGTGCCTGGGGTGCTGGGACCAGTCAGGGATCTGACGGTAGTCGTCTGCCGTCTGAACTTGAGCTGGAAATTGCTGAACTTCAAGGTAAATTATTTTATCAGCATATCATCGAAGGCTGTCAGCGAAAAGGGGGTACTAGAGGCAAGAAAAGGCGGCCTGTGATTGAGAATATATCGGAAAATCCTTAATGGGGGACAATTTTTTTCCCTTTTCTGATAGTGAAACAAACGGCCATGTTTAATTCTTGAATAAGCCAAAAGAATTTGTTGAATGGCAAGTTTGTCCCAACCCTCGTTTGCTGTTTGTGTAGATGAACACTCGCTCCCAAGGCTTCATCTTCCTCTTCCCTTCTCTCCCTCCCGCAGTCAGTCAATCGATCAGTTACAGTCCGCTTCTTCTTCTCTCTCGCCCTGTAGGCTCTACAGAATTCACTTCCAACCCCAGTGGGTAAAATGACACAGCTAAGGTTGTGGGTTGTTTATTACATGATTCTAGCCCTTTTTGTATCAGGCAGTATTCATGTGATATTGGTAAGTTACACAAGTGCAAACTATGCAAGCTATGCATGGAGCTCCCACCCCCTTATCTGGTGCAGACTTCTTCTGCGACAGATGAATGATATGAAGCCAGGCCCAATTCATCGTTTCGCGCGGTATTCGCAAAACAGTCTCTATTTCCTTGCTCATTGCAGAGCTATACTTCTTCATGATCGTCGAAAGGAAAATGGGAAAGGACCGCAATTTTCTCCATCTCAGTGCTTGAGTGTTCCATCAAACCGTCTTTGATGCTCTTGATAATAGCCCTGCACCGTTCAAGCTCATCCTCATCTCTAGCTAAAACCCAGCCTAGGGCATCTGTCCCAATTAGATCCCTCATCTCGCCCAGTTCCTGTAGTTTCTCTTGTTCTTGACGATGATCCTCCAAACATTTCTGCATCTCTTCCCCAGAAAATTGAATTGGACACTCAACAGGTCTCGGCTGTGCTCCTCCATCCAGCGACATAGGCCAATTCTTGAGGACCTGTAACATGGTATACTTCAACGAGACAGAGTCCCCTTCCCAGGGAGCCTGTGCATGATGAAAAAGCTTCGCTCGAAGCATATAGTTCTCGGTTCTGATGGCGTCAAAATGATCCGGCAGGGATTTCATGGTCAACGCAGCATAATAAAAATGGACAATCCGTCTCCGCATCGTCTCTTGAACAATTTCTTGTTCTTCATTGCCGAGTTTATCAAAATTCTCTGGCAATTTGACCTCTGGCTTAGATAATGTCTCGGACAATGGATCGCCCCAATTTTGAAAATGATCGGGAATTTCAGCGCACAGACAAAGGGGTAGAATGACTGCATGCTGCCAGTCAATGATCCCTACCACGTCGTTGGACTTTTCATCATGATATTGTTAGGTGAAAAGTCCGGGTGGCGAATTGTCGGGCGAGACATGTGGTGGTCAGATGGGACGTCGAGGTGAGGCGCTAACTTTAAATATTTGATAAGAAGATGTTGGTACGGAATGGGTGAGAGGTTTTGGAATAGGTGTATTTCTCGTAGATATCTTTCGACGTGTGGGCGTGGTTTGCCAAATCTTTCACAGAATTCTATCTCGCGTTTGGCGGGTGCTTCAAAGCATGCAGAAAAGGTATTCCCTGGTTCAAAGTCAATATCCCCAAAGAAAACAAGCATTCCGAGACTTACATGGGCCGCGGTCAATTTTCAGAGAGGCCCGTTCTCGATACCATGATTCATGCTGTGCAATTGGGCCAACGACGATATCGTCCGAGATTGGAATAAAGTGTTGTGAAACGTCGAGATCACGGCGATGATAAAGACTCCCGTTTGCTGGGAGGTGGATGCTCATAAATTGTCTTTCCAAATCGACAATCTGTCTCATTACTTTGACCCGGGTTTTGGTACCCATGGAGAACCACCGGTCACTCAAGGGTGTTCCTTCAAGCTTTTCGAATAGAATGTATTCTGTTCCAACGACGTTCGTCTGATCTGGAGAATACGCAAGGACTTTTGGGACTGGGACCCCATGAGCACGCAGAAATACGAGTGTAGCAGCCTCACTGGCCACTGTATGATGTTTCGGAACAGTCATCTTGTACGGTAGCCTTGCAAGAATTGCATATCCATCATCGAAGGTAACTTGCAAAACACGGTTGAAGCCCCCTTCCGCGAGTTTGGTGATCGAGGCTACATCATTCACCTGTCGACCAACAGAATCGCAGGCTGCCCTTGCAAGAGCATCTACATCGAATTGAATACGACGTTCAGCGCGGCGAAGCTCTTCGTTAAATCTAATTTGACGCAGCAAGTCAATTAATCGCAATTGACGCGTTCAATAGCTAACCGTCGTCACGACTCACAGAAAGCGCCCCGAAGTGTACTCGAACAGATCAGGCTTACCACCCATAGAGGACATCCTCCTGGGTAATGGCTTCAAGGATGGACTAAAAAATCTCGAAACGCGTCGCATCTTCAAGCAGATGGTTGTTACTTCCAAGTTGCTATTGTTATTTGTACTACTAGCTGGCCCGGGCTAACATGTGTATTACTCAGCACAAACATGACTCGTGGACTCAACATCGACACCTTAATATCTTGGCAAACACCGCCCCCCCCGGTATGGCCGCTAAAAAGCTGGCGTGAAATTCCTGACGGCGTGAGCTAAATTAGCGAGAACTGACTCTGAGTCATAGAGCACTATTCAGATCACAGGCTGTGGGATATCACTAACTCGTCGCATTTGAAGCCCTCAGCAAGTGCCAACCGTCGCGTGTGGTGCCAGATACATGCCAACCCCCCAACACTGACCAACACATCAGAGGCAATGGAAATGGATTCCCTTGCGAAGATCAAGAAACTTAAAAAATGGCTGAGTCCAACGGACTCAGATTCACCCACAAGCGAGTTCAGGCGACACCTTCACTCGCATGTCAAAGACACCGGTGAATGGATATTCGAGACTGAACAATATCGTGAATGGAGCATGACCGACTCGACAGGGAATCTTTGGATTCGAGGAATTCCTGGCTGTGGTAAGTCGGTGGTCGCGGCGAATTTAGTCGGCCGGCTCCAAGATCTGGATGATGCTCCAGTTCTCTTTTACTTTTTCAGAGAAATCATCGAAACAAACGGCCCTGCTGAGCTCGTGCGAGACTTCTGCGAAAAACTACTGGCTAGCTCACCTGGTCTTCAGTCCTCGCTAGAGAAATTGCGCGCAGACTTCTCCGCAGTCGAGTCCGTCCCTTTCGATCAGCTCTGGGAGTGCTTGGCAACAGCTTTACGATCAATGGAGCGAGTATATTGTGTTGTCGATGCTTTGGATGAAATGAGGCATGGACACGGAAGATGGCTGGAACAGCTCCTTGATCTGGGTCGACAGTCTCCTCGTTCAATCAAGATTATCACTACAAGCCGGCAAGTTCCCCAGGTGGAGAAATATATGCAGGGTACTTCCATTGTCGATTTACGCCTGGATCGTCTACATGTTGACCACGACATTTCTGTTTTTATCAAACGGCAGCTAAAGGACGCTCAACTGGAGCTGGAGTTGCCGGAGATCGACAATATTGCCAAGGCGATCTGCGAGCAGGGAAAAGGTTTATTTTTATACGCAAGACTGATGCTCGATGAGCTGCTACTTCACCCCAAAAACATCCACACTCGTGTTCACAGTCTCCCCGATGGCCTAGGCGATTTATACACCGGCCTTTTACGTGAATGGGTCGCACGGTCAGGAACATCCGCCCGATTTCAGAAACTCATCTTGGAATGGGTCACTCATGCTGGCCGACCATTGCGCATGCTCGAACTCGCAGATATGGTTGAATCTTTACCCGACCGTGGAGGGCTGACACCAGGATGCAATGTGAAAGATGCTGTGAGAACAGCATGCGGACCTGTGCTTGAAGTCTGCGAGGACGGGGCCGTGCAGGTAATCCACCACTCTCTGACGGAGTTTGTCCTCAATCGTGATGTTGAGCATACCCAAATGTCAAGTCTTAGTCGTGACCATGCCGCATTCGACTCTACTGCCGTCCATTCTACGATGGCCCAGACCTGTCTTCGATATCTCACCAGTGGCCCTTTGCGGGAATGGAAACTCGGACAGCATTCAGAAGACCGAAAGGATCAGAGAAAGTCGCTTTTCCTGAAGTTTTACTTCCTCCGTTATGCCGCTGAACATTGGGTTTTCCATGTTTCCAATTCCAAAGACCTCAACAAGGACCTCATCCAAACTTTGGAAAATTTCTATCAGAACGGTAGTGATTATCAGGCGTGGAATGAAATTTGGAGGGTTTCTCGAGACGATTTACCTCATCCATGTTCTGTCTTGCATGTCGCCGCTTACTCTGGACTGGTATCACTTGCCAACCATTTGCTTTCACAGGGCTCATCGTCAAATGATGCAGACAAAGTTGGTCACACACCGTTGGTATACGCAGTTATGAAAGGTCAACATGAGATGGTCAGCTTGCTACTGGGACACGGCGCTTCTCACGACGTCAAAGTGCAGTGGAACGAAAACATACCTCGATGTCACATCATTCCTTATGCCTGCAAACTGAACCACGTCGACGTGGTACGTGCCCTCATTAATGGAGGCGTAGACCCGATGGCCCATGCTACCATTGGTGGTGGAACCACACAGCGATTTAAATTCGGCGTTTGGGATATCTATAGTGGCCCATATTATTGGAGCCCCCGCAAGGATGTCACGGCTCTTGCATCTGCTTGCGAAAAGGGATGTACTGAGGCTGTTCTCGAGTTGATCAGCCTTGTTGATCCTCCTTCCCTTTACAAAGACAATCTCCTACACATCACTGCGGAAAAGGGCAAACATGAGATTCTCTCCGCTTTGTTAAAGCATGAGAACGTTCAATTGACCATCAATGATCCTGATGTGTACGGCGACACACCAATTTACCTCGCGGCCCGCAAACGAAACGCGGCGGCAATCCAAGTCTTGCTTAATCACGGGGCGAATCCTAGCATCCTATCGATGAACAGGAACTTTCCCCCCGAGCCTCCTACACAGTTTGAAAGTTCTATCGGGCCGAGACCCCCTCCAAGTTACACGCCTCTACATGCAGTGGCGTTTGGAATTCCGCGCGGGGGGCTTGACTTCGGAAAGGACGAAGATATACTCGCATGCATAGACGTGCTGCTTGGTGCCGGTTGTGATATTAACGCAGGAAATTACAAAAAGCGCACACCGATTTTTGAGTGGTCAAGTCTCCACTGGGCAGATGAAGCAGAGAAGTTTGTTTCTGGTCTTCTTGAGCGTGGAGCTGATGCCACAATTGTTGACATTGACGGACAAACGCCTCTACATGCTTCAAATCGTGCTTATCCCAAAATAGCCAAGATTTTTGTTGATGCCGGCTGTGATATCAATGCACAAAGGATCAGTGATGGGATGACAGTCCTGATGCTAAATGCAAACCAGCAAAATCACCCTGATCCGGCCGCACTTCACGAACTAGGAGCAGATTTCGAACAACAAGACTGGCTAGGCAATACAGCTCTCCATCACAATTTCAAGCGAAGTCTCGCTGGAAGCAATTGTCATGCTGATGAGTGGTTGTCCAAATCGAACCTATACATACGGAATTACCTCGGCCGGGCGCCTCTCCATGAACTGCTATATCAAGAAAATGGATTACGCGACGATAAAAACGACCGTCAACTTGAGTGGCTTCAATCTCTTGATGGGATGCTCAAGCGCGGTGTCTCACTCGAAGAGAAAGACGGGTTTGGACGTACAGCCCTGCTGGTCGCACTCTTGAGTGACACGTCCAATCCTCTAAAGCTCGTTAAAGAGCTTTTGCAGCGAGGAGCCAATGCTCAAGTAGCAGACTCTAAGGGCAGGACAGGTATGCTAACCCCAGTATCAATACAACGAGAGAGATGCTGACGAATGATAGCTTTGCACTATGCCTTCCAGCCATCCTACAAATTATACTCGGATAAAGATGACAGCAGGCGGGAGCTGGCTCAACTGCTTATCGAACATGGAGCGAGTGTTCAAGCAACCGATCACGATGGGAACAGCATCTTCAATCACTTCATAAAGAACCAGGAAATTGTCAAAAGACGTGACTGGACCAGGTACGAAAAGCGTGCTGAAACAATCATAGAACTCGGAGTACCCTATCTCAAAGCCAATAACCAAGGAAGAACTGCCTTGCATGCCGCTTCCGAGGTCGAAGAGGACATAGGTTCCAGCCCTATAAACCCCAGGACCCGGCTAGAGTTTCTCTCTCAGTCGTCACTCCACTTGAACATCAACGAGGAAGACAATCTTGGAATCACCCCGCTTCATTTAGCGGCCTCTGCATCAGATATCAATGCGCTGACGTTGATTGAGCATGGTGCTAATATTAAAGCAAAAGATAAATCAATGCGCACGCCCCTGTCATTCGCTGCAGAAGCAGGGCAAAGCAACGTGGTTGGTTTGCTGCTGGAGCTATATCACAACGACCCTGCGCTGGTCAATCATCAGTGCATCAAGAGGCGATCTGCTTTACACGAAGCGTCTCGTTCCGGCAGTCCTGAAAGCGTTAAGCTGTTACTCGATGCTGGGGCGGATCCTTTGCTCCCTGATGAGCGGGGCCGAACAGCCTTGCATGTGGCCGCCGAATTCGAATCAAGAACTGGTCCCCAAAAAGCGGAGTCTGAACATCTCTCTGGACCACCCTTGCTAGAAAGCTTACAGTATAGTGGGCGGCCGCGCGAGGAGAAGGAACGAGACGCTGTGTCTCGAATGGGTGTTGGAATCGCCTCCGACGATGGTACCAGGTGCATCAGAGAGGTTGTTCGACTATTACTAGCTGCTGGCGCACGGCCTGCCCAAATTGACAGAAATGGCCACCGGCCATTAGACGTGGCTGTGATGCTTGGATGTGCTCCAGTTGCCGACGAGCTGAAAAGGAACGATGTTGAATGCTCAATCAAATCATTGGATCCCATTGGGGAGTCACTTCTGCTCTTGACCGATGCTCAAATCAAGGACATGGTCGATTCGACCGAACTACCTGAGAACCATACTCAATTCCTGGAGCGACTTTTTGCGACAGGAAATGAGAGTTTGGTTGAGGAGTTTGTTCGCACCAAACAACTGAAATTGACCCACACTGATGAGGATGGGGATAAATGCAAAAAACGTGGCATTTTTCTGCTTCCACGCCTGGGACTGACCTCCATGTTAGCACGATTGCTGCCATATCTCGAGGACATCGCCAATGCCATTCCGGATCTTTTGGATCTTGCCGCTCAACGGTCTTCTTCCAACCTGGAGATGGTAAAATTCCTGATCCAGCAAATCCCGAGAGAGAACAGAGATATTCTGGCAGCCTCGCTAAGTAAGCTCTGTGCTGGTAAGCGGTGGTGGCATTCCAAGGCGGTTGTCCTCCTGCTTGAGAGTGGTGTCAGCCCCAACGCTCGCGTCAGCGACCGTGGTGAATATGCAATTACAAATGCACTGGCCGTGTCTGAATGTGGCAGCATGCGTCGTCACAAATGGGGTGCTGAGATTCTTCGAATTCTGCTCAAGTACGGTGCTGACCCCAATTGCAAAAAGGGTAAATACGGTTGGACACCTTTTCACACTGCTGTCGCAACTGGTGCTGATCTCGAAACAATCACTCTTCTTCTGGAGCACGGAGCTTCGATGGGTACGGAAAGTGCTAGTTCACTTAATGCTGCGATTCGGGAAAGCAACCTTCCATTGATAGAGCTTTTGTTGAAAGCTGGTGCCGATGCAAATGGCGCAGACGACCCCCAAAATATTCCCCTCCTACAAAAGGTATCCTGCCCAAACACTGGAAATGAAATTCGAAGTGAGCACGAGGCAATCATGTCTTTTCTCCTTCGATATGGCGCCGACCCCCTTCGATCCATTGAAAACGGATCCACCACAGTGTTTCATAAACTCTGTGGCGCTTATTACGACCCTCCGCTTGGGCCGATTTTGGCGATGGGTATAGACATCGATATTAGAGATAGCCAGGGTCGCACTGCCCTCAGCAACAGCCAGAAAGTTCATATGGCTGTAGCGCTGATTGAAGCTGGAGCCGACATCCACGCCACTGACCATGCTGGGTGCACTGCATTGTATCACGCGGCCGACAAAGGAAGACCAGATATCATTATCGAGCTCTTGAAACGATCGGCTGCAGTGGATATAGTTACAAACGACGGGTTCACACCATTGACTCGAGCTTTGGATGCATATGGCGATTGCTGCTCAACACAGCACTTTGCGACGCTGAACGCCTTGTTAGACGGGGGAGCGAATCCACTCAGTCTTCTACCAGATGGAAGGTCGGCACTCCATTGTTTAGCCTCCGCTCTACGGGATTCAAGCAACAAGAACCGAGAGGCGCAGATCGAAGAGGATGGTGGTGAAGATCATTTCACCATGGCAACCTTGTTATATCAACGATTCCTCGATGCGGGATGCGACCGCAACGCTTGCGATAACAACGGGGAAACCCCAATCTTCCATTATGTGAGGGCACCAAAATCTTACAGTGGAAGGGACTGGATCGACTTTGCCCCGGTGCGTACGTCTCATCCTGATGATTGGGCCCTCTTCATTGCCACGCATGATGTTTCCAAAACGAATCTCGCTGGAGATACCCTGCTCCATGCCATTGCGCGTCGTGAAGAAAGCCCCTGTGATTCATCGGATGACGAAAGCCTGCTTTTCAAGGCCTTGGTTGATTTGGGACTCAACCCTAGGAAGGAAAACAATCAGGGTGAAACAGCGTTGGATATCGCCGCGACTCAGGAAAAGACGGAAATCCTGGATTTGTTTGCGCGGAAGGAGTAGTATCAATACACACTAGGGCATGTGGCGCTCAACAGTCGGTTTTGTTTCAAAGATGTTGCTGTCTGAATTAGATGTTGTAGCTCTCTGTCTGGTTCAATGTCAATTCCCTCGTGAGGTTTGTTAGTTACTCCGTATCAAATGTTGGATAAAAACGCAGTCAGCCCTCGAGCCCAAACAGATAATTTGATACGAGTAGCTGACTCTTCGCGGGCCAAACATCCGGCTCCTCTTTACCTGTCACTTTTCTGTTTTTTGAGCTGTCGTAATCAGCTGAGCCCTGTCAAGTTGATCGGACGATCTTATATCTATGCGGTTAGAGGATAACCTTGTTGTTGATCAATATAGAACTGATCTGCAGGGAATGTGCACGGACACCACTCGAGTCGTATTCATTCTCAACACTGTGATTGGCATTGCTTTTGACAGCTATCTCTACTTACATACGAGTACTGGCAAGTGATAGTTTGGATGCATCGCCTAATAGTATATCCCGCCATGTTCATACGGGACTCTGTGCGATCCGGGGCGATTACAACTGTTCCCAATCGGTTCTTATAGACTCGTTGATCTATGTCTAACTTTCTTCGTGAGCTGGGCTGAATGGCAACTTAGGGCACGGAATACCCACGGAGCGCAGGAGCCAGACCAGAGTTCCCCGCACTACGAGTACCACGATGTGACCTCCCTTGCATCTCGAGCATTCCGATATGTCGATCTTCGGCCCCCATTTCTTTGTGTGCATCGCACTATTAGACCCACAGGAAGCCGAACACTCCTTAGCCCGACCGCCGATTTCAAAGCTTTTATATCAAAACGAACCCAGCGTCTTCAAGATCCCGGCTCTCACTGACCTACCAGAGACCATGCTTTCACATCCGACTGACTCCCTTCTGGTGTCTGTGCTGCTATGTCTCCTCCCAGCAGTCCTTTTCTTTGTGTGGAGACTTGACCCCCAGCGGCGGGATCTGCCGGTGATCAACCCCCGGGACCCCTGGAGCTTAAGCACCGGCTCGGCCCGGTTGCGCTTCCTTTTGGGCGCGCCCGCGTTGATCAAGCAAGGACTGTCAAAAGTTAGTTATCTCATTACTCGAACCGAGTATGGCGACGGAGCATTTCGTGCAATTTCTGCAGATGGCATTGGCTGACTGACGTTCGCGAATAGTGGAAAGTCTTCCAGGTGCTCACAGATGATGGTCCGCAAGTCGTGCTTGCCCCCGAGTTCACCAAGGAAATCCGAAACCATAACTCCCTCAGCCTGGGTGCTTTCATGTACCAGCGATTCCATGCGAAGCTGAACGCGTTTCGTCCATATCAAGCATTCTTCGAGAAGGATGAGGCGTTCATCAAGTTTATTCGGAAGAAGCTAGTGCCTCAGGGTAAGCAATAAGCAATAGGCTTTGCGGTATCGCAGTTTTCAAAATCGGCGCGTTCGGCTGCAGGAATTTTAAGCTGACTGTCCTTTTGCCCAGCCGAGCTAGTCAAGCCACTATCTGATACCACATCCAGCGCTCTGCGCACGGAATGGACCGACAATACCGGTATGCCAACACCAAAACCTTTCTCGATCTGACAGGCTAACCTCCAATGCTTCAGAATGGCACCAGGTAGCGCTCAAATCAAGCCTGGCAATGGTTATCGCCCGCGTTCTCGCTAAGACCTTCGTCGGGGAACCACTATGCAACAATGTGCGCTGGCTGCAGATCATGGCTCAATACACTGTGGATTCCGTGCAGGCCTCGGAGGCGCTCCGAAAGTGGCCTTCTGTACTGCGTCCCGTCATGATCCATATACTCCCGGTCTGTCGCAATCTTAAAGCGGAAATGAAGGAAGCGGAGAATCTGATTGGTGCGGTGCTGGAGGAACGGCGACTGGAGAAAGAAGCTGCTGCGCAGGCTGGCAAGACACCACAGCAACACATGGATGCGTTTGAATGGATGGATCAGCACTATAAAGAGATGGGCCGGTCGTGTGACCCGGTTATTGTTCAGCTGGCACTGGCAGTGACGGGGATGCACACTACCACTGATATGCTTGCTCAACTACTTTACGATCTCGGTGGCAAAGATCATTTGATCAAAGATCTTCGTGAAGAGGTTGTGACAGTGATCCAGCGAGAAGGACTGACAGTCTCTAGTCTCAACAACATGCGTCTGATGGACAGCTGTCTGAAGGAAAGTCAACGACTGAAGCCCGTCCAAGCAGTTGCGCTGCAACGTATTGCCTTGAATTGCTTTGACTTGTCTGATGGTACACATGTTCCAAAAGACACTCCCATCATCCTGTCAGCTGGCATGTGGGATCCTGAAGTCTACACATCTCCCTATGAATTTGATGGGTACAGGTTCTTGAAAATGCGACAAAACTCAGCTACCGAGACCGAGACTGCCGCGTTAGCGGTGACTCCAACATCGGATCATATTGGCTGGGGCCTGGGCAAACATGCTTGTCCAGGCAGATTCCTGGCGATACATGAGATCAAGATTGTACTTTGCCATCTTCTCACACAATATGACTTTGAAAGTGCCGACAACAAACCGCCACAGACTATTATTATGGGCACTGCTACACTCGCCGACCCATTCGCGCTGTTCAAGGTCAAACGACGGGATCAAAACAGCAGCGATGTGCTGTCAATTTAGAATTATCTCAAGCGTGACTTCTTTTCGATGCTTTTGGGCCCTACTTTACGCATGTTTGAGTATATAAATATAATAATGACTGTTACCTGTTCAGGCGACGACATCGTCTATATATGTCACTCACCCACATACCCCATAGCCCTCTCCAGGCTTAAGTGACAATGGACCACAAATACTTAGTACAAACTACTGTTTCCAAGTTTGTTTCCAACTTTTTCCTTCTCCTCACACATAAAGCTCGACTTGACTGATATGTTGATCAACTATTACATAGTATCACCGATTGGCGCAATCTAGCTGATTCACAGTTGCTATGTTACTGTTCATCAGACCGCAAAAACATATGCCTAGTAGATCTTGCCAGCCTCGATCAGTGTTTATGCCAGGTTGATCTGCAGTCCGAGAGTCGCGTTCATCACGGCATTTCCGTAGAAGAACTCCGTGCTGTCCCCAATTATTAGTGAAGAGAGAGCGCAGTCAGGACAAGCGGAACTTACCCAGCATTACCAACATTCACATATGTGGATTCCTTGAAAGTACCCACCTTGGCCATCGCAAGCAGCCAGTCCTTCAGGTCTCCAGAGAACGAGCCATCAAACTGCTTGGCAGGCATCAAGGTGCTGACAGTGATTCCGGTGTCGGTGTTGACGTCCTCGTACAGAGTCCACGAGGTCCCGAATAGATCGTCAATGGTCGCGGACGGGCCGTTTGTCCAGCCGATTGGGAGCTGGCCACCCTCGTACTGCAGCCAAAGCATGAGCTCGTGCGAGGAGGATGAGGTCGAGTCGCCCTTGATGTCATTGGTCATGAAATCGAAGCAAATGTTTCCTGCTCGTTGCTCCTGTGTCAGCCTTCCATGCCAGAAATTTTTCATCCACTGGATTTGAAAAACTACACTGCCGTACCCTTGAATTCGGTGGTGTTGGTGCGCGTCCAGCTATAATCCGCAGGGATGGAATCGATAGCGGAGATCTTGGTCTCGAGGTTTTGGGTCAGACCGACAAAAGAGTATCCCTTAGGCACGTTGTTTCTGCAGAAACTATTAGTCAGTCGCCGATATAGACACATATTCGATAACCTTACGTGCTCTCGACATAGTCAATGTCAGTCACACTGCTCCATTCAACCTCTTTGGTGCCAGTTTTGCTTATGGTGACTTGGCCATAGTTTGTACATTGCGTGCCAACAATCTGTGCGGCATTGTACAGCATGTTGTAGACGATCCATGGCGTATCTGGCAGAATAAGATTGGCGTAGTCTCCGCAAAGCTGGGTTGAAGATACGGCCCGAGAAGCAAGGTCACCCAGTGTCGGGAGAGCGGAAGCAGCAGGGCTGAGGGATAAGGCCGCCAGGGCAAGGGATTGTTTGAAAATCATCTTTAGATAATGCAAGCTCCGAAACCAGCAGAGACAATTGCTTGAAAAGAATGTATTAAGATGAGAGAGAATGTGAAACAGTTTTCGGGACCGGTTCTTCGGGAGAACCGCTGGTTTTATAAACGGTAGTTCATGTCCTTGGTTAAATGGGACTCCTCTAGCTCTAACACCCAAGTGGGGACCCCTATCACGAAGGATGATAGTCAAGACGCAATCTGAAACCCTAGTTTGGACATTGCAGGAACACAGTTATTAAAGGAGTAAAGCATGTTTGTGCTACATTATCAGGCCGTGCGGGAAAACTCTAGTCCATGAGGTTCTCTAGACCGACATCCGAATGGTGTTACGGGGCACTTATAGTTATCAATCGGGGGGAAGAAGCCTAATTTCCACCCCGGCCGCGATCCGGTCAGGGGCTCCACATGTGGGACTAGTCCCTACTCCCTATTCCGTGTTTTCATCAAAATCATAAAGGAGTTCAATATCCAAACGGCTTTTGTATATTGAATTCGATTTCAGTATTTTGACTACGAGTACTCGTAGAGGACTTTACTCGAGGAGGACGGCGGGGACCCACTGCTAATCGGCATGCTGGGAGGTTAGCAAAGCTCCAGTTTCTCGTTCTAGGCGGACTTATTCTTCAAGACACTAAGATTGAGAATAGAAGGAGAAGAAGGGTAGAAATACTACTCCGCACCGGAGTACGGAGTAGATCTGGGTTGACCAAGTATTGGATGCCTGAGGAATTCAGCTCACGAACCCTTACACGCGAGTAATTTGTGAATATCAATCGGGAATGAGGTAGGGAAATCATGATATTCCTGGTTTAACCCTTGACATCCGAAACTACTTAAGCATAAGCAGTGCATCTCATCCAACCAAACATAGCTGTTCCCATTCTAAGTTCTCAATCGAGCGTCGGGGGAGCCCAGGTCTATGACACGGAAACTGGTAAGGTTTCGGTCAGCCTAGGTAAACTCCAGAGTTTTCTTTGTGAGTTACTTCTTGTCACCATCCCTGAGTCTTTCGAAAGCCCATCGGTTGACTCTAGTGGGTGCGTGTTGTCGATATCACCATCGGACTTTTGATCGGCAATATTCATCACTTGTACAAGAAGTGGTACGAGAAGCACGCTCCACCCGATCTCATAGACACTGGTCTGAAAATACGACGCCATTCCTTGGATCATACAGCCATCTCAAAGCGCATAATAGCCAAGGACATGCAGGTAAGAAACATTCTCTTCCACGATTATGTTCAAACCGATCTAATCTCCCAACAGTTTAATGAGACTCCCGTCAAGTACCCCTCCACACCCACGGATATACCGTGCAGTAGTTATGGGGCGCCTGAAGGATCTCTACACGCGCTAGAGATACAGGCTTGAAGGTCCCTGACCTCCCCAAAGAACCGATCAGGAGGATGGAGCTGACTTGTCACCTACACCCTGTACCAAATACGAGTGCCTGCAGGATTGGGTGGCTCGGGCTTCTCATACCACTTCTTGTAAAAGTGGTGAATATTGCCGATCAAAAATCCGATGGTGATATCAGCGGCAACCACCAAACAGATTAAGACCTTGACCTCTTTTTCAAGAAACGATATGGTCGACCGTCGCCCGGCATCCATGAGCTCCTTCACGGCCTCCGGGGGAAACAACAAACAGATCTTGGGCTTCGGAAAGTATGAAGTGGTGAGAGCGGATAGAAGAATGTTTGCTATTTATCAGGGACCTGGAAAGGAAGAAGAAAAGAAAAGAAAATTGGGAGATGCTTCTGTTTTGGTGCCATTGTTGTTGCAATGTTAGGAAGGTGCGAACATTGGAAGAACTTCGGTCCAGCTGATATCAAACGGGCAATCTTCTACCCGTTTCTCAACACTTCCTATTTTTCGATGCCTCCTAAGATATGTTTGTTGCTTCCTTCGCAGGCTGTGAATGAGGTCTTGGATGCCGAACGACGGTCGATCATATCGGTTTTCGAGGTCTCATCTGTAGCTTCCTTGGGCCCCTCACCGTGATGAATAGTGGAACTATGGTCATCATCGATTTTTGTATGTACAAATGAACAAATTGAAGCAGTACTGAAAGTCAAAAACTTGGAATTAGCTACCTGTTGGAGCATTTCCTGAGCCCTGGTTTCAATCCTTGTTAATAATTCATTCTCTCGAATGACATAAAAGCAGAAAATGCGTCTGGTACTTGATTATTGCAAAGGGAATTCATCGTAGGTATTCCATTCTTCTTCTGGCAATGTGCTTTAACGATCAAGAGAAAGTGGAAAAATACGTGGGCGCATTCTGTGCAGTGTTACAAGGGCCAAGAGGTTTTCCATGAAAGAATCCAATCACAACACATCTCTTTCCATACTTAAGTACCGGGCAAAGCGCTGCAGCGTATGCAGGCCCTCCTTCTATTTCTATCTCTCTTTTCGACTCTCATTTCCTCTCTCTTCCCCCGGTGCGCACTTTTGTTCCACATTGCAACAGAGATACTAATACATGCTCTTCTTTCTTTTCTTGGGCAGCCGTTTCTTTGCCCTTTGTCCCATTGTCTTCTTTTGGCGTCGGCTCAGCCGACATTGTTTATGGATTCCTCCATTCCGAGATATGGAGGAAGCCTCAGGGTGCAGCGCAGCCATTGCAGCAGGTGTCGCTAGGCCATCGATTGATGACTTGACAGGATCGTCAAATTTTGGATTAGTCAACGGTGACTTTTGAACACTCTGGGCACCTGTTTCAGAATCCTGGAACGCTGCGCCAGTCTGTTGAACATTGCTGCCACCGGAAGCGAAGACACCTAGTGTTGTTACGGCCAAGATGGAAGAAATATCCTTGCTACCATCCCTTGCTAGCATGCAATACCTGTCTCGGTCATTGAGTGTCTTTTCAATCTGCTGCGCTGCGCCAGATGCATGAAAGATGCGCGCAAGAACTGCATAGACCTTAAAGAGCTCGGGGCTCGGAAGATCGTATCTTTGGTCATAAGACTTGAATCTAACGAACTGAAACAAGCTTGAGATTGATTTCAGTCTTGGGCGGTAGTTTTGAATGCGGTATCTGTCAGTGCGGGAGGTCTCTTCGAAAGCAATATCAAATCGCCGAAAGTGGTAATGCACCTCGTTTGACATGGTGATTCTGTTGGAAATACTGTTGATATTCTCCTGAGTGAAGTTCATAGACTGGAGGGTTGGGAAATGACGAGCAAGGTTCGTCCAGATGATGTCTTTCGCATAGCCTTCAGACTCCGTGCTCCACGACGAGAGAGAAAGCGGGATGATGTGGACACAGTCTGTGTATGCCGTGCGGGTTTCGATGCGTGGATCAAGAATTTCTTTATCAGGAAATCCAGTCACAGCACATCTGTTATCATCACGGGCAAGACACTCTGTCCTGAGGTGAGCGTCTCTTTGCTTGGACTCAGCCAACTCAGGAGTGACATCGTCATCGGGGTAATTCCATCTGAGCATCGTATAACGAGTTGGGGTGACACTTGGGGTTAAAGGTAGCCATCGGAAATGCCTGAACTGAGCCCGGTTCTACCGCTAGATACACTAACTATGCACTGTTCTGTAAGATTCAGACGAAGCAATCAAATCTCATAAATAGTTGGGAGCAAATGAGACCTGGGGCCCCGTCCATTGATAATGATAAATCTGAAGGATCACACCACTAATAAGATATATAGAAAAGAATATGAAACCCGATGCCAACTACTCAGACATTTCAACATCCTCGTTGACCGTTTTCATGACGCTCGCGAGCAAGCTTGTCTCTTCCTGTTCGTAGCTCTCGGAGGAGCTTTCCTGGGAGTGGGTCGGGGAGGTCATTGCTGCCCGACGAAACAAGTGCACGAGGAGCCCCAGTGGCTGGTTGAACGGGTCTTCAAAACTTTGCGTAATTCTGTGCGATCACTAAAATGGGTTAGAACATCGGATGAAAATGTTTTAAACGGAAAGGCTCACCTTGGAGTCATTTGAAATCTTCAAAAACCAGAACATGGTCCCGGTTGTTGCCATGCCGTATACTGTGGCGTCGCGCCTCGGCCAGCGCTTGCGCTCTCGATGTATACATCCTTTGAGGTAGATTAGCTCTGTGATATATGATGTCAAAGATACTAGAGCTCACCCATATAGCCCAGTGCCTGGGCAGCGCCAGCCTCTATGTCAGACTTTTTGGCCTCGACAATGAGTACATTGAGACACAAGGCCTCGTTTGTCCCGTACCAGACTCCATAGTCTGGCCGGGCTGTGAGGATGACCTTTTCGCCCTTGTACTCTACTGGGCCATGTAAAAATCCGTGCTCAGCTTGTACGTTGATTGGCTGGCCGCGTACAAGGTTATTTGAGGCCATTTGGTTGGCTCTCAGTAGGAGCGCATCTATCGTCCAGCGGACGCTTGCCTCGCTGGCCGAGGGATGAGTGGAGGGCTTTTCGACGAGGGCCAGTTTCTGGGCTATATCAAATTAGCTGAATTGCTTTTATTCTCCTTCTTCTTGTTCTTTCGAGTTTCATACTCAGACACAATGGAAGACCACTAGGCTGGACAGAGTCCGACTCCCAGTCGAATAGGTCATGATTAGGCTTGGCGTCTGTGTCTTCTTTCAAGCTCGATTCGAAATTTTGCCGGCTTTGTATTGATCCAAGGCCTTATTAGCCTCTTTGTTACACAAAGTGTAACTAAATATGAACTTAGTAGGAGATGAGATGGAATGTAAGGAGATAATGGAAGAGAGAAAGTGAAGAGAAAGTGAAGAGAAAGTGAAGAGAAAGTGAAGAGAAAGTGAAGAGAAAGTGAAGAGAAAGTGAAGAGAAAGTGAAGAGAAAGTGAAGAGAAAGTGAAGAGAAAGTGAAGAGAAAGTGAAGAGAAAGTGAAGAGAAAGTGAAGAGAAAGTGAAGAGAAAGTGGAGAGAAATTGAAGAGAAAGTGAAGAAAAAAGTCAAGTGAAATAGAGAAAGTATAGACGATCTGCTATTGCATGCAGTTGCCAATTAATAATTTGACGTCCACTGTTCTTTCTATATCAATCAAAACAGGTATTCTTATTATCTATTTTCTCCTGCTTCCATAGATAGTTCTTTTCTTTCTTCTCACGGTCGCTTTCATCGTGTTGAACATTGATTGATAGCCTTCTTCAAGAGAGGCGATGACCAACCTAGGTTATGAACAGGCTTATGGGTAATCAGTCGCATCTCCGACCAGCCACAAAACATATCGACCTGTTCCCCATCGAAGCAACCATCGCAGAAAGAGTTCGTGAGATACAGCTCAGCTTCGATGAGCTCAGGTTATATGAGACACATGTCGGAACCTAGGAGGATCCTAGTCAGCACAAGGCCCTCGGTGCATTCCAATTGGTGAGGGATTCTCAGCTGGAGGTGCTTAATATTATTTCAGAGATATCCCAACACTCCGCTGGACAAATCGTTCCCTCTTTTCTTTTTTCTGTGCACACGATATTTCCCTGCTTACAGCCAATTCTCCCGCAATCAGCCTTCTTATAAAGCCACTGCCATACATTACCTCAATCCCGTGGTGATTCTGACGATTTTGGCCCTGGTGAGACTACCCTCTGCTCCGGTTTGTGTTCTCATTGCAGTATTAACAGAGATTCACTGCTTAGGTGATTGTGCTCTCCCGAGTGGGGGCTCTTCCAATTGGGCGTCAACCTGCCCCCATCGAATCGAAAATCTACCTCTGATAAGACCAATGACTTTGATCGCCAAACTGATGCCCAATATCTCTTCCTTGGATAGCCCCCCAATCCAGGGAATTTGGGAAAGTATGAGCTATTATCAATCTGGGTAGCAGGCATGGTTTACCTGTCTCCTTGAGCAATATGGTATGTCTGTTCATCACATCAATTTCACATTCCACAGTTCATCTTAAACTTCTAACTCTACTAGAATAGCACTATCTTCCCATCCTTCATCGATTAAAACAGAGGCAAACTCTACCCGAGGATATTGCTGTGCGCCGTCACTGTTTCTCTTCCTACCCTCGATCTTGGAAATACGCCTTCACTTCGCTTTCATTCTTGGTCATTTGTTGATCATAGCGGAGTAAGTTCATCTTTACTTCTATTTCCTCCATCTACTTACTTAAACCACTATCTATCTAGTAATAACTCTAACGGCTATCGTGAGAGACAGTTCATTAATTTTTCCGTGCTTTCAAATGTGATCAGTGCTCATGGCTATCCATCGGTTACGGGGTGGGCGAGCTATTTAGCAGCCTTTGATGCTCAAAAGAGGGCTTGTTTATCGCCCAAAACACGAGCACTGAGGATTTGAGGAAGCCCAAAAGGGTGGTCGACTCTCACCTCTTGCACAAGACAGTCGCACTCGGCACAGTCTATTCGTGAGATCAAATCCACAACATAAATGTTATGTGTCTTAAGTCATACAGATGGTCAGCTTACCCCGGCAGATGGTACTTCAAGAAGCAACCTCTGCCTGGAGCGGTAATCTAATGTGGTTGGGCCAGGTGTGGTGTTTCTGAAATTCAAAAAACATGCATCATTGTCGATTTGGACCAAACTTGAAGGAGGTATAACCCATGTAAGAATTGTATCAAAGTATGGTTTGTTCTACTGCCAAAGATCTGATTCTACGATTCTCTTCGCGGCGGTGAAGTACCACTTCCCCATACTTTAACACTATAAAGGGCAATCAAGGATCAATAAAGCATCATTACAAGTAATAAATCGACTACGAAGGGGCGGAAAAGGAAACACGAAACGATTTATTTGAGGAATGGATAATACTGTGTCTCTGGCTGCTATTGGCTCCATGTGTCTACCAAGTCCATTGAACTAGGCACCAAAGTTCTTTCTCAGAAACTCCGCTGTTGCCATATCGTTGTTTGTAGCCAGGGTTAACAACGTGACTTTTATATAAGGCTTTTCCACAGCGCTAGAAGCCTGGCACACGTATGTGCAGCGAAAGAGAGCGGAATGGGCCGAGCGTTCATTTAATCAACAATGCATCTTCTTAGCTAAGAGACAATATTATATTTGTCAATATGTAGTCCTAGCATTTGGGGCCTGAGAGCTTGGCTCGCTCGGTTACCGGCGGCCCCGAAGTTCCCGAAGCTCGGCAAGATGCGGCATTGACGGACAACTAAACCACAAAATTTCCCAAAGAGACCTTACGACTTCAGGTTTACCTGAATTCGACGATGACGCGATAATCGTTCGTCTTGCTGATAGGATACTCGGCTAATCCTCGGTCCTATGTCAGTTGAATCATGTCTCCGTCGTCGGATGCTATGTACTTTCTTTCGGAGCCTCAGCTACCCGATGGCTGCTTGCAAGTGAATAACATACGGATGCATCTGAACTTTGGATCCGATATAGGAGCCCAGTACAACCGAGAAATTCCCTGTTTTGAGATTGCGGAATGACTCTACGTGAAAAATCCGTATTTTCCGCGGTGCTCACTCGACTATAAAATACGAAACCCAAGATTGACTTGAGGGTATGCAGGAAGTGCTCTAAAAAACGACAGAATATCAACCTCTCCTTGTACTTTATCCCATTTTTCTTCTTTTTCCTTCCGGTTTTTATCGATTCTGGCTGCCCTCTAGAAGGTGTTGATAAACAAGCCCACACATTCACTCGCCACAACCAAAATGGCGGACGAAGTTACCCTTGCGCAATACCTCTTTCTCAGACTGCACCAGCTCGGAGTACGAAGTGTTCATGGCGTTCCTGGAGATTACAACTTAGTTGCCCTGGATTATGTTGAACCTTCAGGGCTACACTGGGTTGGTAATGCCAATGAACTCAATGCTGGATATGCAGCCGATGGCTATGCAAGGATCAAAGGAATGTCAGCATTGATGACTGCATTTGGGGTTGGAGAATTGTCCGCTCTCGATGCTATTGGCGGAGCATATGCAGAGAAAGCCCCGGTGGTTCACATTGTTGGCGTCCCATCAACTGCATCCCAGGATCAGGGTCTCTTTCTACACCACTCATTTGGAGACGGAAATTTCCGCCTGAATGCAGAAATCTACGCGAAGTTTACATGTGCTCGGGCGAACTTGAGAAATGTAGAAACCGCCCCTGCTTTGATCGACGAGACTCTACGGCAATGCTTGCTCCAAAGCAAACCTGTCTATATCGAACTGCCTACGGACTTGGTCAAGGCCCGTATTCCAACTGCAAAGCTTGAAAAAGCAATTGATCTGTCTGTTCCTCCAAATGATGCAGTTATTGAGAATGCTGCCATTGAAGATATCCTCAGGCGCTTGTACGCTGCCAAACAGCCCTTCATTATTGTTGACGGTCTTGCCCCTCGGTATGGAATAAGTTCCGAGGCAGATGAGCTCGTTCGTGTTACTGGATTCCCTACATCAACTACGCCTTTTGGAAAAGGAGTCATCAACGAGACATACCCCAACTTTCATGGTATCTTCGCAGGAGCCGCCGGCAAGGAGATTTATATGCCCTGGGTAAACTCCTGCGACCTTATCGTCCGCATTGCACCATTGAATGCAGACACCAATAGCTACGGCTTCACAACATTGACAAACCGCAACGTGACCATTGAGGTGGACCACAATGGGGTCGAGGTTTGTGGGGCTCTTTATCGCAACCTGAACATCAAAACCCTCTTGCGGAAACTGCTTGATCGTTTGGATACATCGAGGCTCCCGCGGCTGAGCCCGTACCCGGACCTTGGAGATCCCAAACGGCTGCTCGATCAACTAGCTGAGCCAGCCCGCGATGCAGTTATTGACCAAGAGACTTTCTGGCAACGAATTTCAAAATTCTTCCGCTCAGGCGACATTGTTATGACCGAGACCGGCACCTCCTCTTCCGGTGGAAGAGACTTCGTTTTGCCTCCGCAGACAACAGTGATCAATTCTGCTCTCTGGCTTTCGATCGGGTATATGCTTGGCGCATGCAGCGGTGCGGCCCTGGCTCAACGCGAGATGATCTCCGCAAAGAGCCGTCCGAACGGTCGAACAATTCTGTTCGAGGGTGACGGCAGTCTCCAGATGAGTGTGCAGGCCATTGGCGATATTATTCGCAACCGTCTTGACGTAACTATCTTCGTGATCAACAACGATGGCTACACCATTGAACGCTATATCAACGGAATGCACGCCGGGTATAACTGGGTCCAGCCCTGGCGGTATCTGGAGTCTGCGCGGTACTTTGGTGCCCCCGAGAACGATCCCGAGTATCCGGTGTTTAATAAGCGAGTCGAAAATTGGGGTGAGTTGATGGATGTTGTGCAAGATGAGCAGTTGAAAGCTGGCAAGGGCTTCAATATGGTGGAAGTCGTCATGGATAAAGAAGACGCACCGTCTTCTTTGAAAAATCTTGTGCGAATGGCGGCGAAGAGAAATGAGGGAGGTAGTGAAACTTCACCGGCACATCAAGAGTTAGAGCAGAGGGTTATGGCGACGTCGTGATTTATTTTAGAATACGGGAGATGATCCCAAAAATCCAGTAGCAGGATCCACCTAGAAAATGAAATTTACTCAAACTTCATAAAGGATTCATACATCAGTCATTCTGAAAGTAGACACGGTCACCATCATCAGGATCAAGACCCACGTCACCAAGAAATCTAGTTGAGATGACCTCGCCGCTGGTTACTGAGATCCTGTGTCAACATAGCTGGCAGCTGGATGATAAGAATGGAATAAATGCCCAGGTGGGTCCATCATGACTTCTGAAAAAGATGAGTCCGTCAAAGCTTCGATCTAGGAAAGTCCTCTGGGTATCACAAGATTTGGCTCAAGCTCGTACAGTGCCCCTGGTCTGGCACAAGATGTATCCTGGCAATTCAGCGAGATTCCCACCAGTCTGGACCTGCTTGGGGGTGGATAAATTTCATCATACGCCGAGGTAGTCGAGTGCAGGTGATAGCTTTCGGCAGGTGTACCAGGTTGATACCATACGTTGCGCCGAAGTGTCTCACCGGGGACAGTAATACCAGATCCAGGAAGAGGCTCCGATGGAAGACTGACCGTGGAAAGGGCAGATTGTTCTCTCGACTCAAGGGCGAACTCGATGTTTCTCATCTCGTAGTCTGTGTGTGTCATCCAAACTCCAACCACTCGAGATTCCGATGGGAAATGGACTGTCTGGCAGAGGAGAGTATCATCAAGCCTTCCAAGCTTTGCCCTCTTGCCAGACGGATAGATGAAGACGATTCCAGTAATCGCCTGATCTCGGAAGAAGGCCTCGACTGCGACAACAGTCTCCCAGTCATCATTATTGCCATTATATCTGGTAAAATAGAGCTTTTGGATTTGATCAAATGGTGGAGCTCGTTCCGGGACTGATACTGGCGCGGGTCGATATGGATTTACCGAAAACACTGCCCGGAGTCGATCATAATACGCATTCAAGATCCACGAAATTGCAACTATTTCATCTCCAGATTCAGGGTCACTATGATAAGTGTCCTGTAGACCTTGGCAATCAAGGAATTTTGATGGCGTTGTTACTTCTTGTGTGGACTTGAATGCCATGCTACGAGAGTGGGTGGTCTCGATTTGGATTGCGGTGACTTGGCCTAACTTCATGCCGGGGCGCTCATCATTGAACCCCATTGTAGTAATCCGAATTGTCAAGGATTGAACCTTTTCACCCCGGGACAATTCAAAGCTGTCGGACTCTTTGAGCCATTGGCCTAGCACTGCAGGGCTGGGATGATCGAAGTACTCGATTTTCAAGCCGGATATGCAATTGTCAAATCGAGATAGACCTTCAATGTCGATTGACGCCTGGATTTTACGCACGTTTTTGAGCGTTGCATAGGTTTGGTAGTCCCTCAATCTCCCACCGCCTGTATAACAGGAAAATGCATCATCGTATAGGACCTGATTCCTAGGAACGTGGTGGCAGTCGTGATCCACGATATCCGTGCTCTGGTATAGGCCAAATTGTTCGACATTTTGCTGCGCCTGATATCCGATTCGGGTAAACTGAGTTCGGAAGTGCTATTTTGATCAGACTTTGCTGTTTGGGCCGGTATCTTTGCCTGTGGCGCTGTAACATACCTCATTCATAGAAATTAGCCCCGTGATGAAGCTACCGGGCGGTAAATCCGGGAGAGATTTCACGGAATTTTTGATTCGAGAGCGCAGAGGAGCAAAACTAACAGATCTTCCAAAATTGGTCGAGATCTGAACATCGGGTCAGCATCGTATCAACTGTCGGGGATTGCCAGATTAACCTGTAAGCCACTGAGATCTTTTACCAAATGGTATCGCGAGCTCTCTTCAAGAACATCGATTCGATCAATACGCTCTCCTTTTGATCCCTCGATAAACAAAGTGAGCTTGCACTCATTTCCTGACCCGCACAAGAAAGAATGCCCATCGGAGAGAAAGACTTCGATCCCTGTCAGCGGCAGGCGGGAGTTGAGGGCTGCCATATGAAATGTTAGCCGCGTCAAACGCCCGAGGTGCACACCTTTTGGGCCGCCGAAGTCGATATTCATCAAACGGTCAAAAGGTCCGGGCGACTCGGACAGTGGTAGAAGGTGACTACATTTCACATCTTTTTCGTTTGGGGGATGCGGTGCCCATAACACAGACTGAATATCAAATGCATCAGTCACTTCATTCAAGGGGCGGTTGGATGTCTTGCCGAGGGCAAGTAAGACGATTTTAAAATCGTCCAGGCCAGCAAGAAGATGGGGCCACCAAGAGCCGGTTTCTGGGATGGTCAATCTGCCGGATAAAATTCCCCAGCTTTGTTTATCTCCAACCCAGCCGGATGATGCGTCCTTGAAATCGAATACAACCTCTCTCAGGCCTTCTGAACAAAATCTCACACCAATTTCTCGCAACTCGGAAGCGGGCGGCATCTGTACCCATTCTTCCGACGAGGGAATACGGTATCCGATAACACGGCTGGTGGAATCGTGGAAGTTGATTCCCGAGATGAAGCTTTTGGCACCGAGTTTGATGGTAGAGACGCCAATCCGCCGCTCAGTTGGCTGGTGTGGAAAATATAAGGACTGCGACCTATAGAAAAGTTGCCGACATCCCTTATCTATGGGACCGTCCTTCTTAGGGTTCCATGGGTGACCCGAGTAGGAATCTCCAATCTGTAGCGAAACGGGGGACTCAGAAGTTGCGCCATCGGGACATTGAAAAGCTGCCGGGTTCTGCGTAGGGCACCACACATATCCATGGGGGCCATTCCTTAGGATAGGACAGCCTCTAGATCACAAAGAGCTGCGATGGGTTCTAAAAGACTCCTGACCCTCTTTCGATTGATCAAACTCAGGGACTTCTTCAAAGAAATCCGGATACCCTGAAAAATTCTTGCCCAGTTTCGGGCTGTGGTGAGTTTGAGGAAAAGGAAGTCCATTTCTTGACCAATGCAGAACCTACCGCGCCAGTAGGACTGCGAAAAGACACTGGTGGTTGCTATCAGGGCGAAATCTCGACACACAAGCCTTAGAGTTAAGAGCTCTGCAAAGGACAGATAGGATAGAATTTCGGATACCAGCTCCGTGGGAAGCTTTTTGAACGCATGGACACAGGGCTTGAGCGAATTGGCGCAAATGACTTTTGAGGTGTCTTCGAGAGAGCGGAATAGGGCTGGTATTTGATTGGATTGGAAAAGTGCAAAGGCACGGCTGGTATCTTCCACGGGCAGACTGACACCTGTCCCACTGCCCAAATGTGGTTGGATGTTGGCTTCAATAGCCGATATTGAGGGGATCGCATAAGGGTCAGCATAATATTCTGAGCTCAAATCGATAGGTTTTATCGGTCCAAATCTGACATGCGTTTTAGCAGCGCCCCCGTAGTTATGGCCGAGTTTAAAAACGGAGCCCTTCGGGCACGGTGTGGAACATAGCTGGTTAAAAAGTGGTCTTAAAATAGTCTCCTCAACGTGTAGAGGGTTGGTATCTCTAATGCCGAGTCTGAGGAGAAGGATATTCCAGCAGGAGTCATGGAACGCAAAGCACCAACAGTGATCGGATAGTTCGGAGATTCTCCACACTTCTAGCGCATCGAGATCTTCACCAATGTAAGATCGATGGCTTTCAGATGGTGCGCAAAGATTCTTTCGGGCCTGTATTATTCCCAACCCAGTCAAACCGACAGAGCCAGGTATATCAGTGGGGTATATTCCTCGCGCTTCTGTGTACCAGGGGCGAGGCTGGGCCTGTGAAGACGGCGGACTCTCCCAGTACGGATCAGGCAGCAGAATGATCCCACAGAAGGGGCAATAACTGTTGGCAAGTGGCATTGTCCGACGCGACGTGTGTCCTGAGGCCCGCGAGTCTAGTTAGCAAGTGAGGTTTGATTATTTGTTGACAGTAGCCCCTGAAGCCTGAAAGGAATGGTCAGTCAGCGCACTAGTTGTCCACGGGTGAAAGGTGAAGTTCGTGCAATGATGGGCATTTTGCCGAACGCCATGTCTTGCTGGCCGAATGCAAGCACCCGTCCCTCACCAGAACTGGCATAATACCCCGCGCTCCAATTATCAGTTCCGACACGACATCGCTTATATTATGAAAGCTTCCCAACGGCCTCAGTCTTAATCGTTGGAGTCTAGATTAAGATCTGATCAAAAGAGATCGTCCATCTAAGGCTCGGGCCCTGACTTTCCGAGGTGGGTCCCGCCCGCTTGTCCCAAGGTTTACTCCGTACTTATGACTTGGGTCGGTAATTATTGATCTCTACCTACTTAAGTAGTATCCTAGAATACCAGTCTGGCGATCTAAGAAACGAGTTTTAAAAAGCCCCTTAGCCCTGGAGGGCTCCTGGTAACCATTGGTGGACCAGGTCAATCGTTGGGGTTTCATTATGGTGCCCGATTCCTGCTTTGGGTTAATAGCTTAACTGCAGGAGGCCCCGCGTTCAAATCACGGTTCGGGCCCTCCTTTCTTTCTTCCTTTTTTTCTTTGAGCTTTTTCCCCCACATCTGTCTCCCATTGGCAGCTGGAATAATCGCGTAAGTCTAACGATGAGACCAGGGTCAACGTACAGCAGTACACAGCGGCCCAAGCTCACTTATGAATTCTACTACTTCACGCAGTAGACTCTTTCTCGAATTCTAATATTTTACTATATGCGCTTGCATAGTTGAATGCTCTCTTGAATGCTCTCTTTCATATAGGCAAACTATGACCAAGGATCATATATCCAGCCCTCAATCTAGAAATACTGTTTGTAGATGGCCAGTCAAGCGACAAGGGTCTAGTATAGTAAAATTGATAAATGAGGCTGGGCCGCGGTGTACTGCCGCAACCTAAGTAGTACCTGCTCGAATAGGAAATAACAGCCCCAAAGTTTACAATTCTACGCATTACTTGCCCATCACTTTTCTCGCTATTGGCCATCCCGCCGTCCTTTCTTATACCCTGCTGCTTGAATCTGATTAATCAAATGACTCCACCAAGCCTTTGGTTCCGGGGCCTCGAGCTCCACAGCATAACCTTTGATACCCCGGAGCCCTCCACTTGGATTGTCCTTAACAAGATTGTTATCAACGCCATTCTCTTGACCTCTGCCGGGCCCCCATCGGTTTCTTCCCACAACCAATCTCACAAAAAACCCCATATTAGTCACAATGATCACCCTACCCAGGTGGAGGTTGCCCTGTGTGACTATCTGGAGCTCTTAGGCGACCAAGATCCCTAGCATCGTCCACGGTTTACTCAGAGTTCGTGGTGTGTGAGGAACTTACCCAACTTTCAGAAAATGTGTAGATGGGTCAATTACAAAAAGGGCATTTGCTCTCTCAGTCTTGAAGACTTTCTCTGCAGCACTCATTGTTTACTTACCCCAACCTAAACATGCTGGTTCCCGGTCTTTCTATCGTGGCCCTCGCGTTGGGCGCTGCAGCGCGCAACCCTCATGGCTCGGCTCCTCAATATGACTTTGTCATTGTTGGCGGAGGCACCTGCGGATTGGTTGTGGCTAACAGACTTTCGGAACTGGAGAACATCACCGTGGCTGTCATCAAAGCTGGAGATTCCGTGTTCAACAATTTCAATGTCACCAACTTCATGAGATACGGTCTCGCTTTTGGGACCGAAATTGATTGGGCTTACGAAACCGCCAACCAGACATATGCTGACGGACTAAAGCACATCATTCGTGCTGGAAAGGCCATTGGTAGTACAAGTACAATTAATGGCAAATTACCATTTTCAAACAGATTTAAGAAATCCCGTAGTAACTGTCCCAGGAATGTCCTATACCCGAGCCGAAGATGCTCAAATCGACAATTGGGAACGTCTACAGGTGTTGGTAATCAGGGATGGGGTTGGAAGGATCTTCTACCTTACTACAAGAAATCTGAAGACTTCCAGATTCCAACAAAGCACCAAACATATCTGGGTGTAAGCTACACCGATGAATTTCACGGCCATTCCGGGCCCCTAAAGGTCGGCTAGCCCAATTCAATCACCAATGACACTGTTTTCTCCATTCTGAGTCAAACAATAGGCAACCTTGGCGTGAAGCATAACCCTGATGCGAATAGCAGCCATATGATTGGCTTTAATGACCACTCAGATACTCTTAATAGGGAAAGAAATATCCGCGCAGACACTGCTCGCACGTACTACTGGCCATATAAGTCTCGGTCAAACTTGAAGGTCATTTCCAACACCCAAACAAACAAGATTATCTGGGCTGATAACACCCATAGCGAAGCGGTTGCTGTTGGAGTTGAAGTCTCCAATGCTTATGAAACAGAGAATATCTATGCTCGAAAGAAGGTTATCCTATCAGCTGATACGATCAGATCCCCACAGCTCCTTGAGATACTTAGTGTTGGAAACCCCGAGATCCTCAGCCGCTACAACATCTCCATAAATGTGGCTCTCACATCTGTAGGCGAGAACGTATAGGATCAGACTAATAACCCTCTTTTCTGGGAATCCAACAAGACTTATACTGGTCTTGCATCTTTCTCCGCTCTGATTTCAATCAATCAGCTCTACGGCAACAATGTCTCGGCCGTGAAAAGACAAATTGACAGTACTATTAGGGAATACGCTAAGATTCTGTCAAACAAGACCAGCGATGCTATGAAACCAGACCGTTATTTTAAATTTTTGAAGATCCAACGCAATCTGATTTTCAATTCTCTCGTCCCTTATATAGAGATAGTATTCGCTCCCCGTAGACAGGACTTCGTAATTGAATTGTTAGATTGTAAGTCATGTGACCCATGTCATACATCTATAGATCTCCCCTCACTCTCTCCCTCTCTTTCTCCTTCTTCTTCTCTTTACGCAATTCAGAGATCTCCGTGCTACTCCTTCCTTTCGTCAGTAGTAGACCTCTATCATGAATACTGGCCCCTCCAGCCATTCTCGAGGGGAAGTATTCATATACAGTCCAAGAACATCTCTCAAGAACCGAGAATTGACCCAAACTACTTCATATTTGAAAAAGATATCGATGCTCAAATCGACGCTGCGCAATACATTCGCAAGATCTTCGAGACTACCCCATTGACTGGAATCGTGGGAGATAAGCTTATACCCAGCTCCAAGGTCCTGCCTCCCAATGCCTCCAAAGCCACTTGGCAGAGATGGGTCAAGGACAACTGTAAGTCACTGTCTGAAAAAATACGAAACAACAAGAGAGCAAAACTGACACTTCATAGACCGGCCCAACTGCCACTTCGTTGGCACTAACAGCATGCTCCCAAGAGAGAAAGGCGGGGTCGTCAGCTCTGAACTTCGAGTCTATGGTACCCAGAATGTTCGTGTTGTTGATGCCTCGATTATGCCATTCCAGATCTCTGGTCACTTGAGCAGCACCCTGTACGCCATTGCCGGGAAAGCCTCAGACTTGATCAAGGACAGCTACCGCCACTAGGTACTTTGGCAAGATTTGAATGCAATCGATTAGGTCAATCATTGTCGTTATATTATTCCTCTTTGGCACACATTCACATTGAACACGTAAAGTCTTTGCACAATCTAAGCCTCGGAGTTGGAGTCCACACAGGCAGACATATCTAGCACTTTGAGATGGGGAAGCTCCATCCTGAGCTTGATTTCCTCATCTTTCCACATCCTCGCGCCATCCATGATCTTAATTTCCTCAAGATTGTGGAAACGAGCCTGTGTTGTATGTTGAGTATAAAGCTTTGGAATATCTTGCATACTGTCAACAACTTACCCTGACAATTTCAAACAATATCTTCCATTCACCTCTTGGTACCAAGTAGAGAGATAGATCCCATTCATAGTGTGGATCAATGGAGAGACTCGTTAACCGTGGAGCATGAAATATAGGAATCTGTATCCTATATGTTTTGTAGTCGCAATCACCGGGCACCAAAAGTTCCATGGTTTTGAGGTTTGGAAATGTAATCTCCTCAAAAGTAGTTTCAACCTTTTCCACAAGGTCTTTCTTTCCCAAAAAGTTGTCGTCTTCGATGACGATGAGTCTCGCGCTCTGAATCATGTTTGCGTAGATTTGTCGACGAGTTGGGTTTATTTTCTCAAAGGTCTCGAGTAATATGTATTTGCCGTAGGCAGTCCAATCATCCCAGTGTCGCCATAGGACTCGCGCTGCTTCGTAGAACCACAATTGATTGACTCGGGCACAGCGAGTCAGGGTCTCGTATCTTCCAACGACGGGATCGGGAACATCTGAGTCATCTGAGTCATCTGATAGATCCCTATTTTCTCCCCCAGAAAGCTCCGTAGATGATTGAGAGTCTGGCCACCACTCGCAGTCCTTGAAAATCCATCCAATGATTTTTTCCACGAGAATTGGGTTACTTAGGACTAGGCTTCTTGGATCCATTCGTGATTAAGTCGCCCGAAGAGAAGGAAAATAAAACAAAATATATTAATCAAATGGTCGATCTTGCATGTACCGAGGATCTTTTATTTGGAAGTTGAAGTAGCAGGCTTGGGGCTGAGCCCTTTTCATTGCCCCGTGACTCAGGGCGGGCTCCGTTATGTATTAGTCATCTGCGCGCAGGTCCACCCACGGGCTATAGTTAAAGATTCATTGTTATTCGGGAGATGTAAATACGCCGGACTTGAGAAGTACGATATGGACGACGCATATTAGGGCAATACACCGGCAATGTATACCTCCTCAGGCCAAAGTCAAGTTAGTTTGGAAGGTCCTTAGCGATGGGAATTGGAATTTGGACTTTCACTTCAACCGTAGGCTCAACCTGCAGGTTGAGCTTTTGTCCAATGTTCATGGCGTCTTGGAATACCTTTGCCACCTCAATCAACCGTTGATCGTCCCATCTCCTTGCCACCATGGCAATGCTAAAACTAAACCTCCTCAGTATTGCACAAAGTAACATGTTAAGGCAATAGCACTTACGGGATTCCAGGGCCTATTTTCACCAGACCAGTTCGCGGCCTTGACTGAATTGGCGTATCTGGCGGGAAGACACCAATTGGAACTGAGATTGAGGGATACCCACCGGCCATTCCCGGCTGCCATCTTGATGAAGACGACAGGTAGATATCGCAGTTGTACCGATCAAGCAACTCCCTGAGCACCCATCTCTAATCTTCGGTTCAATGATGTGATATATGCCTGGGAGTCTCGGTCACAAGCCTGTCCTGTGTGTTCGGCGGCAAGCCATTCTTCGATACCATATTCTTCAATACGCTCTTCAGGTGTGTTGACGGTATAATTTATAACATCTCCCAGCGTCTGCATGTCTACTTCCTTTGAATCGAAGGAATTCAAAAACTTTGCCATATCTGATTAAAATGGGTGAGCGAATATTAGCATCTTTCGGCATTAGAAAGGATGAATGGTCTTACTATCTCTTAGTTGAACCCTAAATGCCAGACTCCATCCTTCATCTGCTGTCCTCTCTTCATCAGTCTCCCAGTGGGAAAAATGCGCATCTTCAATGACGGTTGCGCCAAGACCTCGCATAACATCGATTGCCTCGTTTGTAGCATCCCGTCGTGTCTTGTCGGTGTCAAGAAGAACGGGTGGGACCTAGTGCTAGGTCAGCATTGTTTTATCTATATACACTTTGCGAGAACGTACTGCAATGCGAACACTGTCTATGCTACAGCAGTTCAGGTTGGAAGAGAATTCAGTTCCTTCTTTTGGACTTTGTGCATCCTGATTATTAGGAATCAAACATGGTGAAATGATCCAGGGGATCCACGCCTAGGGAAGAAATTAGTCACTTCGTATTTATACCTATTCGTATGATTTTTGGAGACAGACCAGCCATGTTCGATAGGGAAATCGCACAATCATCTACCGTTTGACCGTGAATTCCTACTGAATCCTGGTATTCACTGATGGAGTACACTCCATGTCGGGAGACCAATCCTGCCGTTGGCTTCAGGCCAACCACAGCTGCCCTTTGCGCAGGGTTGGCAATACTACCTTCAGTCTAGATAGTTAGATGATCAGCATTGATCAGAATTTTGTGAAGGGGGTATACTCGCCTCGGTACCTATACTAAATGCGCAAAGTCCAAGACTAACAGCGACAGCACTTCCCGAAGAAGACCCCGAAGGATCCTGATAGTCTGCAAACGGAGCGGTGCACTGCCCATTAGCAGAAGATCAGCCATTAGGCGCAGTTCGTGGACTCCGGTAGTTTGCCCACTGGGTCAATGCAGTCTTGCCGAGAAGGATTGCTCCCTGGTTGCGGAGCTTTGCTATGACAGTGGCTTCAAAGCTCGGCTTCGCCCCCTGAAGTGCTTTACACCCAGCTGATAATTTGGAGATTAGCAGGAAAGTCTTCATCATCCACGGATATTTCACAAACCAGTTGTTTGCATCCGGTCGACCGTCAAGAAAACATCCTTGGCAAGAAAGGGGATGCCATGTAATTTTCCTTTCGACCGACCAGAGAGTCGCTCTTCATCACAGTTTCGAGCTATCTCGAGAGCATCAGGATTGATCTCACTGACGGCTTTCACAGTTCCGTTAACCTGTTGAATGCGTGCAATATACGCCTGTCAACAATGTTAGTAGTAATAGATGCCGTCAATCTTTCCTTGACGGACCGACCTCGACGAGCGATACACTAGTAAATTCACCGCGTTGCAAAGCTTCAGAAAGATCTCTGATTGAGGCATTAATGAGTCTCATCTCGCTTTGCCCTTCGGCTACTAATTTTGGATGTTTCTTGCGAACTAACGCTTGCTGTAAAGCTACTAGTCCAACAAGACCGAGGCAGGCAAGTATGAACAGGTGAAAGTCAAAAAAATACATTTGTGCGCTTCGCATTGGTTTGAGGGGCTCTAGAGACGACTGGACGTGGAGGTGAATGAGGGCGGTATAATTAAGGTAGCCGGTGTTACGGAGTACTTGGGTAGTGATTGCTCTGGGGTGTTGGTTGACAGGTACCCGATAGTGCCACTCAAGAATAATACAGGCTTCTAATGTTTCAGGACCGGTTGGGCTAAAATGAATCCCAGGGGGAATAACGTGTGAAACCACCAAATGATTGAACAATGTAACCTAAATTACTTCCCAAGATAGCTACCTAGTGTACAATCCTCCCGTAAATCACAGCAGATCAGATTGCGATTACATGTTATAAGTCTTATTTGTCAAGAGGTCATGTACATCTCACTGGCAGAGTTCAATCCATGGGCGGATTAGGTACCCCAAGATATAACTACTCGACACAGGAGAGGGGAAACGAATGGAACTTCCGATTGAAACAAACACCTGGGCAGGAGAGAGATTATGTACTTACATTTTTTTAGTTTTTTTCCTTTTTCTTTTTTTGCTAGTCGCACTGACCCCGGGAGAATGACCTGGCAACAATGTGACCTGGCAACGAGGCAGCCTTGGAATGCCATGATTCGCTCACCGCGACTGAATATTACAGCCTCACCCGGGTGCTGTTCGAACATAAACAGTATTAAAAATTACTAGTGCTTACACACCGTAATATCAATAGTAAATCCACGTAATCGAGGCCTTTGGGGTAGTGATTCCACCAGTCCTGGAGTTCCGGGGTGGCCCAACGGCGCGACGAAAGTGCATGCCGATGTGTTGTTTGTACATTGATTTGAGACCTACCCGGGTAATTGACGATCCAGCTTTTTTATAAGTGGTGCTATTCTACTGGGTAATGAATAAATACAAAGCTTATCCGTCGACTTCATACCGGAATCGGAAATCTACTCATTCTGCTTTGTCGAGAGACTGGGAATTATACAACAGTCATCATACTCCTTCTATAATAAAAGATTCTAGGATCAGTTGAAAGCCGTTAACACTAAATATAAACTGTCTGTTCCTATAGCCAAGCCTCCATCATTGAATGCACTCCCTAAATTCCTACTTGACTCCATCTACATTTTGAATTAAACGTATCAAACAATTTTCGGTGATATATCTCTCCTTCTTCGTACGACCAGACATCGATCCGTGATCCATCTTCTTTATCCCGATCTTTTCACAGTATGATGACCGAATAGGGACTGACTGCACTGCCCACGCCCACGGAGGCTGCTCGCCCTTGCTTGCCCGCCCTGTCATCCTGTCTGCTAGTGTTCCCGGCAAGTCATCTCGATATCAAGGCAGCTCATCGATGGTGGATAATCTTAGGGTGTACAGGCTGGGTTCTTCTTTTAGTCACTCTCTCCTTTTGGCGTGCATATCAATCAGACGAGCTTTTGTCCATATCTCTCCTCGGGTTGTGGACTTAGCAACAAATTTGCGATAGATCTATTTTGGGCTTCCGGTTCTCGATCTCATGCATCTCATTGACCTCAAACTCAAGTATTAGATCATGCATATCGTGTGAATATCGTTAACACAAACCAACAGGCTATTCACAATCTTGGGGGTAGATCGATAAGGTGCAGAAGCGTAGGGACCTAAACATTACAGCATTAATTGCCTCAAAGCACGAAGCAGATTTTCGAGATCCACTACACATGTGGACCTCAACAATGTAAATCTCAAGAATGTAATAGGCGTACAATTGATCATATCCTAATCAGATCGTAGTCGGCGCAAGAGCAAGTAGTGCGAATAGAAGTTACATAACCTGGCCACATCGGTCAGAACGATATAGGAGTAGGTATCCAGGAATTTGCCGCGCAGAACAGGACTAAACCAGGTCTTCTCCTCTAGTCCATAGCGCATATTGAACTTCCGATAGAAGTCTGCACTCTCTTCATCTGTTGCAAAAACGATAACCTTGCCATCCTGCAAAAGACGCAGAAATTGGGACCTGGTGTTTAGTTTAGTATACCACAGTAAAAGTCGTTTTGAGGGAATTGCAGCTCACATAAAATCCCTACATCCCATGTATCCGAATCCGTCAAATACAAATGTGAATGGCATCATTCCGGACAAACTGATCGGTTTCAGGAAATCTTTGACCGTCTTCCGCTGTGCAAGTGGGACCTCAATGGACTTCAAGGATCCCTCGTGGGGACCTGCGCAATTGATTGTTTTGACAATCAATTTACTGCCCATGTTCTGGGAATTGGGGATAGTTCCTTGAACATTGAAGCTGATAATCAAGCTGGATGTCGAACGGGGTGCATATTGTGTAGGATTCATGACTGGGTGCTTGAACACGAGTCTCAATATGATGTGGTTCTTCTTCTTCTCGTTGTTGGCCAAGACTGTCTCGCCTTTGTGTGAAAACTCAAGCACACAGGCTGAGACCTGTTTTCTCAGCAATGGCGTGGGTAATTCGTCATGGTTGTAGGTTTGGGATCCTATCACTTCTAGTAACGGTCCAGTCGTAGGTGAATGGAAGGTTGATCCACGTTGTTGTTGTTGTTGTTGTTGTTGTAATTTACGTCTTGAGAGGGCAGGGGCGAAGCTCTTGCCCCTGTACGACCTCTCTAGGGGTATGAGGATGGGCTAAGCTGAGATTTAAATACATGAAGATGCCTAGAAAGTCACTTAAAGTGTGGAGAGGTCGTTATACGGCCTCCTGTAGTTGCTTTTCCTCCGACATGTGAGGTAGTTACAATCGTATGTTCCGCCCAAAAAGCGTGTGCGATTCGCCAGTTGACATATTCGTTTGCTTTTTCTTCGTTTTTGCTTTTTTCGTGATCCGCAGCGAAGGCTGTTAGTTGTAGTCCATATGTATAGTGTGATCGTAGATAAAGAGAGATAAAGATGATCAACTAGCTCGATATTCGTATATATCGTCCTCAATGGCTTGTTAATATCTGGAAGCTTGCCTAACTCAATCAACTAATGACTGAGGAAATGCAAATCATTGATGTATAACTGGTTGATTCAGATTACCATCCTACCTCACTTGATCCTCACTTGACCCTCATTTAACCCTCACTTGACCTTCACTTGATCCTCACTTGACTTTCACTTGACCCTCACTTCACTTACTACTTTACTTTATCAAAGTATTTGGCTTGGGAAATCCAGCGAACTGATCTTTCTATACTTTAACTTTGTGTCGATCTTAACTGATCTTCTCCTAGACCTTTGATTTAGGATAGCCAGTACGGATTGGAGACAGAAAAGATAGTAATAGAACCTTGCTGAATAATATTTTGATAAAGTAAAGAGTAAGTGAAGTGAGGATAGAATGAGGTAGAAAGGATGATCTAAATTAACTATCTTTCTTTTTTAAGTAAAAATAATACTTCATTTAAAGAAAGTATATAGAATATTATATTCTAAATAAAGAGGATTTTATAATCTGTTAAGCCTACAAGATAAAAGAAGAAGCGAATAGGAACTAATTGATTGACTATAGAGAGAGAGAGAAGAAGAAGAGGAGAGAGGCTTAGGAGAGAGTGTTTATCTACAAATACAAACAGGGGTTAGCATAAACTACTTACATAACAATGAGAAGTAGAAATTATGTAGAATATAAAGACGTTTAAATAAAAGAGTAGATATTTCATGGTGGATAAAGTGATATGACTCTTTCATTTGACTGGTAATGATTTATAAGCTTGAAGTAGTATATGAGACTGAGGCAGGAATTGATTTCCGACGTTCATTCATATAGACTTTTAAGGGCTCAAAGGAGTGGGGTTGACATTGTGGGTTCTCAGCTGGGTCTAACATGGTCCCTTGTATATTATCCCTTTCCATTTAGACACATCCCGGGTTTCAGCTGGTCTTTACCTCCAGGGCAGCTGGGACTAAATACTAATACTATTAGAGGCCTTCTGTCATATTTCCTCCTGTTAATCTTCTTGGTGTATTACTATCTCACAAAGATAGATTTCTTTATAATGGTTCATGTGAGTAGCATTAATCAATCTACAAGGGACAAGCACGTTTCCAAAGTAAAGAGTGGGGGGAAAAAGAACACTATTTAGTATATAGTACTACTACCTACTCCTGGACCACTTTTTATCAAACCTAACTAAATGCAAGCGCCACTTACCGCTAATATTTAATTTGGTAGTTTTACGCCAGATTATACAGGTTAATGAGAAAATTTATTGAGTTAAATATCATACAATAAATACAACATACTAAACCTGCATGCATTTTCTTGTATGTTTGACAAAATCCTGTCCGGGAGTAGTAGTAGCAAAAAATTAACTTTTGAGAAGCACCGACCGCGAGTCGAACGCGGGACTTCGAGATCATTGACGAATTCGTTGCAATCTCACACTCTAGCCACTGAGTTACCGGTGCGGCGGATGGAAAATTGGCGACTGTTCTGTGTTCCAGTGGCAGAAAGAACTCGAAACACACCATCACTGGGATTCCTCAAAACAAAATTCCCTATAGCTTTTCTATGTTCACAACGTTTAATATTTAATATTTCTCCTCCGAGTCAACTAAAAGCTGAATCGCTTGAAACCTTGGGATGTGAGCGGTTTGATGTTCAACTTTAGAACCTGGATTGAGATTTTCTCGTCTTCAAGGTTGGAAATATATTCATTGACTGTATTGCCTCAGACTTGTATGGAGTAGAACTTGAATCCGAGGTTTTTCAAGGTTCAATACTGGAAAGGTTCAATATTGGAAGTGTTCCGTATTGCAATTCGTAAGCTACTTCCTGGAGCTCGTACACAATGCAGAGTTCCCAGGTTTAATGTGATTTGATATTCGTGAGAGCACAAAAGCATCCAAACCACCTGCACATTGCCCTTCCAAATTTACATCCATGGATGAGTTCACAAACTTAGAAGTGAGATGATACCTAGACATACCCAGGTAATATATGAAATAACCTCCGCATAATCTGATTCCACTTTCCAACGAGGTCTTCCAAGTTTCAGGATTTTTCACCGAAGTGGGCTCAGAGCCTAAATTGCTCGTCTATTCTTACGGTGCGAGCAAAAGGATGGTCCAACCTATAGACTTGGAACTTGCATGGTATATTGAGATAAGGTGTGAGACTCGGAGGTATATGTCAAAGCTGAGATTTGATATAACTTTAGAAATACAGCGGCATCAATCCCAATACGATTTACACACAGGAAAAGGTGGTTAAGATGTCAGGTTCAAAAAGGACTGATGGGATTCCACGATCATTACATATATGAAGAGGAGGCGATTAAAAACTTTAGAAAGTCCCGAGAAGAAGACCTCAGAAACTTCAATGCAAAAGTCCGTCAGTGCTTTTCAAGAAAAAGAAAAATTATGACTAGTTTGGGTAGACCGTTGACATTCCCTTATAGGGAAACTTGTACATAGAATTAGTGGGTTGAAACAGTGCCCTAGGCTTACCATTGTTGGAAGGCTTGAAGATAGAGATATCCAAGAAGCTTCATGCTATCAGTGAGAAGGGGGGAAAGGGTCAAAGAAATAAATTGCAAGCTTGCAAGCTTGGAAGTTTGATGACTTGCAATCTTTGCACATGTGCAAAAAAAAAAAAGAAGCTCTGGAAATGGAAAGAGATGGACTGCCCAGTCCCCATTCTTTGCAGAGTACTAAATAACATCACCCTACCTAATGTATTAAGGGAATTGTGCATGTAGTTTGCCTCTATCAAGTATGGTTTCAACGGACCATAGGTGTTTATACTCATAAGTTAGTATTCGGAAGGGATAAAATACTCTGTTACAGCTCTACTTCTATCAAAATATCTTTGCCCAAGTGGATGTTTAACAATGGAAAAGAATTACCCCTCATGAAATTAAAAGTTTTGCCGACATTCCATCAGAGCAGCGGTGGCGCAGTGGTAACGCGTGAGATTGCAAATCTCAAGATCCCGTGTTCGAACCACGGTCGCTGCTTTTTTTTTTTTTCTTATCTCATCTATTGTATCTTCCCAATGTCTTCCAAGGTTCTTTTACTGATCTTGAAAAAAGATATATTCTTAATTAAGACTCTCTATCAGTTTATATGATCTAGATCATTTCTCTTTATTTCCTTTTCACTTTCTTCTCACTTTCTTCTCACTTTCTTCTCACTTTCTTCTCTTAATATAATTCTTTAGGATTTTTGTTTTAAGTCTATATCTCTTTCTAAATATTTCTAACTAATATATATTATAATCTTTGAATATTAAATATCCTTAATTAAAAGTAATCATATTAATAATTTAATATTATTATTATCTTTTAATCTTCTTTTTTTGATTTTCTTTGATAGATTTAAAACTCTGATGCTATATATAAGAGTTTGTTATTTATAATAAATTACAATTAAAATAATCATACTTATTGACTGTTACGGACATGTCAGGCACCAATCAAAGTGCGGGGGCCAAACCAATGAACAAGCAACCAGGACCAACCAACCTACCAGCACACGGAGGTCACGTGATGACTACCGGCAGCAAAGAACTGAACACCCCCTGAGGAGTATTAAACGCACTCGAGCAGAGGGGCAGCCCTGCATGGAAAGCACCCAGCCAGTTTCCCACGCCGACCGCTCCCAGCAAAACCCACCACAACTGTCATCCACCAGAAGCACGTGACTCATCCTATCGTAGGATAGGACCCATCCCCAGATAGGATGTGTTCGTCACATCCTAGGATAGGAAGAACTTGGATATATAAGGACACTCATTCATGTATCTAGTTTGGTCTTCGTCTTCAATCCTACATTGTTACTTGTGCATACCTTTTGGAACACAGAGACTCTTTAGTTTAATTATAACCTGACAACCACTACGAATCGACCAACACTCCGGTGTAGATCTATTCGGCGCCCTATCTGGCATCGTTCCTCGATATCCTCAAGACACCCAGTCTGCAGTAAGGCCTGTGAGGCAACAGTACGGTTGAGAGACAGATCGTTGAGACCTGATAGTCTGCGGGATTACGACGGACAGTATACCCGATTCCATCTAACCTAACGACGACCAGCTAGCGTGTGCGTAACATTGACATCTACTTTAATCTATTAAGTTTGAAAAGCTTCGATAAGATAGTTTGGTTATCAAACTTTGAACAGTATGGATATATTAGGAAAATTTACTTCCAAACCAAACTCCCAAAATACAGTATCGAGGATCGAGCAAGGTATGAGAACCAACAGGACCGAAGGTGCAACAACAACGTCTTCACGCAAGCAATCTCGGGTCTCGTAGAATCTTAGCTCCTGGCCACAGAGATTCAACAATTCAACTGCATTGGAGATTTATGCGGTTTCTCCGAGTGATATCACAGGATGTCCAGACTGGAATCGACACTGTGTGCGAATCCAGACCTACCTCGCTTTTCCGGAAAAAGACATCTTGGACAGAAGGTTTGAATGTTGTCCGCGGCGGCCCTCTCGGCGGCTTTCGCGGCTTGCTGTGATGCGATTGCAACCTGCACTCGTTTGGCTAGGTCTGAAAACATCTGGTGTGTAACTTTGAGATCTGTCTCTGTCTCAAGTTTTTCTCGGAGGTAGAATGCGTTGAATGGGATAGAAAAATCCCCTGTCACTGAGCCGCGTGCGTTGATATGAAGCTTTTGGTATGATTCGACCTTGCCTTTCTCATTTTTTCTCCACGCATCTAGCGTCATTCGACCAGTGGCGGTGATATTCAGAGAAATCGCGGCCTTGGTTCCTCCTGCTAGCCAAAATTCAATGTCTTTTCTCAGTTTCTTTGGTCCTTCAGTCCATCCAATTTCCACGACCACTGATGGCCAATATGTTTCGGTGCTGTCTGGCATCCATGCGCCGTCGGGCTTCTTCCCATGCGGGTTTCGCCAAAGCAGATTACCCGTGGATTGGGTCAGAACTTCAGTCTGGTTTCTGTACCAATTGTGGATCATAGACATGAACTCTGCCTGCGCAGCTGCATGCACAAGTGTCTCCATTGTGATATTGAGAACAATTATCCCATCGGGCAACAGGCATGATTTCACAAGATGGCCCAGTCGCCCCTTCCGAAAATTCCTATAGAAGGTGCGACTGTCTACCCCGTCAAGGATAATATACGAATACTGTGTATGAGATACATCCTCGATAGTCCTAAGGCATTGCATTTTACCATGGTATTGACACCTTGGTGTGCCGGCAGGAAGACATTCCTTCTTCAACAGACGTTCAGCCATAACAAATTGTCTTATCAAATAGCGGTTGAACGTTTGGGGTTGGGTGTTGGGTTTGACAATGGACAAAAGCTGTGGGCGTAGTTCATACAGATCGGGCTGAGCGGTTACACCATAGTGACCCCATCTGGGCATGATCCGATATTCTGTCATGAATTTGCTTCGACGACAATAGACTGTTGATGAGAAAGGTATAGTTGCGTTCGCAGCCTATAAATCTTGACTGCGGACTCGACTTTGTATAATCTAGACCAATCCATTGACTGCGGCGGGGGACACGACATTACTACTAGTGTACCTTTTGCTTTTGTGGGGAAGGCCACAACAAACGAGGAGACGCATGTCATAGCTCGCTTTCTTCAAAAATAATTTAGTATTTGAATCATAAAGAGACACAAATACAGACTTGAGAGTTAATGTGATCTTTCAAGTATCAAGATCTGTTGTACTTAAAGCAGGAGCTTCGTAGGTTATACAACCGTAGATACTTGATCTCAGTAAGAACGCACAAAATAGACTTCCCTCACTCTAGCTGATTCTTTAAGAATCAGTCTTAAACCGTCCTAGAACCAGCCCTGATTTCATAGTGCTCTCTCCGATACCACCACTCCCCTCCGTCACCGCATTCCTTACCTGATCAACAGGCTTATCCGTACACCTAACAACGTATAACCTTTATAGACCTGGCAGTGACCCTCCGGGTAGTCCATTACCTTGGACCCTCCACCCACCCCTCCGAGGGTCAGGATCGCATGCGGATCACTGCCAGGTCTAAGCGCAATAGCCGGGTCTAGGAAAATTAGTATCAGATAAAGAGATACAGCGCAGATTACTACTATCGCGGAATCACAGAAGAGTCGACGAGTCACACCGGCGAAGGGGGGTGGCGGAGCTCCGGAGTTCGGTGATCCGGACGAGAAAGAAAAATGCCTCGTCCGACCAACCTTAGAAGGACAGATGAATGTAAAAAAACGGAGGCCATACCGAGAGGACCGAGAGGATTTATAGAACCACGCACGGGAGCGTAGGGATGAAGAGCGCCAGGCTCAAGTAATCAAATATCTAAACGTTTTTCAGCAACATCCGATATGGTGTAGTGGCTAACATCGTCGTCTCTCACACGACAGCCGGGGGTTCGATTCCCCCTATCGGAGTTTCTTTTTTGCACATTTTTTGTTCAGCTCTCAAATTGATCTCTAAAAACCCAACGGTAACCCGAGCAAGTTCTATATGGCTTGGGAAATAATCAAAACCCCAGGTGGATTGAAGTGATCATGTATGGAGTACTCCGTGGATATCTGATTGTCCCATCAAAGTCGATGTCACCTGACCTTATCATATCTAATCGCATATCAAACAAAAAAAAAAATCTCGAAGTGTTACACATTCCAATTGTACAAACTTCGGACAGAAACAACTTGCAGGTTTAATCAGCCAAGTCCACATATCCATTCAATTGGATATTCTCAAATCCAAGTGGAAATCCCATCAAATTCACCTGTGTTACTCCTATATCCACCCGGGTCCCTGTCATTCTAGCGCGGGGTACTGGCAATCGCTCAAGATCAAACCGATAATTACCACACTTCCCACAATGGCGACCACATCAGCCCCGGCCACCGATGCCGCCTCCTACCTGGATCTCGCCATCACTCTCACTCTCAACAACTGGCCCGCCCTCTCACTAGCCGTGCAATCAAACTGGGGCGGCGCAAACTCCAGCGACAAACGCGACTGGCTCTGCGGTGCAATCTCCGACATGCTTAAAGACAGACCTGAAACCGATGCCGAAGATCTGGAAGAAGTCCTTATTCAAGTGATGAACGACGAGTTTGATGTTGCTGTCGATGACGAGAGCGCTGCCGATGCGGCTGATTTGATCATGGAGCTGAAGGGCCAGACGGATCGTGGCGAGTTCGGCGCTGTCCAGGAGATGTGGGAAAAATACCAGAAGAAGAGCCAGAACCGTTCTGCTGCTGGGCAGTTCCAGAGGGTTGAGGCTGCGGATGATGATCAGGAGACTGATGACGAGGTGGATGATGAAGAGATGGGCGATGCACCTACTTTGGTTCGGGCGCCGCGTGAGCGCGCTGAGCCTGAGATTGATGATGATGGATTCACTAAGGTTGTTGGAAAGAAGAGGTAGATGAGATGGGGAATGTGCTTAGTATATACTCTTGACTCAACTTGTGCGGACGACCAAAAAAGTCTACTTAAGTAGTACCTGTGGTTCACCTTCAAATACCAACATGTTGCGCATGGCGCGATAGCCTGCTACTTCTACAACTACCTAGGTACATCCTTGGACGTGAGCGTGGCTAGAGATACGAATCTAAAAACCGAGCACGGTTCAACCGCTTAGATTCATGTGTGAGAGCATATCTATGTAAAATGGAAAGGAAATGTTCATCATCGTCAGTTGAGGTGGACTGTCTGTGGTATCATTAAGCAACCTCTGCCCACCCGTATCTCCCTCTTCAGAGTTTCTCTCAAGCAAAACGTTAACGTTGTTCTTTTTTTGTTCTTTGTTGCGCTTTTGAAAATGTAGATGTTCAGGTATCCTCGGTATGAGAAACCCTTTACACAGCCTCACCCTCGGGGGTGATGAGCTTGGTGATCATACCGATAGCAATGGTTTGACCCTGGACAATATGTTAGTGATAGTTCTAGTGGCGAGCATAATCAAGAGATGGGAAGGAATATTTACCTGGTCACGAAGGGTGAAACGACCAAGCTGCTCGTAGTCGGAGAACTTCTCAACACAGACAGCACCGGCTGTGCTGGTAACCTCGAGACGGGCAATAATGGTCTGACCCTTGTTGGCAAACTGGGGGGGACGCTTGCTCTTACGGCCGGTACCGGGCTCGAGCTTGTGGAGGAGAGCGGCAAAGGTGACTTCTTCAACTGCGGAGTGGACGTGCAGCACACAGTTGAAACCGGCGGTGAGAATGCTCTTGAGATCCAAGATGCGAATCTTGGCCTCGAAGGCAGAAACACAGTGGACAGGGCGCTTGGGGGAGCAGAGCACGAAACCGGGGAAGAAGTCTTCTTCTTCAATACCACGGAGACGCAGGCGGACCTGATCACCAACCTTGGCATTTGGAATCTCCTCCTCGGTTTCACCGTAGAGGGCAGAGATGGAAACCTCCTCGCGGTTGGGCATCATGAGGTAAGTACCGCTCTTCTTGATGATACCGGACTCAATACGACCCTCGGCCATGGTACCCATGTCCTTGTACTTGGCGCTGATTGGCATCATGAAGGGTGCGTTAACCTTGCGCTCGGGAAGCTGGAACTCAGTCAAGAATTCAAGCAATGAAGGACCATCGTACCAGGGGCACGTCTCCTTGGGGACACGGTCCTTGATACCGATGGTGCGCTGTGCGGAGATGGGCATGCAGAAAATGTCCGACTTCTTGTAGCCAAGGGCCTCCAGGAACTTGATGACCTTTACGGTACATTCGTCGAAACGCTCCTTGCTCCATTCAACGGTGGGGTCGTCCATCTTGTTGACGACAAGCACCAGCTTGGAGACACCGGTGTTACGGGCAAGCAGTGCGTGCTCACGGGTCTGACCACCCTTCTCGAAACCGGTCTCGTACTCACCCTTACGGGCAGAGATGACCAGACAACCGAGGTCTGCCTGGGAAGCACCACCAATCATGTGGGGCACGTAGGACTTGTGACCGGGGGCATCGAGAATGGAGAATTGACGCTCAATGGGGCCATCGGGGTGGGGAACGGAAACCTTGAAGAAAGCACGGCCGACCTCAACGGTCTTACCCTTGGATCGTTCCTCTTGGGTCAGATCGAGGGCCCACGAGAGGTACCAAGTCTCACGACCGGCCTCCTTGGCTTCCTTCTTGTATTTATCGAGGGTACGCTCATCGACCATACCAGTGGCGTGCAGAAGAGATCCACCCAGAGTGGACTTTCCAGCATCGACGTGACCGATGAAGACAACGTTGACGTGTTCTCTGCGCTCACCGTAGATTTCCTTCAGGGTGGCGTCATCCACATCAGCCTGCTGAGATTTCGCAACAGCATTGGCCTCACGAGCTTGCTTGGCGGTTTCGCCGCGAGCAGGGCTGGAGCGACCAGGGCTGGAGCGGCCGGAAGATGGTGTAGGGGAGGACTTGCCGCTAGCAGCAGCCTTCTCTGACTTGTCGAGGCCCTTGGTGGCCACAGCCTTGGCACCGGCCTCGGCAGCAGCAGGACCCTTAGTGTCACCCTTGGATTCCGTGGATTCGGCGGGCTTTGCGGCAGGGGTAGGGGTACCAATAGAGAGAACCTTGGTCTTGGGGGCAGTAGTAGAAGCGGAGGCACCGATAGACAGGACCTTGGCCTTAGGAGGGGCGGCGTTCGAGGCGGGCTTGGGAGCAGACTGAGCTGCGGGTTGCTGTGCAGCTACAGGCACATTCTGGCGGGGTTGCTGTTGGTAAGCACCGTATGACTGCTGTCCATTGTTGAAGGCACCGGGCTGCTGAGCATATGCGTTGTACTGGCCGTAAGCCTGCTGCTGCTGGTACTGGCCGTAGGCTTGCTGGTGACCGTACTGGGGGTATCCCTGCTGGGGGTAGCCGGCGTACTGCTGGTATTGCTGTCCTGGAACAAATGCGGAGGCTCCGGGGGTGAAAGAAGCGGCTCCAGGTGTGAAAGTGGGCGCCTGGGCTTGAGGGCGAGATTGTGCGTTCAGGTTGACACCCTCAGCCTGTCGGGCAAGCTCGTCTTCCCAAGATTCGGGAGTTTGGTTCGACATGGTGTAATAGAACCCCTTGGATCGAATCAAAGCAGAAGTGGATTTGGACACAGGTGGTGATAATAGGAACGAGGGGTCCGCCTTTTGATTTTGCACGGATGACTAAGGATCCCCGCGATGGTGCCACGTGACTGAGTGAGAAAATTACAGGAACCAACTTGATGGTCCGAATGTTGTGCTTTTCAAGTCGTCTTGTATTCTGTTCTGTGCCCAATTTTGCCACTATGATCCGTTAAAGGGGGCAAATGTCTCCATTGTTGGGCTCGTTCACTCCGTTTTGTTTCAAAAGTTGGGCGTCCAACTCTTATCGATAAGACCCCCTCCGTCATTCTTTTATATCCCCGATCTACACTTGCAAAGGACATCAATTGATTGGTCTTTGACTTGGTCCAAAATGGATACTTTTCTAACCGGGGTATGTCTCTCATGCAGCCTGTCAGGAACCGAGCTAACGCATGCAATAGCTTACCCGGCAGGCGATGAACTACGCCATTCGGTATGTCAATCTTGAATGCCAACCCAAGGAGACACAACTGCTAAATAGCCATGCAGTTCAGGGATTGCAATCACTGCTAGCTATGCTATGCGCCAGTCATCACGCCTACTGAAAGTGAGGCTCAGATCTTCAGCCTGATGACCTAATGCTGATAGCACATCCTTTCTTTAGAATGTTGAAAGTGAGGATCGCGATGAGCTGCTTTCTTTGCAACAACGTCTGGAAAGCAAGATCCAAGTCATTGCTCCTTCTATTGACATGATCGAGCTGATGTGAGTTGTCTTATGTGGACACCCGTGACAACCAGAAACTCACAGCTACCTTAGTGCGGCTCGGGGCAATACGTCTTTAGAATCCGCTGTCAGCCTGACTAAATCTCTGAGATGGGATATTCAGGCTTTGGGACAGCGACTGGCAAGGGCTGCTGCCTTTGAGGAATTAAGAAGGAAAGGAGCCAAATCATCTAAAGATCGACCACAGAGCGACATGGAGATCAAGCTGATCATCAAAGACATCAAGAGGTTGTTGGTGCGAATCGAAGATGCCGTCCCGCTGATGAATCTGGCGATCACCACCTCTGGGGCCAAATTGTCCACCAACTTACCGGCAACTGTCTCGCCTTCCCGACTTCTCCAGGCAAGCACGTTTCTTACGGCAGGAGACACGCAGTATTCTATGTCACCGTCCCAAGCAGTTCAAGTGGGCCCCACGTTCACACTATCGATGTACATGCTGTTTGCCAGCCATTTGCGTCCACACGATGAAGAATCGGTTCGCGAGGCAACGTGGAAGGAAGTTATGCATAAGGCTCGTTTGAAGCTGCGGCGTGTCCCAATAAACTCATTACAGTCTCCAGATCAACGCCCCAAAGGCAAGCTCCCAGGACCAGGTGGGGCAGATGAATACACGTACCAAGTCCTCTTGGTTGAAGATTTGGATGACGGGCGAGTTCATACATTCGATGAGAATGATCCACAACCTGAAAGCTACGAGGGTATATCTTCTGCAGGTATACGGGAAATCCTTCCTATCCATCAGATTTCCAAGATTTTCTATGCCGATACTGGGAGAATTCTCAACATCAGCACAGAAGGAGAAACAAACAATCCAGTACTTCTTTTGAAAAGAGACATTAATGCGCTTCCTCCTCGGCGCATGATGGAACACGATGAACTCGATAACGTCTCTCCAGTGGAGTCAGAGGCGGAGTCGGAGGACGAAGAGCAAGCTCAGCTCGATGCACAATTGAATGGAGACGGCAATGCAGGAAATGAGAGTTTCAGCTCTCTCCACCAAGACTCTATCCCCGAGGAATGGCGTCTTCCGTCTGGGCTGGATCCAGAATGGATTGCATTCGAAGTTTTCAACGAAGACGAAGCCTCTGACACCGAGTCCGAGGCCGAATCTCCCAAAGACTCTACCTCTGAACCCTCAATCGACCCAGCTCTAATGGCCAATCTATCAATAAACAACAATGGCCGATCCTCGCCCCCAACATCACCACCTCGCGGCAAACAATCAACCCAATCAACCGCCGCAACAACAGTCTCAAACCCACACTTCGACAACATTCGCACCTCGCTCTCTCTCCTCGAGACCCTTCTCCGTCTAACATCTCTTCAACAATTCCAACAACAATCACATCTCTCTATCAGCGATGAGCTCCTAAACTTCTTCCTAGAAGAGTCCTCTACCACCGGCGCCGGCGGCGACGAACAACACCGCCAACGGCTTCGCTCCGATGCCCGTCGCCGAGTTGGCTGGGACCCATACAATGAAAGCCCCGTTAAACATCGTGGCGAAGACTACCAGTATGGCTGGGAGCCTGGTAGTAGTCCTTATCAACATGGTGGTGATCCTTACTCGCCTAGTGGACGTGCACAGGGCTTCCACCTTCGTTCTAGAGAGAACACACCCGAGACTCCAGTCCGCAAAAGCTCACCGGGGGCTCGTCCTAGTGGCCTGCGAGACATGACTCCTGCATATGGTGGCTCGCCTCTCTCGAAAAAGGGTCATTCCACCCCGAGGGAATGAGATAGGGGTTGAATGAACATGCCTTGATATTTCCAGAGATGTAATAACGAAATCACATAATTTCTCGCTTCAACATCTTCCAGTGAGGCTCGGATTGGCTTCATATGTTCGATTTCCAAAACTACAGAAGGAAAACAAATCAAATTATGGCGAAGGTGAGGTCTATAAGGCAGACCAGCAGCCAGACCTCCGTAGTCACGATTTGTAGATAAAATAGATGATGTGCATGTCCAGTTATCAAACCTATGGAACATTGATCGCTGAAGGCAAAAAAAGCTGTAACAAACCGGGGGTGGGAATAGAAAGGGACAAGGCAGGTCCGAAACGCCAAATAACAAGCCGACATTCCGAAACTCCAGACAAAACAATCCTCAAGAGTAGCTAAGCAGTTGGCGCAGCAATACAGCAAGTGAAACTAATCCAGAGGGCTATGGGTATAGACAGGCGCCCTCAAAACTAATGCGGTGGCTAGTTGTTGCTTATGTGCGCTGAGCAGAAGCGGAGTATGTTTACTCCCAGTCCTCATCACTGTCCTCGGCCTTACTCTCCTCGGTCTTGGAGGCAGAGTCCTTCTCCTTTGGACTTCCAGGTGTCTTGCTAGCGGCACCGCTGACAACATCGTAACTAGACTCGCTGTCGGCCTGGGATTGCTGGTCGTTCGAGCGGCGAGGCTCGGCCTTCGGTGTCTCTGTGGTGGCAGCTAGAGTCTGGTTGCTAGATCGAACCTGAGGAGTAGAGGGGGATTGGGATTCGGAGTCAGAGTCATCATCCCAACCAACCTCTTCCTCGTCCTCGGCGTTGGCGCCTGTGTGGTTAGTTGCGGTCAGCATTGAACAGATATCGCGGGTCAAGAATCAACATACCCTTCAGAAGCTCCTTGCGCTTCTTCTCCTCGGTTTCCACGACGAGACGCAAGAAGTTGTAGCGAGTCCAGAAGACGGCGTATTCCACCTGCTCCGGTACAACCTTTTCCATAGCTGACCGAAGCTCGGGGTATTTCTCCAAATCGACAGCAATCTCATCCGTTTTACTCTCGACGTTGAACTCCTTGCTGAACACAGACCACTCGTCACTGACAGGGTCCTTGGTGAAGCTTTCAATGTTCGAGTGAATAACGTGCAGCTGGGCCTCGAATCGTGTGGCGTGGATGACGCGCTTGCCTTCGGCATCTTTGCTCTCAAAGAGAAGCTTGCCGGTCTCATCAGTCTCAGGGGGAACAATGCTGACAGCCTCGCGCAGCTTCTGGCTAATGTTCATTCCGAATCGCATGATGGCTTCATCTGCGGCCTCCTCGGCCTTCTCGATTTCCTTCAGTCGTCGGGCGGCTTCCGCCTTGAATCGGGAGATAAAGCTCTCCCCGCTGGCGTCGGCGCCTTCTCCCCTCTCTAGGGACTCTCCTTTCTCCAAGGACTCTCCCTCTGCAGAGGCTTTGGGTGTGGCTATGTCGTCGCTTGATCCTTCGCCACTGCTTGCCATAGCAACCGTGCTGAGAGAGAGCCCCTTTGTTCGGTCGGCGAGTGTATCCTTCAGGCCGGAGAATCCCTTCACGGCTTCTTCGCTGGCAGCTGCGTATTCCTGACGAGCACCTTCGTAGTAGGTCTCTCCCTGCTTGCGCACATTGTCCCAAAGTCCTCCGATTCGAGAGCCCCACGGGCTGGCGGAGAAGGCACGGAAGGTCTCTTGGAGCTCGTCATTGAGGTTGTTGGATTCTTGGGGTTTGGTTTCAGAAGGGGCACCTTCTTTGTTCGAGAGGGCCTCCTCCTGAATGTGATCATAAGCGAAATCCATCGTTGGGTGGGAGGTTGCGAGGGAAAAAACAAAGGCTAAACACCAAAGGTGCAGTACCTCCGCGTTCACGGCCCGACCGCCCCGCTTGTGATCACCATTGCCAATTGTTAATTTCGACTCTCTTTACTCCGTACTCAGTCTTTGCTTTTACTTGGTGTGAGCTTTGTCGCTTGTAAATTGTCATAAGTTATAAGTGATATTTAAATTACAGGTTCATCAATCATCAGCCATTGAACAATGTCATCCTTCAGGTTAGCTGTAGGGTTCGCCTACACTGTCCTGACTTCCCATCCAGAAGTTCGGCATCGGAACACTTTCCATGACACTTGATGACAGAAGTTGGCTCCGAGAGAGAACCTGCCCCTGCCACTGACCATCTCGATCCACTGCCTGCGAAGACTCGACTTGGACCACTGATTGAGGGGTCTGAGGGACCCGAGGGCGTTGGAATGCGGCATCAGCTTCACTTTCATCACCTCGCACGGGTGAGGATTCGGGAACCATCTCAGTAGGCTCTTTGTCTCCCTGGCTCTGCGTTTGTGTTGGTGTTTGGGAGAATGGCCCTGGTATCGGGTCCCGGGGAGGCTGGAAGGGACCATGTCTCGGGATCTGGGTGTTGCCTTCTGATGGGAAAAGCTCCGCCATCTTCTGCGTATTCAGGGTTGGTATTGGCTCGTGGGGGAATTGCGTTGCTGCGTGCATTCTTTGGTAGCAAACAGAGGTGTCGGACATTGGAGGTTCGGACGCAGGAGCATCGTCCCAGTTGATACTTGATGGGACGCTCTGGAGAGGAAGTTCCGGTGACCCATCTTTCGTTGACTCAGGACTATTTTGGGCCTGGGAGCTGGGCTGCTGGTGGATTTTGTGAGGTGGTTTCTTAGGGGATGGAGTGACGGAGCTTCTGTTGGTGGTTTCTTCGACTTCATCGTAGTCAGAGTCTGCATCCGTTTCATATATGACTGTTCTCTCCCTCCTGGTTCGCTTATCCCTCGAAATTTGACCTTGTGCCCTTGGCAGCTCTTGGGAATCAAACTCAGGCAGGTATTCTGATAAGGGGGAATTCTCGAGGTTGTTCGGTGGAGGCATGTTTAAAGAGTCATGTTTGCATTGGGAGTCCGTTATTGATCTCTGTAATGGGGGAGCATGACGATGCTCTTGTGAATCATTTACCACCGTTCGCTCCTCCGAAGACTCTTCTTTGATATGCTGCATGGAATTGTTTGTTGGGTTTGGTGGTCTTCTCTTCGAAGGGGAACAAGTAGCGCCACGGAACTGAGAAGACGTTATAATGGCAAGACCAGGGCTCTCGGGCGTTTGGGAGGAAGGGATCTCGCTCCTTCGAGATTTCTGCGGTGTGACTGGTGCTGCCGGTGTTGACATTTTGTGGTGTTTGTTATCGGCTGCAGGCTTCCGGTCTTGTGTTGCATGTGTTTGTAAAATTGGGTCTCCAGTTGAGAGGTCCAACTCTTCTTCAAATATTCTTCGATTCCTCTTTGCAGGCGTAGTACGCTTCACGGCTTCCTGTTCATTTGGTGCTGGCAGAGGCTTTTTTTGTTCACTTTCAGTGTCGTCCCTGCGTGGTGTTGGCTGGATATACCCCATATCAACGTCGTTATCATCGTCGGCGATGGTAATATAACGTCGCACAAAGTCCATTTGGGTCAAAGTCTTATTACGTTTGCCCGTTGACTTCTCTAGTTGTTTTCGGCTGCCTTTGGAGCGACCACTCGTCCTCGGTGTTTCGCTTTTGCGCGGCCTGTGACTTCGGTCTGCGTCTCCGGGGAACCCAGCGCTCCTCCGTTTCGGCAGACGCTCGCTTGATTCGTGTTCCTGCCCACTCTTCTTCATTTTTGTGGTGCGAGCTGACCGTACCGGAGGCGCTGGGAGATAGTCTGAGTCCTTGTCGGAGCCATCGTTGGTTCTCGGTGGTTCGGCCGGGTGAGTATTCTCGCGGTTTGGTTCATCGATATAGTCAAGTTGCTCGTCATCCGGCACCGTGGGCTGTGTCACAAATTCGATCTGTGTGAGGGTTGACTGTGCTCGCGGCAACGGGGTCCTTTTACGGCTGTTTCTCCAGGTTGACTCTGGTGATCGTCTTGCAGTTGTTGGACGCTGTGGGCTTGGCCTTCGAGGGGTGCGGAACTGATGAGTATCTGGATTGCTGTCCTCCTGCGGTTCCTTCATCGCATCAATATGTCAATGGGAAAGAAAAAAGCTCATGACGTTAGGCAACTCCGCGTCTCGACGCGTCTCCAATATCGAGTTGGTCCGTGCACTCGACCGATTCTGTGGCGAAGCCCGGCATTTGAAGTTTACTATGTTTGATCTTGATTTCAGTTGGCTTTTCTTTTCCCTGTTCTTTGAAAACAACGAACAGAGAGAAACAAAAACAGTAACATACATCTCTTGTATGAGAGCAAAAAAAGAAATCTTAAAGACCATGTTGGTGTTTTAGGAAGAGCCGAACGCGGGGGTCGAACCCGCAGCCTTAAGATTAAGAGTCTTACGCTCTACCGATTGAGCTAGCCCGGCGAAAGGCTGTTGAAGGTTGGCAAAAAAATAGTGCTACATAAACCAAAAGCTTTCATTCCAATCAATTCTCGACCATTATTTCCGCATTACATAGCTCTGGACTGGCCTTGAAGGGTGCTAATGGGTGTTGAAGCTGATTCAAGTCACAGGAAGCGTTCACTCAGTCATTAAACATGTGGCGGTGGGTTAAAATTATTTCGTTGAGTTTTAGCCATGGCTTTGGTTGGATATATACCACGGCCCTTGTGGGGACGTTGCGTAAAATGGATTATGGTCACTCGTTCTAAAGTTCACCTGGGCAAGTGGAATGCGAAATGCACGACTTCCTGGGCAACCCGAAGCCAGATCTTATAAAATATACTTTGGCTTTATGTTGGAAATTCCAGGGCTTGGAACAAAATGTGAACTGGCAGCCTTGGAATCACAGTGTTCGGAAGAGAATAGCCACAACGGTACCAAAGTCATCTATACTTAAGTATCTGTCTCCTTCTGTTTCCAACGTTGGGGCAAACAGAATTTCGTTCAAGGGAAAGCTGTATCGTATGCGCCACGGATCTCATCTAGCAGGCAGTGAGTCGAACTCCAGACCGAAGCAATTATATGCGTATAGAGACAGGAATACAGTACCTCTTATTCCAATCAATGCTTCAAAAGACTGCGACTAGTTCGATGAAACGTCAATAATGCGCTTCAAGCCATTTTGCACCTCGTTGATGAGTTGCGTACTCGGACCCAATCCGCCAATGGCGTCTTTCCCGTCGCCTACCGCCACACGGGCTTTGTAAAACAGCATCAACAGAGCATAACTGCTTTGCATGAGGTAGCATGCAAATGAAGCCATCGTGCGAGGAATCTCTCGTTTATCTAAGGCCTGTTGGTGGTAGCCGTTTCGCAGAGGCTGCGGGCTGGGTAAACCTTGGAATGATTTGGACATCAGAATCGCAGCTAAAAAACAGACCTGTGTGAAATGCTGAGTGCTAAAAGGGAATCCTGAAAGGTATGAGGCATTTGAATTCCATGGGGTATAGCCACCAGGCTGCTCGTATGACTCCATTGTAGAGGCTTCTGCCAAGGGCTTCAGGCTGCTGCATGAGCATGATAAAGCACCAATTACAGGCTTGGTGGTGCTCTGTGGTTTGTCCGAATATGCAACCGTCAAGTCGGGATGCTTTTTGATGAAAATTGGAATATCAGAGAAGGCTCGGAACCTATGGATCTTGATCTGGGCACTATGATGAGCGGCTGTCAGAAAAAGTCCAACACAACTCCAATTGTTGTTCAGACCTGGAAAGTTTAATTTTCGAAACGATACGAATGGTTCGGGCGGTAGACCAGAAGAAATTCAAAGGGTGAGCTATGACTTTCATTCCATGTTCTCTGATTGAATGTTCTCAGAAGAAAATGCGCTGAGATCGTAACTATTAGCTCCCCAGAAAAGCAGGGGCCTTCACACACAAATTTCGAAGAACTTGGAGACCCTAAGAGCATATAAATGTCCCTGCAGGAGGCATTGATCTTTATCAGGAACAGTACCTGGAGCACAAGTCGCAGCTTGATTGCTGGACAGAGAGATGGAGTGAAAGAGAGAGGGTGTGAGAGGGAAGAAGTGAGCGGGAGAGACTATCTACTCTGGCTGAACCCTGGGAGTTCATCTATGGATCCATGTGATTGTGATGACGCCAGCGCACGTGACATCTTAGATAGACTTTTGCCAAGCATTGTTACCGGCGCTAGTAATAAACTCAAACTCGGTAAACCTTCAGGGCTGTATTCTTCAGACATTATCCTGATTTTATTGTTATATTATATCGAATTGAGTTATGGAATTTCTGCAAGTTAAACTTCCTTGCCCTAGGGCGCATCAGCGTCAAGTATTGCTGGTAACTGTCACGTTTATATTACGGCTAGTAATTACCCAGCCATGGGTTGCCAAATCTTTAAATTAAGGTGTCTGTATCAAAACCCGAAGGAATGAAACTTAATCTATAGATATTCTCAATATCATAGCAAATCTGTAGGTCTGGAGGATAGATCGGTCTATTCGTCAGTGACGTCAATAACCTACTCAAGCAATCCAGCAAATACGTCTCTGCCTGTGGCAGTGGTGACTAGATTTCTATACAAGATAACATCGAGTTGTTCATCAGTCAGTATGTTGATAGAAGTTGCTTGCACAGTATGAATACTTGATTCCCATTCATTCTTCCTGAAGTCTCCAGGGCTGTTTTTACGGAGTATCTGACCAAATTATAAAGCACAGTTCGTGCAATCAAGCAATAAGATTCTATCAATAAGAACTGTCAACGAGACATGAAATGAGCTCTTCCTCCTCGGATAGAACCAGAAATCTCCTTTTCGCCCTAATATCCTTTCCTTCCATTATACCAGCCATCATTTTCTCATTCACCTAGCTGAAACGACCAAACACCGGTCGCCCGATCTTTGTACATAATTGTCTTCAGCTGATCTTCTTGCCATCACGTTCCATAAGGACAGCGTCGACTTAGCCGACAGACTTTAACTGCTTCCCGACCCACTTGACATTGGCTCAGTCCCAGCCACATGATGGCCAATGTCGAAAAATCTGCTGCCTCGTTGCCAAATCAGGCAATGAGCCGTTCGGGCTTCAATGACTGATGTTCACTCAAGCGGGCGTCTCGCGCAGAGATGTTAAACTCTGTTAGGTTGATTAGTGGGCCAGTGACCAATCAAATACCTGCAAATAATCTCGCCCTCTTTTCTTCTGGAAGAGAAAGAGGCAAGAAGAAGAGAAAGACTCATCTAGACCCAACCGAGGCTGGGGATATAGCCAACAATCGACATCAGCCCCGAAAAAGATAGATTTCTCCACCTATCCCCCTCTTCTCTACACCGGCTTAATCGCCTGCTTCTCCCCTTTGCTGTAGGCCCAACAGAAATGAATCATGTTGCTATATATTGAGCGAGGAATCGATGAAGTCTAGAATACCATCCACTCTAGAGAACGTCTACAGGTGTTGAGCATTGAGAGAGATAAGGGGTTTATGTTTGGAAAGTTTTGCACATTATACATCAATCCGCAAACAACACTGCGACGCAGACTGGGCAATCTGGTGATTTCCCAACTAATCTTCATCGGACATGAGCCATTCCGGAATTGCATCCTCATCATCTGGGTCTTCGGAGAGTAGCGAGCCCTTATCAATCTCACTGTCAGAGTCATGGTTTGGCACCGAGGGCTGCTTTCGATCTTGTATTGGGGTCGGGGGTCGAGAAATAGTGACCACACTAGCAGACTTGGAACCACCATTCGTGGATGAGGGTACCGAGATGGGAGCATTCTCAGATGATCCTGGCATCTCTGCCTGGGGTGGATTCTGCGGCATGAGTTTGCGGCCTTGAGGCCCCGAGCTTGAAGGGTTGCTCGGAACAACGACGAGTGAGTACTGCTGTTTGTGAGGCTTTTTCGCCTTGGAGGGGCTTTCATTACTCGGGGACGGGTCCATACCCGAGTGCACGGTTTTTGGAGGTCCTGTGGCGGCCTCGATTTGTTGGTCTTCCAAATCATCCTCAGGGAAAAATCCCCCTCCAAAATCATCTTCATTATCGTCGGATAACGGGCCAGTTTCCGAGTCAAGTCTTGGAGATTCTCGACCTTGTGCCAATTGCCCCTTGTTCGAAATCCTCGGGGGCGGACTGTATGTTGACACGTCTGCTTCGGGAAAGAAACCACCTCCGGAATCCTCGACATCCATCTCCTCAATCTCCTCCACTCCTTTTTCCTCGTCGTCATCGGCATATTCTTTCACTCTTTCTGCAATCCTGAGCTTAACCAGGAAGAGTCGCCAAAGCTGAAGGGCCTCCTGGGATCTAGCCTCAATTGCAGCAAGCCGTCTCTCATCTTCGAGTCCTTCGATGACGTTTTCCACCGCTTCCTGGTATTCGAGCGCAACAACGATACCTCTGACGACAGCTGTGCCTCGACGACCTTTGAAGTCGAATCCAGTGACGGCATCAGCATAGTCGATGCCAAGAATCCGGGCAGCTTTCACGGCCTCGGGTCGCTTGACATGAACTCCACCGGGCGGAACCATGCTGGGGACATAGATATCGAGATTTCCAAAGGCATTCTTTGGAATCCTCCCATTCACGACAGGTGGGGGCACGTATACTTGCGTCTGAGACTCTGCATATAATGTAGTCTCTGCAGGCTCATCATCTTCATCGTCACTCATTCCCCGGCCTTGGCCTCGGATGGCGGGGACACGCTTGAGAGGCTGCTCACCAACTTTCACATCTCGACCCAGACGATACCACTTATCAGAACTTCGCACAACATGGACATCGGCTCGGCGGTAGACTGGCTCTGATTTTTCACTCCTTGTAGTGGATTTTCCCAGTCCAACATGTCCGATCACCCTCTTGGGATGAATCACTTCATTGCGACGAACTTGTCGCTCAAGTGCATAGACAGGATGGTCTTTGAAGTCTTGTATACTGCGTGGCATTGGCTCTGCTGCTGCTTTGGAGGTAAGCTCGCTGATCTCTGCCTCATCACGATCCTCAAAGAAAGGCTTCTCATAGGCCTTCAATGCGTTGTCCCACCACTCTTGCCCGTGTCTTGTGCTTTCAACCCGCAGCTTTCGGGTTTTTGCGTTGAACGCTTTCACATAGCGACGAGTGATATCTCGCGCAGAGGCATCATCTTCGAATCCAACCACATAGTTCATCATGTTGACTGGGTCACTCGCAGGAGGTTCGAATTTGGTAGGCTTGGCGAGGGACTTGGTTACAACTGGATCAATTGGGATCCATTTTTTGGCAGCTTCGTTGAAAGCTTCGACCCAAAACACAGGAAATGGCGAGTCATTGGACGTTTGATATGGGGCTGCGAGGTCCGTAATCAGCTTGGAAAGCTAGCAATTGGCCAGTTTGCGCTTACCCGAGTGAGATTGTGGCTTTGGGGGACGCGAAGGTGCGAACTTTGGTTGCCCAATTCGTCGAGTCCTCGGAGCAGTAGGTGACTTCTTAGGCCCCGGTTGTTCATCTGTCGAAGATCCAGGTTCGTCTGAAGATATGATTATGGGTTGAGGCTTTGGTTTGGATGGCGTCATATCCTTCACGGTGCCAGAGAACGGCAGGGGTTGCAGTGAGCAGACAAGTCTCGCTTCTATGGCTACAGCACGCAGCAAAGCACAGAAAAGCTGCGCCCCGAAGTCTCGAGAGCCTTGCATTGTCTTCGCCTGTGCTCGGAAGTCCGCTCTGGACAGAAAAACCTCGGCACCCGATATTACTGATGCCTACATATTTGTGAGCAGAAGTAATTCCAAATGAAGGGTTCTGTGATCATTACCAATTTCTCCTTCAAGCGGGTTTCATCTTCAGCCCAATGAGCTCGTTTCATTCCCGGCTTGGTGACCCGGAACCTGCGCGCAAAAGCGTCACCGGCCTGGTTCAAACCATCCATAAAAGTGGTAGATCTGATATAGTGCGGCTTATGTCCATCTGGATGTAGAAGAGTGATCACCTTTTTTGGTAACATCTTTTTCACAAATTCCTGGAAGAATGTTAGACAGGCATCAGGAAGAACTGCCAAACACATAGATGCTGACCTGAAGTTCATCATCATTACACCACAGGTTGCGCAAATGGACATGACCAAGGAGACAAAGGAGATGGGATTTATGCACATCCAATCGAACCCTCCTTTCGGCGCCGGTCAGGGGTTTCCTCCTTTGGATGGCCTTTTGCCGCTTCTCGGGTTCCTGTTCCAGTGTAATCTGAAGCATCCCATCATCATCTTCAGGCACAGAAGGTCCTGGAAGAAAAGCTTGAGGTTGTGAGATACCAACATCCTCCCATTCGACATCAGACTCCTCTGATTCAGATGAATCATACACAGTCTGAATTTGTGGGTGTTCATCTTCGCTTGCTTCTGTGTGTCGAGATGGTTGGCCCGAGTGTTGCGAATCAACAGGGATAGCTTTCAGATCACCAATCTTGCGCCTCTTGACAGGTCTGTCCAAGGCGAAGTGCTCGGGATCTCGGGCCTCGGCTTCTTCCAGCAGTTCCTGGTAGACATCTGGGACATCGACATCCGCCTGTCTTCCGCGCTTAGGTTGATGACGCGGCGAAGCTCTACCCCTTGTAGAACGAGATGGCGTTTGACGCGCCATATCAGATCGAGATTCTGGGAAGGTGCAATATGCAGTGGCTCCTCAGCCTCTTGTTGGATGGGGTTCTACGCGTCGCGCGTCAGCACCAGCGTTGTCGCTTCAATACCCCGCCCCCGATCGAAGTTGCGAGATACGCCGAGGGAATAGGCCGATAGGCCGCGCAATAAATTTCCGTGGAGCCTGTTATTATCAAGCCATGGACATAGCCCCGAAAGATCTGTTGACTTATCGTCCAATGCCCTGGAAAGCAAAGCTGCGTCATTCTCGGAACTTAGTTTCTCCGAGAGCGCAATATAACCCGATTTGGAAATGTGTCACTCTTGAGCCTCCTGCGCGAAGGGAAATGGGACTCAAAAGGATGGTTTCGGGGAAAGAGATCGATAGAAAGTGTGATAGAGGTTAAGAAAACAATCTAGCAAACAGACAAACACTTTGGGCTTTGTCTACCAAAAACCATCCCAACTTTCAACAGTTACTGCAATGACCCGTTGGAGTGAGATATAATTCTGTAATTCTCAAGTGTCATCAAATAGTGAGCTGAGTCCACCGATAGGGACCGTTTCTACCTAGTACTTATGTCTTGCTAGGCGCAATATTTGCAGCTCGCTCCCATTTGGAGCAGTAACTTTTCACCCGGGCAAAGCTGAGAGTCGAATCTCAAGTTCAGCAACCTAGAAAAGCAGGCACTTCTTTCAAAGATTGGTAAACCAAAAAGGAAGGAAATACATACATACAATACCCACAAAAATTAGTCCATAGTATCATTGATTTGGTTCGCCTTCGTCTATGTATACTCGTACCTTGAAGCAAGGGCTACCAAGCATATGGTCCAATTTAGTAAGCCTACAGGGATCATATTGGTTCTGCTCTAATCTTTGTGTTCAAAATTTTCAGCTCTAGCAGATACATCGCACGAGAGAAACCTTGGACGCAGGTGAACGAGTAGTGAATAGACTTCGGTAAAAATGAATATGAAGTACCATCTGAATTTTAGCCCTGTTCTCAAATCCGAGGAGATGCAAGTCCTAGATTAGGCCTCCAGGGCTTCCAATGTTGATATCGGGGTATCTATTCTCATGACTCACCGACCATGAGCATGATGACTTTGTGGCAAACCCACGATGACAACTCGGAAGCTGAATACTCCATACTCCATACCTTGAAGTAGGAAATGACAAATAGCATCAAGAATGTGCGCCCTACGAGTAGATGTTTCAATCTTCTAAACCCAAACAAACGATCACACCATTGAGGCCAATGAAAGCTTTTTTCTCTCGTACTTGGGTGATGGTGGCAATTTTCAGACGAACTTCTCGGGCTGGCTGATCCGCAAAAGGCAAGTAGCGAATTTCATTGGGTAAGTGCGTAGCATCAATGATCTTCGACTTCAGACTAATACGAGACGTGCATGATCTACTCCTTGTCTCTTGCGTCTGTCAGGCATTGTGTGGCTCTTATTGACCCCAGCCGGCGCGTTCACCGAACCAGTCAAGTTCGAATCCGGGCAAGCGATTCACAATTCCAAATCCTTACACTTTTTAAGCGACTCATGAGCCCCACCGGGGTTTCCGTCCCGCTTGAAAGGCTATGAGAGACAATTCTTGGTTTTCTGTGAACCGAACCGTGTGGACCAAGTCGATCATTTCTATGCGAAGTTCACCCCGCACTTGTGTGCGCACAATCCGAATGGTCCTTTGGGGATTGCTCAAGTCGCCATTGAGCCTTGGCAGACATGAAATTTTCTTATCAATTATCATGATTGATGTCTCACTTTTAGCGTAATACCAAGCCTCTGTAGCTCTCCATACCAGGCAATCAATATTCTGGGCAGACGTCGCATTCTCGCCTAGCTACGAGTATCCGCAGCGAACGAGAATAAATGCACCTGTGGACAATCGATAGTTGTCAAATTGATCCGTATCTCAAGCCAGCTAAGGATCATATGCTCCCAAAAGCTGTTAGCATATCCGCTGGAAGTGTATGTCCATGAATGCTAGGTGCCTAGCGCTTGATACAAGTTTTCACGACAAGAACGGGTCTTGGTCCTAAATGTCTGACTTGACTCGACGGCCAACAAATATCGCAAGTGGGGAAGAAATCAAAACGGTGAGCCAAATACAATCTAGTGCCGAGTGTTGTCAAGGAAAGCAGTTCACCGTACGAGGCTTTCCAAAGTTGCAGAGACAGTTTAATACCATGAATAGAACCCTTGATTTTTTTCAACTTCAACTACGATTGGATGGCTAGGACCTGTATAGTCTAGACAATGGTGTCATCTTGAAATGCTTCCACGGTTGCAATAAACGTGTGTACCGAGTTGTCGGGGGCGAGTAAAGTGCGGCTCGGTCAACACATCGCACGGACTAGCGCTTACTCCCGAGGTCGTCCATGGATAGTCCGTACCTGTCACCAGGATACCCTTGCAAGCCAAACTTTAGAACACAAAAGAAATACAGATTTCACTGATTTGCAATGGTGTATAATCGCTGTAATCAATAAATTCGAGTACTACATAAGGATACCTTTGCACGTTATTGATCCATGCCAGTCAATATACCAACAAGCTCGGCAGGAAGTCATCTGATCGCGAGATCACTGTCAGAGTATCGGTACGGAGTTAAGTGTAACTATCGTCCTTACCCCGTCGACGTTCTCAGGGTTGGCGGTGAACTTCAGACCAAAAAAAAAAAGCCGTGGTTCAAATCTAGTCATTAGCTGCCTTGGCTGGATCCCTGTACGGAGTGCGGAGGACAACGAATAAATCTGCGAGACAGTCTAAGAGATTTCAGCGCCCAGGAAGCAAGGATGTGGACAAAAATACTACAAGGGTCCCCTCACCGAGAATCTCCGATGCGGAGTGATAGCCTCACGATCGTTGCCGAGCTAATGTGTGGTCTTAGAATCGAACCACAAGTACGAATAAAAGTGTGTGTGTCTACCGAAGTTATCTATACGAGTAGATCAAGTGAGGCAAAAAATAATCTGATGTCAGTAAATTAAGGCTCCGTTACCGACAGGTTGGAACCCGAATAACCTTCCCAGTCGCCGGGTCCGGGTAAATTGCCTCCCTTGTCGGGTTTCCAATGGAGCCCCGAGGATTTTATTCAGACAGGACCCGACTCCATGGCAACATCATTTCTTTGTTTTAGAATTTACTTTTTTTTAAAAAATTCCTTTTTCAGACAGCTGCACAGGTGCTGCGCCTGGGACTCAATGCGCAAGGCTCTTCTGACATGTTGCTCCTTTTTCGGGTCCCCCGCTAGGCGTAGAAATAATAACGTGCATTTGTTTTAGTTCGGCTAACTTGTTGACGGGTGTCAGTACGAGTATCCTAAATACGTGGCCCAACCTTGGAAGCAACATCCCATTTTTTTTGAATAAACTCAAAGATAAGCTTAATGTCCTCGCATATTCAAGGAAGTATTCCTATCATCCAAAGTGCTACTTAAGTACACAGTGTAACTAACCTAACAATCATGGAATATGGATGGAGTAGAGGCGTATTACCAAGCCCAATTGTTGGTGGGTCCATTCCCGCCAGTTTGGTTCCTGTACTTTTGACAAGTCGCCCATAACCCTTATCTCCAGGAGAACAGGGGAGTAGAACGCCGGTACACCCTAATTATAGGCTACATTTACACCACTGGAGTACTCCGTGTGAAGCTAAGTTGAAATTGCCAAGATGAGATGGCTAATTATTGGAGAATGACCAAAAGCCATAAGTGCAAAGTGTAATCCGTATCTTTTGCATGTTCGGAAATGTATGTACCTCCAGGGCTGCTTGTAAACCGGCCTGACGGAAAGGCGGGAGGTGACAGTTGGGTGCGAGCCATCCCGGTGAGAGAACCGAATACGAGTACTCGTACTCCGTAAAGGGTATCAGGAATTGAGCGTCATACTAAGATCGTATACGTAGGAATGTTTAACATATAAGTGCAACTTTAGAATAGGAAGACCCAGGAAGCCGGGAACTACAATTTGTATTGTGCATGTTCCGGACGTTCCAGACGCCATGTGCCCCTCCTTTCGGAGATCCCCTTTTGGAATCTACAGGACTCGTACGGAGTAGTGTTTGACACTATTCCTAAAGGAGTGGAATTGGAGAATTGGGGAATTGGAGGAAGTGGTTACGGTTGTTTCTGACCAATGAATCATACTCATCCGGGGGATATTGGGCCTGGACACTCTTTAGGGAGTGAGCTTGAGTTTCCCCCTAGTGACGCTACTTCTGACAGATCATCTCTTTTCCCACCGCTAGGCCTCAATATGGTAGGTGTCTCGCACTCAAGGGTAGCCTTGCCAGCGAGTCAATATCAAAATACCGCGACGACGTCGTAAAACTCAAACCATTGTCCTTCTAGCTTTGGAAATCTTCCGAAAGCATGTCGTACTTCGATATTCAGATTGACGCTGACCTCTATCCAAGTACTCTGTCTACGGGTAGCCTCGAGGCCACAGAAGATACTGACTGCAATGACTAACGTAGTCTTGGCGACGGGAGCCCTAGAGACTATGTGTCATTTGCCTTGGACAACAATCACGTATTTAGTTCGAGGTTAGTACTCCGTAACGGAGTACGGAGAGTACGGAGTATCCCCATCACTGTCAGCTCCACGTCTCTGCGGGGCCGAGAGTTCGATAATCCATCACTTAACCGAATTTTGTATTGCTTTTTTTTTTTTTTTGCCTGGATTCTGCAAAGAAAACAAGGGGACACAAAAGCAATGTTAATACTTAAATAAATATCGGAAGTATCGAATACGTCGATCTCGTTGAAGATAGGGGAATTTCGATCCGAAGCCCAAAAAATCCCAGGAGAAAGGGTAAAGACGGCCCGTGGCTGGGCCGGTTGCGAATTCCCAGCCAGATGGGACCGTTCACTATTGGCCGATCGAACCCATGTAGTTGAAAAGGTTGCGATCGAGAGAATCGGGATGCCAGAAATTCCGAGGATATGGATAAACAGATAAAATCCTCATTTCAGCCAACCCGGATAAAGAGTCCAGCAATAATCCTGAAATCCCGGAGACCCCGACTCCCGGGGGCTTGGGTGCGTATTTTAGTTTCACTAATGTAAGGAATAGGTATTTGGCATTTCATGAAAGAAGAAAAGGAAGAAAATGGGTAAATCATCAGGAAAATGCAGGAAAAAGTGACATATGTTTCATCCAATCATTTCCACCAGAAAACTTGATCTTCCCCAGTGAAAAATAGGGACATTACATATGTCCCTCCACGCCCGAAGCGCCCATGTCTTTCCTTTCTTACACTTTGCTGGACTCCTTTTGTTACATGAACTACTCCACTTGGGTTTCCTCGTGAATTTATTAAAATAATTTCAAATGTCGATCCCGCACGCTGGTTTATAGTTGTCCGGATCGTCCTCCCGCCCTGCCAGATTATAACTTAACCCAAGCTGTCGGGCTCCTTTTTGTTTTCTCATCATGTCTGGATTTGCATCTGTCTAAGGGGAATCGTCTCGGTTAAACGTGGGATGTGATATGGAGTATAGTGAATTTGTCCCTCCCACTTCATACCTCTCCCCCCGCCGTCTATCCTGCAGAGCACGCCCCCCTCCATTGCTTGGAAAAATCCTCCAAGACCTTGCCATTTTCCGATATCATCTTGCCAAAATCCCAAAAAAATTGGCCTGACTTGGCGTCGGTCAACCGTGTCTACTTGCCCGACTTAGGGTTGAGATATACTTACTACTCGCATTCTGATTTCTCGTACTGGGAAAAAGTGATCAGTGATCATGGGTGCAAGACCTCCGGTAAGCTTGCTATTTTGATATTAGACGTATCATATTTTCATTTTATCTTTATCGTCATCGTCATCGTCATCGTCATCGTCATCGTCATCGCTCCTCTATCTTCTCGTGTGAAACGGAATTTCATTGCCATTGATACTAATAGGCTATGCAGGTACCTCGTGCTGACTGGTAATTCTACCTACCCAATCTCCTCTCGGCTGATATTGTTGTCGTCGCGCTTTCTGGACCGTTGACTAATGTAATCAAAACAGTGACACGCAGTCACTGACGGCCAGTGTAACTGATTATCCCGTTGAAAATGGAAGACGGTATCATAAGTACCACGAGGGAGGTATGTTTGCATTTCTTGTTCGGTTACATCTCATATAACCTTGGAACACATCTTAACTCGATTTCTAGCCTACATATACCCCAATGACGAACAAGAATTGGATCGTCTAGACATGCAGCACCACATGTTCAAAATGGTCATGGATGACAGACTGTTCCATGTCCCTCTCATGAACCCAAAACGAATTCTCGATCTCGGCACCGGATCAGGGATCTGGCCAATAGAAATGGGTATGTTGACCCAATCGAGCTGCAAGGATCTTGTCTCATCATCTGGAATTGTCTTTTTGCAGCGTCCCTATTCCCAAACACCGAGATTATAGGGACAGATCTCTCCCCAGTACAACCAACAGAAGTTCCACCAAATGTCCATTTCCTCATTGATGATGCCACCGAGGATGAGTGGTTATGGGATGCCAACCACTTCGACTTTGTTCACATCGGCCACATGACAGGGGCAATGCCTTCATTCAAACGCGTATTGCGACAAACATTCAAACACCTCAAGCCAGGTGCATATTTGGAATGTCACGAATTAGATCCAAAGCCAAGATGCGACGATAAAACTATGCCTCCCGAGAACGAAGACGGAGGATATAGCGCATTCGCATTCCATGATTGGATTGATTTGAATATGCGATCAAGTCGAGAATCCGATCCCCCGAGACAATTTCGAATCGCACATCGGATCGAACAATGGATGAGGGATGTAGGGTTTGTTGATGTTGAACAAAGAGTATCAAAAATCCCTATGAATACCTGGCCACAAGACGACAAAATTCGGACTATTGGCGCCTGGAGCGAAAGTAATTGGCTCGAAGCCCTGTCTGGGTGGTCATATAAGCCGTTCCTTGCCCTTGGATGGTCGAAACCCGAGATCGAAGTCTTTCTTGTCGACGTGAGGAAAAGTATCCAAGATCGAAATGTCCATGCCTATACGGACTTTTACGTGGTGACGGGGAGAAAACCCCATCCCAATGAAGTGAGGACTCCTTGAATATCCCCATGCATTCTCCCCTTTTTTCATGACCGTCTTACGTTTTACCAACTTGTTCCATTAAGTCTTCTCCGAGATGATCAGCATGTGATACCATTGGTGGGCGATTTATTGCATTGTATTGGCGTTGTTATCCCCTGTTTCTTTTCTTCTCTTTTCTTCATCATTTATCGCATTCATATCTACTGCATCCACCAAAGCTCTCAACCCCGACTTATCCGTCGTGATGGAGTGGGCTTGTGCGCAATAAACAAATACGCAATACCCAGCCTGATATTCTATGTAGCCTTCACATTGCCCATGCGGCCACATCTAACAGAAAAAAAAAACTAAAAAGAACTGAATGCCTAGATGCTTCATGTGTAGAGCTGATAAAAAACGCCAGATGATTGGCCCGGCGTGGTGCTTAGTCATCATGCCAAGACTCCAGAAAGCTGCGAAAGTTGATCTCCGGTGTTTGCGAGCCCTCTCAATTGACTCGCGCATGACATAGCCAACTTCATGTCTTTCGGTAGACATGCCTATCGGCATGCTATCAAACCGCCTGCCACTCCGACACACGATCACTTGTGGATCGGCGACGACCTGTTGGCAGCCACGTTCCGTCGTTTTGCCAACGGCCAGCGGCGCCATGGGAGCTGTGTTCCTGGACCTTTAGAAGCACGGCGACGCCTCGCAAAGCGAAGAAATACAGCATTGGCCAGTATCGGCGGTGGGCCATTGGAGGACATTTCGTGTCTATTCGGCCGCAATGGGAGGGAACACATGAAATGGACCGATCATTCATGGCAGGGTGTGCCCTTTGAAAGTCAACGTGAGTACTGATGACATGCCATTCAATCGCTCGAGTAATCTTTCTGATCGTCTTTTCCAGCCTTCGCCGACCCTGCACCGGCTTATTCCGAAGACCATGTCCCATTCGCAACTCCAACACCCGAGCTAGGATACAGTGAATCCTTACATCCCTCGTCGCACCCCGCTCAGACTGATCCACAAATACCCGAGCAAATACTGGAGGATTTTCTAGGCAGCTCAAGTTGGGGGATCGAAGATGCCAGGGAATTCACTCGCCAGATGAGGATCGATCTCCACCGAGACCCCCGATACAGCAGACAAATATTTGACCGATTACTTGCTCGCTCAGACAAAAACTTTGACGAAGCTATTGCATTCTTGGATGACCCGTTTCTGAATACTCGGGGCTCGGGAAATTATATTGCAGCCATCGAGGTCTTCGTTCGAACTAAAGCGAAACGCGCTCGACGGACCGCTGTTCTGGATTCAATAAAACGCGGCTTAGAGCTGGGGTTGATTCCAACTGAGGACATTTGCCTGATTCTCAGCACGTTGCCGAATATTCTTGTCGAGAACAAAAAGACTCTGGGGTCCTGGGACCATTACGCGCTGCTGAAACATTACCGAGCTATGTGGAGAGCTATTGGACGTTGCAACATTTTGGGTTATCATGACCTCGATAAGAAGATTGTGGATGTCTGGATTGGAGAACTTCTGAGCATCGGCAGCTTTCGTTTTGCAGAGGAAATCATCATCGGAACACACGATGGAAACAGTCGCAGCCAGTGGCCCTCTGTCTTGGTCCAAACCTGGCTGCAAGCCAAGGAGGCTGATTTGGAAACAAATGCACCGTTTCCAAACAAAATATTCAGCCAACTTGATGTGGACTCTGCCGCGGATTGTGTCATACGCGTGACAGAGTCAATATCTTCTGCAGACGGCAGAGAAACCAGGAACCAGCTGCTGCACCGATGGCGAGACTGTCTCTCGAATGCTGATATTATTTCGACTGTCGCGAAGTCTCGGGTCTGGTGCGATTTTCCGCTTCCACGCGTTGGGTCCCAGGAACACGCTTTCGAGAAGCATTCAACCCAGGGCCAAATCGTATTGCGGCTCTGGCTTTTGCGGACTCTCTGTCGGACTACCGGATACATGTATAACCAGAGTTCGAAGCCGACAGACCGGCCAATCTACCTGTTACTCCACCTCTATGATCTTGTGATCAAGGGCACCGGCGGTCATCTATTCCCGGAGCTTTTGCGGGATCTTCATGAACTCGACCTCCCATACAACAGGCTTCTCATCTTAGCCCTCGACAGAATGGGAAATAAGTCCATCACAAAAACCGTTCGTCAAACCCTTGAACAGCTGGAGACATCCAAGCTCTCCCTCGCCGATGTGTGGAAGACCCCATCCATACATAAGGGAATCCGAAACCTCTTCCATGCTTCATTCGATCAGATGTTCAACCGCATGGATCTCGCCAACCCCGAAACAGCTCAAGAATTAGTGCAAATTGTGCGATCAGGAGACTCGAACAGCACCCGATCCATCCTGAGACTCCTGAATAACAACACCCCCTTCAAGATCAGTCTCAACAAAGCCTACCAAGAAATCCCACACCCCGATGAGATGATCCTCGTACGGTACCACCCTGGCCCACGCACCAGCCGGTGCCCCGATCCCCACGCTGCCATCAGTCTGATAAATCAGCTGGCGGTAGCAATCTCTTGCTCCAGAAGCTTGACCCCATCTCAATCATTCCACATGGTTCACTGGCTCTATGGATATCTACGCAGACACGGCGGGCCTGTCGATCCGGAATTCGTGCGAGCCATGTATCATGCCGGCGTGGTACGCAGACGTCGTGAAGGTCTCCGCATACCAGCGACACAGTACGAGTATATTCTTTGGATTGTGGGCAAATTTGAGGGGCGTCAGGTTGTTGAACAGCTCACTGACCCCTACCAGATTGGTGCATCGAATTTTGTCGGCCAATGAAATGCGGGAAGCTGTTGGCGATTTGATCAACGGAACATGGAAGTTTAGATGTACCCGCCGCAGGGCATTCTGTAATACATCGTGATACCCATATTTAGTTGGCCCACAGGGCGATAGAAAAAGCATACTTTTATATTACCTTGAATAAACATTGGAAGTCGGAAACCACAGAATGTGTTACCAAAAGGAGAAAACCCGTGCGTGCATTAAGTCAATTCAAAAGACAGTTGATCTGAAATCTAAAAATATCTAAGAATCAACCTCCATGTTGTCTCCAGCGGCGAGGTTATCATCACCGGACAGAGTTTCGATCGTAACATATTTCTTCATATCCTCCTTGCTGATGACCCGCTGGTCCAAGTAAGCGGTCGTACCGCGCTGGAAGCGGTAGTTGCGCTCCTTTTGTGGGCGGTCGTTGGGCTTCATGTAGTTGCGGAGCAACTGAGTGGGTTGATCTTTCTCGATAACACACACATCAACGTTGCTACCAGAGCCCAAGTCGTTGAAGATACCGGCCTTGATAGCTTCGGCACAGATGTCGATGGCGCCCTGGCGGTCAAGGTCTGGTTGCCAGGTCGACTCGAACACGGACATCGCTGCCAGAGATCCAGATCCCATGGTCACGTAAGGAAGCTTGTCGGTTGAACCGTGTGCGTGAACAGTGTACAGTCCCGTGCCGGTCGGGTCAACACCTGCCACCACGAGGTAGGCTCCGATGTGACCCTGGTACCGGAAGAGGTGCTGCTTGAGCATGGTCATGCAGGTGATGACACGGGGGTCACGGCCTGTTGATAGGGAGTGCAATTCAACATTGGAACTGATGAGTGCGGTGGTGAACTCGGTGTCGGCGGCGGTACCGGCTCCAGCACACCAGATCTTGGGTGCGATGTAGTGTAGCTTCTCGCAGTTCTATCACAAGACACATGTCAGGGAGGTTCCAAAGGAAAGATGAATCAAATAGATCGGCTTTTCATACCTTGTCTGCTACTATGGGACCGCTGGTGGCACGAGTATCTGCTGCAATCTGCGATGGTGATTCATGTCAGCTCCTGGATCATAGCTTCATGGGAGCTTCTCGCGTTCTCGTCGGACATACCACAACGCCCTTATCATAGATACATCCCACAATTGTTGTACCGGTACTGGTGGCTTTGGGGAGGGGAACGCCTCTGGCGTGAAGTGCCGCGTTGCGGTTGTAGTTGGAGAAGTCAAAGCCCGGCATTGTGATAACGCTGGTATTCGCGACCGGCTGGACAAATTATCGAATCTGATCTGAGACACAAGAGACCAGAGAGAATATATTCCGGATATCGAGATTGAAGAAGGTGGACGGAGGAATGAGGTAGCTCAAGATGGATGTGAAGAGTGAAGTGAGCTGTTTGGAGTGACGAAGCTCCCGCAGCCTGGTTGTTGCCTGAATTCCCAGGCCCAAACAAGGTGTTTTTGCCGGTCATTATTTTCGGGACTTCAATGATCTTTAGTCTCCTCCGTATTCTCTCCAACCTTTGCGCATCGGTGGTTCTCGTTGCGTTCATCACCACCTTACGCTTATCTTCTCATTTCTGAGAAGTCGCGCGATCTCAATATTTTCGCGCATACCCTCAGCCTCTTCTCCCGGAGTCCTCAATCACTCCATCGACGCTCGCTTTCAACTCCCCCAACTTCGCCTTCACCCAATGCTTTCAGGACAAGCTCACCACTAAGCGAAAGCACACGGTCTATTTCTGGAACCATTCATTCAGACAAGCTCAGGATGGCCTTTAGCTTTGGCGCGTCCAACCCCGCCGGGGCAACCGCCTCTGCGGAGCTTGGCCCAGAGCTTCCCGATGTTTTTACAGATGTATGTCCAATCCACTGGTGCCTTCAGTCACCAAAGTCTGTCCATTCTAATGCAACTCTAGGAAATCGGCTTCAAGGGCGTATCTGGCGATGCTAACGTTCGATTCCTTCCTACCGCCTGGCCTGATGACGCGCTTCCGGCTCCTACCTCGTCTCTTCTGGCTGTCGCGCATAACAAGGGCCTTGTTGTTGGTGCTGGGCCCGATGCGCTGGTAGTCAGCACCACTGAAATTATTCGAAATTCGATCGAGGCACCCGCGGGCGAGAACATGGAAAAGACGAAGGCGTTCCAACCCCAGGCTACAATTCCCCTTCCATCTCGTCCGACACATGTGGCTTTCACTCCGGATGAGGCTGGATTGATCCTTGCAACCGAAAATGGGCCTTCTCTTTCGGTATTCGATACAAACACTTTGGCGCAAGGGAATGCACAACCGGCCGTTTCAATCCCCACGAATGGGGTATCCCTCCGTGCTCTTGCACCTAACCCCGACTCTGCCTCCACACTTGTTGCACTTGTCACCGTGAATGGTGAACTTTTGATTGCCGATGTCAAAGCCGGAAACCTACTTCCTGGTCCAAACGGCCCGGTCCTCAAGGATGGCGTGAGCTGTGTCTCATGGAGTAGCAAAGGGAAGCAACTCATGGCTGGTTTGGCCGATGGCACTGGATACCAGATGTCCCCAGATGGAGCGAAGAAAGCAGAAATTCCCAAACCTTCAGATTTGGAGGGAGAATGCCATGGTCAGTTTGAGTCCCAAATGCCTCACTTCGTGCTTTACTAATTGGTATTTAGTATCTTCTGCTGTATGGCTTGAAAATGATCTATTCTTCATGACCTACACCCCCAATGCTGCGGAGGACGATATGGGAATGAACCCTGCTTCTTCCTACTACATCATCACACGGCGCAAGCAGCAACCATTCCTCATTCAGAAATTGCCAGAAATTTGTTCGACGATGGGTTTCATGCTTAAGCGCGCCCCTGCCTTCCAATTCATCACAAGGATCAGAGATTATAAACCTCATCTGAGAGACGTCCTAATTGTCTCATCCACTGCATCGACTGATCTTGGTCTCATCACACGATCCGACCAGCCCCTGGCAAATGACGAGAGAGCCAAGCTTCATGTCGGACAGTTCATGACTACCGAAGTAAACGACGATACTAAACGCGCTAGTATCCCACTGAAGGAGTCCGGTGATGAGACATCAGTTATTGGCCTGGCACCCAACCTGTCGGCTACAAAGAACGTCATTGCGCCGCTCCCTGGTTCTGACATTATGGAGAGCTCAACGCCCCTACCCGGTATACTACTTTTGAACAATGAGGGTATTCTGGCGTCTTGGTGGTTCACTTATGCCGACTCGATCCGGCAAAACGTTCCATACTCCGGCCTGGTCTCAGCTGGTCAGGTAACCCAGGCTGCAGCTCCAGCTCCAGCTCCAGTAGGAGGGCCAACAGGAGTATCTCCCTTTGAAGCCAAGCCTGGCACGAGCACCACACAATTTTGCTACGCTCCGGGGAAACAACCTGGTGCTGCCCCACCATTTGGCACCCCTTCCCAACTGGGTGGAAACTCCCAGCCTTTTGGAAAGCCATCCACCCCAGCAAACCCATTTGGAACCTCGCAGTCAAGCACTTTCGGAACTCCAAGCACCCCGGGAGCGACATTTGGGAAATCTGGCTTTGGGCAATCCGGGCCCACGTTTGGAAAACCTAATACTCCCGCGAATCCCTTCGGCATCAGTGGTACAGCAGCCAACGGGGGTGGTTTTAGCTCTTTCTCGGGTGGTGGAGGCTTCAGTAGCTTCGCAAATGCTAAGCCCGGCGAATCGTCTCTTGGGACAAAGCCAACAACCAATCAGTCACCATTTGGCAACCCAAAGCCAGCTACAGCATCGCCTTTCGGGACGAACCCAACAACCAACCAGTCGCCATTCGGCAACCCAAAGCCGGCTACAGAATCGCCATTCGGCAAACCCTCCTCCGGTGGTACCACTTTTGGTCAACCCTCCAACATATCCTCTGGGCCAAAGAAACACGAAACCTTCTTTTCGCCTCCTCGTCCCGATGCAACGAAGAACCCCTTCGGTCCTGCGGGTGGCTTCCAGCTCAAATCCAGCTTCAAGGAAACGGCTTCCAAGGACGATAAGAAGACAGATGATTCCTCGGCGGGAGCTTTCTCATTTGGAAGTTCCCTTGATGACATGGTGTCGACCCCGCGCAAGGGAAGCTTGTCTCCAAGTGAATCGATGGATGACACCGACGATGTGGCACCCGTGGATAAGAGCACATTCTCAATATTCGGTGGAGTGAAGAAACCGGATTCACAAACCCCTACGTCAATGTTCTCTTCTAAGACTGCCACTTCGACCGACAAAAAGCCATCGTTTTCGATGTTCGGCAATGGCGACCAAAATCGACTGACCAGCCCACTGTCAGCTCCGTCTGATAAGACCGAGACCCCTAAGAAGGATTCATCCGCTGGTATTGACGTGGAGACGCCTTTGCCCCCAGACTCTACTAGCCGGGCTAGCTATGCGGCTGGAGACACATCGGCCTCCTCTTGTGTCTCAAAAAGCTCCGCTGAAGATGCTCCCCTCCCTCCGGATTTCACCAAAGCGGCCAAGCCTGCACCGAAGCCCGAAAACGACGCCCCTCTGCCCCCTGATTTCCTCCCCAAAAGCAAATCCGCACCCAAGGATGATGATGCCCCTCTACCTCCTGATTTCATCACCAAAAAGAAGCCCGTGGCAGAGACAGATGACGCACCACTCCCTCCGGATTTCTTGACAAAGCCCAAGAAATCGGACCCTCCTGCCATTCCAGATGATGCGCCATTGCCTCCTGACTTCACCGCGAAGCCAAAACCAAAGCCTTCCGAAGAGGCTGTTCCGATCCCAGATGACTCTGACTCAGCTGGCTCCGAAGAAGAATCGGAGGTCGAGGATGGATCAGACTTCGATGACAGCGGAGAAGAAATTACCCATGACGAAGCAACGACTGCTAAGCCCAAGCCCTCGGCAGAAAGTTCATTTGGTGGGCTTTCCGACAAGAGCTCTACAGGAGGATTCTTCAGCGGCGCCGCTAAACCTACTGAAGATGAAGGTCGTCTTCCGCGACAGCTGTTTGGAGAGATCCCCAAGCAACCCCTGCTTCCTCCCCCTGGTCCTGTTGCCCAAAATAACCGTGAGCCTTACCGGTCACCAAGCCCTGTCCGCCGAGGTGGTTCCAAGAAGAGTGTCCTCTTTTCTCCAGAGCCCACTCCTCGCAAGGGATCTTCAAGCGCCTTGCACTCCCGTAAGGAATCTCTTACTCATCTTGCAGAGCGTGATGGTCATTTGAGAAAGGCCAGTGACATCGCTCGCGAGCAACAAGAAGCACAGGAGCGCGCTCATGCTGCGGCCCAGGAACAGGAGGATGATGTCTTGTCTTTGTCTGATGATGACGAGGACGACAGACTTCGTGATGACCTTGCTCAACCTATTGAACCAGTTGATACACTGGATCCATTCTTGCCCCACCAGAACTATATGGGCGAGACCGCGAAACCAGGCATTGCCGGCCAGGTTGAGCGACTTTACCGTGACATTAATTCCATGGTCGATACTTTGGGAATCAATGCTAGATCACTGGCTGGCTTCCTTCTACATGAACAACCCAAGAAGCAGTCTAATATCGATGATTGGGTCATGGTCATCAATGGCGACCAGCCCGCTGACATCCTTGATACTAAGATGGTCTTAAAGGACATTGAGAATTTCCAGGAGATCATCGCATCTGTCGAAAAATCCCTGAACGATCAGCGTGTGCAAGGAGTGGACGAGAAGCTGAATGCTTGCCGTGATCTACTCACAAAGCAAATTGTGGCCCTCCTCTCACAGTTTGCGAGCACCCGCAAGATTCTTGATGCCCACACCGACCGTGTCGCCATCCTTGAGGCCCCTCTCTCCGCTGAGCAAGGTGCTCTTCAACACGACCTCCGCACAACCTTCACCAACCTGCAGGCCCACACAGTCGACCTCGAACAAGCGGTTTCCCTCCTGCGTGCCAAAATCGCCGACGTTTCCCAGGTGAAGGGTGCAGCTCGCAACCGACCCACAGTCGAGGCTGTCACCAAGACCATCGCAACCATGATGGGCATGGTTGAAGGAAAGAGAACAGACATTGATGTTCTCGAAGCTCAAATGCGCAGACTGGGCGTGGATGTATCATCCGCTGGCACCCCCAGCCGCGAAGGCTCACCATTCAACACTCCTCGCAAAAGTACAGCTGGTCGCATTCCCATGACCCCTGGATCGCGTGGATCTGTCGACGGTAGCTCCTACCACACCCCCGAGTCCGCCTCCCGCGGTATCAACTTCCGCGCCAGTATCAACGGCTCAGTTCGAAAGAGCCGTCTTCGCAGTGTGGAGGGCGCAGGTGAGCTTGAGCTCCCTGAAGAAGATGCGACTGTTTACAAGGCGAAACAAACCCGCCGCCAACACTTGAACGCCAACTTGAAGAAAGCGTTCGAGAGCAAGCAGGCGAAGGTGCGTGGTGTTGATGAGTGGTAGCAATCTTTGAAATTTGCTTTATTCTAAAGTTGGCGAACATTCTCCCCTTGGAGGATTGTCTCTTGGCGTGTAATGGTATTTGGATGGTCATGAAATGACCGGAGTCTTTCTGGCATGCACATATGTAGCGGGTTCTTTCAGCGCGAAGTGAATCAAATGCACGCCTTTTCTACCGAATCTTTAGCTATATGGATAACATATCTCTATTGATCTACGTGCTACGAGTCAACTGTTATAAGAGGCAATGGCTCTTCAAGTAGTACATACTTAAGTACGGACCAAATTGTATTCTATTCTGCTATTCCCCAAATTTACACAATTCAGAACAATCCACCTTCCTCCAAAACCTCCGGCGGGGAAGTAGGCTTACCACGTCGAAAGAAAATACGCTCCCGATCAATCCAGACCTGTTTAGCAAGCACTCGCTGACACCATCCTTCTGCAATACGTACAGCCCTTCTTCTCACATCAATGCCATCCACTATCGGGACACCCGTTATAGGAAGCGAAAGACACTTGCAAGCTATGCCGAGCCTTGATCGAAAGCCTATCTCTCCTCCTCCCGTTTGGACCACTGTGATATAATACTTGAGCAGATCTTCGTCCCAATGGGTTACAGCCATTCTTCGGTCAAAGTCGACTGTTACCCAGCATTCTGGTTCGTCGTTGAGAGGGTCTGGGAGTGTACGGGCACCGTCCATGAAGGCGCTGGCTTGGGTTGACATTGTTAGTTGGGATGTTGATTCCCAGGTTTTGTTTTAGCTTGGAGGATTTTGGTGGGTTCGAGGGTCTAGTTATTTGTACGATCATATATAGTCTGATGGGCTGGGAGCTATGGTGAATTTTCTTTGTGTACTATGCCTTTGTGTATTCTAGGGCTACGGGGGCTCATTGTCTGATCAAACGTCCATTTTCTGTTTGGATTTTGCTTCCGTTGCAAGACAATTGTGTTTCAGATTCCAGAGAGCCAAAGGTCGACGTAAAACAACATTAGAAGTGAGGTTGTTGTCTGAGAGACAATTGAGCAATGCAGAGGTATAATTCCCCGGACTGACATGACAGTGACATCACCCTTCAACCTCGAACTCATCGTCTACTTACACTTGAGCAGGTGTTTTGCTACCGATCATCATCCAGCATGTCTCAATCCAGTTGTCAGTTCATCTACTTCCGCGTCAAGCCATCCGTCAGGCCCGAGGATCCGTCCAGTGAAGAAGGCCAAGCTCTACTGAACGTCTTCCGCACAGCCAAACACCAAAGTGGCCATCAAAGCTCAGCCTGGGGTCGTACATCCGAAGACCCAGATTTAATCGTTTGGGTCATGGGTGAGTTGGATATTCCTACCTAGCACATCCTTGATTCTCCACGCCTCGGAATTTCCTCGATGAAAGCTAACCAAAAACAGACTGGAGTGACGCGCGCAGTTCAACAGACCAAGGTCTCCTGGACCCATTTCTCGCCGAAGACAACTCTCAATTGCCAACGTCAATCTACGTCACGCTGAGCCCGCCCATCACCGCGACTGAAACCCTCACCCAGAATCCAGTGACAGAGTTATGCACGCTACCATATGCGAGCACGCTGTCTGTGCCGGAGGCAAGGCAAATCAATGCAGATCTCATTAGTTTCCGCACTGCTCAGATGGAATCGATGCCGCAGGTGACGGGCCCGTTGTCTTGGGCGATGGGGCAGTTAGACCGGCCATGTAAGCTGAATCATGCGCTCAGCCCGAGTGGCAAGGCCACTGTGCATTTCCTAGCTGTCGGTTGGGATAGCGTGAATGCGCACCTGGAGGCCAAGGAGACCTTGAAATTTTCTCAGGGCGTTGCGCCTCTTATGGAGAAGATGTTGGCACCTATTCCAGGGTTGGAGATGAAGCATGTCAGTTTTCAAAAGATTTAGGCGGGGTCATGAGCTGAAGAGGAAAGAGGGAGTCGTGGATTAACGCTGTAGGGGATTGTGTATTTCGGTTGAAAGCATGATGATAGATTAGAGGACGTGTCAAGGAAAAAGGGCTACTTGGTTCAAGGGAAATTTGTGGGAATTGTTATTAGGAAGGCAGAAAACGAAATCACACGCCCTCGAATAAAATACAACAAAAGGAAAGAGATAACAGACTCCTAGGAAGAGATTGAAAAGGAAAAAAAAAGAGACTTCATAAACCACCGTGGACTTTTGAACCAGTACAGACTTGAGACCAACCGTAGGCCACAATTCTGTACATTTGGGATCGATGTGCTTAGATCCGGTGCTTTTCACTCTCTGTATTAATGCGTTAGGGCTTCCATCCATAATAAGGGGGACCATAGGATCCAGGGAGGTACATACCAAGTCGTGAGTACAGCATGTAGAGGGCCATTTGGTTACATTCGGCTGTACCGGTGATGGTCACAAGACGCTCGTTGCTGCTCTCTTGGGGCTCGTTAATCTTGATGACGCTGCCGCTCAGGTGGCGTATTTCGTTAATCTTGGCACCGCCCTTTCCGATGATGGCACCGACCATATCGTTGGGGATGTAGATCTGCTGGGTCAGTGGCTGGCCAGGGATGGCGCCGGCCACGGGTGCAGGGGCAGTTGGGGGACCCCGGCCAGGGGTAGGCTGCTGAGGAGCACCCACAAAGGGAGCAGGCTGATGGGGTCCAGCACCACCATAGGGGGGTTGGGGAGCCGGTGCAAAGTGCATGGGGGTCTGAGGAACAGGGGCCGGAGCTGGCTGGCCATGGAGGTAAGGGACACCGTAAGCACCGCCGCCAGCCCGGTTGGGGTGAGGGTGGTGACGCTTGAAGGTTTCAGGGTGGCCGTACTGGCCCCCAGCCGGCTGGGGAACGTAGGGGACAACTTGCATGCCACCGGGGACAGCGCCGGCAGGACCACCACTGCGAGTGGCATAAGCTGAGGCGGCGGGACCGCCGAAACGCTCAGTCAACTGTTCGACCAAGGTGGAAGCCACGTAGTAGGTCGCAATGTGCACGGCATCCGCGACACCGAGAATGACGAGTGACCGTTCGGTGGACAGAGGAAGGCAGGCATCAGAAGCATTCAGACGAGCGCCAGAGGCTTCCTGAATCTCGCGAATGCGGCTGCCGCCCTTTCCAATAATGGAGCCGATCAGAATGTGGGGAATTAGCAAGCGAAGGGGGTAAGTCTTGGACTGGGCAGTGGAGGCGGCCTCAAGAGGCTCATTGTTAAGGGTACGGATGATCAAACCAAACGCCTGTTGATTGATGTTAGCGGATGAACCATTGTGATAAAGTCATTCACAAGTGACAAGATAACTCACCTTGGCAGCAGCATCTTGGGGACCGCTGACGGTCAGAATACGCTCAATAGCACCCCGAGAATAATCACTGACAGTGCACTTGGCACCTGACAACTGACGAATCTGAGACACGTTCTCACCTCCCTTTCCAATGACGGTAGCAGCCTCCTGGCTAGAAATGACCGCACGGATGTGCACCCAGCTGGACTCGTCGACAGGAGGCTGGTCAGAAGCCGTTCGGTCAGCCTGGGAAGCTGTTGATTGGATGGGCTGAGTTTCGGTCGGGGCACCCTTGCCATTGGGAGCATCGGGGACCACAGTATCTCCTTGGGTATCCTTGGCGCCATCAGTGGTTGGAACTTGGTCGCTGGAGACATCGGCCTCGGCCTCGGCATCATCACTCTTGACTACTTTGTCCAAAGCCGGGCGCTTGGCCTCAGGTTGGTCATTGGGACCGGAAGGAGAGGAGGGGTCCTCCAGAGGGCGCTTGGCCGAGGGAAGGTTGGATGGGGAAGCAGACATTTTGACTTGTCTGCGCTGCTGTGTTGTTCTTTTTTCTTTCTTTTTCACTTACGAGTGAAAGATCGAAACGTGTCAAGATGGAAATCTGCTTTCTCTTATGATCGACTATGTACACCAGGGTATCTCACGATAGGTGCTGGTGCTGACGATCGAAAGGGGAAGACTGGTGCTTTTGACAGGGTTGGATAGATTGTAAAGGAAATGTGGTGGTGAGGGAGTGCCGACGCAAGACGGGAGGAAGTGGAGATTGGAGGTGCTGTGAGAGGGAGTCACGACCGGGGAAGCTTCACGGGGGGGTTGCTGAGATGCTCGAAGTGGACGACGCGACAAAATGATACGATGGGGTCCTTGGGTAGATGCGATGGGAAATAGGAAATCCGGCAAGAAAGATATCAAGCGCTAGAAACCGTTGCCTGCTGTACCACGCTGTAGCCTCCGATAACGTTCAATCTGAGGTCCGAAAATGGGTAAAATTCGCAATCGGCGAATTGATGAAACTTCAGATGTGAAGAGCTGAAGAGATCCAAGAGCCAACTGAAAGCTAAGCAATTTGGCGGAGATGTAATGGGGGAAAAGGGAAAAGGGAGAAGGATGATGAAGTTGGAAGTTGGTGGAGGTCGAGGGTCACATGACGCAGGTGTGTGATGTATCGTTTGTCTCTCTACTCCGTACTCCGTACTCCGTACTTGGCAAACATTCGACAGGTCTGAATTGCAATTGATTTCGGGCTCAAAAGATATTCTGCTGCTTCGAGAACTACGTTGCACGCATTTTGCGTCACTCCAAAAAAAGATCAAGCATGGACGTCTCCGATGAGACCGTACAGAGGATCCAAAAGTTCGCAGAAAACCGCCAGGAAGCTGAACGCGAGTCAAATGAGCCTCTTAGTGGAACGGCCCTGCATGTCTATACGCGACGGTTGGATGCAACCTTGCAGGGATTTCAGGAGCAAGTCAAGCGTCAACAAGATGAATTAAACAAGGTGTGTCAATTTGTCTGGATATTATATAGCTTGCCTAGGGCTAATTTATCTTCTAAGCTACGCGAGCTGAACTCAGCCCATCTTTTGGAAACAAGCAATGACCCCTGGGCCCGCATCTCTCAAGCCCGACGGGCTAAGAAGGCTTACGACTCACTTATGAAGTCGGATGACGAGCTTCCATCAACAGACTCCGTGCTGCCATCACTACTAGCCCTTGAGGAAACATCGACCCTGGTTCAAGAGACCAAAGTGTCGGTGAGAATGACCGCCGGGCAATTGTCTATGAACAGAGAGCGCCTCCTAGTTGAAGACGCTAATCTCAAAGATTCTCAATCAATCGCAACTGGGCTTCGAGAGCGGATCCAACGAATCCGCAATGAAAGTGCAAGAAAGGAAAAGCAGACGCCAGCACAGCTAGCACGTGAACAAATCGCGCAGCAAAAGAAGCAGAACAAAGACCTGGACAGCACCTCTTCAGACCTCAAGGTGTCCCTGGACAAATTCATAGATGATACCCTCGCGCCCATGCTGGCCGCTGAGGATCTGGGCGGCCCGACGGTTGGCGATGCATTCGAGGTATCGGATGCTACTCTTAAAGCGGGTTACACTGCACACGGCAAGCCTAAGAAGCAAAAGGAGCCTGTTGAGGCAGAGAGTGGATCACAGCAACGCATTGATCAATTCCTGCAACGCAATGCGGATGAAGCCCCTGCAAACAAAAGGGAAGCAGCGGCGAAAGAGATGCATGCCCTGCTCGAGACTATGATGGAGGCTGGATCTTCTTACATCGACCTTGAGCGCGACTCTGCTTCATCAAGGTTCCTCGTGAGAGCCAAGGTTGCCCAGTTCCATCCTCGAGATGCCCGACGACTCCGTTTGATTGATTTCGGCCGCTCGTTAGGAAATTGACCCAGAACATGCTGATTGACATGATTGTGTGGCAAAATTTGTATTACTGGTATCATTTATATCCTAATTCTAGTTATGTGATCATGCCAAATATGAGGCCTAGCCTGAATTCCACGCTATGAAGCCGTGCGTGGACCACATTAAAACCAACAACACCTAGGAATGCTTGTGCAAACGCCGAATCGATCATGAAATCTCGACAAGAGGAGAAAAGACAAAAGAGAAAAACAAAAATAAATTCAAAGGGGCATCATTCCAATCGTAGACTTGGGGGTTTTGGTTTTGGCGTTCTTTCGAGGCGCGCACTGGCTCGCAGGCCGATCTGACTTGGCTTTTGACCGCGAGCCCTTGCCTTTCCAGCCGCTTGTGGAGCTGCCAGTGGAGCCATACTTCCTTCGCGGTGCCCGTTTGCCAGGTGCGCGTTTGCGGCCCTTGGCGCCAGAAGCTGCAGGGCCAGTGTCAAAGTCGTCACCTGAGTCATAACCCGGTGAAGCTGGCGGAGGGAAGTAACGGCTTGTGATACTCTCGGCCGTGTTGGGCGGTGGTTCTTGGATAGGGTTATCGAAATTGAATGTGCCCTCGTCCATGAACAGATCATCGTCACTATACTCGTCGCTGCTGCTCAAATTGATGACATTATGGTGATTGGGATCTGCGACAACCCCGTTCGTCTCTGCCTCCTGCGTCATCTCCTCGTAGCGTCGCTTTGCATTGCCAACGAGTTCCAGGATTTGCCGGCCATACCGCTTGACTTTGTCTTGGTCAATATCTGGAATTGTAGATAATTCGTTCAGATCTGTTTGGTCATTAGCATGTCATTCATTCATTCCAACGGGAGTAGAACTCACTTGTGGGGAAGGATATGGCCATTTCACGAAGCGACTGATCAGAGAAAGGCTGACAGCGAAGGCCTTTCTTAACAACGAGCTATGTAAAGAGTCAGTTTTAGATGGTGGGGTGAGCAACAACGGGGTGGTCTTACATCTTGAAGCATGATCTTTGCATGCTCCTGGAAATCCTCTACAACCACCCGATGCATATGGTCGAGTCGATCCAACCTCTGATCACTGGTGATGGGAGGTCCCATTTCACGCGTGTTTGTTCGCTGAGGCTTTCCGGTAACCCGTATTGGCTCAAACCCGTCGCTCTCATCATCATCACCGCCCGAGAATTGTTCCCCCGAGGGGCCGCCGTACTGGAAGCGTTCGATACGACGATCTTGGGCTGATTGAACTGGGGACGAGACCATGGTCGACTGAGGATAGCCCGAAGTGCCGGATTTACCTTTATTCGCGGCCGTCGTGGACTTGCTTTTCGCCTGGGCCTTGGCTTTGCTGTTCGGTGATGCGCGCACCTCAAGCTTCATCTTCCGCTGGCCACTCTCGTACTCTGCTGCACGACGGCCAAGAATAATGTATTGCGTGGCGAACTTGCTCTTGTTGATCACATTGTCTTCGGCCAAGGCATCTTCACTCAGCAGTCTGTAGAACACGCGTTCGGCTGCTCCGCGGTCGAGGTCAGAACCCTTTCCATAACCTGGCATTTTTCGATGAGACGGGTCTTTGGGACGTTTGCAGTCTCCACGGAGTATGTCGGTGCAGTATATCACAGTGACCTTCTCCTTTGCCCTCTGGAATTGCCGCACGATCTTCACAGCCCAGGAAGCCTGCTCGGTGAAGTCATGGACTTCAAAAACCAAATCAGACTTGCAGTTATCGCATGTGTTGTTGCAATCCTCTCGGCGGAAGTACTCGGCAAAATAGGCGAGGACCTGCACACGTCTGCAGTCGCTCCGGTTCTCACAGAACTGGACGACATTCCGTAACATTTGCTTTTGACGGGTTTTCTGCTGGCCATTGCCGTCTCCCGATTCAATCATACGCTTCAAGGTTGCGGTATCTCTGTAGCTATAGTAAAGATAGCAGCCGGAGCGCTTGCCATCTCGTCCAGCACGACCGGTTTCTTGATAGTACCCTTCAAGACTCTTCGGAATACTGTGATGCATCACGAACCGAACATCGGGCTTGTCAATTCCCATTCCAAAAGCAATGGTGGCAACAATAATATGCACCCGGCCCGCCTGCCATTCGCTCTGAACTTTTGATTTCTTGTCTGTGTCCATAGCTGCATGGTAATGTTTTGCCTTGATACTATGCTTTTTTTGCAGATCCTCTGCAACACTTTCGCATGTCTTGCGGGAGAGGCAGTAGATGATTCCACATTGGTTTCGATAGGACTTTTTGATGGTCTCAACCATGCTGTTCAAGACTTCATCATTCTTCCCCTTCGTCCGTACCTCGTATGTAAGATTGGGACGGTTGAAACTCTGTAAGAACACTTCGCAGCCCTCCATGTTCAAGTTGTGCATAACATCGACTTTAACGTTCTCTGTAGCAGTAGCCGTCAAAGCCATCACTGGAACACCAGGTAGACGAGTTCGAACTTCTCCGAGCTCTTTGTAGTCCGGTCGAAAATCGTGTCCCCATTGACTGACGCAGTGTGCTTCATCGATGACGAGGCGAGATAATCTGTTCTTGTCATTGAGCTTCTCAAGGGCTCGGACCAGTGATTGGTTCTTGTTGATCATCTCAGGGGTAATGTAAAGCACTTCTAAAGCCCCTGCTTCTGGATTTGAAAGTTGGCTCATAATCCAGGATTTCTCATCTTTCTGGGTTTCGCCATTGATCACAAAAGCCTTGATTTTCAGTTTTCGCAAATGCATGACCTGATCCTCCATCAAACTCAGCAATGGAGATATCACAATTGTCACTCCTCGGGTACGTCCAGTGGTGACGATAGACGGCAATTGATAGCACAGAGACTTTCCTCCACCGGTAGGCATGAGAATGAAGGTGTCTTTACCAGCAAGGGTTGCATCAATGGCCTCTAGCTGATTTGGTCGGAAGCCACGGAGATGGAATCGATCTTTTAAGACCTTTCGGACTTCTTGAGACCAAGGATGATTAGACCAGAAGGCGCTGTGGGCAGGCGACTTCTTGGGGACAGGAGCTTTTTGAGTATTCCCAGTGGTCTCTGCAAAGACTTGGCGGGTTTGGCTTCCACCATCACGAATGGGCAATTTATCAACCTCATTGAAGCTTCCAGCTGCCTCAAGTATATCGTCATCGCTAACATTCCAGTCGAACTCATCAACATCCATTGAATCAAACTGTGGAGAGCCCATGTTTCCGGCAATGTGATTTCCGCCACCGTTCCACTGGCTTGTTGGGTTCGTCTTCTTAGGACTGGGGAACTCCGAGCGCTGCGGATAATCCGGCTCTGTTTTGGGGTTCGTCCGGGAAGATGGGAGGCAAACTGTTTCTCGGGTGACTGGATTCCTTGGGATGGTTGACTCCGTGCGTTCCATGGCAACAGGTTCAGATGGACAGTCACGAGCGAGCTCGAGGATATTGACTTGGGCAAGGAGCTTGGATATGTGTGCTTCGAGTTGTTCCAACTCTACCTCAACGGCTCGGCTCTGTGCAAGATCCTCTGGCATACTTGTTGGATCAAGACCTTGAGAGATCACACGCATCAAGTTCTGCTTGAACTTTTGCTTGCGAGAAAGACAGTCTTTATGTGTATTTTGCTGCTTTTGTAACACGTTGATTGCCCCAATTTGAGATACCAATTTCTTGTTCTCAGCGATCAATTCTGGAACAGGCTGGCCCTCCATTGCCTGTTGGTAAACGATTTCCGAGTTCTTTTCCAATGTAGCTCTCAATTTGGCGATTGAGTGCCCAAAGGCCTTGCTTTCTAGTGATAAGAATTCCACAACGGCTGGATCTTTTTCCTGTGATCCGGAAGACTTGGACCATGGTGTCGATGGAATTGGATCTTGCGGATCCGTCTTCACTGCAGTATGAGTCGATGGTTGCACAGGTGGTAAGGATGCTTTAGCCGGAGATCTTTTAGCCGTAGATTTTTCGACATGCGACGGCTTGCTTTCGAATTTATTTTCAGTTTTTGTGTCGCTCGCTGGACTCATCTCGGGAAGGATTGGGTATAGACTCTCCTCGGCATCCAAAATCATATCATCGTGGTCGTCATTGTCTATCCAGTCGTCAAAGATACTCTCGTCCTCATCGTCGGAGTCTGCAATAACTTGTTTGCGGTGGCTTCCATTGGCAACTCCATTGGTTTCAGGTCGTTTGATGGCGCTTGGGGGGTTCATCTGGCTTGTCTGGCATGGAATTAAGGGCTCGTTCGATGCCTTCCCCGCACCCAGAGCCCTGGATGCCCCCGGTAAGGTTCGCACTTTGGTCGGATGCTTGGAAGGCGAAAGAAGATCGGACGTATACTCATCGCTTTTTCGTTTCTTGCCGCGCTTCTCTTTGATCGCTTCGCAGGGTGTGTTCTGGTCTGGCCACGGACCGCGCGACGCCCCGACTTTGATCGCCCCAGAAGACAGTAGGGAGGGATCAAATCCATCTGTCAAGTCGATTGATTCAATAGCATCATATGCAAAGGAGTGGGGCTTTTCTGGTCGTATCGGGGTTGATTTTGGTTTCGCGATCTTGTGTGATGATGCTGGTTCGCGGAAGGAATCTGTTCAGCAAGTGATTGGTGTCAGTCGCATTCATACAACCAACAGCATCCGGTCTCTCTCAATTTCCTACTTCGTATCACGCTGGATTGTTTTGACTCGCTGCGTTTCTTTGTCGTTGAGGGTGTATTGGCGGGGACCACATCGGGTCGGCTCAGCATCCGGGGCTTGCTCGCCGATTGAGGTGCAAATAGCAATCTTGCCATTTCTTCGTCTGTCTCATTCTCCACGTCTTCCGGGATATCATCGAGGGTCGCGATCTGGTCAATGGGTGGAGTTGGGTGTTGCGGGCCGTGACTGTCGCGTCGCGCGCTAGATTGTCCCAGTTGAGGGTATGAGGGCTTCCCTTGGGTTTTCAGCCATTTAAGATGAACAGCCAAGTTATTCTTCGTCATGGGGGCGTGCTGCTCTCATGGCCGTGGGTGTTGCGAAACAATCAGGTCAATCGCGCCAATATGGGACGCGTCGGCACGTGAGCGGTCAGACGATAATCGCGATCATCTGCTTCATACTCCGTACTTAAGTACTACTCGTGCACATACATTTATTTTTTTAATTCTGTACTCTTTAAGGATAGCTGCTATCACGAGTATTCTTGCAGATCACAGCAATCGAATTGTATTTAAATTGTAGTTGTTTCGGACTCCCATACCATCCAATGCGTGTAGATCTGGAGGGGCGTGTGGGGGAATAAATTCTGCCCCACGAAAAAGAAGGCAAAATTCACATCCCAAACCATTGAGCCAAAATGGGTAAAAAGGGCAAGAAAACAGCCGAGCACAAGGAGCGTGTTGCAGCTAAGCAGACGAAGAAGTCTGCACAGAAAGAAAAAAGATCAAAGGCCAAGGGCAAGGATGCAGACAGTGACGCCGAAGATGCGGACCTAGATGCCATCTTGGCCCAGTACGCTGAAGAACAGGCCAAATTCTTGAAGGTCACGGAAGTCACCTCTGAGCCACCAGTTCCACGATCGTCAGCCACTGTGCTAGCATCCCCGTCCAACCGGAATGAACTGTTCATGTACGGTGGAGAGTACTTTGATGGCACGCATGCCACTTTCTTCAACAATCTCTTCGTTTACTTGATTGACCGTGGTGAATGGAGAGAGGTGACGAGTCCCAACACTCCTTTGCCTCGAAGTGGACATGCATGGTGCCGTGGAGGAAATTCCGGAGGCATCTATATGTTTGGAGGTAAGATTCTCTGGCCGTGGGAAATATGTCAATACCCATGGTCCCTGTATTAACGACAAACAGGAGAATTTTCGTCGCCAAAGCAGGGCACTTTCTATCACTACAACGATTTCTGGCACCTAGACACCGCTACAAGAGAATGGACCCGACTTGAGACCAAGGGCAAAGGACCGCCTGCTCGAAGCGGCCACCGCATGACCTATTACAAGGTAAGTGGCATATATAGTTTATGTCCTGGCCTTGATCGTCTCGTACTGAATGAAGAAACAGAACTACATCATCCTGTTCGGTGGATTCCAAGATACTTCCCAACAGACCAAGTATCTGCAAGATCTGTGGATCTACGACTGCAACCAGTACACCTGGTCTAACCCCTCGCCATCTCTTTCCTCCCAGAAGCCCGATCCCCGCTCATCATTCTCATTCCTGCCACATGAGACTGGTGCTGTGATCTACGGTGGATATTCTCGAGTAAAAGCCAGCGCCGGTGGTGGCGGCAAGCAAGGCAAGGGTGGTCCCCAGAAGATGGCTCTTCGACCCATGGTTCATCAGGATACTTGGTTCCTGAGAATCACACCCCCAGCATCTGAAGCCCCCTCATCAACGGGACCTACAGTCCGATGGGAGCGTCGAAAGAAGCCTGCCAACACACCCAACCCACCACGAGTTGGCACTACCATGGCATACCACAAGGGTCGTGGTATTATGTTTGGTGGTGTCCATGACGTGGAGTTGACCGAAGAGGGTATTGACAGCGAGTTCTTTGATACGCTATTTGCCTGGAATACCGACAGAAACAGATTCTTCCCCTTGACTCTGCGACGCCCTCGCGCGCCTGGCAAGAAGCAGCAGGCAAACCAGAACGCCAAGGCCAAGAACAGAGGAAAGGCCGATGAGGAGGAGCTCTTGGCTAACCTCAAAGCTTTGGAGGCTAAGGTTGGCATTCGAAACGATGACGAAGATGAGGAAATGCAGAGCACGCAGCCTGAGGAGCCGGCTGAGCCCGAGAAGCCATCAGTTGTTCGCTTTGAGATGCCCCACCGGCGATTCAATGCTCAGCTTGCGGTTCAGGATGATACACTCTTCATCTTTGGTGGTACTTTCGAAAAGGGTGATCGGGAGTTCACCTTTGACGACATGTACTCCATCGATCTAGTCAAGATGGATGGCGTCAAAGAGATCTTCTACCGTGAACCCGAGAACTGGAACCTGCTCAACGAGGCTGACGACAGTGATGAAGACATGGAAGATGAGGATGACGATGAGATGGACGAAGACGAGGATGAGGCTGATGCAGAAGCTATGTCTGTTGATGCCGCTTCGCCCGCTCCAACAGACACAACTGTGCCATCTGTTACCAAGGAAATGGAACAGCTTGAGGTCGAGGAGCCAGAAGAGCAAAATGTCAATGATAGTCGACCTCTTCCTCGACCATTTGAAAGTCTTCGCGAGTTCTTCAGTCGCACATCTGAAGACTGGCAGAATATCATGATGGACATTGCCAGGGAGAGAGACAACATCAGCGAGAAAACAGTCAAGGAACTTCGCAAGGCTGCATTCTCCGTTGCCGAAGAAAAATGGTGGGATAGCCGAGAGGAGATCATGGCTCTGGAAGATGAGCAGGAGGCTGCGGGTATTGGTGAGGTCGTCAGCATGTCTGATCGAACCGAGAACGTGGGAGGAGCTGGTCGTCGTCGTTGATACCAACAGAATTCATGCTCTCAATTCTCATTGATTCTGTTCAATTAAAGGATCTTCATATATGCGTATCATTATGTACAAAGTGAATCCAACAAAAATCAATGGACCTTCATTAATTCCCAGCGATTTGGGCCAGTACATCGATCACCAATGCAGAATCTCGCTCTACATCAACTCGCCAGTTAGAGATAGCAATGCGACAGGCAGGCTGACCATCCCAGCTGGTACCAGAGACAAACATGCGCGAGCTATCGTTGATCCTGTTGCCCAAATTTTGATTCAACTCTGCGTCATTTGCTCGGAACAAAACACTCATAAATGTCTGGTCAAGCAGCTCGGCCTTGGAAGATGCCTGCGGTAAAGCCGTGTACCCAGGGTGGTCGAATAACCACTCGTATATCTTCCGAGCAAGTTTGATCTGACGGCTGAGCATCTCTTGATATCCAGACTTGCCATACGCCAGAAGGGAGGCATACACCGGGAGCGCCCTGAAGCGACGAGAATTCTCTATTCCGATGTTCAGAGGCGAGGGAATTGATGGCCCTTGGGAGTTGCCTGCGGTCAAGTAGGCCGCGTTTGCATTTTGAAACACCTGCGACGCCACAGTCGGGTGTCGAGTAAAGAAAAATCCACAGTCGTAAGGAACATTCAGAAGTTTGTGGCCATCACCAGTGATTGAATCGGCCAATTCTATTCCATCGGAGCCATTTCTGATAGTTTCAAACTCCGGACTTTCATCGAGAATTCGTCCGAAGATTCCGAAGGCCCCATCGGCATGCAACCATGCTCCATACTTGTCGCACAGCTGGCGGATGTCTCTCAAATCCGTTCCGTTTGTCGCGAAACGGCCGGTATTGACTTCGCCACAGGAAACAGCGACAATGCTGACCTTGTCTGTCCTTGCCAATTCCTTCTCCAGTTGCTCCAAATCAAAGCGGAGTGGGTCGCTGGCATGGCAAATGTTGCGCACGTTGGATCGACCGATACCCAAAACGCCCGCAGCCTTTACGAGAGACGAATGGGGGAGCGTTGATAGCACTTGTACACCGGTCAGACCCAATGCACTCATGACTTCAAACAAACCCTCTTCGCCAACACTTTGCAGTTGGCTGCCTTTTTTCTGTGCTGCCTGCTGCAGGACGTACTCACGTCCGCAGGCTAAGCCAAGGATGTTACTAGCCGTAGCGCCTGTAGTGAATGTTCCGTTATACCAAGACGAACGGTCCAATCGGAAGAGATCCAAAAGAAGACCGATCGCATTATACTCTACATCGGTAACAATGGAGTGGTTTGGAAGATGAACTTGGACGTTCTGATCGTAGGCAGAGACGACATTATCCGCGAAGAGCGCAGCTGGCGTGGCTCCACCTGTGATGAATCCGTAGTAGTTGGGGCTGATGCTAGCTCCATTGAAAGCTGGCGCAATGTCATCCAAGATGTGACGCTGTACAAGCTCGAGGTCAGAACCGGTTTCCGGCAATGTCGCGGGAAGGGAAGCTCTGGCCCGGGCCAATTTCTCGGCGCTAGGGAGGACCCCGGATTCCCACGGCCCCTGGGCGACCTTCCATAGATCTTGAAGATGGTTCTGCATGGTTTGAGTTGTTTGGAAGGACTATTGAGTCAACTTATACGATGCCGGGATCTTCGGGGTTTGCGAAACGTGGCAAGGCTCGCAATAAGCTTCGGCTGTACCTCCCTAAAGTGGTGGAAGTGGATATCCCCAGATCGTGTCTGCGCGGTGACTCGATACCGGGAATCATGGCGTTGAATATTCAATGAGAATGTGCAGTTTGAGCCCTGGAGGGCCTGGAGGGGTGATTTCCATATGCTGTGGCTTTTGTCTACCCTTGATCCCCGGATCCGCATGGGCCACTATGGAGTAAACTGTTGATCGGACGCGGCCATCTTGATTTTCGCTGCCAAAAGCCTCTACCGGCCCAAATGTATTCAGGTACAAATGTATTCAGGTAGATGAAGGGGAAAAGACAGGAGTAAATGCTTGGCGGTCAGTGGTCAATGGCAAGGAAAGTGCGGCTGAAGTTTGGGAGCGATGCGATCCCGGGGTACCTGTCAGATCTCTCGGAGTCTCTCCTGCCAAACCTCAGAACATTCTCTCTCCAATTCTCGGGACATTTCGGCCGATGCTTGTGGTATTGAATGTCGGTCAAAGTCTCAGTTTGAGAGACAATGCAACTTGCGTACGGAGCACTCCGTACCAGTCCTCATACATTTCCTGTCTCATCGGGACCATTGCTCTGTACGGATATCCCCCAACTGCGGCAGACTCGATATGGAGTACGGGGTAGATACAACAGACCCATCCTTACTTGATGACATGAGACAGTTTATTCCGTGCGGACGGAAGAAACAAGCTTAAGCCATGTCTATTGAGCCAGGGGTAACGGTATCCCGAGGCAAGGAGCAACTCAACTTACAACGCGCGAATCCAGACTGGCTTAGGCCCCTCGAAAGAATGATCCCTTATCATACTGCAGAAACCTCTACAATCTGACCACTCAGAATACGCCCGGAGAAAGAGTTACAGATCCTAATGACAAACCGAGTCGCGCATGATTTGAAAAAGCAAATACCAGCCAAGCTATATGTTCGGTCCCCACTATCTAGGTTCAATGATCGGCGAGGATCACCTTCATACAGGTAAATATTCCACATTCTGTCATCGTGCGTCTCCTGCGTTCCACATGAAGCCCCTGTGAAGAGACGCGGGGCTTGGTCCTACTCGGTTCCTTTCGTAACTTTCAGGCTATGGACGTTCTCATCTCCTCTGCACTTGAGAGGGTCGACAGCCATGTCTAACCACATCAAGTTCGCCGAGCCAATCTCCAAGAAGTCGAACATCGGGCGCACCAGGTCCGATACGCAGGAAAAGGGGTCCGCACAACGAGCACCGTCTCCCGGATGTGAAATCGTTTACCCGACAGGATGGAGACTTGTACTTACCACCATAGGGTACTCTCAACTAGGTTTCCTGGCGTTGAATCGAGATGGCTGATCACTCCCTAGGCTTTTGCTCGCCTTTTTTCTTTCCAATCTGGATGTGACCATAGTAAGCTCGGCCCTTACGAGTATCACAGATAACCTGGAAGGCTTCGAGAAGAGAAGCTGGATCATCACAGGGTACTTGGCTACTTACACAGGTAAATCTCTCCGTCCATGATGGTGTGCAAGTTTGTGTCCAATGAGGCGTCCAATCCCACCTTTGCCAAATCCCCCGATACTGTAACATGTGTCTAATGCGTACTTCCAGGATCCATGGCAATATGGACCAAAGTGAGCGATATAGTTGGAAGAAAGTCAACTACAATCACTGCTCTGGTTATACTGCTTGCTTTCTCGATTGGATGCGGGTGCGCTCAGACAGTAAACCAACTGTGAGGTCCCATTAAACTCTACCTGCGTTCTTAGCTCGAAACCTAACTCTGTTCGAACAGCATCATCTTTCGCGCTTTCCAGGGAATAGGAGGTGCTGGTGCATATGCGCTCACAATATTATGTGTCTATGAAATTGCCCCGAAGGCAAAGCTTCCCATCTACAGCGCTCTCATGTCGGTCTGCCTAGTTCTTGCATCCTTACTAGGCCCAATTATCGGGGGCGCATTTGCCCAGAATGACGCATGGCGGTGGACCTTCTTCATCAAGTATGTCACATCTCATACCTCTTATGCGCAGTAAATCTGGTGCTGATCTTTTCTCCAGTGCTCCACTATGTGCTATTGCCATAGTCATAATCCTTGTCGCGATGCCCATCAACTTTGGTCTCGACCAACACACACCTTCTTTCAGGACACGGGCATCTTATCGCTCGTTTGCTAACCTTGACATCGTGGGATCTGTCTTGATGATGGCAAGCTCCTTCCTGATAGTTGCTGTCTTGAACGAAACCAATCTCGCATTCTCCTGGTCTTCCCGGGATGCGATCGCGCTGCTAGTCCTGACGGGGGTCTCGTGGATTGCTTTCTTTGCCTGGGAGTGGTACATATCAGGAATACACGGGAAAGATCCTATATTTCCCAAGCGATGGCTATTCGATCGGCCTTGGATGGGCATTCTTATGTGAGTCAACCCCGACCGCTGTGGAAAATGATGAAAGCTGATTGACCATTTAGCTCTTCTTTTGTCGTCGGCGCACCTTTCAACGTTGTTTTGGTGTATGTTCCACAGCAAGCTGAGCTACTGCTCGGGAAGTCGCCGTTTGACGCTGGCATTTACTTGATTGGATATTCTGCGGTTGCTATGGTTGCTGCAGGTCTAATCAATGTTGCGAGCTCCCGATGGCGTATTCCGTTCATTTACACTCTGCTTGTGGGCTGCATTCTCCACACAGTGGGTGTCGGGCTTCTTTCGACAATTGCCTCTGCAAAGGGGTTCCATGCTACGGACATTGTATACGAGGTCATCGCGGGAGCAGGCATGGGGCTAACATTAGGCATACTCGTGCTGTCTACTCCATACATTGTTGAAGACAGAGATTTGGGTATGTATTTTTTTCTCGAATCTGTCACCGCGCTCAGGTCCTGAAGAAAATGACTAACATGATTTCTTGATGGTAGCAATTGGAACTGGTGCTGTTGTCCAGTTCCGGTTCCTTGGTGGTGCCATCGGACTTGCCATTGCATCCAACATCCAAAATGGCCAACTGGTGAAATCTTTGGGGGGTGTTCTCTCCTCTCACAGGCTGCATCTCTTCCTCGAAAATGTCAAACTGACCCATGACCTATCTCCCCATCTGCAGGAACGCATCAGTGATGTTTTCGCCAGCAGTTACACCACACAACTGAGAGTTATGATTGGATTTGCGGCAGCCCAATTACCTGCAACTCTTCTTCTGCTGAAATCAGGTCGGCAACTTGCAGCCAAATGGCATCCGTGCAGGGAATGAAAAAACTGATGTTTGCAAGATGTAAACTGTTTATTTTGAACTTTATTCCAGTTTTCTGATGTGTTCAAATTGAGATTTACTTTTTCCAAATTCTTGTTGTTAGACTCTGAATGCCCATGAAACCTGCATCTTTAAAGTATTGACACCGGGCGCCGTTGATTTCCGGCTCACAAGCGTGAAATCACGATCATTGTCAAGTTCCCCTACCATTTAAGCTCTACTATATATCTCCGGTGTCTAACCAGGAAATACAATATTCAGAAGTCAACACTTAGAAGTCAGCGTTGAAGACTCGGCGTCCACGGCCGAAAGGAGTACAATCCCGTCCCTCACACGCGGGTCCACCAAGTTTTGTCAACACCGCAATCATGACTGCCAAACTGATTGATCGTCGATTCCACAATGTTCCCGGTAGATATTTGTTTTCTGTTTCGCATAACCAGACTGCTAATTCTTCATCCAGGCAAACTTCGGGTATCTGAGCTTTTCTTTGATGTCCCTGTGGACTACAGTAAACCCGCAGGGGAAACCCTGAGACTCTTTGCACGCAGCATTGCTCGCAAAAACACACCTATTGAGCCCACAGACGAGAACAAAGGAGGCAAACTCCCCTGGCTGGTGTATTTGCAAGGTGGCCCTGGCTTTGGATGCGGTACCCCGCAGTCGTACCCCTGGGTGGACTTCATCCTCAGCAAAGGGTATCAGGTATGTTCAGTTGCTTATATGTGCGTGTTCGACTGCTGAGTCCCATTAGGTATTGTTCCTCGACCAGCGAGGTACAGGTTTGAGCTCGACCATTACCGCGGGTACACTTGCTCGGCAGGGGGATGCTATTAAGCAGGCCGAGTATCTCAAGAACTTCCGTGCAGATAACATTGTCCGTGATTGTGAGGCAATCCGTAACATCTTGACAAATGATTATCCTGCAGACCAGCGCCAATGGAGTATTCTTGGGCAGAGCTTTGGTGGCTTCTGCGCTGTGACTTATCTGTCTAAGTTGTATGTTCCGAATTTCCCTTACGATGAGACTATTTTCTTGAAAGTTCGTCTCATACTTTTTTCTCTTATAACAGCCCAGAAGGCTTGAGAGAAGCTTTCCTCACTGGTGGTCTTCCTCCTCTGACTAGTGGACCGGATCCCGTTTACGCGAAAACCTACGGTAAATCTACCTATCTCTTATTCAAGAATATACATGCTGATGAACAGACAGAAAAGGTCAAGCAGAGAAATGAAGCTTATTACGATAAATACCCCGAGGATGTGGAACGTGTGAAGAGGATCATGCTGTACCTCCACGAGAACAAAATCAAACTGCCATCTGGACTGCTTACTCCAGCTCGCTTCCAGCAATTGGGCATCTTGTTTGGCTTCCATGGTAAGAATTTATCTGATAAAACAACTGGATTAAAACTAACAGAGTCTAGGTGGCGTGGATACCTTGCATGGTAAACCAATCCCCCCTCCATGAAGACAAGACTGAGAGAAGTGCTGACTGACTTGGCACCAGACATCGTTGTAAGAGTTTGCAATGATTTGGATATCTTTGGCTTCCTCACTCTTCCCACCCTCGCCACCATCGACGGCAATGGAGGCATGGACAAGAACATCATCTACGCTATCCTCCACGAGTCTATCTATTGCCAAGGGTGAGAACAGGCCCCCGCAGCCCAATGATCCGCAAATACCAGCATATCTGACAGGACATACAGCAAATCCTCGTTGTGGTCCGCTGACAGACTGCGCTCCAACGACCCTCAGTTCACAATCACTGACTCGGTTCCAGCGATTTACTTCACTGGTGAGATGGTAAGAAACACCTGGCTCATATCTACCACCCAAGCAAACCGATCTAACATCCGTCTGCCATTTTCAGGTATTCAAAGATATGTTCGAATCTTACTCGGAACTCGCGGAACTCAAGGATGTGGCCCAAATCCTGGCTACCACTGACGACTGGCCTGCTCTTTACGACGAGGCTCAACTGGCCAAGAACACTGTCCCGGTCTATGCTGCTACCTACATCGAGGATATGTATGTTCACTACGACTTGGCAACTGCCACTGCCTCCAAGATCAAGAACACAAAGCAGTTCATCACCAACAACATCTACCACGATGGGTTGCGCAGCAAGTCTGGCGAAATCATGCGCCAGCTCTTCAACCTCCGGGAGGATACGATTGACTAGACCTATTTTGAGATTTACGCGAGGGACATTATGTGACTGTTTGAATACATATACATGGTTTTCAGCCGTCAGTGTCCAACTAAGACATCAGGAGTAAAGTAAGGAGTATCCGAGAAGCATGCGAGGGTACTAATAGGAAAGCATTACTGCTCCAGTAAGATCCTGAAGTCCCAGGGTCATTCGCGACTTCTTGACCATGATGCAGTGTATTATTGGGTATAAGAAGGGTCAAGGTATGTACAGATGTCTTCCGGACAAGGGAGTCTCAACGCGTGAGGGGCTTAGAAAACCTAGTGAGCTTGGTTAGCTTGTTTCTGAGACCAAAAGTATAGACCAGATTACGTACTGCACCTCCGATGATGAAGAGTCTCTCTTCCTCACGTTGCACCCACTGGGCGATTTTGCTTGCACTTTGTGCAAGTGCATTTCGGTTTGTATTCGGCTCCGCAATGCAATAGAGCTCGAATACCGGCGTGACCCACCCAAAAGAACTCGCTGAGCGCGAAACACAGTGGTGGACCTTGGCGTGGGTGTTTTTGGCATGAATTCCGGAGTGCAGGTTGTTGTACATGGACATCAACCTATTGAGAGACAGATTAGCAAGGTTCGGTATTTTCTGGTGGAAAAAAGAAACCAACTCACCTCCGTCGCCTCGTTAGTGAAGAGAATTCTGGGGCGTACGATGACATGGTGAATTGCACATTCGCACGCGATTTGTATAGGAAATGATGAAGAACCGTCCCAGGAACTATGTCAGTAGTCGCAGGACGGCCGTTATCAATTGCGATCTTGATTTCCTTCAGACTGCCGTTCTTTTCCATTTGCTATTAAAACATTAGTATCATGTACTGTGGCAACTTTGGGTGACAGTGCTTCCATACCTCCACAAAAGCGTCGCGCATTTCTTGCATGTCATAGAAAGCTTCCTTATCCGGACTGATGAGGACGATGGCAACAGATTCGTCTTTGGTGATTTCCGCACTGTTCTCGATGTCGTTGCGGAGATCCAGAAAGCTGACATACATGTAAAGATAGCCGCTGCTGTTAAATCCAGGTAAACAGACAGGGATCCAATTCTCCCCGCCACCGGCCTTAACCCCATCGGCTTCAAAAACCATATTGAAGAGGAGCTGTAAATCGCCTGGATGCAGGGAATGCTTCTTGGGTCTTATGACACTGACGAGGCGTCCACCAGCCACAACTAGTCCATACAGCAGACTGCTCGCTTTGGTCTTCAAAAGTGCATTGCTGATACTTTGGCGATGCTGTTTGCGAATTTTAAGACATTCCAAAGCTGACAGCAATGTCGATGGTGATCCTCGGGTAAAGCTGTCTGCCAAAGATGATAGAAGTGATTCTGTGCCTTGGAGAGGCCGTGAGAGATCTGTGGAAGGTCGCACAGAGAAGAGATGAGTGAGAGAGGGAAGTGTCAATGTAGACAGGATTTGCATGTACAATGCTTCCAGCTGGAGCCGAAGCTGGTTTTCGCTTTCCATCATACGACTGATCGCGACAAGGTGTAATGACCCTCGAGTGAGAATGACAAACCTGGTATCACCAGCCGTGAAACTTCGCAGGTGGTCATTGGAATCTTCATAGAATGATATGATGGTCTGAATGACTCCGACATAGCCAGATATCAATCCGCTGTCACCATGTCGCGTCCAAATTGGCTTACCAGCCGCAGAAAGAATCACATAGTGCTTACGCTTTGCCTTCCACCTCTCAAGTAATGATACTGGCCCCTGTTAGAATAACGTGAAAGAGGATAAGAAATCTGGGAGACAAGAACACCATACCTTCGTTATCGCCATCTTCGTTCAACTCGCCGACCGCTTCGAACTCGCTCAAGATACCCTCGTCGTCTATGTCGTCGGCTGCAAATTCAGGGAATTCGAGTAGGCCTGTAGCATGCCCGTCTTGGCCGTCAGACCCTGTGGCAGCAAAGTCCAAGAACAGCGCTTCCACGTCCCCAGCATCGGCATTCGGGATCGAGCTTCTAATGCTAGCTGAATCGCCAGCTTCGCTGTCCCTGGGGCTCGCCAACTGGCCAAGGCTCGCCCTAGCCTTGGGACCTTTGGATAGACCACGGGAAGCCAACGTTGAGTAGGCGCTCCCACCATTTCCCGGTGATTGTGTCCCGATCTCGGTTCTTGAGATTGCAGTCGTTGCCTCTGCTTGCAGGGTTGCACCAGAGCCCGCTTCATCTCTCAACAAGCTCAGCGTGTTTGGTCGCGGGGGCAGGGGCGGCCGCTCTCCTTCTGAGCTCTCACTTTGCTCATCAACTTCGGGGGTTGATGGCATGGGGAGATCGGGTTGCTCGGGGACATCATTCGGCGCCTGTTGGCCTTCATTGTCTGTGTGTGAATTCATGCCCGCTGCGGGCATGCGCTCTTGCACGCGGTCGCTCGTCGCGGGAATAACAAATGTTCTAAATGCGCATTGTTTGTCTCGAAGATCATGAGTGAGTTCAAATGTAGAAGTTGAACGCTGACGTCGCCCCAAGTCGGAGCTCCGGGGCGGAACAAAACAATTGAACGTGGCCGCCTGCGTGGCTTCTGAACAACACCCAACCACCACCTCCCTTTCGCTAAAGGGCTATTGTCAATGCCCGAAACATGACGGAGGGCAGTTCAGTAATTTCACACGAATTCTACGTCCGTCATTGGCACCATGAGCCTTGATCCAGGTGCTTTTCCGAGGTCGGACTCCCCCGCAAGCTCCGAGAGCTCCTTAACGCGCTCCCGATTACAAGGCAAAGAAGGTATGCGCATAGATCAGAAACTCCTCCTTCATGAACTTCATGTCTAATGAATTCGATTATCTCCAGGCTCCCTTAAGAAAGACAAAAACTACCGCCGATATGCCTCCAGCGTCGAACGAGCCCTGTCCCTGTTCGATAACGCTCTACAGGAATGGGCAGACTACATCTCCTTCTTAAGTCGCCTATTGAAGGTAGAGGCTTTCAGACATCCGTTCTCTTATGCGCCGACACTGACGACGAATCACTAGGCACTTCAAACCCATCCACCCGACCAACCAGTCGTTCCTCACAAAGTACTAGTCTCCAAGCGACTCGCGCAATGTTTGAACCCGTCATTGCCCTCAGGCGTGCACCAGAAAGCCCTAGAAGTCTACACATACATATTTGGGCTGATTAAGGTGTGTATCATCAGATGAACGGTTGTTAGTGCTTACTGATGTATGCGGTTTCAATTAGCTGGAGGGACTGTCGCACGATCTGCCTTTGTATCTCCCTGGCCTTGCGCCTACCTTGACATTCGCCTCCTTGACAGTTCGACCACTTTTCTTGTCTTTGGTCGAAGGCTATATTGTTGATCTGGAGCCTTGGGCCATTCGACCTGCTTTGAAGGCCATCATTCTTGCTCTCCTTCCGGGACTCGAAGAGGAGACAAGCGACGACTTTGAACCTACATTGCGCACGATTAACAAGCTTCGTGATGCTGCCGGGCGCCTCGAGACCCAACGAACTTCCGAAGCGGGGGCATCTGGACAGTACTTTTGGCAATGTCTCTTCTTGGCATCCATAACTAACCCTAGCCGGCGGCTCGGTGTTCTCGCATATCTGAATCGATACCTGCCAAAGCTGGGAATCTCAGATCGCCGATCCAGTACAGCTGCTGGAACTGGGAATGACCTTCCTGATACCCCGCCCGAGATGCTCGCCGCAGCAGACTCGGTCATTCTTCCAGAGCCGGGGCTTCTCATACGTTGCATGGCATCGGGCTTATCTGACGACCAGCTCCTTGTGCAGCGCAACTTCCTCGATCTTCTTGTTACCCACCTTCCATTGAGTTCACCCATCTTACAAAAGAAGATTGCTGCCAGCGATCTCCGAACATTGGTAATTGCAGCAGTGGGTGTAGTTACTCGGCGAGAAATGGGCTTGAACCGCCGACTCTGGGCTTGGTTCCTGGGACCAGATTCCCCGAACGAGACCTCTTCTATGGATGATCGGAAGCTCTCTTCAGATACCACTCGGTCAGTCTCTGTTGATGGCAAGGGACTTACACAATCACAATACTTTAGCCGCGTGGGCTTACAGCCTCTAGTGACTGGGCTCCTAGAAATGATCAGCCAGGCGCCAAGTCTCCCATCCGAAAGAACAAAGCCTTTCCGGATAGCTTTGTCGTTAATGGATCGTTGGGAGATCGGTGGGTACATTGTTCCTGCAGTGTTCTTACCAACGGTACGCAGTGTCAAGGCTTTCGAAGCCGAGGCGTCCAAACCCCATTTCGAAGAGGTTTTCCGCAGCGCAAGCGCGTTCTTCGATGGCGTTGAAAGCGGCGTCATATTTTCCGAGCTATTGGGGCTGATTGATTACCAACCTGCCGACTTGAGCGGTGATTCTGAACGGGTCTTGAGTGATTTGAGCCTTGCGCTGTTTATCATTGAGAACTTCAATGTCCGCGAGGAGGACATGGTCCAAATCCATGTTCCTTTGTTGGCATTGTCAGTGCTTGTGAAACTGAAAGCTACTTCTGTTGTTCAGGATCCAGCCACTAAACAGGCTATTTCGGCGGCCCTCAACCAAGTCCTCAAGTCGTTAATCGGGTTGCTTTCAGAACGAGGCTTCTCCAAGAAGTCTGGATCTGAAAAAAGTCCCACCGACGCGAAAAGTCGAGGCACTGATGTTTTGAAAGTCGTTCATGGCTTCTATGAACAAAGTAAAGCCAGCTTGGAGCTCCCGCCTCTTCCTTATGCCCCTAAAACTCTCTGTGAGATGATTATTCGAGAGGCCAATGAATTGGCTATTGCAGCGCTGGAAGCCCCTGACAATGTTTCTGTCCACGAAAGTCTGGAAATTCTTGTGGCATTGCTCAAGAAGCTTCCGAAATCGCGCGTCTTGCGAGACCGTAAGCTCTACGAAGCACTCTCCCGAAGATTGGACATAGGAAAAGACAAGCCGACGACAGCCTCTTTCTCGGTTATCTCCACTATCGCCTCATCGGTTACAAGTTTGTTCTTCATCCACGCCCCAGGCTACTATGTCAGCTATGAGGATGCTTGTGATTTGATCCCTCCACTGGTCAATCAACTTTGGTGGTATCTCTCGCCGTTGAGCCCGAAGTTCCATGTCGAGGCTGTTCGCTGTCTTTGGCTCTTGCATTCCATCTCTTGGATCGACCACCTCGTCGAGGCGACGTTGACCTCTTTGATGATCAACCCCTCAGAAGCGAGCTCCCGTCACATCTCTGCTGGGCAGCAGGCTGAGCGTTTCTATGTCCTTTGGAACCACAGCCACCACAATACTCACGAACAACCCCCGAAACAGGTTCTAGACGTTGGAGGAACATTGTTCTCTTACCAGTGTTCGATGCTGGAGCGCCCACTGTTCATCGTACTCGATCTTCTCTCCCAGGAGTCTAGCGATAGCTCTCAGAGTGTCCAGCTCTGGCTCCAAGATCTGCCAAGTATCCACAAGTGAGTACATGCCTTTGACCCAAGTGATGCACCGCTCTAATGATTGTATAGGATCTTCCATGTCATTATATCCAAACTTGATGAGCTCTTTGAGCATGACGACCTCACCGAGACTAACGCAGAGAGCCAGTCAATCCCCCCTGAGGACTACAAGGAATGCGACTATTTGTTGCAGACCGCTTCGAATATCATCGCCGCCCTGTCGCAAAATGGATGGGTTATCCTTCTCACTCACGTTTTGAGCAATGAGAAGCGCCCAGAAACGTCGAACTCAGAAGGTAATGAACGGACCCCTCGTGATTGATCGTTACTGACGGGTATTTTCGATAGACAATGCAGGTTCTAAAAGTCTCCATGCCGCAATCTTCGACGCTTCTCTTCGCGTGGTGAGCACACAAAAGTCGAACCCCACAGAAATCAGCCTAGAGGGGGAACGCTTGCAAAAGGACGCTCTCCAACTCATGCGACAACTTCTTCTCGGTCCAGAGGCAGAGGAGCTAGTTGAGTCCGGTATTGATGACTTCTTAGTCGAACGCCTGCTTGTGTCTTCCGAGGGTGGTAGCATTGTGGTTCAGGGTGCACTGATTGATGCGCTCCTTGCTGTATTGAAGGTGCGGTTTGCGCAAGCCTATCTGCCTCCACCCCCACCTCGACAGAAGCATCTGGAAGTAAGCTCTCGAGATCGCCTCACCAGCCCTTCGCTGTTGTCCTTCACTAGTGATAAAGGTGACAGGAGACCTTCAATGCCTCAGCTTCCGCAACCCCCTGAGCGACTGTTGGATTGTCTTCTGAAAGGCATCAGCTCACCCAAGTCTCGGGAAATTGTCGAAAAGTGGATATTCCTGCTTTGCGAAGTTCTTCCTCTATACTCGGGCTCGATATTCCAAATTCTGTTGATGCTTTCAGAGTGTTTCTGCCGGGAAATTCGAGCTTCGTATGGTAGGCTCCAACTGTCGTTCCACCAAACAGAGGACTGGCCGCAAGATCGTTCCGAGCATGTCACAATTGCTCTCTTGTCTGGTCTCGAGACTTGTATCGCAAACGCACATGAGCGTCTCCGAGTCGAAGAGACGAACATTCCAACCGTGAAGAGTCCAGATCAACCCCAGGGCTTCTTTGGCAACATGGTTTCCGGGGTATTCAATTCAGAAGGCGGACAGGGCCGCCCCAACACCGCCAACGATCGACTTACCGTGCTACTGTGTTTCCAAGATGCCGTTCGTTTGTGCTTCTCTATCTGGTCATGGGGTGCAGGTGATCACAGTGGCTTTGCCATTGATTCTGTGTCCATGGCTTCATTCCAGTATACCTCTCTGCGAATGAGAAACCGATCACGCCGCATTCTTGAACACTTCTTCACTGCAGAAGCACTTGAATGTCTGGAGACATTGGTAGAGATGTGGTCGAAGTCTGACACTGAAACAGCGTCATTGATTTTCAATCTTCTTCACACGCTCGATGGTTCTAGTCCAAAGATAACGATCCCAGCCATCTTCAATGCGATCTACACCAGAACCAACCCCAGCGCGTTGGATCCTAGCCGCAAGTCGTCGTTGACTTCAAGCCTCTCGGAGTCTGAACTTGCTAGCTTCCTGGTGACATACGCTCGTTCGCTTGACGACGATGTTCTTGATGAGATCTGGACCGACTGCACAACATTCTTGCGTGATGTGCTCAGCAATCCGTTCCCACATCGGCAGATCCTTCCACGTCTGATTGAATTCGCTGCTATATTGGGCGTTAAACTAGAGAATACCACATTTGGCGAAGACCGCCGTATGCGAAAGGAACTTGGGGTATGTACATGTGCTTCCTTTCATCCTCCCAATTTCACTAACTGACCTGATCTAGGATGTCCTTCTGCGCCTTCTCACGGCCGTTTTCACTAGCAAACCTTTGGGCCTGAGTCAAGACAATGGGCCATTGGCACGATCTTCAGTGGACTATGATCGCACTTCAGTCTCTCACACTGGGCCCGATGACATGTTGAGCATTCTAGCGGTCTCCATGCCGTCATTCATCACGACCCTGGGCGACTCGGACCGAATCAACACTGCCATTACTGGTGTCTCGACCAATGTGATCGGTCCTCTTATTCGATCACGTCTTTTCCCCAATAATCTGAACCGCAACGTCATGGTCCTGTTGCAACAAATGGCCAAAGTACCCGCCGCGGCCAAAATGTGGAAGAAAGACATCTCCGAAGCGTTCCACGATCCCCGTTTCTTCGGACTACAGTTAGATTTGGTGAAGAACAGTTGGATGGATCTCTTGCGGCAGTGGGTTCTTGCCGATAAGGAGCGACTCTCGGAGCTGCTTGTCCGCCTTCCACCACCAAGCGCGGCTGGCATCATGTTCGGCGTGGGAGCCTCTGCAGCCCGTTTGGAAGCGGATCGCAAAGCACAGCTCAACCTTCGGCGAATAGCACTTCTCCTCTTATCTGCCACGGAGGATTATTTCGTTGGAGAATTGCCGGCCTTGCTTCAGAAATTAGAAGATCTTCTTGCCGCGACCAGCTCCTCCTCACCGTCTGCAGCCACTCGCGCAGAGGTGTTCATGGTCCTGCGTGCTGTCGCGCTGAAGACCTCGGCCTCGGCAATGGCACCATTCTGGCCATTGATCAACACAGAGCTACAAGAGGCAATTTCCGCTGTCCCGCGCGGTTCTCAGGCAGAACTGTACAACTCTTATTCGTTGCTTCAGGCATGCAAACTCCTGGACGTTCTGCTTGTCCTCGGTCAGGACGACTTCCAACCCCTCGAGTGGCTTTTCATCACGGATACCATTGATGCAGTGTACCCACCGGACCGCTGGGAACCGGTCGCACTCGCAGATGAGGTTTCTCAAAGCTTCGGACCTCGCATTGCAGTCTCCCCCACTGTGACCGAGACCAACGAGCCCCAAGCTCGCAGTAATCTGAAGCGACCGTGGCTCCTCTCAGACTGGATCCGAGAAACCGCCAAAGACGAGATTGTCGAGCGTGTTCTGCGACCGTTCTTTGATCGATTGAGCATCTTCGTGTTTGAGAGTACGTATGGTATGGGTAGCGTAGATTTCACTGTGTGTCGGGATGATCTCCTAGCAGATCTGTTCAACGAAAGTACAATGGCCAATTAAAGCCAAGGTAGAGAGCAGATTCAAGAGACAAGTAACGAAATATACTATGTTCAATATACTATGTTCAATATCATATGTTCAATATCCTGTGTTCAATAGACTATGATTCGCGGCTATAGTCTCTTCCATATAAAGCCGTTACCCCAACTTCCGAACCGCCCGAACCTCCGCAATTCCAACAACGTCACTCTGCAAAACTTCCCACTCTAACTTGACCTTGTCAACTACTTAAGTCTTTTTTGTCAATATGTTCATTCCCAGGATGCTCTCTCTGCGACCCGTTGGTATCCGGTCCTTCTCATCATCCCGCGCTCGCTTGAACGTCGCGCCACTGCCATCAAGCAAGCCCGTTGGAGCTTTCCGAGGAGGGTATGTTTGGAGATCACCCTCTCTCTCTCTGTTTTGCAGCTCCTTTCCCCCTAACCCCTGATATTCCCTGATATTCTCACGAATTGCCGGGCTATCCGGATGTCATTCGCACATTTCGCGTTCTGTTGCTAACTACGTCAGCGTTTTCGGGTTCCTGGCTGGATCTGTCGCCGCCAGCGCGTCGGTGTACTATTACGTCCTAGCAGAATACAAGATCGCCAATGAGATGCTCTCCGATGACATTTCGGTATGTCTCCAGCTTCTCGTGCTCTGTCTCTCCAGCCAGAGCTCCCCTTTTCGTTGCGGAGCTGATATGATTTCTAATCCAGGCACTCCAAATGGCCACCATCAAGCTCCAGTCCTACATCACCGAGCTGGAGTCCAAGGTTGACCAGCTACACAAAAAGAAATAGCTTGGTTAATCTCTGACCATTGCTAAATTTGTATTTATTATTGGTGTTGGGTGTGGTGTTCCCTATGCATTTTGAAGGCCAACCTCGGACATACGAAGCCATTGGTTTGGACGGTTGGAAGGTCTTGATACTTTCCGTTATTCTTTTTTTTCTTCCTTTTTTTCTTTCGCATCAATCTACTCCCTAGTTAGCTTTTGAATAGTACTATTTGCAATTGACACCGGTGCCTTGGGCTAAGCTCATGAGCTCAGCTCCACTGCAAACAAGACAAACACACATCTCCAACTTCGTCTCCTTAACTCCGTCAGCTCCAAGATTCTCATAACACCAACCTCAAAATGTTCCGCGTCGAACTCCTCCAAGACAAATCCACCGCCACACCAGGCTGGTCCTATGCGCCAACGCGTGGGTTCGACCCCACCCAGGCCATGGCCCCAACCCTAGGCCGCAAACGCAACATCCGCGACGCCGGCAAAGGCGGCGACATTTCCTCCCGACAAGCCAACGCCATCGCACGACACATAACCGAACTCGACCGCGAAAATGCACGCGATGTCTCAATCCCCATTCCAGTAAGACAAGCCAAAGAAGCCGGAGCACGCGGCACACGAGCCAAAACCACCTCTGCCGTGCGCCGCATCCTCCAATCCCAAAAGACATTCCGGAACCATCTCGACGACGAAGAAGCAGCCATAGCACTAGGCGCCACACCTGGAAGCGTTCCACAAAATGCCGCTCTGGGCAAAGGACCCAAGGCTGCGCGTCGTAGTGAAACGCCTGTTACGCGGAAACGGGGCACTGGGACATCGACGCCTGCTGAGACAGATGTCGAGACTGAGGAGGAAGAACGGAAGCCGAAATTGATTAAATCGGAATATGATAATGATCCGCTTTTGCGTTCTTATGCGCCGCCCATGCCTTCGGAGAGGCTTATGCAGAGGCTTTTGGCGGAGCCGCCGCTTTCTTATAAGGCGGCTGGTGTGAAGCCTCCTGCTTCTGCGCCGCCGGCGCGCCATTTTTGTTGTCTTTGTGGGTATTGGGGGAAGATTCGGTGTAAGAGTTGTCATTTGAGGACTTGTAGCTTGGATTGTTATAAGGTTCATGAGGACTCGAGGTGTGGTGCTTTCTTTTAGGTGATTTTGGTTTTCGGTGCTATTGGGAGGTGGACTTTATTTATGACTTTATGATTTGATACCAGAATGTACAACAATGTACAACAATGAATGCAGTTTAATTTGGCGGGTATAACAAGCCTTGTGTATATTGTTCTCATTACTATGCTGGCATCGAGGCTCAGCATGGAAACAGGGATTCGCGGGTCAACACTTGAGGTTGATGCCCATGCGGAGCTCATCCTCGCGAACTTCAAACATAACCTGGACACCGACGAAGAGCACCACGCAACAAGAGACCAAGTATGCCAGACCTGAGTAGGAACCCGTTAAGCCAGCAAGTAGATCTTTCAATCCATCCAGGCCTAACGCAAAACCAACCAGGTTTGCAACCATCATCATAAAGATGTTTCCAACAGAGCCAATGCCACAAATAACACGGTACGCAGTTGGGCGAGAACGCCAACGATGAGCAGGGAACAGCATACCGCCCAAAACTTCTGGGAGAACGAAAAGAGTAACGAGCCAGCCCCACATCAGTAACCGGAGGTTGATATCGTGCCACAGAGCCACGAATGTGAACACCATCAGGAAGTTTCGGATCTGCAAGAATTTGCTCATGAAGCCAGACTTTGGAGGTGATGCGGGTCTAGGAGCTCCGGGTGGTCGCTGACCACCGCCGCCTCCGCCGAGTGGGATGTAGATGTAGCGCACGATCCACCGGTTGTAAGAGCGGTGCCAGGCTCGCCAGAATGCGAACGCGGAATAGTTGTTGGACATGCACCGCACCATGTTCTCGGGTGGATCGATGCCATCCACAAGAGCCCAGAGGCGGAAGAATCGCCACGGGATGAGGAGTTTCAGCCAGATGATGTGTAGGTTGAAGAAAGCCAGCATGCTCAGTTGACCTGGGCTGAATAGAGACCAATCTGGATTGGCTTTGGAAATTGCAACGGCGTAAATGTAGTGGAGAATAAGCTCCATGCAGAGTAGAGTGAGGCCAAAACGGATGCCATACATCACTGTGCGAGTACGGTTGACTGATGTAGCTTTGTATCGCTGTTGGGATGCATAGTCGTTGAATGTTAGAATCGGACCAGCTAGGTACAATGGAGAGTAGAGCACGTAGGCAATGTAATTGCGGAAAGTGAAAGCCGTGGGTTCTGCGGGTATTTTGACACGGTCACGATCGGAAAGGGACGCAGGGTCAAGCTGCTTCTTCTTGTGAAATTCGGTCAGTCACACCATCATTTTTGGTCGGGTATTCTCCTGTGAATACTCACTTCAATTGGGCTTGCCGCCGGGTAGTCCACACTCCAGTAGTTATCCATGTTGAAGCTGATGAGACGCAACACGGTAACCTTGAAGAGGACTTCCCATCGTGGCATGAGTCCTCCAAGGTCATCTAGGGTTTGAGCCCATTGAACCAAGCTACTGGTTTCCTCAATTGTAGATCCAGATCCTGGCGCAATGACCTTCGCTATCCTTTCAAGTGGGTAGCCACCTAATAGTTCATTGGCAAACAGAATGCACAGGTTGAACCCCCAAGTGGCGGCGGGTACGTAAGAACGAGGAACATCTTTGCCGATGCGGAAGTTGATATATAAGATCAAAAGCACCTTCAGGGCCGAAACTCCGTGCAGAGCAGTGATAAAGACCAGTCCGAAGCAAAAGTCGAAGTGCATCCGTTGTTCGAATCGGGCAACGCTCGCGCCAGCCACGGCATGACTCGACGGCTTTGTTTCAGTCTTTCCGCGGTTTGCGTATCTTTGGTAGACTCGTCGGAGTAGTGGGTGTGCGATGAGCAGGAGGAGGAGAGGGGGGATGTTATCGCGGAAGCTCGCATATTGTGTGTCGGAGTTGTCCTGGAAGCATGGCGACGGGTTAGTTCGATCGGGATCTGTGGCTGTAGGCAGCGCGCATGTGTTTGGTTCACTTACGACCAGACGGCCGGGGATCCAACCGGGGGATAGGAGGTCTGAATATTTCGAGTAGATCGGGTGGTCGTCTGACATCGCCTCCAGTCAGTAATGGGAACTGAGTCATGTTTCTCTGAACTCACCTTTGGATGCATCTGAGACGGTCTTAAACATCAATGGCACTAGGACAATGAAGAATATATAGTAGATGAAGAATTCCGGGGTGCGCCATAGTGATGGCGACGCGCCTTGGGCGATTGCATTGGCGCGGGAATCTTTGGCGGGACGTCGCGTGTCGGGTGTTGCGGTTGAGGTAAAGCGAGTGTCGAGGGTGTCCAGCGAGTAGACTCGCCGGAGCCAGGTGAAGATGGAGGGCATTTTATCGCAGTGGCATGGCGCGGATGGGTAGAAGGGAGTGTTTACGGAGGACGGAGGACGGAGAGACAGGGGACCGAGGCAGGTGGCCTTTTGTATACTTCACAGTCTGTACAGTTCCTTTACTACTTACTTAAGTAGTTATCTGTATTTCTTGTCTTTTTTAAATTTTGGTTTGAGTTTTTCTCTTCTCTTTAGTTTTTTTTTTTTTTTAAAAAAAAAATCCATCCTGTTACTTAAGTATAACAAACCGGGATTAAGCACAAGCCTTGTCTACAGGTATAGAGTATAGAGTATCAATACAGCCTCAGCAACGTAGTGAGTAAATCCTGAACTTTAGAAGTTGTCAAGTGCAATTGATAGAATCTATAGATCCAGGGATATTAATGGCTTTACTTGAGTATCACTACTTAAGTATTGTACTTCATTGTGAAGATAATATGGGTCAGCCAACTATATATTTCGAATTTCGAATCCATCTCACCTCCCACTTCCAACCTCTCACACATCACCCATTTCAAATCATGTCAACTCGGGTGAGTTTACGAATATCCCCTCTACTACTTAAGTAGGCTTCATGGACATCACAGCAATTTGCAAATCCCCAAAGTTTCACGTCCCAAGCTTGGAAGCTAACAACCTGCAGATCGCCTTTAAGGTACACGGCACCGTTCAAGGTGGGTCGCTGTCACTAACTCCAAAGCCAAGTTGATCATCGCATTTTCTGATGCTAAACATCAACGATTCAGGTGTCGGCTTCCGGTGAGAAACACTACCCAATGACATCATACTGGATTAACCACCAGCATAGCGACTTCACCCAGAGATGTGCCACCAGCTATGACCTCAAGGGATGGGTGAGAAACACCACCTGTGGGAGGGTATATATTCAACCTTGACATATGAAATATTGGAAAGCTGACTGAATATGTTCCTCCCAGGTCGAAGGCGAAGCCCAGGGCAGTGACGACATTCTGCAGAAATTCCTCCAGCAGATTAACAAGGGCCCACGAATGGCTCATGTGGTCAAGCTAGAAAAGCGGGATCTTGAACCTCGCGAGGATGAGGACAAGTTTGCCGTGATGCGGACGACAGACTCTATGTTTGAAGCAGAAAGCTAAGCGTTTCATCGTGATACAACGCTAAATCTGACCAAGGCCACAAAGCTTTCAAGGTTAGACGGTGAATTAGACTGTTTATGTTGCAAGTGGAGAAAATCTTGATGAATCTTTCAATTTGATCTTGATTTCACCTATAGATGCTATATTCTTCACCAGCAGACTGCTGCTTTGATTTAAGCTCATAGAATTGATATCTGTCGAGCTCGGGGCTGTGGTGTAGAATAACTCTGTAAGCTTCATACTCATCTATTCACTCTTGTCTATGTCTATTGTAAAATTGATACAACCACATTCTCTCTATAGATATACCCGCTCATTTAGAGCACTCGACCCCTGAAATAGATACTTCCAGCCTTCGAAGCCACCCGTAAGCACAGTCCTCGACAGCCTGCAAGTGTCTCACTTCTCGCCAATCACGCGCGAGCATAGTCTGCCAGAATGGACTCGGAAATCTTCAATGCCATACCATAGAACACAGACATGACATGAGCAGAAACCTGAGTGGGAGGAATAGAGCCATCAATGACTCGAAGGCCCTGCGTATCATACACCTTGGCGGTCGCATCCACAACACCACCAAGCTCCCGTGACATCATGGAACAAGTACCAATGGCATGATAATTGGGTCTGAAGTTCTGCTGCACATAGTCCACCCACTGGTCCAGGTCTGCATCTTGATCCAGCTTGTTTCCGGGAACGGTCTCTCCGTCAAAGTACCCCTTCATCGCACCCTTTGATGACAGTTCGCGAGCAAGCTTGGTGGCCGCTGCTTGACCGAGAAGATCAAGTTCATTGAGGAAGAACATGGGGTCATTGGCATATTGAAGTAGGTAGGGATCCTTGCTTAGGACATGAGTCGAGCCGCGGGTGAAAGGAATGAGATCCCAGACGTCAAAGTTGATGTTACCCAGGGTATCCAGGAAGAGTTCTGCAAAGGCAACGTCGTCTTGAAGGAGCCAGTCGCGGTAGAGGGAGTATTGGATTTTCAAAGCAGTCACGTTGTGGAATCCACCACGGGCAACGGTCTCCTCGGCCCATTTGTCAAGATTGTTATTGAGGAGATTAATGGCGCGAGAGCTGTTGTCGCCGAAAACTTCGGTGAAATTGGCAAAGAAAGCTGCTTGTCCTTGGCCTGCTGTGTTGGCACGAGAGTGGACAGTCGTGGTCGTTTGATCTTGCATGTTGAGACCAACGGGCAATTCCAGGAGCTGTTCAATGCCGGCTTTGTCAAGGACTGACTTGAGGCCAATACCAGAGTACTCAAGGATGAGGGGAGAGATGGCTGATCCAGCGGCTAGCAGGACTTCATGCTTGGCAGAAACATTGAAGTTGACAGCTTTGTTCGTGCCGAAGTTGACACCGGTGGCTTTAAGACCTGAGTCATCAAAAAGAACCTTTCCAACCATTTGACCGGTCAGAATGTTCAGGTTCTTGCGTTGGTAGTTTGGAAGAAGCCAGACGCGAGCGGCGTCACAGCGAACTTGATCTTCGTCAAGATTATTGTAGATCATGGAAACTCCACGAGGATGACCACAAAGAAGATCCTTTTGGGTTGGAATACCGGAATCGGAAGTGGTGTTGATCAGGGCTCGCATGATGGGAGAGAAAGACTTTCCATCATCACGAGGACCAACGTGAATAGTACCATTGAAGCCATGACAGGAGGGATCAAAAGAATGTCCCGCGGCAACCTGAGCTGCAGTAGGGGGACGGGCTTTCTCGACTTTGTTCATGGCCTCAAACACATTGTCCCAGTTCCATCCTTCCATACCAAAGACCTTCTCCCACGAGTCAATCTGCACTTTGTCCGGACGAGTCCAGGAAGCGCCATTGACCAGGGTTGAGCCGCCCAGTCCTTTGCCAGACTTGATGGCCATTGTCATGTTGTTGATCGCGAGTTCGGAGGTAGAGAATTGTTGATCGACGGTGGTATCGAAGATTTGACCGTAGGTGTTGGCATCCTCGATGATAGGGCCATTGTTGGACTCGTAAAAGCCTTTCTCGATGACGAGAACGCTGATATTGGGGTTTGCACTGAGTTCTGCTGCAACAGTGAGACCAGTCAAGCCACCACCGGCGATGATATAGTCGTACTGCTTGCCAGAGACTTCACGAGGATCCGAGATAAGGTGAGACTGGACATCAATTGGATTCCCTGGCACAAAAGCATGGGATGAAGAGGCCAAAAGGGCCAGAAGCTCCAACGTGTACTTCATGTTGGAAGTGAGATAGTAAGAGAAAGAAGGACTAGATGCTGAGCTGTCTACTTATTCCAAGATTCCCCTGGACAGCTATTGAGCTGGATTTATACTTTGTGAGTCTGATAACCCGCGGTATAGATTCACGTCTTCCCTCCGTTTGGCCGGATAAGACATGCTTCAGAGCTAGATCGACCTGTTTACCAATATCAACTTGGCAAGGCTGACCTGAATAGTACCCACACACGTGGAAATGTACTGGCCAACAAGGGAGTAGATTCACACTGAGTGGATAGCCAAAACCCGGCTGATACTCCCTCTGAGCCCCTTCCCTTGGCTTGAAGAGTACCTCGATTATCCTTTCCTAGGCTAGCAAAGGTACGGGTTGGCATCCTTCATGACGGAATAGGAAGGCTGCAGCGCGCTATGCACGTGGGATCATGCCGTCAAATGGATAGGTTTTGGCAAATTAAGGATGGCGAAGTCTCAAGAGACGAAGTTGACCTCTGGCAGGCCGCGTTTCTTGATTCTTGCTAGAGACCGATAGGTTGACGGGATCCATTCATGGACGATCCGGTCAAGCCTCATGGTATAGAGTAGAGCGACATGTCGCTGCAACTTCCGGATCTACACCGAAGGACCTCCGTGGGTAAGATAGGCACCTATGATATTACCAGCAGGAAGACTCTAAAATTTGACATCCCAAGCGAAGACGCTAGAGGGGGTAATGTGCGAACCTTGATGGTCAGACCATCTCGGTATCGTCTCGTGTGGCGACGTGCTATTTCAAGATTACTCGTACTTTACTCCTGAAGTCAATCTTGTGAAGTACGAGTAAGTTTGACTTGGTATTCAAGTTGCAGCGTAGTTGGTGGATGAGGGTGTGGATAATAAGAAGCACAAGGGCAGTCAAAAGCGGCGCTGAAACTTTGTTCCCTGGGACTGCTACGTCTCTATCTCTGATATACTGGATATGCATGAGCAGTTCGACTTTTCATTCATGGCTGCAGTCAAATGGATCACAGAGTGGGTAGGTCCGGTCAGTTTGGGCCTTGATCGTCAATTGTAGGTACTAGAATAGACACTGCCCAGCCTAGTATAGAGTGCAATCAATACGAGATCCTGCAAATTTAGAAGACTGGGCTAAAGTTTGCGGTGGCTAACCTTGGGTGGCATAGCCCTGGGTTGCATAGCCCTCTAAAGTTGGAATAGGAGATATGGAAAGGCAGTGAAGAATAGTGATCTGCATCCTTGACATGACCGTCCATCTAGCTACGAGTATACCGGGCCTTCCAAGGTTCCCACGTGGGTATCTCCCGCAATAACTCAATCAGATAATGAAACAATTACAACCTTGTATTTTCAATGATCTCGTATGTCTGAACTTGAGAACAGGGAACATCTATGATCTCAAAATGAACCACTGGATCCCAACCACCCAAAGCGTAGACCGGTATCATCTTGGCTAGAGTCAAATCTGCAGGAAGATCTTGGCAAGACCTAAACTTTGAGCTTAGTCTCGTCCGCAGTACTTCAGCCCTGGAGGCGACTGATCTATAAGCGGGTGGGGCAAGATGGGCATGGCAGGGGGTGAATGGAGGGTATGGGCTATTGAGACCGTTGACGTTCGTTCTAGCTTCTAGGGTCTCGGCCATCAGTTCTTCATAATCGGATCTACTAAGTACTAACTAAGTAAAGGTGGGTCTCGGGACAGGTGTGGAAATGAACCAGCCGGTCCGTTGTCTTCGGTATGCCGAGAAGAAATAACGGGATTGGTGGGATGCCGGTCAGTCCACGTTGGCGCCAAGCTGCCTACTCGTCATCGTCGGATGCCGAGAAAAGATATAGCTCCGACTTCGGGGTTGTGTTTCTGATTTAATTTGGATGTCGGTGAAAATATTTAAGTTCTGAATTGTTGCTTGAAGAGGTCTTCCATGATAGATCTGAATCCAAATTAACGTGGAAGGAGTGGATGAAAGAAAGCGCTTGGATTATATTTTCAAATTCTGCTCGACTTTCCATCAAATAGGTGGTATGGTCTAGGGGTAGGATACCACATTGTGGTGAGTTGTGGAGCAATCCACACCTACAATGCTGTGTTGGCCCCGGTTCGAATCCGGGTACCGCCATTATCTTTTTTGATCTCATATTTTTTTGCCCGATTGGCTACTGCGACCCGCTCATTTCATAGAAGTATAAGTAAAAGCTAGTGGGTAGGCGTAAATCCACACAAGATGAAGAACACTTTACTTTTGCTTGCCACCCTTGGCGGCCAGAGTGCTGCCCAAACACTATATGCGGCGTCGTACGCAGGCTCTGTCTATTCCTTGGGACTTGGCAAAGCAAACGGAACACTTGCTCTGTCAACACAATCCCAGTCGACAGAATGTGGAGCCAGCCCTTCTTGGTTGATGTTGGATGGTGCCAACGAGATCCTGTACTGCCTCAATGAAGCCATTGGGGCATCTAATGGCAGCATCACCTCCTTCAATACCCATGGAAATGGGTCCCTTGATGTCATCCACAACTTGACCGTTCCTGCTGGCCCCGTGATGTCTGCTATGTACTCTACTCCAGGCGTTCATGATCATCAGTTCTTTGCTGTTGCCCACTAGTAAGATATCATCAATATTCTTCGCTGGTTGACCATGTGCTAACCTTTGACTATTCAGTGAGACATCGACAGTCACAACGTACGCCGTCGACCCCATCAGAGGCCACTTCAAGCTCCTCCAAACATTTACATACAACATGTCGGCCCCGGGACCAAATGCAGCGCGCCAGGACGCCCCTCATCCCCATGGAGTGACGGTCGACCCTACTGGCCGATTTGTTCTGGTGCCTGACCTGGGAGCAGATCTGGTGCGCATCTATTACATCAACCCGGTCACGGGCCATCTGAAGCCCATAGACCCATATGTCGCAGCTCCTGGATCAGGTCCCAGACACGGGACCTTTTGGACTCCCAAAGGATCCAGCAGCACCGACACGAACGTCTATTTCTTCCTTGTGCACGAGTTGGATAACCTTTTAAGTGGCTTCCGTGTCTCCTACACAGAGCGTGGGATTCATTTCTCGAAATTCTTCGAGGAGAGTTCGTTCGGCAATGCCACCGCCACTGCTCCTAGTGGCTCCAAGGTTGCCGAAATTGCAATCTCGGTAGGTTATCATCTGTTTTTTTTTTGTCTTCAATGATTCTGGCACTAATATGATTCGAATGATAGCCCGAAAACAATCATATTGTTGTAAGCAACCGCTTGGACAATACCTTCGGCCAGAAAAACGACTCCATTGCCGTATTCTCCTGTGCCGATGCCAGCGGCACATCCTTCACCGGCGTCCAATCCCTCGGCTTATACCCAGCATACGGATCTTCAGTTCGAGGCTTCGACATTTCTGGTAAACTGGGATTGATTGGCATCGCTCTGGAGAGTAGTCAAAAAGTGGCTGTTGCACTATGGAACAAAGCCACGGGACGTCCTGGGAAGCTCTTGGCTGAGAAGGCCTTTGATGGTGACATCCCCGCTGTTGCGTGGGAACTTTGAGCGCATCAGGCACCGGGGTCTTGAGTCAGACAGGGGAGAGGTGGATTGACTGGAAAGACCGGCAAAATTGTCAATGGTTGTGAATGCCCTCCACCACTGATAGACACCCACATTGGTCTTATGGGATAGTTGACTGGCTATACGAATTGATGTCCGGGGTACATAAATGGCATTCCTTTGTGAGAGAAAGCAATTGCCCGAAGTTCCTACCATTTTACACGGACAGTCCCAATTAAAGGCCGAACATATGCAAAACTTCATCCGAAATGTAATTTGTAGCGAGCTCAATGCTGACTGTATTCCTCATTTTGATGGTAGACTGCTAGGGTATTTTGAGGTAGGCCTTTGTACCAATGCGCCTGCCGTCTGGAATACGAGGTGGAAGAGTTGGCCCAGTGAAGACCCGCGCCATCGCATCTGTTCTGACGTGGCTGAGCGACACATTTGAAGGGTACGGAGTACATTCGGCGCCTTAGGGCGCAATCTTAGGGCGCAATGACGGGAAACAATAAAAACATCATGTCGGCTGTAATCGGATCCAGAACAGAGCGAATAAGATGAGACAAAGACTTTTCCAAATGCCAAACCAGAAACAGCCTCAAAATAACTCGGGCTCTGGCGGGGACTTTTCGGGATCGGTGACTGCTCCCAGGGCTGACTCATTTCGCCTCCTGACCGGGAGGCCGATCTATCCCGAAGTCACCTGCCACACTTCTGGGAATACATTCATTTGTATTGGGATAATGGGAAGGCGAGGAATTTCAATTCTTGTTTGATTCGACTACTAGTGCAAGACAGTCGAGATGTCAGTCATGCAATTGGTGGTCGATGGAGCCGCAGATCGTGGGGAAACAGGGATGTATAGAGCGGGCCAATGAGTTCGATACAGAATGTCATCATTTTCCAGGTCGAACCGGGTTTTGGATGGAGTTTGACCCTTGGTTTTTTCGTATGTGTTCCTGGGCTGTAAAGTTTGGAGATATTTAAGGGCAAGTTGGGCTCCTGCCCCAACCAGGCACTATTCTACTATTCACTTGACATCTTCACTTGATCTCACACTTTCAAACCACATCTTCACACACCTTGACACATCTTTAACGATGTCTTTACTATCGGCAACAGTCCGACAGACCGCAGTCAGACCGCAGTACTTGCATCTGGCCCTGCGCACATACTCAGGCGTCGCCTGTACCAAATACAACCCGGCATCCCAAGCCAAAAAATCTTACACCCTCACATCAAAGCGCCCTATCTCATCGACACACCAAAACCAAAACACAGAGTACTTCCCTGCGCCGAAGACTCCTAATGTCAAAGAAGTACAAACAGCATGGACACACCCAGTGTGCGTATTCTCTCGCCCACTCAGACTGGAGAAGGAAGCTGACAGAAACCTAGCTACACCGAGGCCCAAATGCAAAATATCAGTATTGCACACCGAAAGGCTTCAAATTGGTCAGACTGGGTTGCTTTGGGAACTGTGCGCGTCTTCCGATGGGGCATGGACTTTGCGACAGGATACAAACACCCCAAACCTGGCCAGGAGCTTCCAGCTATGTTCAAAATGACAGAGAAGAAATGGCTGGCGCGATTTGTCTTCTTGGAGAGCGTCGCAGGTGTGCCGGGAATGGTTGGTGGTATGCTGCGACATTTGCGCAGTCTTCGAAAAATGAAGCGGGACAATGGATGGTATGTGGATAGCAAATCTTGGATTCAATATAACAGCACAGCTAACTGTTTCGTGCCAGGATTGAAACCCTTCTTGAAGAAGCATTCAACGAGCGTATGCACCTCTTGACATTCCTGAAACTGGCCGAACCAGGATGGTTCATGCGCGTCATGGTTCTTGGAGCCCAAGGTGTCTTCTTCAACGGCTTTTTCCTTGCCTACCTGGTGTCCCCACGCATCTGCCACCGATTTGTTGGATACCTCGAGGAAGAGGCTGTCATCACCTACACTCGCGCCATTGAGGAACTTGAGGCCGGCAAACTCCCCCAGTGGAATGAGCTCGACGCACCCGAGATTGCTGTCCAATACTGGAAGATGCCAGAGGGCCAGCGGAAGATGAAAGATCTGCTGATGTATGTTCGTGCTGACGAAGCGAAGCATCGCGAGGTCAACCATACTCTCGGAAACCTCAACCAGACTATGGACCCCAACCCGTATCAGACGGAGTACACCGACCCCACTGGCGATCACCCGAGCAAGGGCATCGACACCCTCAAAGAGACTGGGTGGGAGCGGAAGGACATCTTCCATACTCCATTCAAGAACTAAGCACTGCACTTTCAGGCGTTGGGAAAAATCAGAATTAGCGAAATCATAATATCTCCTCTCTAGCGAACAATTGAACAAGCAAAACACGAAAACACGTAAACGAAAGGAACATTTTATAGTCACAGCGAACCATGGAACGCGGGGCACAAGCTAAACCCAACCGGGCAGTTTGTTGGACCTCGGGAAGTTCTGTGCGCCTAACTTCATCACTGCGATGAGAGAGAGAGAAAAAAAATTTAGGAGAATCGTGGCATCTTTGTCAACGTCTCTCTTTTTCAGACGTCGAAATTGTTTCTTTCATCTCCATGTCGCGGTCCGGTAGTTGACCCGCTTCCCCTTTTAGCCCCGGTTGGCCAAAAGCCCCCCCCCCTTTTGACCCGAAGCAGTTTCTCGTCCGGCGATCCTGCAGGTCTCATTAAACCTCCGTCCTTTCATTTACGCCATTATTTAAGACCATTGCTTGCCGACGACCGGTCTAGCCTCGACTATCAACGTCGCAGACTCCTAGGAATTTTCCAGACATTCCAGTGATCGATCTTCACGCGACCTAGATCCGCTTTGGCCAGTTGAATTAGCCCCTCACGAAAACGGCATTGCAAGATGGACGAGCCGCGACAATCAATGGAGTCAACTGGAATGGTACCTATGCGAGCCTCCTCGCCTTCACCGTCAGTTCCAGCCACCCCAGCTATATCCTCCTATTCTTCCCCGGACCGCACGTTCTCCTCGGAGTCATCCCGCTCCACATCCTCCGCCACCTCCGCAGATGCTAGATCTTCCGTCTCGACCTCCTCGCGCCGCCATGGATATACTCGTGCATTGGGCGCCGAGTTTGCCGACTCCGCCCGCCATCGCGATAGCGTCATGAGTTTGGGCAGCATTGCCCACTTACAATACTACTTTGCTCGGACAGGTCTACTGGATGGGAAGAGCGGGCGCGGTAAGGAGTGGGACAAGGACAAGAAGAATAAGGATAATGTGCCTCGGGTTCTGATCACCCCGAATCAACGACACATGGACGACGACCTGGTCGCAAGCCCCTCGGACATGACGGATCCAGCGGAAGGTGAATTCGAGGACGAGGAGGGCGAGGTGATGCTGCCACCAACAGTCAGTACATACAGCATCAAGACGCACCATATTCCACCTCCACCAGATCTGATCTCTTTGCGCCGGAAACTTTTGCTTGCGCTGCACAAGGCGGAAACTAATATCGAGGCAATTGAAAATGGCGCAGAGCCTCCTCCTCGCGAACCTATCCGGTCAAGCCTGGCCCCGGGGGATATCCCCGAGGCACAAGAGGATGATCAATCCGGACAGGTGCCGACTCCAATGAACAAAGAAGAGGCACAGGGTATGTGCATTTTGGACGATATGACCAATGCAATCCGAGCAGCCAAGATCTATTACACATCGCACGAGAAGCCAGAACGTCTGGCTTCAATAAAGAGCGAACGTGAGATCCGCAAAGAGCTGTTCGACGTCCTTGAAGTTCTGAAGCGTTGGGCCGCGCGGCATTTCGCCAGTGGTCTGCGCGAAGAGGAGCGCGAGCGTATTCAGGGGTGGATGGCTAGCGTCCGCACCACAATAACCCGTGAGAAAGCGCTTGAGGATCTCGAGGCCCAGGAACGAGAGAATTGGGATTGGGCTGCTGGGGATTGGAGAGGTCGGGAGCGGGCCCGCGAGGAGTCCTTCTTGCGTAGCCTCATGCCTGGCGGTGACTCCTTGCCGACCTGGACACCCATTGAAGAGGCGGGTGATTCTGTGCCCACTTCATTCTTGGATCGCTTCCGGGACGGACGGGTTCTGGTTCAGTTACACAACCTTGCCATCAAGAAGTCGAGACGTCAATTTGGCGAGATTACGGCATACCATTCAGACATTGCCAAGCCATATCGACAGGCCGAGAATCTTCGGTTCTGGGTGAAAGCTGCAGAACTCCGGTGGGAGCTTCGTCTGGATGTCGACGTGATGGGTGTTGTACAGGATAGTGGCCCTGCTGCTTGGGAGCAGTTCGACGCTGCACTGTTGGCCTGGTGCAAGACTGTTCGAGAAGAATTGGTTCGAGATTGGCAGGAGGCCAACCCAGGACGACCACCAAGTGCTGGTTTGATTTGAGAGGCTTGGTTTGATTACCTGCATTTCGGTTGTTTTTGTTCCTCGCTTCTCTCCTTTTTTTTATATTTTTTCTCCTGTTTGATTCCTCTCTGGGCACTTGATACGATACCCCTGAATTGTCGCCGACTGTTCTGCCCGTCTCCGTGTATTTTAGTTTACTCTGATTCTTGGTTTTGTAATTGTACCTCTTAATTGTACATTTGCTTCTTTATGTTATAGGGGTTTACAGGTTTCAACACTGCCATTTAGTTGAACAACGCTTTCCACAGCTACTCCGACTATTTCTTTTAACCTTCAGTGTCAAGCAGCGAATTGACGCATATGCTAAGCGAGGCACATCGTTGCTGATCAGAATCTACAAGTGAAAGCTAACTGTTCTAGGTGTTGGAGTCATAGAATCATAAGTTGGACAGCATGCAGATCAGAGAGTCATGTCTTAGCAAGAGGACATTCAACATTCAGTTCAAGACACTAGAGACCAAAGACCAAAGAATAACAATCTGATCGCCGTTAATCCCTTGAACACATGCCGGGTACATCGGGCCCCATAGTTAATAGTACGGGGCTGGAAGTACCCATTCTGCGCAACGGCCATACTGTCCACTTTATCCCTCTTTTTGTCTCAACGGTTGCTGCCCGATATAACCTCCTCAACTTCATACTTGCATACACTATTTTCAAGCGCATTCTTGTCATGTAGCATTTTCTTTGGATTTGGACCCTCCAAAAAGCCACCAGTTTCATCTAAACGGGGCCTCTCGCCTTTGCCGAACGCCGAATCAAACAACACATTCCTGGTCTATCCCTGCAACAACCGCATCCTTTGGTCCTTTTGCCCGTTCGATCGCTTGTCTCCATGCATGCCACAACTGACGGCCCAACTCTTGCGACCGAAAACGTGCCGCAACCTTCCAGCGCGTCCATAACCTCCACATCACCCCCGTCGCTCACCCCCACGCTGTCCGTATCTCCAAATGACTCCGGCACCTCCCACCGCCTGAATACCAAATCATCCCTGTGGTCCCTCGGAAGCAGCAACAACGAAGAGGAAGCCCTGACCCCCGAACCCGCCAACCGTACCGTTCGCCGCCGCCTGTCTCCTGCCCTCGCAGCTCGGGTCAAGCTCTTGGATGGAAGCAATAAGGTCATATCCCCAGGTCGCACCGCTAATGCTGTCGGTCGGATCCCTGAAGAGCACCTGAAGGAGCTCGACAGTCTTCACCAAGACCTGTCTATAAAGGTAGAGAGGAGGGGCCAGGCGTGGAATGGTAAAGATATATCACCGGGACACACTCAGACTTTGAGACGCAGCGCGTCAAATCAGCTTGAGCTACCCCACCAAGATATCCTCCGAGAGATCTCTGACGCGCAAGGACTGGATCCCGAGTCGACGGAAGCTGTTGTGGAGGGCCCCGAACTCCGCACCCCGACCACGCCCGCGCCAGTGACTCTGCGATCCCCGGAATTGCAAAGCTCGGTCATTGCGACTGAGCCGGCGCCTGTCGAAGTCCCGGAGGTGCATCTTTCAACCCTTACAACCGAACCAGAATCTGTCGAATCCCCGGAGCTGCACAGTCCACCCACTGCCACCGAGTCGGTGTCTGTCGAATCCGCAGAACAAAGCCCAGCGGTTGCGACTGAGCCGGTATCCGTCGAAATCCCCGAGCTGCGCACCCCAACCCCTACGACTGGACCAGTGATCGCCGACTCCCAAGAGCTCAGCAGCAGCCCGCCCACACCCACACCAATGTCTGTCGCAGAGCCGGTCCTCGCGCAGCCGCGTGTGGACCCCATGCAACATAACATCCCTCGAAAGGAAGTGCCTGATACACGGACAGATTTCGAGAAGTATGTCGCTGATACCGCCCGGAAGGAGGAAAATTCTACGGAGGAGCAGGGTGCTCCTCCTCCGCCACCGAAGGACTCTCCTCCCGCGAATGCCGGGCACTCGCGCTCATCTTCTACGAATTCATCTTACTTTAACCCCATGGGCCTCCAGCGCGCAGACTCAATATACTCTTTCTCTCGCGCATCGTTCAGCAATCAGCTCTCCCAATTGACTTCAATACCCCTCCCGCAGCCAGCCTCGCTTGAGGCAAGCATTGAAAGTATTCAAACGTCTCTCTCGGCAGTCCGGGCTCTCAATGGTGCCGCAGAGCAGATCCAGATCTGGATCAAGAAGGCCTCGGACGTATTGAGTGGCTTGGACTCCGAGGATGATGTGGAATGGGCTGCGGCTGGTGGCCGGGAGGGGCTAGATGAGGTCGATAAGGCCATCACGCGATTCGAGTCTCTAGTCGATGTCTATGTTAGAGCCATTGAAAATGTTCAATTACGAGGGGACATTGCCAGTGTCGACGCAGAGAACTTGAAGACCATTGTGAGCCAGATGGAAAGTATTTTGCAAAACTGGACTCAAATAAAGAGAAAGCTGAAAGGCGTTAAAGAGCAGGTTGAGCTGGCTATGGAATGGGAAGAGCTGTGGTCCAATGTCTTGGGTGATGTTGGAATGGAAGTCGACAATCTGAGCGGGTTGATCTTCGAAATGGAAGAGAAACGACACCAAGCTCTGATGGATACAGGTGAGACCACTGGTGGTCTTGATATAAACGAACTGGAGACCATCGTGGAAGAGTCTCCTTCCAAAGGTCGCACGGCTTCACATAATCGCTTGAGTATTGGTCCAATGCTGGCCACTGCGTCTGGTACTCCTGTTATCAAGACCCCGCAAGACGATACGAGTCACTCTAACCTGATGGCCATCTTTGCCCGAATGCAGCCGTTGCGCGCATCGTTGGACTTTTTGCCCATGCGACTTTCAATGTTCCAGGCACGAGCTGAGGATATCTTCCCGAGTGCCTGTGAAGAGATTGAAGACCGTCGCGATCGGCTGGAGAAAAGCTACAAGGTTCTTGAGACTGATGCCGAGGCACTCCGCAAAGAACTCGGAGAGGATAAGTGGATTTTGGTTTTCCGCAATGCTGGTGCGCAGGCACAGAAGATGTTTGAGTCTGTCGAGCGAAGCATCGGCAAACTGCAAGAAGGGTTGGAAAGTGGTATGCCGGTACATAACCCCTCTACCATCACCAAGCGTATGGAAAACTACGAGGCCAAAAAGATGCATTACATTCCCGCCATAGAGCGTGTGGTCTCAATCATCCAAAAGGGTGTCCATGATCGGTTGACCGTCAACGGAGAGATCCTGCGACTGTTGTCGGATATGACGACCCGCACAGATGCGTTGAAAGCCAGCACTAGAGTTATGGACGCATCACTTGAAGATGTGCAAGTTCTCAAGGGCCAGCAACTTCGAGATTCGATCTCCAGCATTCTCACCATGGAAAGCCCGGCACCAGGCAGTGCCGCCGAGACTCCAGGAAGCTCCCCTGCATCGTCGGTCATCATGACTGGAAACGGTTACAAAGGCACCTTGACTCCAATGGGTGGTTCCAGTCGTCGTGGAAGTTCCGTCAGCCTGGCTGCAGCTCGTTCTGCCATACCGCCAAATCGTCGATACTCTAGCCTGCCACAGCCCACTGGCACCTACACAGGCAGGAAATCCTCAATTCCCCATCCATCTGGTTTCATCTCTCCAACTCCCTCGTATAAAAACTCCAACCTCTACACTCCCACACCAGCTGCCCGCTCTCGCACACCCGCACCTACATCCACAATTCCCAATCGCCCTCGCTGGAACGGGAGCGCAAACCTGAACGACATGAACAAAAATTGGACAGATCAAAAACGCCTGTCATCTGCGCCGATGGCCCGCACACCTCGACCTGCATCAGCCACTCCATTCCACAACCACTATCGACGAGACCTGTCTGCATCACCAAACCCGAACGGCTACCGGGCAAACAGTCGTATCTCCAGCCGTCTCGGTTCTCGAAGTCCCAACCGGAACGCATCTCCCACGCCAGTTCGGTCCTCGATCCTCGATCCTCCTCCTTACAGTCGGCTTCGTCGACAGTCAGGAATTCCTAACACTCCTCGCAGTCGTCAGAGTTATGCCGGCCCCCCTCAGCCGATCTTCGCCCGCAGTGTATCAGGCACTACAGATGTTTCTGAGACACCTAGTAAATCGTCACGACCGGGCACAGCACTAGGCCATTCTACAAACCGAAGAATTAGTCTACTTCCGCTACCCAAGAGAACGGACGGGCCTGCTGCACCAAAGAACGTGGACAGTCGTCCGCGGTGGCGTTGAGCAACAAGCTGGCTGATTCCACAACAGCAAACTGCTGTTGTGTGCTATTACCCATGCTTTTAGCCCGTCTGCGTCTCACCACCATCTCACCACCACTCAATTTCTCGCCCCGCGCCCCATGTTCGTTTACTCATTTTATTTACGTGCCCTGCATGGGCATATGGCCCTTCCTCATTCAGCCCAATCCTTAAAAACAAGCATTCAATATATTGCGAGGGGCCACATTATCTTGACTGTCGAGTTTTGCGTGATATCCATATTTTGCATTGTACGGTCTGAGCGTTGGGTTTATTTATTCTTGTCGGTTTGCCGTTTCTCCATTGCCAGTGATTCCCATTCCACTTCTCAATGTCAATATCCATCTCTGTAGTTTTACACGACCTAGGTCCAGGCTTTGATAACGGCGTTTTCTGTCTCTGACAACCTCAGCAAAGCATATTTTGTTTTCAATACTTAAGTATTTAAAAGCTCATCATTCATAAGACTTGAGAATCTATTCTATACCTGAAACGCCCGTTCAAGCACAACGTGAAACGAACGCAGTCCACACTTAACCACCTGCACAACACGCTAATTTCCGAGCTCCCGGCCGAAAATCAATGCATCAACCAGTTCCTCACTGTTAGCCAAACGAGCAGCCTTGGGGACCCGCCCAATGACGCTGAAGCCCAGCTTCTCCCAAATACGGATGGAGGCTGGGTTGTTCGCAAACACCAGGTTGAACACCGAGTATGTGTATCCCTGTAAACTGTCAGCTCTTTGCCTATAAGCAACACTGGAAGGCCTGCAATCAATTCTTACCAGTCTTGGGGCAAATTCCAGGTATGCTTCACCCATGGCTTGTCCGACACCCCGGCCACGAGCCGCGGTGGTAGTCATGAAGCCTGCATTGCAGATGTGAGAGCAGCGGCCTATGAAAGTCAATAACATTTCCCACATATTTGAATTAAGCTCTACACCGATCTATACGGCAATCCGCAACTCTCAACACAGGGAAACATACCAGGATAGTTAGGCTTGATATAAAAAGTCCCCAAACAGACATTCTCCCAATCCCTCCCCTCTCGCAGCCCTTCACCCTCATCATCCAAAATAGCCAGGACCGCAAAAGTCCCAAACCAATAATCAGCAAATGCATCAAGTGCCATCGGCTGCTCCATGGGATATGTGTTGCCGCGGACGATTTCCGCACTGAATTCCTCATGCAGGAACTTGATCAGGTCCTTTGGCACGGCTTGCGGTCCCCCAGTGATGGGATACAGGGTCATTGGGGCATTGGCCGATTTGGGGAGTGTTGTTCGCCGTGCCGATAGGCTCGGCGCGGCATCAACGTGAGCCTGTGGTGGGGGGTTGCGGGTGGTGGGGTCTTCTAGTAGAGCAGGCATTGGGGCGAGGGTTGATGGAGGTTCTAAAGTTTGAGTATTTGTGTGATTTGGGGATTAAGAGACTGGAGGCTTAGAGGAGAGGCTGAAGGAGAAATTAGAACTTTAGTAATCGGGGTAGTACACTCCCCAGATGTCGGCATCGGCAGCCGATTTTACATGAGTCAGCGTGTCGTTCATAGGGCGTTCTCCACTTGCGAACACTTTGTACTTCATTTACATATTGTCAAGTTATGGGGTATTCCAAGTCAAGCTACGCAGTCGAAGCCTGGTTGATGCAATTGTAAGGTTTCACAATCTCCTGAGTTGTGCATTGAATGCCAATTGGACCAGAGCAACTGATCACAGCTCCAAATGGTGTATAGTTCCCTATCAGAAAGTCGAGCCGGCAGTGGATGGAATTAGATCATGTCAATTGATGTGAAAGTAGACGCTCAATTCTTCGCCAACTATTTCTCATGTACTATATTCATACACGTAGTACTCCGTAGGTACATGCAGACTGGAGAGGATATGAGATGCCAGCATCTCGTAACATCCACCAGAAATTTATACAACCCTGACGCTAAGAGGTCCAATTGAATGATATGAACAGGCAAAAAGGAAGCCAAGTCATAGGCCGTCGTCCGAAAAACTTAACGTCGTCCCCAGCCTTATGCAATCGGAAATTGTTCATTTGCTCTCTCCTTCGTTCTTGAGAGCTTCCATAAGCTCAAGCAGTTGGCCGAGTTGTTGGTCTGTAGCAAGAATCGGATGATTAGAATTATGCTTGGTGGCAGAACAAAGATTGACATACCACTCATTTTGTCCAACTTCGACTTATCCAACTTCTCTCCCTTCCACTGAGAGCCTTCCAGCTTCTGCGCATACAGTTGCCATTCGGTCAGGAACCCAATCTGAAAGTCTCAATGTCAGCCAGAGCTTCACTATCCCATGCCCGTCCGCTTCCGATGCGTTGACCTCGGCATGCTTTTCTGCCCCCCCATCCAACCACCCCGACCAGGATTCCAAACATACAATATGCAAAGGGTTCTCCACGCTCCGGTGAGCGCGGAATTCATTCTTGACGTAGGAATCGCCCAATACGCGCATCTCCGGTTCGAGGTTGCGGTGGACGCGTAGAATGCGCCGGTACAGCTGCAGAGGCGGGAGAAGGGCGAGAGCCTCACTGAGACTTGACTTTGAGCCGATGGAGGCCGGCGTGGCCATGAGCAGACGTTGAGCAACCCGCATGGTGAGATCGTGAAGAGTCGAAAGACGAAAGCCGAAATGACATAATTTCCTGGGGATTTCAGCCGAAAGGCGGCGAGCGGAATGCGCGAATCAGCACGTCGGACTTATCATTTGAGATTTAGCCTCAATCGGTCATTTTGATATCTCGTTGATATTCGCATCTTGCATTCTGAGCTGCTAGCCGTGCTTCTCGGAAATTGGACATCCCTTGAAGTTGAAGAGCTTTCAACCCACTATACTGCCACCCCACTATTCAACGGCTTGATAAATCTTCAAACCCCCACGATATACGATCTACCAATCATACAACATGCTTCCTACGCCAGATACCTCACATGTGTCTTTTGACACCATTTACGAGCCATCCGAAGACTCATATCTCTTCCTAGACACGCTGGCCTCGGATTCAGAGTCGAAATGGCTCTCTGCACGATTCCCAAACCAGAGCACATCACCATTAGTTGTCGAAGTAGGCACCGGCTCCGGCGTAGTCCTTGCCTTCACAGCAGCCCAATCTGAAAAGATTTTCGGCCGCCGCGACATCCTGGCGCTAGGCACGGACGTGAATCGAAATGCATGCATCGCTACACGGGAAACCGCAACAACAGCCATTAAAGCAGAGCAGCAGCCAACCCCTCAGTCAATCCATATCTCTTCACTTACAGCTGATTTATGCGCACCTCTCCGACCTGGCAGCGTTGACGTTCTGCTCTTCAATCCACCTTACGTTCCGACTGAGGATCTTCCGCGCTTGCCTTCTGCGGTGGATAATGATCCCGCTACGGCGGAGGCTATGTCTCGTTCTGATAAGTTCGATAATGACTCTTATTTTTTGTCGTTGACATATGCGGGCGGGGCGGATGGTATGGAGACCACGGATCGATTGCTTGAAGCTATTCCTGGCGTGCTTTCGGCGCGGGGTGTGGCGTATGTTTTGCTGTGCAAGCAGAATAAACCCGAGGAGGTCAAAGACCGCATTCGTGCCTGGGGGTGGCAGGCTGAGAGTGTGGGATCGAGCGGGATGCAGGCTGGTTGGGAGAAATTGGTTATTGTGAGAATCTGGAGAGAAGATCATTCTTGAATTTGGATATATGACAAATATGAATATTGCATATTGTGCAGAGCCTTGGAATATGCAACTCGGAATTGGCTCTAATAGATTTTAAGTGGTGCGATTGGGGCTCAATTGAAATCGAGAAAAGGTACGGAGCAGAACTGTGTGAGTCATTTGGCGTGGAACTCGGATAGACTCCGTCTACAGGTGCTAGTGACGAACGCGAAAAACTGTAGATTGTCTTTTCTTATGTTGGAGAAGCGGGGATCTACCTAACAGGCAGGATAAATGAGCACCTGCAGATCAATCTATGCGGGGTACAGGATCGCCATCGGATGTGATTGAGCTTTAGAAGTCGATAGAAAACCCCCAAGAGCTAAATCGCTCTAAAAGGAAGTTCATATGAGCATTTCATTAGAGAAGCCGAGGGATTCGGTAGAATTGACCAATCTAAATAGAAACCCACTGTTATCTATGGGTTTCCTGTTGAACTCAAGCCTTACAGTGCTCGGCCATTTTCAATGTACGAAGTTAGCCCCTCAAAGAGCAGACGAAGCGAGTTTCTATGACGCCAATCTCATTAGTTTCAATCACGACATTGATGGGTATTCCTGAAGTCAGGGTGACTAGTATATCTTGTTCTAAAGTTGGAGTTGGAATCAGTATAAAGGCAGCACCATTTCTGTTGGCTTTTATACTATCGAAAAGAATACAAACTTGACCGGAACAGTTAACTCAAGCCTACAATGTCTGATCTCAAGCTTCAACACTTCTCCGGAGCGCAATCCGTCCCCCTCCCTTACTACGGAGCGCACCAAGACGTCTTCATTGGAGACACGGTCTCCAGGTAAATTGATGATTATGACAATGGCATCGCACATTATTGACCTGGAGCAGCACACAAGATGACACCGAAAAGCCCATCACCAGCGGCTTTTTCCGCGTCGACAAAGGAGGAAAGGCCACCGCAACATACACCTATTTTGAAGTCAAGGTCATCGTCGAGGGTGTCCTGATTATTTCTGATGCTACAGGCCAAAAGGTCAGAGCTGTGAAAGGAGACGTCCTGTACTTCCCCAAGGGCGCCACGAGTATGTGTCTTCCGGTCCGATAGAATCACCACATAGGGCTAATCAAGTATGGGATAGTCACATTCGAGACGGAAGACGGCGGTGTTGCCTTCTTTGTGAGTTCTCATCTTCTTTTCTCCTTCGTCTTTCCCTTTCCACCATTATTGTTTCTTTGAAAATCCCCCTCCGAAGCATTGCTACTGGTCGAATTCTAACATTTGTTTATCAGGTGGGTCAACGTCTGCAGCAGAAAAACTAGACTGTCTTAGAGTCTTATTTGATAATCGAGAGAGCCTTACTGGCTTGCCCGTCAAACAGATAGGAAGGAAAGTGGCCATTATCGTCATTTTGAATAAATATCATCAATTCAAACGTTGAGCTTGTACATCGATAGTATTAAAGAAACCATGAAAAGCACCGTCAATCAACATGAACACGCCACAAACAGCGATCTGAGTTCCCCGTGAAGGAACTCCGGGTATGCATCGTCGTCACATTATCGCTGATCAGCCAATCTCCTTCTTCCCAACAGTGCCACAATGCCACCCGTCTATCATGCAGCAGACTGTCCAGAGTGCGACAAATCTCAGCGGAGTCTGGCACACCTTGAACGGTGATCTTTGTTGGGGTGAATGCGGTCTTTTCTTGGGGCCATGGCTCGTGGTAGCGGAGACAAGGCCGGTTGTGCGCGAAATGATTCTCAATAAGAGGCAAGCCGGATACTTTGGCATTATCGAAAGATTCTGTCTCCACTGTCCAGGATAGTTTTCGAAGATCATCCACTGAGTATCTTACAGGCAGGTAGTGCCATACCAGATGGGATGTGGAGAAGAGGGTGAATCCTGAGTCCTTTGGGGAGGGAGTCACGCTGGTGAAAAATTGGAACCTGGGAGAAAACAATCAGGTGAGTTTTTCTGTTGTTGCTGCTGTTGATACTTCAAATGAGACACTTACTTGGGGGGTTTTGATCGAACGACCTCGTTTCCATCCGCATCTAGAGACTTTTCAATCTTGAACAGCCCGTCATAGTGGAATGGCATCCATTCGGATGAGAGAACGTTATTCAGTCCCTGGCTATCACTTCCATGATCCTTCACTTCCAGAACTAACCCGAACTTCCACGGAAGAGGCGTTCCCATCTCTTCGGCCTTTTTGACAAATAGCTCACGGTCACGGGTGTCCTGGAAGCCCCGGAGGATTACAGGAGAGACCTCTTGGGCGAGATCTCGAACCATTTGCATGTCCACATCGTGAACAGAAAGGTTTGTCAGAGAGCGGATCATCAAACCACAGGGGTAAAGAGGCTCTATTTCGACCTCTTTTGACCATGAATAGAGGTGTGACTTGTACCGATAGTACCAGGGCTGTCCATTTTTGTGAACCAATTCGACATCAGGGTTCTGGTCAAAGGTTTCCCGCATACCATATTCGATCCGTCCATCAAGTGTAAAACAAGGAGACGAGTGCCATGGGGTAATTGCGAATTTTGCAAGAGGCAATACTTGGATGGAGATTTTTGTAGATCCACATGATGGATGGATTGAAAGCCTGACGTGGTTGGGGTAATTTGCTTTGATGGCTCCTGCGAATGCCTGCATGGTATTCATGTTAGTGATAAACAAGGATACCTCTAATTCCAGAGAGCTCACCTTCCCACGCGCAATCATATGTTTTGCTATAGCCTCCAGCTTCAACTTGTGGGATCTTTTCGATGAATTTGATCCCACGAAGGTATGCTCCAGATCTTTGGTTAGGAACTTGATATACCCGCGGTATGTAGTACAGACATCCTCATCTGCGCGGATACTTTCACAACAGTCGTAATCCAGAGGCGTGAATCTGTCGATCAATCTCTGACGGAACTCGCCAGCGTGTTTTTCATATGTAGCGACATCGAGGGGGGTCTCGACTTTCCATTGGACAAGATCTCGGAGACGAATGAATGCTAGGTGTTTGTAGCCTTTATCTTTGACCATTTGACGCAAGTGTTCTCCGTAGAAATAGACCTCCGCATCGGAAACTCCCAAGAGATCTGAAGAGAGGTTGCGACGTTAGAGCATATCATAAAAAGCTAAAATAGTAAAAGCCAGTTGGAATCACGCACCATTATACACAAGTCCATCTGACGCAATGGTCAACTCAGCACCAGGTTCATATACATCTGAAATCGCAGCACAAAGGCCGTTCAAATGAGCCATTCCAAGTTCCTCGCCTTTGTCGGGCAACGGCCCCAGTGTCTTGCTCAATCGATTGGGTGACTTGAATGGGAAAGCAGGCAAGATCATTTGAATCTGACTTGAGGATCGCACTTGAGTGTATATGATCGAAAGAAATTTGAGCGTGCCTTCATCGCTGCGATCCACTGTATTAGGAGAAAATGGCATACGATACCGATGAATCATATCCAATATCTCCCACGCTTTGTGAAGAGCGACTGAGTCGAAGAGAGGATTCACTGCCGTCGCCGTCAAAGGGGCCGACTGTGTTGCAGCCAAGGACCGCAACATTTCTACAGTCATCTTGTGGACTGTGGAAAGTGAGTTTCCAATGATCGTCGTTGAAAATTGTATCGATGAGTTTTTTTCTTTCTGGGTATATTGAGGCTTGCACTCCAACTTTAGAAAAGCTGAAGGACTAGGGACTTAATAGTCGGAGTTTTCATTTCCCAAATGCCCCATCAGACCATTCAGGATAGGTAAAGATGTGCCACAAGGCTTACTTTAATCTAGTGCTCTCTTCATCTAAGCGATGTTACATCATTTCCAATAGAGCCTAGTTCATTACTTCCCTCACTCGTCGTTTGACATGATGCTTGCCAAGGTGCCAAGTCTACTCCAATTATCTAGGAGAAGCTCACTAGACCTAATAAAGTAAGTACTTTTGTCTCATGCAATACTTTTATCCGCTTGGAAAAAGTATTTTCAAGGTCATGCAATGTTCTATCGGCATTTAGCAACTAACAATGGAAATATCACTGGTATGTACCGAGTGGAGATGGTTCTAGACATATCAACCACTCGGCTCCGAACAACCTCAAATGAGTGAATTTCTGCCTATTGAGGATACCAGTCTAGATTGCGGGTATAGTCATGCATTGGGTTTAGGTTTTAACTTTGGGACTAGTCGCCACATGTTGCGGCACTATTCCGGCCTCCCGTCGCGGAACATCACGCAGGATTATCAATCAACTTGGCAACTTTTATATTCAACATTCAAAGCACTAGAAGTGCTTAGTTGATTACTAGGGTTTTCGAATCACCGATTAATATTTTCTTCATGTTAGTTTCTACTTAAGTATTTTCCAACAAATCGAAAGAAATCTCCTCACACAAGCTGTCGTCTGTAGCCTCATGCATGGTTTTAGAGCACCGCTTGGACAACATCACCTGGGGGCGGACTTGGCATATTCTGGCCCGACGATCTTGAGACCCTGAAGTCTTAGCTTCTCATCTATACAAAACCAAGTGGGCCTTCCTTCCGGAAATCACTCGGAACCCCGGAACCCCTGTCAATTGATCTCGGCATTTCTGTTGACAAACTGGTTCGAAAGTTGAGCTTTGTCCAATCTGTGAACAGCAGTCTTCACAGTATTTTGACGTAAAAGGGGGATCTTAAAGGATCGGAATTGAGTGGATTGATCTTGATCAGTCCATCAAGTCCACCCATTACCAAGTCAGCGGACTAATTCCCTCCAGGATTCACCCTCCACTTGCCGGAGAGGTTCCGTGTTTAGCTGATTTTTCAGCAAGAAAGACATTCATTTTAAGTTGACATAGTAGTATTCGTGAGGTGTCTTGAGCACGCTAGGGGCATCTATCGGCAAAACTGCCGACTTCGTCTTCCGTTTCTATCGTACGACCAGGATGATTCCAACCTAATCTGCTGACCTACCTGAAACAACTTTAGAACCAGGTCTCTAAATTTGCAAATATATGGCATAGCGTGAAGTATATACCAACTATGCAAGTACCACTTCCCGATTGGGACCATATCTCACGATGCAACCTTGAAACATTGTAAGAGCCTAACCTAATTTGGCTCAGTCTGTGATTAGAAATTGTTTGAAAAAAGTACTACGGCTTAATTCCTATCTACTCGTAAGATCAAGGGACAAATCAGCTTTATTCTTGTCCTATTCCTCTAGAGCTCCTTCCAGCAAATTTTCCAAGTGCGAATAAACAAGAAAGCATCATAATGCCGGAACCTTCGACACAAGCATATCATGTTGATCTGGTCATAGTGGGTGGTGGCCCAACTGGTTTACTATCCGCTGTTCTGGCTAGATCTTTAGGCCTCTCGGTCTATATTTTGGGTATGTGGTACCTACTTCGAGCATATCATAAGATACGAAAGCTGGACTAACCGCTTTCCAGATGCGAAAGACACCTTTCTTGATCTCGGAAGGGCTGATGCACTGAATGCACGCACGCAGCAATATCTGGAAGTGTCAAAGACACTCCCACTATTGGAGCCCTTTGGCTTGACTTGCAATAGTATGTGACTGTGGAGCTGCCGAGTTCTCGCAAGATTGACTGACATCGGCCACTTCTGACAGCAAGCTCTACATACGAAAATGGAGCTTTCACTTCTCAACAAAAGCATTGGTGGACTTCTTTGACAAATTGTCATAGGCCACATTTCTTAATGATTGGCCAGCCCAAAGTTGAGGAGGCACTTCTGCTCCAGCTTGACGTGCCCGTCGTTTACAAGAGCTGTGCCACATCGATCGCCGAGTTTGATTCCGGCGTTGTGGTAACGACCGATCAGGGAAAGACAGTGGTTGGCAAGTATGCGATCGCGGCTGATGGCGCGCGGTCTTTTGTTCGTACCGCATTGAACATCCCCTTCAAGGGAACAAAACCAGGGATGAACTGGGCAGTTTTGGATACCTTCATTGAGACCGATTTTCCCTGCTGTCCGGAGATTATTACATTCCAGAAGGATGGTCAGTCCCGTGTTTCATGGATCCCTAGGTGAGTAATCCTCACCCATTGGCTTTTGTGAAGATTTGGTTGTTAACTTCGGGCTGCGATGGTAGAGAGCGAGGAATGAGTCGGTTCTATGTTTTGTTAGAGGAAGAAATTACCCAGGAAAGGGCTGAACTCTCTATCAAACAGCACATGGCTCCGCATGAGGTCGAGTTCACAAAAACAGAATGGTTTAGCTCTTATGAGGGTGAGTTCTGGATTGTTCAGAAACTGCCATCAATTCATCCGAAATGCTGACAATCATGATAACTTCAGTCAAAGAGCGGGTTGCCAGTACTTTCGTGTCCAAGGAGAGAGAAGGGCGGATCTTCTTGGCGGGTGATGCGGCACACGTCCACGCCGTGAATGGCGGCCAGGGTCTGAACACGGGCCTCGCAGATGCATTCAATTTGATCTGGCGCATTGCTTTCGCAGCAAAGGGACTTGGAGGAGCTGCTCTGCTGAAAAGTTATGATGAGGAGCGACGTATCACAGCTGAAGGGGTCATCGATGTTGCCGCCAAATTGGTGCGCTCGACTGTAAAGACGGCCCTGGAATACGTTGATCTGATCGAGAAAAGCGCAAAGTTCATCACGGGTAATAGATTCTGGCTCCATTTTTGGTGGATTTCGGCTGACATGTCTCTCTTCAGGAATGGGAATTTCGTATTCTCCATCGAATGCCTTGGTCAAGGCCTCATCTTATGCTGATTTCGTGGCGGGAAGTCGATGCCCGGACCAGTGGGTAAAAACTCTTCCCCCTACTTCCTCTTTCATAGATCCCGCCGAGAGTAATTCGCCTTTTCATCCCGAGGACAAGAGGTTGTACGAATTGTTCGAGTATGGACGATTCAAGATCTTATTCCTTGGGAAAGAGCCCTCCTTTGAGCATCAGCAACAAAGGATTGAAATGCAAGAAAAAGCAGAATTCTGGCATATTCACGCAAAGGGGGAAAGGGTGACAACCCTGGTTCATGAATTCCAAAGTGACTGGGTCGAAGAAGAGCAAGAAACAGTCGTGGTCATAAGACCGGACACTTATATTGGCTATGTCGGACCGGAGTGGGGACAATACTTGACAGATGCGTTTGCTTGATTTGAAATGACAGATTCTTGCGCCCAAAGTCGGAAGAAGGTCCAGACATGAAATTATTGAAGATGGAAAAGAAGGAAAGAGAGCTAGCTGGGGAGCACCTACTATCTTGGGTGCAAACAGTGCAAACATGACCTAGCCAACATCGGATGCAACCCATATAATGGCAGTCATCACACTTGATTTGTCTCGTTGAACCAATTATGTTGGCTTAAGGGAGTTTTTGAAAGGATTGTAAGATATAATTGTAGTAAAAATCAAAATAAGAGAAGAAAAGCAAGATTTCCTCCCAATCTAACGGGTGTGTAAAAAAAGGACTTGTAAAAAGAAAGGTCGTGCCCGGGATCGAACCGGGGTTGCAAGAATCAGAACCTTGAGTGCTGCCACTACACCACACAACCAATTCACTGCCTCAGGTGTCGGTAGAGGGTTACTTGTCTCCATGGGCCCAATGGTGCGGAGAAAGCTTACTCTCTATCAAGAACTATACGGAATAACTTTGGCAAAATAGAGCTGACATTGAAATACGCCCCTAAATACATTTCCAGTGACCGTCCCCGCAATAACAAATATCAAAAACAACCCGGAGGGGCAAGCCCTCACAATCTTCTCAGTAACTGTAGTGGGTGTTTCGCGTATGCTGCGTGAGGTTGTCCGCACGGTTGAAGGCCTTGCTGCAGCCTGGCACTAGGCATGGGTGGGCGAGAGGACTGATGTGTAGTTTTCGAATGTGGCGTATGAGCGAGGTCTCTCGCTCAAAAGTACCCTTGTAGCTACACCCTTCCCACTTGCATCGAAGTTTGTCGTTGCCGGTGTTATCCGATGGAGAACTAGAGCGACGGTTAGACATAAGTCGGGAAATAGATGGAAATATTGCATTGTATGTGAGAGAGATCGCCCTACCCGCTGGTTTGACTCTTTTTAGTGCGAGTATTGTTTCGTCCCCGCGGTTTCTCAGCCGGTTCCTGGGGGAGGAGCGGTGCAGCAACTCCAGAAAACGAGGTGTTTTGCGGGTGGGCCACATTGGGTGACATGGCACCAGTAGGGCCTGGTGTTTCCAAGGGGTTCACCAGGGTAAAAGGCGACAAGTAGGCAACGGGTACGTCATTGGGCAGCCCACCGTTCTCGGGGGATGCGCTCCAACTGAGGCCAGGAGTTGGAGACAGTTGCTGGGCGAGAGGCTCGAATGGATGCTCATGAGCATAGACATCCTCCCAGTATGTACCTTGGGGCCATGGCATGTTGAGCCAAAAGAGGATGAACAAAGTACCTTGATGTAAGAAACGCCTGCAACACGAGAGGACAAAAGTACGAGTACCTAGGTACTTTGTTCAAGATCCGGTGTTAAGTGATTCTAGAGAACAAATCCATATCCCCAGGAGCGAGGAACAGCTGATTTATAGTGTTTGCAATCATATTCATTATGAATCTTAAAAAATGAGCCTTGGATCCAAGTGTTGGGTCAAAAAACACGGGCGCTCTGAATGAGCGGGTTCGACACGGGCGCTAAGGAGATTATACTGCAGATTCCTTTTCGATCTGCAGACCGACGAATGAGGTTCCTCCATAGGTAGGTAGTGGGATTGGCGGCACACCTTAACTGACCGCAACAAGAAATTCACAAATGATAGCTCACAATCCATCATAGATGAGGTACCTGGCTTCGTGAGGCTATGTATGCCAAGCCTAGAGAGAACGAAATCAGCGAACTGACCAACCGGGGGCTTCAGATTGAAGATGGTATCCACCTGGATAGTCTGCATGTGTACTGCCCTGCAACCTAGCAGGCACAGCCGCGGGATTTGGCCGGATTCTCTGCTTTTTCTTCTGGGGTTCTTTAAATATGGCTCGTCTGGCACGCCTTCACATCATACTCAAAATTCTCAATCATCATGGCAGAACCGGAATTCGAACCCTTCAAGCTCGAGATAGAGCGGTTGTATGTTCATGAGAACAATACTTTGGCTCATGTAAAGGAGTACATGGAGTCAAAATACTCCTTGGTCAAATCGTAAGTTATCCGGTACCTCCCAACTTCCCCACACTGACGCACAAGAAGTACGAGCCAATACAGCCGCCAACTCAAGAAGTGGGGGTTTGCCAAAGGGCATATCAAAGCAGCCGAGTGGAATTGGATCGGGGACAAGATGAACAAAAGGAAATTGAATGAGGATAAGGAGAGTGAATTCCACATTGGTGGAAACCAGGTTGATATACCGAAGGTTAAGAAGGCAAAATACAGAGAGGCCTATTCCTCGAGTATAGCCAGGTTTGGTAAGTTCCATCCAGTCCTTCAACACAATCTGTTATGGACTAAATGATCCCAGGCCCTTCCCCAAATACCCCAGAAGGGCTTTTGGTCTGCACCCCAACCTCACCAGGGATGCATCTGATCTGGAACGGGGCAACTCCATGGCTACGCTTCGTCAAACTTTTGAATGATAATCAGAACGGAGGTATGGACTCTTCTTGATTGAGTAGCACTGTATCTGACATATGCTTACTTGATTTTCAGAGGCGTCGTCGCCGTCATCGTCCTTGACCATTCGAACCCCTCGTGACTTTGATGCACTCTCGCGCACAGTCAACCATGAGCTGATGCACCGCCTAAGCACCATTATTCCGTGGGATAAACTGAACCACCCTCCGAACATACATAGCAGCTCTCGCACATCAGCAGCTTTGAGCATCCTGATGCCAGAAGAGTTTGCGGGTCAGCATGATATTTTTTCGACAACCCTGACCAGCTCTGCCAACGGAAGGAAGAACCGCTTTGGCTTGGAGCTTTTCCTTCTTTCAAACAACATCACCTCCCAGGGCTCCCGGGGAAGGACCGAGGAAAGCATCAAACAAGACGATGAGCGAGTCATCCAAATGCTAAGCGACTCCGGCTGGAAGGATCTCAAACATATTCAGATTCTCCTGTCAACACGCGAGCCAACCGCCGAGGCTATTGCCGAGAGAGTTTTCTCAAGCGCATTGAGACTAATTGACGTGGATGCAGTAAAGATGATGCTGGAAGCTGGCATGGATCCAAACAATCCATTGATTGAGGCGATACCCCACGGTGTCCTGACACCATTGCAGTTTGCTGCTAGAAGTCAACACGAACGCAGTGGTGAGCTCATCGACATCTTGATATCCCACGGAGCAGATGTGGACTACTCATGCAACGATTACCCACCATTGTTCTATGCTATCCACAATGACAAAAGCAGTCATATGTACACGCTAATGTCTCACGGCGCTATTGCAACTTCCTCATGTCTCTCTGCTGCCACTGGTTTGAAAGATATTGAGGCCTTCATTCGAATTGCCGATTCCTGCGTTGATGTGAACGCAAGGACTGGATGGCAGAGCCCTAGTGCTCTTGCCGAGGCTGTGGAGCATCAGAATATTGAGATGATCCAAATTCTGCTCTCCAAGGGTGCCAATGTGAATGATCTGGTCGCTATAGAGTTTGAGGGTGACATCACAACGACCACTGTCCTGGGTCGTGGCGTTCAGTCACACTCCATCAATGTTATTCGTGCACTGCTGGTGGGCTGCGATGAGCTGAATCCCGAATTTGATGGTCTGCCCTATGTTTCTCCCATTGTGTTGGCTATGGGAAGAGAAAATATCGAGGTTACTCTGAGTCTTCTGCAAGCCGGAGTCGACATCAAACTAGCCGACGGGCAAGGGGAAATGACTCTACTCGAACGTGCCACCGAGAAACGATTGTCCGTTGCCTTATGCAAAATCTTGATTGACTATGGGGCTCAGATTGACAGACCTATCTCTGACGAAAAGTGCGATTCATCACCTCTTCAGATTGCACTGAAACACAAGTCAGTAGAAGTCGTGGAGCTCTTGATCAACGCCGGCGCACGTCTCAACGATGAATACAACAAGCCTCCTTATAGTGCACTGGGAGCTGCCCTTGAACATGGCGATGTTATTTTGATCAACAGACTCCTCACAGCCGGGGCTACATTTGTGGGGAGCAAGCTACAGAAAGTTGGCAGTCTAGGGACTGCAATGTATCTGCAGGCGAGTGGAATCCTCAAAGGCATTTTGAAGGGCTCAGGGCGTAAAATCCTTGCTGCTGCTCTATTGGACAAGAATTTCAATCCCGATCTAGTTCAATATTTGCTTGAACATGATGCCGATCATGGAGATGACACCCAAAGTGACAAAAGCACCCCATCCAAGCAGTCACCACTAGGAGCAGCGATTCGAGCGCGGAAATTCGACTTGGCAAAGACACTATTGGACCGCGGGGCAGTTGTCACAGACATCATTCTCGCAGATGCTGTCGGTGAAGATTCATCGTTCCTAGAACACCTGCTGGCAAGATTCCGCGGAAGCGCCCCGACCGCAGTGGGAGCCGCAATTCAACATGGTGAATACCTAGATCTATTTCAAGAAGCAGGTGTGGACCCCACTGGCGTGCCCCAAAGCTTCGAGCAAGGCTGGTACTGTTGGGATGAACTTGAGTTTGAACTTCCACCACCGGAATCGGTGCTAGAAATAGCAGTGGTTTCTGGGGAGAGTGAGACCGTCCAAATTCTGCTCGAATGGAAGCCTTGGACTCCAAGGCTAATCGGCCGCGCCTTGACGTTCGCCATACTCTTGCAGCTGCGTGGGCTTGCTGAGCTTATACTCCCTTTCAATCCCGATCATACCCAGGAGATCACCATAAAGTACGGTTCTTATGAAGACGACCTTGGGGAGGTCATAGGAGAAAAAGAAACTTACACTCCTCTCCAAGCTGCAGTCAAGGAGCAAATGATCCCGATCGCACGGGAGCTGATGGAAAAAGGTGATGTCGATCATCTTGGCGATGGAGCTCGGCGTCGAACAGCATTACAGCATGCTGTCGAGAAGGGAAACATGGAGCTTATCAATCTGCTCTTGGATCACCAAGCTAAAGTTGATGGCCCTCCCGCCAGAGATGGCGGTGCCACTGCCTTTCAGATTGCATGTCTCAAAGGTTATATTGGTATTGCACGAAGACTACTTGACCTTGGAGCGAATGTCAATGAAGCTCCTGCGGAGCGTGAGGGACGTACAGCCCTACAAGGGGCAGCAGAATACGGCCGAATTGATATGCTCCAGATTCTGCTTGATGAAGGAGCTTTGATTGTCGGCGATGGTGAGCCGCAATATCGCAAGGCTGTCGAGCTTGCCGAGCGCAATGGACATCACGCTGCTGCAAGATTGATGAAGTCTTGGAGACAGACAGTCTCCTTGAGCCCATCGGCTCAATGACTTTGCCATTCCGAGAGACACAAGAGCAAGGCTATATTTTGTTCGAAATTTGTAAAAAAAAATGAAGCGACTCCATACTTTCCGCGCGATAGCTTTGAATTATGGTCGTAGATTTCGTCGGCGAAGGGGGTATGTACTTCCGGCAGAGCTTCGTACACAGATGCCAAGGCCAAGCGGATGTGGCAGGAATGGAACTCGGAAGCTCGGCAATTGGCCCATGTTATAAAACCAACCACTAAAAGAGCTGACCCTCCAGAGAATGGCCCGGGCGGAGTTGACATGTAATAGTGAGAGGCTTGTGCTCCCCTACAATAGGCACAGAGCACGAGCACTCCGTACTCCGTGCCTATATTGTGGGTGCCATGGCTGTTGCCGAGCTGCTTTGTTCTTTGGATACGGAGGCTGTTGGAAATTCCGGCTGCAAACACGCGCTAGGAGAAACCGGGTCAATGAAATGCAGCAGTCAGCTCCACTGCAAACACGACAAGGTGTCTCGTACGAACTCGAGACGAGGGTGAAACATGATTGGTGAGAAGAAAACTGGGGCTGACTCGTAGGGCTGTCTCACAACACCAAGGCACAACACAACGAGCGAAGAATTCTCACTTGCGGTCCAGTCCAACTGTCAAGTGATAAATGACAGAGCGGATAGTAGACGATACGAGTTGCCGATGCAGATGCAGATGCCGACCTGATGCAGACGTGTTCGAAGACGAAATGTGTTGCGGTGAAACTGCGGGGTCCGAGGAGCGGGACGAGGAGGCTCCAAGGCAGAACTGAGCGGTGATTGGTCACGGGGTGCCCGGTAGGGCACAGAGTCGGACTAAACTGACCAAATCTCACCGACAACCAACTCTCTCCCTTTTTTCTCGTGTCTGCAGTGGAGTGTGGACTTCGTTTCATTCGTCCACTTCCTCCTAGCGTGTGTCTGCTGCCGTAAATGGCATCATGGACCCACTGACCTGCATTCTGGTTGGTTGCCCTACAGGGCTTATGATGATCGCTGGGAAATGAGGGGGACATAAATATGGCCAGCTCCTCAGGCTGCTACTTTTTGGTTTCATACTCTTCACTTCATCTTGAACAATGCACACTCAGACCATTCCTCAGAGATCACTCTCCCAAACATCTACCACTTCCTCGCGCTCCAATCAATCCCAGAAGTCCTCGAGACTCGCAAACAAACTATCCTCAAAGATCTTCCGCTCCAAGTCTCCTGCTCCCATCGACATTCCCAGGAACCGAACCTCAAACATTCCACGGAGCAACCCCGAAGCTTCTTACTTCCCTCAAAGCTACACCTCCACCAGCCCTACAGACATGTCACCCACAGCCACGTCCCCACAGTCCCCCAGGTCGGACTATGAGGTCAAGCGTGCTTCGACCCCGACTCGCAAGAGCAGCGGAGACTACAAGCGCTACAGTGGAACCGTCAACCACTGCGGTCGACACTCAAATGACTGGCTATTTGGTGGCTTCAGTGTCCGCAACTCTGTCCGCGGTGGCATTGAGAAGCTTCGTCACTCTGACAAGGAGGGCTGAATGCCTCGTTTCTCACTTCGAAGACGTCCTCAATGATCGGACTTTCTTCTTGGATTCGGTGCTTGGTTTAATCACACTGCAACTCCCACCCCGGCATTTTAGCCGGTAGGTCCTATATCAATATCGTTCGAGAGCCATCCTGCTTGGCCTCCCGTCAGACAGGTTGGTCGTTGCTACTATCATCATGGTTGTTTTGATAAACGACCTTTCGCAAAAGGAGTTTCCCAGCTTCTCGCGGGTACCTTTTGCTTACTGCATGTGTTGATGCTAGGCCTGGCTCCTGCATGCGCAATGTGACTTTTCGTGACTCCTGTGCAGTCTGTGATACATTGCGATCGGCTTGTTGCCATTTGTGTGTATCCCCTCTTTCGGCGAAGCCGATGTGGAATCCATCTTCCTAGACTCGCTCTTGTCGAGTTGGAAATCAGTCTGTGCGACCGCTTCGGTCCCGATGCACTTTTTCCGCCTATCCACCTTGGGATTTTCTTGCACCTCATCCCTTGCGTCGGTTACTGGGAACCAATGGACTTTTTGGTCATATGATCTCCTTTGGTCCTCCACTTCTCTTCGGTGTTTGCCACTTTCCTTGGCACATTCCATTCTTGCTCATCATGTGGATAGTATGAGTTCGCACCGCAATGCCAATCACTGAGGTTGGAAACATCACTATATTTTCTTCAATCCATTTTCTATCGAAAGTTTTTACTTCACGTAAGATAAATTGAGTACTACTCCAGGTATAGATTGATAATTGTAACAGCATTCGTCTATGTATCGTGTGTAGATGAAATGTAAGTCCCAGCCTCTGCAGGTCCGGGGTTGTTGTGATGGTCAATACCTAACTAAACTCCCTCCATCTTCTCACGAGCAGCATTTTGCTCTTCTGCAACAATGTCTGCAGGGATGCGATCTGGCGTGGTATTCACCAGCATTATCATCGGGTACAACGCTGCCCCGAGCAGGGCGAAAGTCACGCAGCTTGAATTGCCGTTAGTAAACAAATTGTTTCTTGGCGGAATACTATAATCAAACTTACAATCCAACCATCGGATCATTTGTTGTTTGTGTGTTCATTCCGTACGCAACAGCCTGGCCAACAGCCTCGATACATCTGAAAGCGGCGCCGTTGCGGACATTTTCTAGCGAAGTCATTAGTATACTACTCGCTTTCTCTCGGAAAATACAGGTCTCGGTCTTTTGGATCACTTACCTTGAGCATCGGTTGCGAAAGACGATAAAAGCCAGTACATGTAGGACTGGGATAGTGGGCCGGTGGTCTGCACGAAGAAGTAGGGTAGGAAGGACGAAGCGTATAAAGAATCATCCCAGTCAATAGCGCCGGGATCGTGGCGGTTGAACTTGGTCTGCATGATGATAGACCAGATATAAACGCCAACATTCAGAATGACAACAGTATATAGTCCGATTTGGGCGCGACGGCGCTGGCTCAGACCTTTCATGTCTAGGATGAATCCGAGGCCGAAACAGCCGACACTAAATGGTTGCACTGTTAGTAAATCTTATGGTTTGCTCTCTCTGGTTTGTCTTACATGCAGAAGAAAGGCGAGATGAGGGAAGAAAGAGCCCTAGCACGAACAGTGAAATAAGTTCCCAGGTAGGTGCTCCAAGTACCACTTGTGGATTTGTTAGCTTTTATACCCATCTGCCCCGGATGGTGTCATTCTCTGGACTCACGAGTAAAAGAAAGACCAGAATGCCCAGAGGGCAGAAAGCAAAATTAGTTTTGAGCTCATGGTCTTTCCGATGCGTTTCAGTTCCATCTTGGTCGAAAGAGTCTCTGAGGTGACGATTTTTGTCCCATCAGATCGGACTACGCGCTCAAAGGGTATGATCAACAGCGCGAACGGCAGACTATATAATGTCAGTCATGATGCTCGCTGTTTTTGTTTTTACTTTCTTCAGTACTTACGCGAGACACTCAATGATCACAAAGGCCAGATAAGTGTCGGATGTGACACCACCACTAACGCCTTTCTCATAGTTCTTGGATAGACTGCACAAATTTCATCGTCAGGACTTTCCAACTCATCGAATTCCAGTATTCAACTTACTTGATAGCACCACCAACCAACTGTCCAAGATTTCGCGAGACGATCCACAAAGCAAGATACTTTCCACGAGCACCAGAGGGAGCCAGTGTCATGATAGCTCCCGCTTCAGCGACGTACCAGCAAGCAGTGCCGATGCCACTAATCGCACCACTCAGAATCAGGTACTGTATGAATCCATCAGTCCTATCCTATCTCATGGCATGCATTATTGCTCACCCATTCGTTTCCATATTTGCTGTTGCAATAGTATGCAGAGCCCTGTATGGGGAAGGACATCGAACCGATAACAAGAGCCCATTTGATGCCTACTTTGTTCACGAGCGGGCCGCCTAAACAGCAAACTAAAATGAGAGGACGGAATCAGTACTTTCACTCATGATTGATGTGGTGGTCGGATTTACCAATCGCTATCAAGGCATATGTGATCGCGTTGGTGATATTTGATACCCGCGGAGAGGCAAGGCCACCACCACCGAGGCCTAGGAAAGTTAGTAAAACAACCACACCGATTTTCAGAATGCGAATAAAGGCTTTTTGCCGTACCGGTGATTGCATCAGACATTGCAGGGCCACAGAACGCCTGTACGCTCAGGAGCATCATCTGTGTCAAACTATGCTGCCACACTCGCCTCCATAAAGGAACATTTGATTGGTAGCTTTGCATATCAATCACTGCTCCATTATGAATCTCGCCATCTGGATAGGACGGATAGCGGGCATCATCCAAGCTTGGTTCGGGGCTCTTCTTATCCGTCATGGTGATAATTTGCGATCTCACAGATATGGCGCTGTGGGTGAATTGTCGACAATTCCCCTATTTCATACGTGGTATTATAAACTTGTCACATCAACTGAGGATGGAATCGTCCAATTTATACAACGTCGGCTTATCTCTATCCAGATGGGGGTATGTCCCCCGCACTGGCTCCGGATAGTTTTAGCGCCATTGGGGTCAATTTGGGCCCCATGAAGGTCCACGCGAAAGACATGATCATCAAGTTCATATCGGCTAATTCACCAGATCTACTCGTATATCAGCATATGATTCCGGGCCAGACAGCCGGGGCGATAACAGCAAGGTTATCTTGTTATCGGAAGATTCCCCGCATTTTGGACTCGTATCTTCGGGTTTTCTTCGGCGTGGGAAGGTCCACGCGATGGCGTGCCTCACATCTCGGTCGGCGACACTCCACCAATGATTGTCTGAGCATAACCTGGGTAGTCGTGATAGTGTCGCGTTCTAATGCGATATATCAGCTGCATACCCGACTAATTCCTTGATCAATTGCTTTTTCTCTTTCTTCCCCAATTGCGCGATTCGTCTTGTTCAATTAACATCGTCCTCCGACTCACACGCCTCACATTGGTGAGAACACAAATATGGCGTCGTCACGATTAACTACCAAAGTCATTGTGGTTGGTGGAGGAGGCACTATGGGCTCTTCAACGGCACTGCACCTTATCCGCGCCGGATACACGCCCTCGAACATCACCGTACTTGATACATACCCAATCCCTTCGGCGCAGTCAGCGGGATATGATCTGAACAAGATTATGGGCATCCGGCTGCGCAATGGACCAGATCTACAGCTTTCGCTCGAGGCTCTTGATATGTGGACCAATGATCCATTGTTCAAACCTTTCTTTCACAAGGTTGGGATGGTGAGTCAATCCGCATTTTCCTTGTAACTGAGAAATCCACTGAGCATTGATACGTTCAGATTGACTGTTCATCTTCGGACGAGGGAATCGCGAACTTAAAACGGAAGTACCAATCACTTCTCGACGCGAATATTGGTTTGGAGAAGACGAACTGGTTGTTGGATACTGAAGAAGATATCCTAAAAAAGGTTCCAGCCTTTACCAAAGACCAAGTAAAGGTGATGTTTCGTGCAATTGGCCTTATAATGGCGGTGGCTGACAGATCGGCGGGATCTAGGGGTGGAAAGGTCTCTTCTGTGGTGATGGGGGCTGGCTTGCTGCAGCCAAGGCCATCAACGCGATCGGACATTTCCTCAAGGATCAGGGTGTCAATTCTGGATTTGGAAAGTATGCAACAGTCCTTTCGAAACTTCAGATTTGGATGTTCTAGTGTAATTGACTGACACTATTTGGGTTAGATCTGGTACCTTTAAGCGACCTCTTTTTGCAGCAGATGCTATCACAGTCAACGGTGTCGAGGCCGTAGACGGCACAAAATATTACGCCGACAAAGTCGTCTTGGCTGCTGGTGCTTGGAGTCCAACATTGGTAGACTTGGATGACCAATGTGTCTCAAAGGTATGTTCAGACATTGTCTCGGGTTATATGCCTGGCACATCAATTTGCCAAAAGTTTTCGCTAAGCAATCTCTGCAGGCTTGGGTATTTGCTCATATACAACTCATACCGGAGGAAGTGGCGAAATATAAGAACATCCCCGTCGTGTACGATGGTGAATATGGCTTCTTCTTTGAGCCCAACGAGTGAGTGAATTCAATTCTTCCTCGTCAAAGTTAAGAAGACTACCTCGAGGATCAGCGTGGTTAACAATAATCGCTAGACATGGTGTGATCAAAGTCTGTGATGAATTCCCTGGATTCTCTCGCTTCAAGCAGCACCAACCCTTCGGTGCCACTTCTCCCAAACACATTTCTGTCCCTCGATCCCACGCCAAACATCCCACAGATACCTACCCCGATGCTTCTGAAGAAACCATCCGAAAGGCGATTGCCAGGTTTTTACCCCAGTTCAAGCATAAGGAGCTTTTCAACAGGTCCATGTGCTGGTGTACAGACACCGCTGATGCTAATTTATTGATTTGCGAACATCCGAAATGGAAGAATTTCATCCTAGCCACGGGTGACAGTGGGTGAGTTAATATAACATCCATGGATGGGTTTCGGACCGTGTGCAGTTATCACTGACTCTACGTTCTATAGTCATAGTTTCAAGCTTTTGCCAAACATTGGCAAGCATGTCGTTGAGCTTATAGAGGGGGCCCTCTCATCAGATCTGGCAGATGCGTGGAGATGGAGACCTGGGGGTGATGCTTTGAAGTCTAGACGTGGTGCTCCCGCGAAAGATCTTGCCGATATGCCAGGTTGGAGACACGATGCGAAGATCTGAGGCTAGGTTGGTATGTGCACACCTCCGGGGCAGAAGAAAACTTGAGGAACCATCTGGAGAAAATTCCCGACGTTAGGAGTTGTCAAAGTTCGATCCATGGGTTGAAGAAAACAACATTTAGAGCAACATTGGAAGCCTATACGAACCGTTATATATCTTGCACCAAAGCAATTTTGGAACATCACGAAACTCTGCCAAGGTTTGTTTTTTTCGATTCTAGCTATCATTCCAATTCTATAGCATGTAAGGATATCTAGGATTGTATTATTGTGTCACAAGGAATATGAACTTTTCAAGGTTGAAAGAAGTGTAAAATTGGGGGTGTTTTCTAAAGTTGTCAAGTTCATCTGCAATTGTTTCCATGTCTGTTCATGAAACCAAAAATGGCTCCTTTTTCCATCAACCAGCCAAGTGGCCGAGCAGTAACTCAGCCATCTCATCTTCCTTGGTCTAGTGGTGATGATTTCCGCTTGTCATTAACACCGATAAGCGCGGGAGACCGGGGTTCGATTCCCCGAGGGAGAGATTTCTTTTTTGCTGTAAGAATTTACATATTTTTGCTCTCCTAATCCTCCATCTGTGACTGAATGAGTGGAATCATTATTTAAAGAAGTGGATGGGTAGCGCCCTATAGAGCAAACTGCAACTCTAAGAATATGGAGTGCAGAGTACTGTGCAAATTTGGGCGTACAGGTAGCAACCAAACACTGCGTTATACCCAGCCAAACATAGTCTTTAATTTCCGAAGGAACGTCAAAAGAAGCTGAAGCACCAAGCTTTCACTGCCCAGGTACGTCGGTATGAAAGAGCCAGAATTGAGGGACTTGACACCTCCGCACTTCGGCTAAAAATAACCAATGACGTCAATTCCCCACACTCTGTCAACACCCGACGTGCGGCAACAAGCTTTCATCCATCTCAATCACAACGGCAGGATGAGCAATGGATCAGAGATGCCCGGGGAGTTTGATGATGAGAGTTACGATATCACCACCCCAGAGGAAGTTGGCCCCCTGGCAACATTGAGCCCCAGGCTACCCAACACCCAATGGAAGGCTTCATCGCGGACAGTGGAGGAGACACTAGCCCAAGGGCTATCCAATGAAGATCTATGGATGTTGATTCGGCGGTTTGACAAGGTGAGTGTCACCTCAAGTTCCGAAGAATAGCCCCTGACATGTGACCAGCAAATCTACCATGTGAAAGCAGTCCAGGACGCGAAGGAGAAGATCGACTTGAACCGCACGGAAAACGAACAGTTCCCACCCGAGAAGCTGCGCATGACATTGGAGAGGTTTTATACATCGGTGGTTGTGGGAGTTACCGAGTTTTTCCGCCATATTACTCGTTTGCGATCATGGAAGGAACCAGTTCGAACGACTATGTTCTGTGGTGTATGTTGGACACCTTGATAATATGGGGAGACTGGAAGCTGATGATTGACAGGGGTATTTTGTTGCTTGGGCGATAGATCTCTTGGTGCCGACAATCTTGGGACTTATTGTCGCCTTGATAATGGTTCCCCCTGTTCGGGCATTGCTGTTCCCCGGCCGAGTGAAGAAAGCGGGTGATGCTGCAACAAGCGGGACTGGTGGTCCGACTGACCAACCTGCGTCCGAAGACAGCCTCACGGGAGCCCCTGAGAACCACAAGGGTGAAGCCGCTGAACAGGAAGCTAAGAATTTCGTCGACAGCTTTGCCACTGTTGCCATGGAAAGTGCAGCGGCCAAATATGGTCAAACTGTGACGGAAGATGAGCCAGATAGACCTGCGATCACCGATGGATTGGAAGCTGCCGAGGCTGCTGCAGAGAACCGCTCTGATGACGCCCCTGAAGATAAGACCAAGAAGCCAATGAAGAAGAAGGTCTCGCATGCGACAGACCAGGTCATGCGCATACTGAGTGAAATCACCGACATTTATGAGAAGTTTGCCAAGTGAGTTGATTCTGGACAAAAGTTGTCACATCGAATCGCTAACGAATTAAAAGCCTGCTTTCTCCCACACCACCGTTCTTCTTGGTTACATCTCGGCTTCAAATTGCTAGCATATTCACTTTGATCTCCGTCCTTGTACCATTCACATCTAGTTATTGGATCATCAAGTTCATTGGATTTGGAGTCGGACTTGGCTTCTTCGGTGATCCAATCTTCGCCCACACACTCGACCTGCTCAACACCAAATTTCCAAACTGGAAGGACCAAATGGATATCCAAAAGTATGTGAACCCCCCCACAGGTATCATTTGATTCTGACTGAGAAAATAGAACGCTGTTGGCTGGCGTTCCCACCAATGCACAGTTAACTTTAACTCTTCTACGCATTGGCGAGATCAACTCCTCACCACTCCCACCAGCCCCAGTATCTGACGACAACGGACCAGCATGGCCTATCCGCCGTAAGAAATCCCAAGCAGCGAGCACCACAGACCTAAGCACACAAGGTTCATCCACGGATCTCCAATCCCCAACATCAAACGCGTCCCTAGAACCAATACCGAAGAAGAAATTCGTCTTCAGGCTCCTGAAGTTCTTCCGCCGCACCATCGCAACAGCAATAAAAGGCCATATAGCCTTCGATCGGGCGATGGCAATTGCAGGATCCGCACATACCAAAAACCTGATTGGAATGTTGCAAAATCGCCAATTCGGCAATACAACCTTCGGACCATTGAAGTTTGATGCGAAGTTCGAACGCAAGAGAGGTGCTGTGGTTATTGATTCATCAAAAGAGCCTCCTCTCTTATACTTCACCACCTATCAGTCCTCTGGGCTGGATGATCTGCGTATCGAGAGCCGGAAGAAGGGTTCTGTTCTGTTCCAGATTCCAGTAACTGATATCAAGGAGTTGAAGAAGACAGAGGGATTGGGTTGGAAAGGTAAACTTATTGTAGAGTTGACTGCTGGAAGTAAGGAGGCTGCGGATGGATTGGTGATTGGTGGCGATGAGTTGGGTCAATCCTATCATCTTACCGGTATGAGATCGAGAAATCAGCTGTTTAATCGGCTGGTTGCTATTGATGCCCAGTTCTGGGAAAGTCGATAATTGGGCGTTGTGATATTTGTGACAATTATCTAGCGAAAGAAATCTAGTCCCATTGCTTGTGGTTCTTGTATATTCTAAAGTTACATTGAACACACAGCGGTCTAATAGAAATGGCGTCTTTGGTATGCATATCATGAGCTCTCGTACATCATTCTTATTGCAATTATATTATAGTGCTCTATGCAAATTTGGTTAATTGCTGTCCTTGCAAGACAGCTAAAAACCCATCTCTGTCTATAACAGTCGTAAAAAATTAGCAATATGTCCACAATCAAAGCATTGATCAGAGATCTCAGACTTTGACTTACCTTCACTAGTCTGAAATGATATAGAGATAGCCGCTTCTTTGTTTTTGACATTTGGGCTCTTTGGAGCTCGCGCCATAATGTTCATCATATCCAGTGTTGTTCCACGCAAAAAGGTCGTCCGGGGGAGTATTACCCGTGTGTTATCCTTCGAAGCATCAACAAACGCAGACGGAATAGCCATTGTAAACCACTTGTCCGAGACGGTGCCGTACCACCGAGCAGCAAGTTGGAATGATGTTCCTCGGCGCCATACTTGGAGCTCAAGGTTTCCTTTCCCTAGCTTCTGGAAGCCGAGGATTGCATTTGTTTTTGCAGAAATGTTCTGAACACGCCGGGAATAGAGAAGTTCATAGAGGGGTGAGAGAGAGGTGAGGAATGATCGAGCTGCTATCTCAGTGCCGAACTCGATTGTCGTCTGGTTGGCCTTCTTTTCACAGTGAGAGAACGTAACGGGGGTCTCGGGTTGATAGAGCTGATCCACATGAGTGGAAATATAGTCTGTGCAATAGATGCGAGGGAAGCAGATACTGTGCGTGGTGTGGTCGTATGTATAGTCGGCATCACGATAAACGAAGTACAGATCCGAATATTGCCAAGATGTGCGATTGCGCAAAACCAGAATAGCCTTGTATTGTTTGTGCTCTGTCCCGGCATCAACCACATCGTAAACAAGACCAGAGCTACTGGGCTGTGACCAGGAAAAGCCATGGCGGAAATTCATTTCGAGAACGGCGCCTTGGAATTCTTCTGCCAGTTCCTTCTTGGAGAATTGTAGACCGATCCCCAGATTAGGCGCGGTTTCGTCGTATACATACGAGTGAAGGGTGTTGTAGTTGCCATCGGTTTTGTCAAATCGTGCTTGGCATGTGTCGGACCATTGTAGAAGAACTTGGCGAGAGGAGTCATCACGCTTAATCAGGACTCCGCTAAGGGGCATTAAGAGTTCAATAATTCTCGGAGCCTTCTCTGCAGCGGAGGAGCTGATGACCATGCGACGAGTATTCCGCCAAACTTCTCCAAAGGATCGCTCCAGAATACGAACCTCACAAGATTTGAGCATGACGGGTGGATTCATTGATTTCATGGCCGGGGTGTTGAGCTGTTCAAATACCTCCACGGAGCTCTTGAATATAACAGTCTCCGTGAAATTGGTAGAATCAACTGGTTCCCGCTGTGCAACAGCGTCAAAGTAGGCCTTTGAGATGTTAATGCAATGGCTGAGATCTGCTTGAAACTGGAATGAGATTGAAACACTCATGTCTTCGAACTTGAAAGGTATTGGCTCCAAGACGCGCGAGCCTGGGAACCCAGTCAAAGTGGAATTTGACAATTGCACAAGGGGTGGGAGGTCCTCCAATGTAACTACGTGAGTTAGAACCACGCAGAACATCATGAAATGGTGATACTCACAGTCTCTTTCAAGACACAGGGTACCGCTTTGGTTGCAAAGCACGATTTTCGGCTCACTTTCGCCTTCCCGTGTTACGAGTAGCAACATATAGGGAGCACCTTTGGTGCGCATGCGTGACTTCTTGCCTCCAATGCCGGCGTTGACGAATGTGCGATAGAGGACTTTTTCATGCTCGTTGCCTGCATCCTCAAGGTCCACGGCGACCCAACGTAGATTTTCTAGACCAAGATCGAGATCAACTCCGTTATCTGGTGTCTCCTCGGGTTGCATAGGTTCCCAGAGTTCCGTGTTTTGAGCCCGCAAGCTGGAAAGCTCGGGGATATCAATTGATGTATACTGGGAAATTTCCTCATTGAGATTCTGTTCAAGTCGAAATCAGTGATTGTGTGTTCCTCGGCAAGTTCTTTGAGACCACTCACCTCGGAAAGCTCGACGATTGACTTGCGGTCCTCGTCAAGTAATGGGGCAGGTGACGCTGCATCTGCCAGGACTATATCATACAGAACATATGAAGCCTTCAGAATGTCAAGGTAAGCTTGGTTGCCGTTGGATTTTGATTCTGTGGAAGGAGTCAGGCTGCCCCTGGCACTGGAGTAGATGTGTCTGTTGCAGTTTGCTAATGTTGCGCGCGCCTTTTTTTCTATAGTCAGCAAGAGGATGTCATTCCAGCATAAAGATCCAACCTTCAGTAACCACCATGTAGCAACACGAAGCCAATCTCGTGCAATCAGCCTTCTGATCTGCAATTCGTAATTCACAGAAACTTCGAACAGCTTCAAGATCTCAGAGGATGGTCGATGTAATTGGTTCTGTGGCTCAACACGGATCGGCCGAGAAACCTGCTCCTGGTGGCGCACATGGTGAAGATGCTGCATTGCAGATGTGACAGCTTCCATCACACGAGGGTGACCATCATCAATAGATGCATAGTCATCGCTATAAATTGAGAACTGCTTCTCAACTAAACAGTCATTAGATCGTGTCTTATCATCCAGTGCCCGTCCGTCAATGGAGCCGCCAAAAAGAAGTTGCTCGCTACGCGCTCGAGGATGGGCGATGTGTGGTGTCGTGATTGGAGGTGACGTGTTCAATGACAGCCAAGAGGTTGGTGAAACTCCATTAAGAAGTGATACTTCTGACCCAGTGATGGCCGACTCGGAGGAGGTGGAGGCATGTTTGAAGTCGCTTGCACTGTCGATAGAAATTCTGGTGTCGGCCAGCTCCGCAACTTTAGTCCGCACTGGTTGTGGTGAATAATTTTCGTCATTGGCTGGTAATTCCACTGCATCTGGGGTCATTGGTGAGACTATAGAGTCTGTTTCCCGGACAGGAGATGGCTCGGTGCTGAATATGATTTCCTCATCCTCCTCCATTGCCAGCGCCATGGAATTCTCAATTCGAACGAGTGAATCACTGAAGAGATTAGAATAGATATGTGAGAGATAACTGGAGCACTCACTTCCCAATAGAGCTTATGCATAGGCCCAGGTTGCAAGTGTGAACCATGATCTTGGATCTGATGTCTTCAACATGGGTTCGTTGAGTCACCCATTTGATCCTTCGCCAAAGACTATGCCCATCGCCTATTCCAACGCCTTGAAACCGAGCAAGAAGCTCCTTCAGTCCGTGGAGAGTTTTGAAACAAGCACTCAGGGATCGCTGGAGGGTCTGCTTCCGATCCTCATCCATCTTCTCGAATAGAGACAAATATGAGCCTGAATCTCCACCGAAGGTGCGAAGCGTTCCCTGCAATGAGCCAAGCTCGGTAACTAGCCTCTTGAACCCATCGGGGCCGTCCTTGCTGAGAGCAAGACATTGGTTATGAAGATCCCATGTCAACTTGGCGAGGATGGGAATATCGCCGGCTCCGAAACTGGAAGGCATTCTTGGATAGAAACTGCGATGTCATTCAGCTTGAAGATGCTGTGATAGCCTTTGGACAACTCAGTGATAATTTGCCTCTTTCATACTTCACAGGACCAAATGAGCCAAGTCCCTGCGCAGTAGCCCACAGTGGAGCCAGTGATGCAAATATAGCAAAGCTTTGCTCGAAGAGAAACAAGCTGAAGATCGACAACAGCTTGAGAAGAAACGTGAAAGAAACATACTTGAAGGAATACTCGCCAAGCATTCCCTGCTAATCCGGGGTTTGGAATGGTTACAATCACCATGAATAGCAATCTGGCCCGCCATTCGGACGGCGTACTTCAACCGCCATGCGACAATTGGTTAAGCTGAGGCGCGGCTATGTGTGATGGCATGTATTGCGACCCCCCACCGAGGGGGCGTGTTTCTTTGACCATTGCGCCACTAGAGGCTATGCCCCGGTGCATTCATGCGGGTAAACAAAGAAGCATTCGGAAAGAGGCATCCGGTTGGGCGCTAGTGATATGATAGCAGGCTATGATTGAATCGATAATTTTAGATGCATTTTTGCGACGTACTCCTGGGTTCCCAGGACGATATGGCAAGCCCTGTGTGTATTGAGCTATGAAATCCCAAGTGCTCGAGGTCAATTCACTGCGTGGATCTTAGCAACACATTGAGCCACATGATCATGCGGCTTGCGAGTGATGAAACATCGAGCGACGAGTCGCTCAACTAGTGGGCCGAGAGAGAACTGATCTCGCTTCCAGAGCATATACAAACCCATGCGGATCGATGCCCTTCCATGCGCAAATTGCCATCGCCGCCATCTACTGCGGCTATCAAAATCTCTATGAAAGTGTTAGAATTCGACCTTATCGCGACCACGAGGACTATAGATCCAGTGAAGAATTCTTTCCATAGAAAAGCCCGGCAAATTTGCAAAACAAGAACCAGCGAACGATGATATGTCCAGCAGCGAAGAGCCAGCTGCACTCCAGTGCAAACAGTGCAAACCAAATGTATAGACGACACCTCAGGCAACACAAATTGTTGATCTCAGCTCTCACGTTTGTTTTCAACTTCCAATTCGTTTGCTAACTCCAAACACCTCTTTAAGTGCTGGCATGAGTCGCATTTAAGAACCCGGCCATACCACACTGAGCTACACTTCTCCTTCGCGCATCGTCCCCATCTCTCCTGAACCGCAACTCCTGAACCTCGGAAACCAACTACTACAATGTCGTCCGACTCATTTACCTTGGACGTTCCCACTGTCCTCTGCATTGCTGTCTCTCTATCTTTGATGCCAGCGGCTTTTATACTCAGCAAGGCCCTCATCCCAGCGCGCAAGACACGCGACCGTATTCTCTTTTTCTGGCACGCCTACGATGCCCTGACCCACCTGTTGATTGAGGGCTCTTTCGCCTACCACTGCTTCTTCAGCTATACCACCGTTGCCGATGCCCCTCACGAAGGTCCTTACTGGTTCAACGACCCCACCCGTCTCTATGGCCCGAGCCATGGCACTGGTCCAACTGCGCGACTCTGGCAGGAATATGCCAAGGCGGACCGCCGCTGGGGAGGCACTGATACCGGAATCGTTTCGCTGGAGCTGTTGACTGTCTTGCTGGGAGGTCCCGCCGCTGTTTACGTCTGCTACCTGCTGTACAAGTCGTCCGACGAGAAGCTCAGTGCCAAGCGCCGCGGTGGTGTCAAGGCCACACTGTGGTTTGTTTCGATTGCGCTAGCCACAGCCGAGCTGTACGGCGGATTCATGACCTTCGCGCCGGAGTGGCTCACCGGAAGCACTGCGTTGGTGACCGAGGACCCAGTCTACCTGTGGCTGTACTTGTTCTTTTTCAACACACTTTGGGTGTTCATTCCCCTTTGGGTTCTGTGGGAGGCAGGCAAAGAACTGCGCAATGCCTTTGTTGGAGTTGAGACTCAGGCTGAGCTCAAGCGTCAGTGATAGGCGAAGTGACGGCGGCATTTGCACAATTAACTGGGAGTATTTGAAGGGACCAGCATGAACAGTGTCCATAGATAAATGGCATTGGACCTCGAAGTCCCTAATGAAAGCGGCGCGGAGTATCATAGCATCAAAAAAACTCACATTTGTTCCTTGCGTCGAGTGCAATCAAGGACTCCACATCCCTGGTGGGCCCACCGTTTGAGGGGCTCAAGCAGCTCGTGGGGGTGTTTTTGACAGCAAGAGAACAGGCGACACAAAGTAGTAGTAGGTGCTGCAGAGACAGATATAGTAGATAGTCGTAAGACAGTTGCAATTTGCAGTTGCAGGAGAAAAGTAAACAATCGAAAGTGAGCACATGATCGGCATGATGTAATCCCTCCGCATCCTCGGCTGCACTTGACTTCCTTCGCTTTCAACTGTTCTGACCTTTTGTCTGCAGTTCAATCTGTGATTATATGCTTATAGCCACAGACCTGAAATAATACACAGTGGAAAAGACAGAGGGTCTTTCCTGTCTCGCCATGGCAGAATATAAGTTGTCATACGAGTCTCAACTGGTACGTATACATGTTACAGGTCATTTTCCGAATTGCACCAATGCACTCAGATCATTTGAGATAACAGTAATTCTTCATTAGGATGTCTATCACCCCTCCTACCGCTACGAAGCCCATGATCCCCGCGACTGGAAATCAGCAGCTCTCCGGGGCCCAGCCCTTCCGGCACTGGGAAATGCGACTGCTGGTGCGATCGGTGCCGCTATATCCAATGTGGTCGTCTACCCCCTCAATGTGATTGTAGCACGTCTCCAGACTCAGAAACGAAAGGCCAAGAATGAAGACGAGAAGTCGGATGAGGATGAAGAATACACAAGCGTGCTTGATGCCGCTCGCAAAATATACGCGCAGCAAGGCATCTCTGGCTTTTACCCGGGCCTGGCACAGGACACTTGGAAGACAGTTGCAGACTCCTTCCTTTTCTTCCTCGCGTACAGCGCTATCCGCCAGAAAAGGATAGTCGCGCGCTTTGGTGCGGATCGAGCGGCGAGGAGCAAGCATATTGTTCTTCCGATACTTGACGAGCTCGCAGTTGGAATACTGGCTGGATCATTTGCCAAGCTCTTTACCACGCCGCTGTCGAATATTGTGGCACGCAAGCAGACCTCAGCATCACGAAAGGATAAGAATGCCAAAGATCTATCAACGAGCGACATTGCAGCTCGTATTCATTCCGAAAAGGGTCTGCTTGGTTTCTGGTCCGGATATTCAGCCACTCTCATCCTCACACTCAACCCATCCATAACTTTCTTCCTAAATGAATTTCTCAAACGCACCCTTCTCCCACGCTCAAAGCGTGACAGGCCTCCACCAGCCCTCACCTTCCTTCTTGCTGCCTTGAGCAAAGTCGCAGCATCGTCAATTACATACCCAATCTCTCTTGCCAAGACACGTGCGCAAGTCATGAGCAATTCCAAATCTAACACCCCAGAATCCGAGAAGACAGAGCCAGCCACACTTCTGTCCTCACTCACACCTGATATTCTCTCCTCAGTCCTTGCAATCGCCCGCACAGATGGCGCATCAGGGCTTTATGCAGGTCTGCAAGGTGAAGTCTTGAAGGGATTCTTCTCTCATGGCTTTACGATGCTGGCCAAAGATGCAGTCTATGCCTCCATTATCAAGAGTTACTATCTTCTCCTGATGATCGCACGACGCTACCCTTCGCCCGAGGAATTGATGGAGCGTGCTCGCGAGCAGGCCGAGGAGTATTCCGAGGTGGTTCGTGAAGGTGCACGCGATCTGGCTGAGCGAACCAAAGAGGGTGCCGAGGAGCTACTCAACACAAATGCCGGGAATGTTGCCGTTGACATGACATCAAACTCAGCCGGTGCCGCTGATGCAGCTAAGAGTTTGAACCACGGCATTGATGCTTCCTCTGGCTTGAAGGTTCCAGTTACCTCGGTTCCAGATGAGCTCAACGAGACAGCCGAGCTTGTTGGTGACTATGTCGAAGATGAAGCGGCGGAATGGAAGAGCCTGTATCATTGGTTTTGGGAGAAGGATCGAAGCCCGCATCGGGACTAATTTCTCACTTGTCAATGGCTCATACCTTTTTATACCTGTGTTCTGATATGATCATTGTCCTAATCTGCGCATATTTATGTAAATTTTGAAAGCGGCTGAAATTAACACCACGACTTTGTTCTATTGGTCTAAACGTTGACGTTATTCCTAAATAAGATTAAGTACACCACTTTGATTATGTGTCGTTTATCTCTTGCATATTACACCTCGCGCTACTGCAAAAACCATTGCAAAATGGTGTGGTATGGCGCAATTCTAACGGCCCCCGGTGGAAATATGACGGGAATTCTATGTGAGTCACTGAGAGTCACTGAGTCACCATGGAAGTATTTCTCCCACAGAGATCATGCCTCGATAGAGGAGAAATATCTTGCCAGAAAGAATCTAGGAGCCCAGGCCATTCTATTGCTTTAAATTTTTTCAATATCAAAGCAATATTAAAGCGTTGCCTGTCTTTCTCAACATCGCCTCATTAGGAGCCCGATATCAGTGATAATCAGTGATATCGACTAGCTCGGTCTACGGCGTCAGCGCCCTAAGCCGATTGGCCCCCAAAGCGAGATCTAGTTCAATGCTACCCTCTTTCAACGCTCTCGTCAGCCTCAGAATATAAAACCGAGGGACCCCCGAGACAAAACCTCAAAATTCATCTGATCACCTTCACCCGCAGACATGGCACCCATTCAAGCTTCAGTGGACCTATTCAAATCAGAGTGTCTGGTCTACCGAGCCCCAGAGGACACCCCAGAGGATAAAGAATTCATCCATTCTTCTATTCTCAATGACCAAACCATCCAAGGAATGAGCACTTTGCGTCTCAGTCGCCCGACAAACAAAAATGCAGCAGACGAGTTCATCAAAACACTACAAGGATTCGTTCTCGGGGTACTTATTTGTCTGCCTGTTACGTCTGAAGACAATACCACATCTGAGACCCCGTCAAATCGATCCATCAAGACAATTCCAATTGGCCATGTGAACATATCCAATAGATTCGGTCCAGATACTTCCCACCACCGGAACGCAATGCTGGGAATATCTTTTGCAGAGGGATACCGAGGTCAAGGCTACGGGGCAGAAGCAATCAACTGGGCGCTTGACTGGGCTTTTCAGTATGGTGGATTCCACAGAATCTGTCTCGGGGCTTTCTCTTTCAACACCAATGCTTTGAAGCTTTACAGGAAAGTTGGCTTTAGGGAGGAAGGTCGAGAGCGGGAGTCTGTGTTTAGACTTCGGAAATGGCATGATGTTATTGTTATGGCTATGTTGGAGCATGAGTGGGAAGCATTGAGATCGAATGTTTCGGAGAATTAGGGCGGGATCGGGTGAGAGGGTGAGAGGGTGAGAGCCTTGCTCCTGAGTGTGTCTGCTGTACATAGTCTTCTTTTTCTTTCAACGTTGCTGTCTCTCTCTTCTGAAGTTTAGAGGTTTTTGTAGCAATAAATTTGTGTTTGATACTTTCAAGGTTGTATTTTTGATTCTGATAGCATCCAGTACTGTGTAGACATCTTGCAATGGATCCAACTTGGCCTGGATATGCTTTGAACCATGAATATTTCACATCAATGCATTGATCATTTGATATAAACAGCCAGACATTTTGCTTCTCACTCATCTAACGCAAGGACAGGTTGGGTTGAGCAGTGGATCACACCTCCAGCCAGAGCCAGAGCCCTTACATGCACTGGGCGAACCACTCGATCAGGACACAACCTCTGGAACAACCCCACAGCCTCCTGATCGGTCTGACTATCTCCAAATTGGGGAAGAATCAGACCACCATTCACAAAATAAAAGTTCACATAGTTGGTCGCTGGTTCCTCATACGCCAACTCCCCGCAACAGCTTGGATTCGGCTCCTGGACTTCATGAATCTCGAAAGGACGACCCTTCGCATCAACCGACTGCTCCAAGATCGCCTTGATATCCTCATAAATCTTTACCCATTCCTTTGGGGCGCTAGAATGAGGGCGCGAGAGAACAACCACACCAGGGCGGATGAAGCTAACTTCGGCATCAGCATGCACGTCGGTCACATCCAGATCTTTCTTGCCAGGGAACCAGATGAATTTCTCAATGCCTAACACGCGAGATAATTCTGCCTCGATCTCGGCACGGGACAGATCCGGATTGCGATTGTCGTTGAGAATACTGCTTTCCGTCGCCAGCAGTGTCCCCTCGCCATCCACAACTAACGCACCACCCTCGAGACAAACTGTAGATTCCACTACAGTCACTGGCGAAGGAGAAATATCAGATTCAATCACTCGCTTGGCAAAATTTGCATTCTCTTCAAGTTGCGCAGCCTCCATCACAGGCCACTCAAGACCGTCTGCTGCCCGATCAGCGTCACCGATATCATCCTTTTTCCCCCATTCACTGAATCGAAAGTTGACCGCAAAGCGCTTTTGGCGATCCTTTCCATCAACCGCATGCACATAGACTGGCCCGGTGTCACGGACCCAGAGATGGTTTGTGAGGAAAGGAATAACAGAGACATTCGTGATGTTGCTGGGGTACTTCTCACTTGCTTGAGCAACCAGTGAGTCTGCTTTTGATACATCTTCAGGTCGCGTGTATAATCTCACTGGCTCATGTGCTGAGATTGCAGCGGCCAAGCTGGCAATGTCGGAACATGCGTTTTCATAGTATGCCGCGGCGGTGGAAACCTTTGATGGGAATCCGAGAATGGTTGCGGCATGGCGGGCTGTCTCGCGGGGGTAGTGATACTTCCCCGTGTATTTTAGTGAAGTAGATGCCATTTTTCTAATTGACCTTGAATGTCTCACACCTGCGACTAAAGATAGTCAGTCTTAAGATGATTCTACCGTCTTTGTCCTGATCGGTATACCCACTTTGAGTTGGTAATTTTATCATATGATAGAAAGAGCTTGGTTGGTTCCTGATGGGGCATGGCAATAGAGGGGATGCGAGTACTTTATAGACGTGATTCATGCTTAGAGATGCAGGGCGGACAAATGTCCGCTGCGTGGATCACAGCGGAGGACTTGGCTTTCGGGATCCGCGGACACCGCTGAATTAGGTAATTTCTAATATATCCTGTTGAGGAAGGTGAAGTGCCAGAATCATAGTTTACAAGATTAGCTGTTGAAAGGGGTGTTTCCGGTGCGGATACATGATCAATTCCTAGGGCTGGCTCTTGATGCTCTAAGAGCTAATGAGGATAGTGAGGCCCATGACATTTCACATCAACGCGATAAAATACAATGCAACAAATGTATAGTTCCACTTTAGATGCAATTCTATGAGTAGCTAGCTCAGGTCTTGTCTCTCCTAGGGCGGGAGGGGGGTGCGGTTAGCCCCAGAACAACAATGACAAGAGATCTACAACATGTGTCGATTCAACGCAAGCGCATTACTGCAGATCGGATGCACTGTCAGCGTGGTTGGCTGCTGACGTGCCTTGCCCCGTGAGCCGTGATTATAACCAAATAGTAGATGGGACGACGAGGGAAGGCAAAATCCTCGAGTCCGAGTACTTCAGAACTATATCTTCCAGATCAAGAGATTTCTGAGCATGATTCTTCGTCGACTCTGAGTAGCACAGGCGAAATTGTAGCCGAAATATTAGAGGCCTGGGCCGACTGGAGAGCTGCCGATCCATCAGTCAAAGCAACCAAATGCTTTGGCGCACGTCTGCCCTGTAAGAATCGATTTCAACTACCCTGGTGCGAATTGCTTCTGAGAAACCGAATAGATTGTCGAGACTGAGTTGCCAGGGTAGCTTTTGGTGAGCAACATGGGCCCAGTATCAACGAGCTATTCAATACCGCAGAAGCAGCTGATCAACGCCATAGACATAGTCATCCCTGGAGATAGCCGGACAGGCCGAGGAGTGGTTTGATATCGCAATTAGCACAAATGCGAGTAGTGTGTTACTGGGTATTGCTGAGATGGACTCCTGTAGGCTGTAAGTGACTCCGTGTAAGTAGACTGGAAAGTCGATGAAGTGGAAGTGGAAGGGAACGGTGGAGCCCGTGGACCCGATTTAGCCATGGCGATGACTCAGCACCCGACGCAGCCAATAAACGGACAGCCCTAGCGAGTGGTCAATCATGTGACCACACACACACCAATTTCTTTCCATTAAACCTTTCGGCCTAGAAATCTCGACGACTCCAACGACAACCGCCCCGAGCTCTTTCACGATCCCCTTAAGAGGCTCCGACAAAATGCCCGCCATGAACCAGAGTACGTGACTCCCTGTGTTCTTTTTTTGCCCTCTCCTCGCCGTCCCTGAATTTCGCCAATCCGAACGAATATGCTGATGAATTTCCAGGTCTCGCCTCTTCGCGCCGGAAGTCGCGCAAGGCTCACTTCAACGCTCCCTCCAGCGAGCGCCGCGTCCGCATGAGCGCTCACCTGAGCAAGGAATTGCAGGAGAAGTACAATGTACGTTGGACCAAGACGAATCCGGGATACCCCTCGAAGTTGGAATGGGAGGTGGCATGAACATTTTTTCATGGAAGTGGGCTCGCCCACTATCGGAATTGGAATGACACTGCGAACCAAATCAACGACGACGGCGCCGGATTCGACAATTGGAGGAAACCGAATTTTTTTCCTCCACGCAGTCACTAACATTTCGTCAGGTCCGCTCCATCCCCATCCGCAAGGACGATGAGGTGATCGTGGCTCGGGGCTCCAGCAAGGGACAGACCGGCCGTATCACCACCGTCTACCGTCTCAAGTACTGTGTCCACATCGAGCGTGTCGCCCGCGAGAAGACCAACGGCCAGTCCGTCCCCATCCCCATCTCCGCCTCCAACGTCGTCATCACCAAGCTCCACCTCGACAAGGATCGCGAGCAGATCCTTGCCCGGATCGCCAAGGGTCGTGAGGCCGTCCAGAGCAAGTCCGCTTAAGTGTGTTTTTGGGGGGGTTTACGTTCAGTTTACAATGGTGGTGACAGCGCGGGAGTTCTGAAAAACGCGAAAAATGCGAGGCCCAACGTCTATGATCACACATCTACTGAAATAGGCGCATTAAGATACTGAAGAACGAAAATTCCTTTTTATCTTTCCATTATCTGCGCTATGGGCTTTGAGCCTGGTTCTCGGAATTGTTCTCTGCGTATGAGGGCGATGGGGCAATTTGGTCTGAGAAGGGCACCATGACTCGGCTTACAGTTCTGCTTTGGTCGCTTTGAACAGCTTTCCCTGACGCCCCATCTGCACCCCTCCCACTCGGATGTCCCATATCACGGGAAACCATGTCGGGGTAAACCCCAGTAATCTTCATGTTGAATTGGTCTACACACGTAGAGTCTGGCCGCTCACCTGCCCCACAATGACCTGTTGTGAAGTAGCCCAGACCCGTCAATCTTAGTTGCTGTATGCCCATATGTCAGTTTCTACTGAAGTACTCACGCAGATCGCCTGGCCAGCAGCCCGAGTGGACACGCTGTTTGGAGTTAGTGCTGGCACTCCAGGGCTTAGTCCGAGTGGCGCTCTAGTTTCTTCCAAATTGCATATGCCCAACTTTAGAATGTCATTGTGGGGCAGTGACCAGACCCTATCACAAGGCCTTTAGGGTTATTATCCGTTTCAACAAACTTGGGACTTCAGGACTTCAGGAACAGAGCCTTTTACATTTTGGGTTCTAATGTTGATCTTAACACGATTGGCTCGGGTGGTCACTTTCTCAGTTGTATAGCAGGACTTGAAACGGTCTAATAGAAACGATACTTTGGCCTCGGGGGCGATCTTTGATCCATATATATAACCGAGAAACTCCTCGCTATTAATGATCTCCAGTATCAAGTCGTACTTAGTACTTCCATAACTTCAATCACTTCCCTGGGCATCAACCTTCCAAGGTTACAACCACTCCCAGCCCTGGGGGAACTGCTCTTAGCCGAGAAGAAACTTCAAGGCTTGGAAACCACTCAAGAATTCGGGACTAGGCTGGGTTACGAATGCGCTTCAATTCAGCAAACAACTTTAGAAGAACGCTCATATGACTTAGGAAAAGGAAGCAAATGTTCCTGCGGACGAGTGGTGTAATAAATACCTTAGTTGCGAGGATCTATTCGGCGATTCTGTTTGTCGAGAAAAAGAGTATAAGGCAATGACACGTGCTGCCTGGTATCATCCGCAAATTCTATCTGGGAGGACTCTATGCCAATGTTTGTGCCAAATAGCAAACAAACACAGAAGATAATCGATGCATTCGGTTTTATGCCTAGGTGGACCGAACTTCTCACCGGCATGCATTACTGCTCTGAGTCCCTATAAGCTGCCGTATTGGCGGTCATCTGTCCCGACATTTCTCGCAGACCCCGTCTCTGATTTTCATATTGAACCATTTCCGACGGCAAACAGTACAAAGTTCCATTGTAACAGTCTGTAGACGGTTGTTATGGGAGAATGCGGCACCGGCGCTGCTTCCAGGGGGGAATTTAGGCGTGTTAGGGGATCTGTATTCGATTGAGATGATCGTGGTGCCGTAGTGAGATCGCGGTAATGTTGACATTGCTTTCCCTCTCTACCGTATTGGTTGGTAAAGTCTTGTAAAGGGCGAAGATAGTAGCAATGGGGTATATCGCTTTGAAGCCATTCTGCAGATTAGCGGAGGGGGGGGGAAGAGCGCCATCCCCCCCTGCCTATTTCTTGCCTTGTATTCCTGTATGTCCTTCATATGCAACTCTCGAACAAGTGAGTCGCAAATGAAACCTCGACCGGCCCGCGAATGGGCCCTTTTTGGATTTTAGCCTCGACACAAGACTGCATTGTGTGAAGCACTTCGCTGTCCTCTTGGACATGGTAGAAGGGATCTCGCTTGTATCCTCTTGTTGGCCAGATATATGGAAAGAGCTGTTTCACAAACAGCCTGTTTGCTAGCAGAAGAAGGGTTTGGGATTAAAAGATAGCAGGTTTAGGAGTAAAGACAATTTGTGGGTAGAAGCTATACAGCTTCAAGGCTTGCGGAAATAGAAGATAGCTGGAAAGAAGACGTTTGTGGGACGCCTTCCCATTCACATCGAATCAACATTGCTTCCTGGCTTCTGGAATTCGAAGTAAGGGCAACCACCTTAGTCGCTTGCCTTGTGGAGGTGTTTGCCCTGGGGCTGCCCACCACCAGCCAAAAAGTAGGCTGGATCTGTTCCAAGTGAGCAGGTCTGGGGGTTAATACACATCCCTGTAACTGAGTGATGAGATGTCTTCTATCCAAAGAATGGGCGCCGAGCAATACACGGCTACAGCCTCCACGAATACCATGGCGACAAGCAGCCTTGACCAGACCAGTACTACAAAAAGCAAAGAAACTTGACTTGAAAAAATCAATTCACTTCATCAGCATAACTCAGCTAAGAAGACTTAATAAATCTGAAAACCATAAACCCATAAAACCAGATGGTCATCCAAACCCCAACCATAAAAAACCCATGAAAACGTAGCACATTAAACCCAGCCGAAAAGGCTCAGAAGCCATCTATCCACCGAAACCGTAAAGGGTACGGCCCTGGCGCTTGAGAGCATAAACGACATCAAGGGAAGTGACAGTCTTGCGCTTTGCGTGCTCGGTGTAGGTGACTGCATCACGGATGACAGACTCCAGGAAAGACTTGAGGACACCACGGGTTTCTTCGTAGATCATAGCGGAGATACGCTTGACACCGCCACGGCGGGCGAGACGACGGATAGCAGGCTTGGTGATACCCTGGATGTTGTCGCGGAGGATCTTGCGGTGACGCTTGGCGCCGCCCTTGCCGAGACCCTTGCCTCCTTTGCCGCCTGGTTTTTGTTAGTTAGTTGTTTGGGTGAGGTGAGGAGGATTTTGTCTTGGATGTATGAGTATGGGGGAGGGGCTATTCCTGATTGGGAATGGTGGGATGTGGGTGGTGCTTTGGGGACACGTGACGTGAGAACATCGCGAGATCCTTTGTTGCCTCATGACGGCGACAACAAAGGGGATGGGTAGATGGTGGTGATGGGGGTGATGAGATCATGGTAACTTACGTCCAGACATGATGGTAGATATGAGGAAGTAGAAGTTTTAGATGGAAGTGATGATTCGACGATGTAGAAGTCGATTGGAGAAAGACGCGTTGAAGGGGAAAAGAGGGAAAAACAGTAAGCAGAGGGGAACAGGATTTAAATAAGGAAAAGGGCGACTGAGGGTGATTCGGGGGAAAAATTAAGTAAGCGAGAACATAACCAGCAAATGGCGGTGATTGGTGCAAGGCGGGGGAGGAAAAAGGGCGTTATGAAGGGTCGGTTTCCAGCGCGTCTACCAGACATTTGCCCTGCCCGCAGTTAACAGTGTCGAGCGACTTTGATAACGGAGGTGGGGTCACGTGGTGATAAGACACATCTGCGCTAGCCCCTTTGGGAACTATACACCATCTCGGAAATATACCCCGTTACCCCATCTTATATATTACACAACTCATGTCTACTTGTTACTTCAAGAATACTAGGAATATCAAGGATCAAGTCGCGTTCATCATGTCTCGTATCATTTGGACTACGTCACAATGCCGAGGGCAGTCATGTATCAGTATCTTCGCATCTTCGCATAGTCGCGTCTTCACAACTCCTATCCACGTCCTACCAAATCGGTGGACCATATTGTAGATAGTGAGGGTGGAAGAAAAAAAAAAGAAAAGAAAAGAAAACAGGAGAAACAACAATAAAGAAATAAAATAACGAAACGAAAACCCGGAACACCATGCAAGAAAACAACCCAAAAAAAAGTGCAATGCATGAAAAGTCGAGGGTGGAGGCGGGCAAACTAAAAACTTTTGCGTTGAAGAAGGGCCATCCAAAGAATAGCAGAGAATTGAAAATGCCTCGAAAAAGAGAAAAGAGGACCAAACAAGTCGTATCGTCATCATGCGTGGTCAAGGACCACGGTAGGAATGGAGCAAACGTAAAGATGACCGTGCCGAAATCGAGACGGTCGCGTCGATAATTTCTCTCGACGCAGAGTGAATCAGGTCAAAACAAATGATCAGGCAAAAAGACCCCGCGGTTTATTATACATCGCAAAGCCAATCGCCCACAAATGCAGATGACAGGAAATCACTGGCGGATTGTGGTGTTGAGAGGGTGAGAGAGGAGAACATGGAAAGAAAAATCCACATCAATCAAATAGCGCCGATACAAGGGGTTGCAAAGGAAGTCGAGATGGGGGAAAAGGATCTGTCCACTTCAACGCGAGGAAACTCAAGTTCCCTTCACAGAAGGTGTCAACCAGGTGCACTGAAGGCCGACGGGGAAAATCAAAGCCAAAGAAAATTTGAGGCGTTCATAGAGTTTTTTTCTATGTTACTCACCCTCTAATAACGGTTGACGTGTGAGGGTCATTCATGAAACCGCGGTTGAAGGAATAGTGAAATCCCAAAGGAGACGGCGAAGGCCGTGGCGAGGGGCGAGGGCTGACAGAACGAGATGCCTCGACCTCGGGGGCTTTGAGAGGAGCCGGGGAGCGTGGGGAGAGTGGTGGAGAGGGACACGCAGGCACAGAGACATGCTTGGGGGCCTCGCCTCCACGAGTGGTTGCGGTCGTTGGTGGTGCCTTCAGACTCGAGCCTTGGGGCGACCCGTACTGTCCAGGAGGTTAGAGGAATGTCGAGGTGTGGGGTGATGTATCGGTGGCGTGACTTACAAAGCAGTACTTATCGACCAACTCCTGGTACACAGTGGACTCGAGGCGTGGCTTGCTAGATACCAAAGAGGAAGGCTTCAGATCTTCCGCACGACCCCCAGTGCGGGAGTTATCGCTCACTGCAGGACCAGGGCCACCAAAGCTTGCAGTCTTCTTGACAGGCTTCGCTACCGGCGGGGCGGATTCTCCAGATTTCGCACGGGCAGTCAGGGTGGTTCGATCGACGGGCGCCTTCGACCGCATAGCCGCAGTCAATGACGCACCGAAATCATACCGGTTCCCGAATGCCTGACGATTGGAGTTCTCGCGGCGCTTGGGCGGGGCAATCGTGTCAATCTCTTCCGAGGGCGTCCGAGTCAGAGGCACGCCGTTAGAACCGTTGAAAGGGTTCGCGAACGATGGCTTCTCACCAAGGTCGGGGAAGTCATAGGTGGGAGGCATCGACTGTGGGCGAATGGTGTGAGTGCTGGTGAAGGATCGGCTGCGTGGGAGAGCAGGGCGAGAACCACCGCTAGTGGGCTTGTTCGTGGGAGTCTTGGGAACCTTGTGGAAATCGACCTGGTAGTTCACTGAGTCGTTGTTGTCCCAGTATTCCTGGCCATCCACGTTGTAGCGGATGCACATGAACATGGTCTTAGTCTCAAGGTTGGCCTGATCATTCAATTTGAAATCGAAAGAAAAGCGATCAAACCCATCGGCAGCTTGCTGACGGCGAACGTCATGGCAAAATGCTGCCCCGACTTCTGAAGTCGTTCTCCAATAATCCAAAGTGAACCGGGCAGTCACAAACTTCTGGAAGGCAAGGTTTGCCACTGCCACAGTACCGATCAAGGTGCTCTTATCAGCCGACAAGAACAAGCGCTCGAGGCGAACAGGGCGAGTTGCACGAGACGACGCATCCTTGGGCCAATTGGCGAGCTTGATCTCCCATTCCCATGAAGGGCCCGAGTCGGAACCGAAGGGGAATTCGCCTTTGCTATCGTGGTTGTCAACCGGGGAGGTTTCGGCGCTCACAGCCAAGGGCCGGTCAAGCTGCAGGAAGTGTCGGATGTGTTCCAGGTGGGCGTCAAAGTGCACTGCCTTGGCGTAGACAGGTGTGCCAGGCATGCTCGAGGGGCGTCGTCGTGCGGATGCAGGACGAAGTGCCGGACGAACAAGCTCACCTGACTTCTTGCGGACCATTGGGGGCTTCACGGTCATTTCCACATCGCTGTCATCGGGGGAGCTAGTCAGTGCCTCTTCCCGGGCGAAATCAATGGCGGTCTCGGTGGATGATCGAGAGTGGGTGATCTTCCGAGCCTCTTTGGACAATGGCAGGTGAGGAAGCTTAGGCCGGGTGGGCTTTTCTGTCACGGTCGATGCAGTCGAGGTCGGAGCCTGTGCGGACTCTGCCGGGCCCATCCTCTCGGGTGAGCTTTCCCTTCTCAGTTTAATTGAACGAACAGCCGCCTCCAGCTCCTCCATCTTCAGACCCTCTCCGTGTGGGTATGGTGATTCCTCATCGCTTGAGTTGGGGCCCGACTCTGGTGGCGAGATGACCGCCCCCGGAGGGATGATGGCGTTGTTCACGGGCGGTGGGGATTGGCGGAGACTGGCATGTGGGTCGATGGAGGGCGAGGCGCGGGCCGGGGTTTCTGGAGCGGAATGCACTGTCGCTTTACTGATCGAAGGGCTCCTTCGATGACGACGAGTATATGAAGTGGAGGAATAGGAACGGGAGTTCTGAAGCCGTTCTGACGAGGAGCGGACCAAAGCGGGTCGCTCGCACGTCTCGGGGGAGGTATATTCGATGTGCTGCGCGGAGAGCAACGTCTTCAACGGCGCAGTGTATGGCATCCGGCCGACTTGTGGAACACAAGCAGGGTTGGATGAAAGTTGTAATGTCCAAGGGTTCATTCACAATGAAGTGTCTGAAGAGGTCATGTTAGTTTCCCAGGTTTGAGGCAGATAGTCAAGTGGCGAGAGGCGGATAAGGAACCATGAAGGCAACCTTGGAAGGCAAGAGCGGGCAGGACACTGTCAATTGAGGGGAGGACGAGTTTATATCAATTACCTGGCCAAAAAAGAAATACAAAAATGTACAAGAAAAGAGAAGATCAAAAAGCCATTCCCGCTATGACCAAGATAAGCTGGGACAACCAGGTGTGAGGAAAAAGAAGAGGATCGAGAAGATAAAAGGTATTATAGCAGAGGGAAAGTGGAGGGATATCAAGTTTAGAAAATGAAATAAAATATAAAATATGAAATATGAAATTATCAAAATGGAAATGCCAAAAAAGAAAAAAAAAAAAAGAATATAAATTGCAGTGCGTCTGCTTTGCAGCCGCTTGGATAAGGTCAATGCGTCAGTAGACGGTGGTATAGGCCTGGTAGTCCTGGATACTTTCGTTTTCCCTTTCCATTTCCCTTTTTCCACTGCCATTTCCTCTTTGCTTCTTACTATTTCGTCTTCCCCTCTAAACCGTACTACTATTAGAACCGTGGTTAGACCTCGCTTGCGTATCTCCATACTATTCCAAGTATTATTCCTATTTCCAGCCGATCTACTTCCAAGCTCACTAAACTGCACTGGTCGGCCCCTCTAGTGCCAGAGCTAGCGGAAGACAGACCTCCATCAGCCCACAGGCGCTAAAAGGCCCGTAACTTTCCTTCATATTTTCCTTGTTTTTGGACTGACGTACATGTATCACCCAATAAATCTTCCAGTGGAACTGTACCGAGTAGAATTCTTAAATGTTGTACTTACCTAGGTAAGTATGTAGTAGATAATTGCACAGAGTAGGCTTATCTACATGTATCCCTTGGTTCGTCTCGTATAGGGTTTACGAACACCAGGTCCTCCCAGCCAAAAAAAATTGATAGGCGTTCGTGGAGATAATTTATTATCCGCTTTTTTTTTCTCTTTTGGCGCGCACAGATAAATACTAGGGATATGTTTGGCCATGCAAGTGCTAGAAGCATAGTCTCCACTTGCAGAGATTGGGGTACCCCTTCGCGGCTCGACCCTATAGACGTGCTCTAGGGAAATTTTCTGTTCGAGCACGTTTTACTTCAGTTACATTCTCTAAAGCGGACCTACGAGTACTCGTACTTTTCAAAGGTAGAATGCGACAGTACTCCGTACTCAGGTACCTTCAAGTTACTGATGATCACCACTCGTAGAATTACTACACTGTTATCGGGGCCGGTACTCGGAGCCTTCCAAGGTTGGATCTCAAATGGCCGATCCTAAAGTCTCACTGAAACAAGTGCTCTCGCCGGTTTAATGTATGGAATTCCAACTGTGACGTGCATCGTGCAGTTCGAGATACGAGGACGTTGTACCTAGTGCCATTGTAAGTACACTTATGCTGTACTCCGGAGTTTGGTGGATCTACGAGGCGTAGCATGCACTCCAGGGCTCCACCGACTGTGCCGCAAAGCCGGATCTGGAGAAGATGAAAAACGCAATGGAAAAATAAAAAATGGGGGTTTGAACTGTTTGAACAGATCGATTTTGAATTGAATGTCCAGATAGAGTGCTGGAGATCACGAATCGATCACGTATCTAGAATAGTTGCGAATCTCATTACTCCATGTAGATCGGAAATCACGACACCCTTTTTTTTTCTTCCGTGGCATTTCCACGCGCGGGATAGTCCATGATGTCACAATGCATTTGACAGGCGATGCCTTGGTTTTTTTCTACTTGGCGAATGGTCTGGACCCCCGGTCGCTCGTGCAGCATACGATTATCTTCACTGCCTTGTATCTTGGTACAGTCGATCGTAGATTTCCCTGTGCGAAAAACTTGGAAGAGGATACCCCGTACATATGATGGAATGTGCATTGAAAGGCACCTGTTTTTTAATATTCCCATTGGATCTTCTTACAATTTCATGAGGTTCTGAGAGGGTATGTGTTGAGTGGGCTGAGATCGGGGGTACACGGATATCACTTCCAACTCGCTCTCTGTGAAACTCTCCGATGTAGTGACAGGCAGGTTTAGGAGTTGTTAGGACTTTGGTCTACAGAAATTCGTATATCTCAATATCTGAACCATTTAGTTCTGCGCCGTGTTTCACGATAGGTCTATGACTCTACGGTGTCGCACCAATGAAGAGCTTAACCAGGCTAAATATACTGAGTTTAGCACGACTCTATATTAGTTTCTTTAACGGAGAATAGAGTACAAAAATCCACTATAAAACAAAAGCCAAAGAAGAAAAAAAAGACATATGGTACGAGTATACGAAGCCGTTCCCGTTAAACGCGCCCGGACCAACCCCTTTGTTAGCTTTGGCTTTTTATTTTTGCCACTCGCCCCTTGAGTATCCCAACAAAATCCATGTGGCTTAAAGAGCTTCAGAAACGCGCTTAGTGCAAAGGGGGGGCAGAGTCTCGACTTACCGTTCATCTGATCATAAAATTCTTGAGATCTGCAAGGTTGATCAAATTTGCCCCCTCATTTTGTTGCATATTCCCATGGGGTTGTTCCACACTCTGCCAAGGGTCAATGGATCCATTATCCTAGTTCACGGGCGTTCCCGACACACTACGGGATCCTCATTGCCCATATGAACTTCTCGGTGAGCGGCAATGGTCGCGACATTCCGAAACCGCAGATAACGCCCGTTTGGCCCCTTCGTACCGACAGCCTGGGAAAGCTTCCGTGCACTTTTCGTGCCGTTTAGTTTTTGCTTTTTCTTGTAGGATTTTTTTTTTTTCAACAGAGCACGGAAGTAGTCTGGCTAAACAGCCGAACTCCAGAGCTCGGTCCAGGCCAGATCTCAGAGTTTGAAGTATCAAAAGGTTAAAGCCCAGATAGTTTTGAATTCTTACTGTTCCATGGATTGGCATGGTCGAAGCGCCGGAGCGGTCTGTTAAACGACCTATCAGAAGTATACAACTCTACCTATACAATCAGCCTTAGGATCTTAGACTGTTTGCGCTCTTGCATAGTCTTCTTGCATAGTCTTGGTATCTTTCGCGCAACCATGACTCGACTCAATGGCGAAATTAAAACGGACGAGCGTACTCCTGGAATTCCGTTCTGACTCGCCATGCCACAAAAAAAAAACTGCAACTCACCCCGAGGGCGTGCGGGCGTTACCGTGGCTGAACCCAGACCAGGGCCAAATTGAGGGACCTAGGACCTTTACCGGTAAGGTCTCCGAGTGTCATCTCGCGCCATTAGATCCGACCGTGCTAAAATTAAGCTTCTATAGATTCACCCTGTCGATATAACGCGCAAGCCCGCTTTGGGCAGCGGCTTGGCCGTCCCGTCATTCGCCAATACTAAAAGGAAATGAGGTCGAGAATGTCGAGTATATGCTGTGATGAGGTGAATGGACCTACAGCAAAGAGGGGCAATGCATTTGCCTAGAGGCCCTGGAGAGCTCTAGCTACACTACCCCGCGTGGGTAGCGTGAACGTCAGCTTGCCCATGCAGCCCTCTCGAACTCGGATGCAGACCCCGCTGATCTGGGGATTGCTGACTTCGTTGCTCCCTCTTGCCTACCCCGCAAGCTATACCCCAGGATTGTGTTCGGTTGGCACCGATCAAGAGGATGGGGGATCTACCAATGGGCAATTTGGTGACTTGGTATCGTTGATATTCGACCATACTAAACATTTCATACCTGTCTACTCCGTACCATCACAGATAGGACAAATTTTGACTGGCAAGTCTCCTGATGCAAATGGTAACATACCACCTTTTCCCGATCAGCCAACAATCGCAATATGTTGCACAGCATTGTCCGTTTCAACCCGTTTCAAAGGAACCTTCCAATATTGGAAGCCCAGAAATATGAGACGAGATACGGGAATCAAATATGATTGGTCACCATGGCCTGATAGCTCAGGAATAAGAACTCGCACGCAACCAGCGCATAATGGGCTGACTATGCAATGTCGCACGTCGGGCAAATCCTAGACGCCTCCTGCACTGCACTGCACTCAGCACCTGACCTTCCAACATCCTTGTAAAATGCTTCTCGTGCCCTCCAAGGGGCATCTATACACCGGGAAGGATGTATATCAGAATTCTGTTGAGGATGTGGCACCACCTTGCACGGCTTGGCGTGGGTAGGCGATCAGGGACAGCCGCTTTGGTCAAGTACACAGTGCACGTACTACCCAGTCTCAAGCTAGCACGGGCCTTGAAGTACGTATAGGAAAGTAAAAGAGGCAAAAAAAAAGGACTGTATACAAGGTGCCTATAATAGTAACTAATAAATTCGAAGTATACAATGTACTTCAGTGCCCCACGCTTATGCATAGCATGCGAGACAGGCCCAGCGCCAAAGATGCCCCACCAAATTGGACCGGCCAGAACGGAGGCGCGGTAGTCAGTGCACTCGAACCCGGGACAACGACTCGACAGAGCAGTGACAGTGGGGCTTGCATAGCTTAGTTAGTCTGTGAGGCCGTGCATAAGGCGCTGCATTAGTGCGGCGAACTGACAATCGCTACGCATGAGAAGGTCAGTGCATAAAATTTGTTTTGGTTTTATCTCAGGGGTTTCATGTCTGCATGTTTAGTCTAGTAACCTGTGTACGGATATTTGGGCTTATCTGGGGAAAATGATGTGCAACTTGCAGGTGTACCCCGAGGTCCTGAAGTCGCGGTGGCGCTGTTCCCATATTGGCCATGCAATTGGCGTGCAGATACGGGGGACTGTGTCATATTAACATTGAGGCTTTTTGTGTCAAATGCGAAGGTCCTCGCGCAACCTTCGCTCGGCTAAGTTGTTCAAATGCAGTTGCGGGACCCCCTAGCCCTATATTATCACCAGCATAAGGTGTACAATGTGCATACAGTTACAATCAGTACACTTAATTCACATTGAAATTTGTCACAACTAGATTACCTAACAGCCAAGCCATAAGGGATTACTGACTTGTCTATCTAGAACCGCCGTCAAACGCCCAAACTAGTGGATTGGCCTGGTAGCTCCCGTTATCATTGCGCGCCCAGCGGGAGAGGCGCTTTTCGTGTCAGCGCTATACTTAAGTAGTTGGTCTAGAGAATTGATTTTACGCCAGTTAACACGGAGATTACCCAAACATTTCTTGTCAGACCGGGACTGGTTATCCGGACTGGTTATCCGTCGGCGATTGAGATACTCAATTACATTTGTATATCAAACATCTTTTTAGCGGGATCGGACCCGGGGTATAGCTTCAAATGCACGGCGTCGGGTTGATCCCTTATCTGTGAATGGACCCCGAGACCCCAAAGGAGACGACGATCAATACCTTGTCTGTAGGGGGCTTTGAGGGCCTCGCGGTGCGAACGTTAGATTTCCAAGGTTTAGGGGTCTGAGGAAGGACGATCACTGAGGTACTTCGTACTTGGGGTGATCATTTACTATTCTTTGATGTTCTCGTGCAAAGATTGTAAAAGACATAGCCTCGCATACCGCGGGCTGCTATCTGAACGCAATATTCAACACATTGCCCAGCCGAACATACACGAAGTAAACTCGCAATTGCGGGGTGCATCTGCCACCTCATCCTCCTGGGCTGTCCGAGCGATATCATCAGCTTACTGAACCTAACCTCGGTTTAGTCTACAATCCATGCCCAGGTCTTCCCTAGCAGTCGACACCTGACAAGCTGGGCTCACGAGACGGCCACTGCCAGCAAAGCAAAAACCCCCTCAATGGATAGCCGTGGCCGGCTATGCATCTTCCGATCTATCAATAACCGTACCACCCCGAAGCCTATCCGAAGTATCTCTCTCTCTCTCCCCCTCTCATCTTCCCAAGCCACAGCGGAAGCCAGTAACCGGGCCCTAGCAGCTGGTCCTCCCCAGGGCTATCTCATAGGTCTTCCCCACATTTTCCCACTGATGTGCTCACGCAGATGATCACAGCATGCATCTCGCGCCGGAAGATCCGTGAGGAAGACAGCGTCAGCGTCTATCTTCTACGCGATATCGGCACCGAAAACCAAGAGACACAGGCCTAGCATGAAGGAACACAAAGTTCGCACTCACATGATTCTCTTAACGGTAGGTGTCCAGTTCCGACGTTCCGGCTTCACAACAGAGGGCTCAGATCCCAGAGAAAAGAAAAGAAAAATCGCCGTCGAAAAGTCAATTCTTCGCTTTGTAGCAGCCACCCCCTCACCGCTACCATTCCTCCGATCGCCGCGGTGGAATGATGGAATATCACACACGCCACAGAGGCGAGGTTTAGAGATACTTCCCCCCTGTGCTTCATCTTTTTTGTGTTTCTCGCTAGCATCGGAATCCCTTCATCATTAAGTGGCGCGCCAAGGATGTACTCAGATACAACTAAAACTCTTTCTTCTCGGCCGGTCTGGTCCACCAACGGACGGCCGCTCGGACGTTGTATCTCCAAGTCACTGAGAGGTACCTCTGCTACTGCCAATAGATGGTGGCCCTCCTGTGTTGCCATGGCGTTGAGGGACGTGTCCTGCGTTGTTTGCCGCCACCACCGTAGGTGAATTTTGTTCTTTTGTCGAGGATGTAACGAAGCAGAGGATGGATTCTATAGTCCAGTTTCCAATCCACCCTGGGGGGGATTTGCGAGTCATCAGGTGACATGAGTCTTGAACTTTCTCAGAGATTTCCTTTCTGGCGGGAGTGACTGGGTTCGAGGCAAGAGAGCAGCCCGGGGACATATAGAGCGTGATATCGATTGATGGTCCATTGATTGACGACTGATCGACGATGCATTGCGCGGATGGTCTAGGGGGTTTGTTTCAATGGTATTTTGAGCAACGTTTTGAAGCTATCTCGAGGTCATATTGAGAGCTTGCTTCGCATGGCTAGTGCCCAGGACCAGGTTGAAGACCTGTTCACGGTTGTAGTTGCTGATGCTCAAATAGATTTGAGATTCCAATGAAGTGATATTGCCATTTGTTGAGATGGAAATGATTTCGATTTTGTATTCTGCAGGGTCTCAGCTGAGCTGATGGCCTCAGGCTGGAAGAATTTTGCCAAAATGCACCACTTTGCAACTTCATTCAATGTTTTGTTAACAGCGAACCACCCGAGCTGAGGTTGTAAGCGGTAGATCGGGTTCCACTTCTCCCACACTTCGTCTTTTTGTTTACCACTAAATGTCTCAAGCTCATGGGTTGGCAGACTTCGAAAAAGAGCTGGTCTGCTCGGTATGTACAATCTTCAAAAACCCCCTTACATATCCGCTGATCGCATAGATCTGTACGGAACTCTTCTACCAGCCCCTCACCCTCCTCGACTGCCTCCACACCTTCTGTGGCTCCTGCGTGAAAGAATGGTTCTCCGCACAAGGGTCGCGGCCCTCCCGCACCGCACCCCGTTTTACCTGCCCCTCCTGTCGCGCCGAAGTGCGCGATACCCGCCCAAATGCCACCGTCACGACCCTACTGGGCATGGTCTTGGACGCGCATCCAGACCGTGCCCGATCAACTGAAGAGAAGGCCGAAATCGCACAACGGTACACGCATGGGGACTCTGTATTTCCAGCTTCTTCATCGGGCGGGGAAAGCGCAGATGATCGTGATGATGCACGGGTGCTGGAGGGGGTGCGCGAGCTGAGTCTCCGGGAAAGTCGGGCGCAGGCCAGGCGGGAGGCTCGCCGTGGGGCAAATTCCTCGCGAACTCGCGACAGCGGACATACCGATAGACATGCGGAGGAGGGGCGGTCGAGACGGAGGAGAGAAGAGCGCGCACTACGTCCTGACGAGTCAGAGCGGTCACGGCGAGTTGAGCATCAGTCCAGTTTGCGATCGCTGCTGAGTCTGTCTGGGGACATGGAGACTATGGAGGAAGAGATCCTGCGGCAGATTCTTGAGGATGGGTTACTAGATGAGATCAACTTGGATGTCTTGGGACCGAGACAGGAAGAGGAACTCAGCGAGCGCATTGCGGATGCGTATCGCCGGAGACACATGCGGCAATCGCGATCTGGGCAACGACCTGATCAGAGCCAAAGACAGGAATCAGATGCTCCAACACGAGCGCACCGATCAGAATCCACACAGAGGAATGCGGAATCTACACCGGCCACTCGAGAACACAATAATAGACGGCCGCCAGCTTCGAGACCGCATCTGCTAAATGCAGCACCGACACGACCGAGCATTTCAAACCATCAAAGACGAAACTCTGAACAGGGTAATGGGCGTCGACGCACCTCGCCAGTTCGAACACATCAGGCATCGGCGTCAGACGACGCCATACGGCCGGCTACCCGGTCCTCGAGTGATATGACTGCAGACCGGACTCGCGCGTCTCAAACTGGACGGATTAGATCAGAATCCTCATCAGCTAGACCGCGACGTGCTACTGAGTCGGGGCAGAATGCTACCGGCGCCTGGATAGCCGGTGGTCGAGAAAGAAGTTCTCATCGACAAGTGGCCAGCGAATCGACCAACTCCACTGTCACCGCATCCCCAACGACCGCCCAGCGCCAGACCGCAACTGAGCAGAATATGCCCTCCATGTCCTCACCCCTTGTTCCCGGCAGGTCAGACAGGAGAACGAGACCATCATCTCGATCTAATGGTCCTGCCTCTCCTGTACAGTATGTCGAACCCTCCATCTCTTGTGACAGGTGCAAAAAGACCGGAATTCAGTATGACCTGCATAAGAGATGCACGAAATGCAAAAACAGGAATTTCCACCTTTGTCTTCGGTGCTATCGAGATGGACGTGGCTGTCATCAATGGAGCGGGTTCGGCATATCTGCCAAAATCAGCTTCCAACGAATAATCGCCTCCTCAACCAGCCAGCCTATACCGATCAACGAGTCGGGCCATGTCATGGTCTGGTTCAAGTATCAACGTCCATCGGATGTCTTTACAAGCACCACAAACGGCGAACGACTGATGACAAATGACAATCCTGCTCGCCGGCTACAAAGCGGTCTTTTCTGTGATACGTGCCAATCTCCAGCCAACGACTGCTTTTGGGAATGTAGGAAGTGCAATGATGGAGATTGGGGATTTTGCAACTCCTGTGTCAACCAAGGACGATGCTGTACCCACGCCTTGCTACCTATACGACGCATCGTCCATGCTCCACCTCCAGTTTCGTCATCAAGCCCACACTCGCAAGTTACTGCCGACTCATCTGCTGCACCTCCCGTGCCTACTGAAGTTGAAAGCTTCAAGATTCTGTCATTCTCTACGAATTGTGATATCTGCACCTATCCAATCCCAGCTTCCAACACTCGTTATCACTGCCTAGAGTGCAACGGAGGCGACTACGACGTCTGCAAGAACTGCTATCTCAAACTGGTCGCCACGGGCAAAATAAGCAGAGAAAACGGCCATCAAGGCTGGCGGCGTTGCATCGCCGGACACCGAATGATAACAGTTGGGTTCGAGGACCATGAGGAAGGTCAGCGCCGCGCCATTGTCAGTGATCTCGTCGGTGGTCGCGCACTGAAAGACGACCACGTCGCACAATCGCAACCTCAATCTCCCGCCTCGGAAGTAAGTGGTCTGATTGCGTCCCCCAGACTGGGCACCGGCGACTGGAGCTGGAAGGAGGGCCCTGGGCCCGAAAGGCGGAAAAAAGCATCCCGCATCCGTGGCACTGCTCTAGCACACATTGGAGGCCATGGCTCTGTTTCGGATCTCTCGAGTCAATCTGGCGCAAGTCCCATCCAAAACATCCCGCCATTCCGCAATTTCCCGCCCAACGGTGGTGTCGGACTCATTGTCCAGGCTCGTTGGTCATATTATCCTGATGAAGATGTGCAGGATGAATTGGCGTTCCCGCGTGGTGCAGACATCACCGAGGCGGAAAATATCAATGGTGATTGGTACTGGGGCTGCTATGCTGGAAGGACAGGGTTGTTCCCTGGTTCGCATATCAGGGTGGTGAGGGAAGTCCACAAGTAGATGCTCAGGCTGAGGGTGGAGGTGGTGGTTGATTTGCTGTCTACTAGGTACATGATTTTGATGACCATGACGATCGGAATGAATTTAACATCTTGCATGAGTTGTTACGCTATTTAAAAATACGATTGAATGATGACTTTGCCACTTCAGTGTATGTTCTAAAGTTCCAATCTTAAGCTGCGCCGAGCTTCAATGAGGTTTCTCACTCCTTAGTAGCACCTGTACCTGATGTTAGTTCATACCTACATCAGTAGAGCGAATGAAGAAAAAAAAGTACGACAAAACTTACCAAGGAGCTTCTTGATGTCACCATAGATAGCGAACTGTCCTGCAGTTAGGCCACCAACCATGAACAGACGCGTTGGAAGACCAGCAAAAGAGCCACGCAGACCAAGCTCGCCTGCAATCTTAACCAGCCGAGATAAAGTGCTCTGGCCAGGCAGACCCTTGGTCTTGTTGATTTTCGACAGCATGGTATCAGCAGGCTGAGACACAACGGCAGCTGCAAAACCACTAAGCAGACCAGATCCCAGATTCACGGCAGTGGAGGTTCCCGCCGACATTTGGGATTTGTCAAATTGGCTCAGAATAGCTTCTGAGATTTTCTCAAAAGCAACGAACTTGGTGATTGTATAGGGAACCCTAGACATGGTCAGTTTTCGTTCTTCAGCAGTGCTTTCTCTTGAGCATCGAATCCTTCCATCGGAACATACTGCTTGAATAAGATTGGACCAAAGCCAGAATAAAAGGCACCAATCCCCTCATTCTTCAAAATCTTCCCAAACCCACCAATCAGACCATTCGCAAAACCAGGTGTTGAGACAAGACGAATACGCGTAGCTTCCAATGGACACAGAGCAATCGAGGCAAAGAACTCTGCAGAACCAGCTGCAAGAACATAACCGAGCGTACGATTCTGTTGGGCCTTTTCTGCACCGAGAGCATCTGTGAATTTCTGATTGAAGTATTCGTATCCACCGAATTTGAAAGCGCCTTGCATGAAGTAGCCTGCAAAGGTTGGTCCGAAGCCTGTCGCGAGAGCACTGATGCCTTCGTTGCGGATGACCTGGCGGAAACTACCTACCATACCGCGGTTGTAGGTGGTTGGGTCGAGTTGGATCTTGGTTTTCACGCTATATAGAAGGTATCTCTTAGTTGGTGGCTCTGATATAGACCTTGAGTAAGGGCCAATGGTAATACGTACACATCGACTGGAGTGAAGGCGCTGTGGGTGACGGAGCAGCCTAGGGCACTAGCAAGCGCGAAACGCGCATAGAGGTTGATGCCCTTTGGCTTGTTCGGGGCAGTGGGAACTGAAGCAGCCATTCTTGCTAAAGCATCAGATGCAGTCAGAGCAAAGGGAGAGACAGAGGGTTTTAGGGCATTGATAGATCGGAGTTTGCGGCCTTAACTCCGCATAGTTCGAACGGCTGTCTTCGGCCCCCATGTCTTTAACTCCGCGCACTTAGTTCATATCAGACTGTGTTTATCAGTGATACTTGTCGACTGGGATTCTTTCGTCCTGCATATGTCTTGTTTCATATTGTGACTGCTTTTCGCTCATCGTACTTTTGTTTTATCTAGTGCACACACCATTCGAAGCTAAAGCGATGTTGGCCATTTGTGAAATGGTACTTAAGAACAAACTAAGGAATCGAGATCAGAGGCTATGGCATTGCTTGAAAAGAGTATAAACACATGGCAAACTGTACTAAACCAGCTCAGATCTCACTATGTTTCGATTGCTGATACTTTCACATTGTCATTCTTCGCATCGCCTCCAAACTGCCCCAATCCATCTTTGCTGAACTCGGAACTCTCTTCATCATTCCTGACCGAGACACCAGAGGCCTCATAACCAAATTCAGCCAATTGAGTATTACGTCGTCCCCACCAAAGCAAACCAAGCTGAACGAAGATAGAAGAGAAAATAAACGCAGTAGCAAGTGGGAATCCAATCGGATATGTCGGGGAGTCACTCGTTCTCCAAACCCGGATTGGAATCGTGGCATGGCCAATGTACACAATGGTCACAGTCAGCGCAACGAGAATAGACCGTGCCTCTGGTTCCTTCTTGAGTAGCTCGGCCACCCAAGCTAGAAGCGACGGACTTCCTGCATTCGTCGCATATGTCAGGAAATAGAATACCAGGATCACTCTCCAATCTGATGGCCATGCACTCAGTACACTCAATACAATGCCCAGCAGGAATGCTGGAGCAATGCTGATCTGCCATCGCCATTGTTTCCAGTCTGATAGCGCATTCAGACACAGATTGGTTAGGATCTGGAGTGCGTAGCCTCCCATGGGAATCACGTTAACTTGGTACGTGCTGAATCGAAGATTTCCAGCTGAATCTTTCAATCCCTCCAGATAGAGCGTGAAATAAGAATTTGCTCGATTCGCCCATGCGCTCAAGGCAAAAGCAGCTAGGAAGAAGTATGTCACTGGGTGGACGATAAGTTTCCGCAGTTTCTGCACCACGACCTTGGTAGGGATCATGTTTGACGTGTTAGAGCCGAACTCGGCCATTCGCCTGCGCGCAAGGTCTTTCTCTGCATCTGTGAGCCAGATCGCGCGGGTGAGAGAAGGCGTGTCTGGAATGATAACAAGACCCAGAAGACCTTGTCCGATGGTGATTGTGCCTGAGACAATGAATAGCCATTGCCATCCGGATATTCCATGTACCCCATTCATGTTGGTGTACAGGGCTGCTTGGAGAGCACCCAGGAACATACCACCTGCTGCATCTGAGACGTTGAAGAAGGCGATTCTTTTGGCTAGCTCGGCGGGTGTATACCAGTTGAAGATCATGGATACAGCTGTAGGCCAGAAGACTGCAGAGAATAACCCGAGTAAGACTCGGAGTGCATATATGGTTTTGGCATTTGGGGCTTGAGCAATACTGTTTATGATGTTAACTTTGATTGGTTTTGTAGTTGGGCCACAGACACTCACCAGGTAACTAGGATTCCCCATGAAATCTCACAAAATGGGAGGAACAAGGAAGGTCGGACCTGAGATTGAAGTCAATAAGTGAAGCCTTGTCGATATACCGATGCCACCCACCTTTGTTTGAATCAATTGACCCGGAATGAGACCAATAGCATATCCCACAGAGAAGAAAGTGTTGAAGTTGACCAATTCATTCCCGTATAATTGCAGAGACTCTTTCATCCCCGAGACATAAGCCTGGGCAGTCGCACTCTGATCCATCTCCTTCAAAATTCCAGCAATAAACGTCCATGTCAAGAGTAAACAATCCAGCTTGAACACCAAGACATGCTTCGGGTCTCGAAAATAGGGCACATAGCGTGCTACTCTCTTGAAAATCCCCTGAGGCTGGTCCATGCCTTTGTCCCTCGATGAACCTGTCATTCTGATTATTGTGATTATCCTGATCAAATTTGGAACCTTTGAATTCCTCCATAGTCGTTAAGTAGGACGTTCATCTATTCCCCATCCTGAGGGGCGATCACGAAATTGGCTTGGCGCTGCAAAGAGAAATCCTTTTACTCAACTCAATTGACCAAAGCGAATTAAACTACACGCCATTAATTTAGAGATTCTGAAATAGGGAAGTTTCATCGGAGGTTGGCCGGGAATTCCTGTCACGACTGGGCTTAGATCGCGTCACGTCGAGATTTCGGCCATTTGACCTACTAAATACGATAGTGGATTTGTATTGATGTCAAATCTTTCATTTCAGATCCATCAGGCGTAAAAGCATAAATCATCAAAAAAACATAATAGTATATACAGTGCCTTACTCAAGAAGAGCAACCATCAACCGCCCGTAATCACCAGACGTTTCTCCACGCACCCGTTCTACCAAAGGCTTCCCGAACTTGTGGTAGTAAGCGCGCTTGACAGTTTCCTTATGGCTGCGGTCCCAGTGAGTGCGAACAGCGCGAACTACCAGGCGCTCGTCCTTGGTGCCCATACCACTCATGCAGTCCTCCAACAGCATTGCATCCCGCATTGCAGGATCCGTAGCAGTGCGAAGCATGTGAAGCAGTGCATCTTCCATGTGGCCCGAGAATTCCTTCTCAATGTGCTTTTCTAGAGAAGTGTTGTAGCGGGACTGGAAAGTCTGATTGATAGCACGGATTTCGGCATCTGAGGACCGAGCAAAGATCGCGCACACTTCCTTTACATTCTTGGGGCCCTGGAGACAACGGACATCCGCTTCGATGGTCTGGGGGTTGACGGGCGCGGATTCCTCATGACGCGCTGCCCGGAGGGCAGTGGCGAAGAGATCGGAAGTTCCGAAAGAGAGATCGGACTCGACGTCTCTTGAGAGTGAGCGCCCGTATCTAATTTCGTAGGCAGTTCTGATGGCGTTAAGATCGGCGTTGGACCGACCCAAGAGGATATCGTTTAGGAGCCATTCCTTTGTTCCTGCGCCGTCGATCGCAGAATGTACGCTCTCGACATCGTGCAGAAGTGGTCCGTTAATCACGGCAATGAGACCTTGTTCGAAATATCCACTGGTCTCGGACTTGACGTCTTTGACCAGATCACGACCCAGGTGTTTTGAGAAGGTGTCGCGCACGGCGGCAACCTGCAGTGGGTCAAGGGGTGCCAGAACCGCGATCAGAGCCTTCTCATCTGTACCAAAGCCCTTCATCGCTTTGCGCAGCGCATCCGCTTGGGGGCGGAAGTCGCCGGGTGCTAGCGTGCCTGGGATATAGCCGAGCGAAGGTCTTGAGGGAATCACCTGAGGCTGGGGAGGGTAACCACCGGGTGGTCCATATCCTCCTGGTGCCTGGCCCTGGGGCGGATATCCGTGAGCGCCGGGAGGGGGTTGGTTCGGAGGAGCATGGCCATATGGAGGTTGTGGGGATGGCGCGTGGTATCCGGCGGGGGGTTGCGGAGAGGGGGCGCCGTAGTGGCCTTGTTGTGGAGGAGCACCGTAATGGCCCTGAGGATAACCCCCTTGCTGAGGCGGGTAGTGACCCTGGGGAGGATATTGACCTTGAGGAGGGCCTTGGGGAGGGTAGTGGCCTTGCGGCGCACCGTAGGGCTGGTGAGGCTGTTGATAGCCCTGGGGCGGGCCACCTGGAGGTCCTTGCTGTGCATATCCTCCGGGAGGTTCTACATGGGTTAGCGATGGTCTTTTCTCCCACCGAAGATACTCACGATTATAGTAAGACATGATGGAATAGATGTAGATGCAAAGATGCAAAGATGCAAAGATGCAAAGGTACAAAATATACGCTCATCAGCCTTGTTTATGTACGGCCGAGTGTGGCGCAGTAAAAGGTGGGGGCGTTCATGGGAAATTGACGTCTGCCAATGTCGGCAGTTCTACGAGTTCTAATTAAAGAAACTGGAGAAGGAAGCCTGGGAATATTGGAAGATCCCTGGAAACCTCCAGGGTCATTCCATGGTGATTGGCATCGCAAAGCCCCTATACTTCGTAACTCGTATGCACGGATCGGAATAACACATCTTCGTTATAAAGTGGCTTAGAGCTTGAGCCACTTACCCCCTCCTCCAACGTTGGTCCCTTTCTTCACTTCACCGTCACTGAAGGGCATATCAAAGCCGCCGGTGATAGCAACCCCGTTTTTGAGCCTGAGCTGAATCTGATCTTTCTCCACAGGCAGTTGTTCGAATTCTTCGGATTGTTTGTGCAGCTGTTCGGCGGATTCATAGGCAACATCGGCGTTGGGAATTGAGAATGACTGCCCAAAGCCAGTCAAATTTCCCACAAAAATGTACTGCGCGCCTTCGACTTCGAATTGACCAAGGACGCGTCCTTTGTCGCTTGTGAGGGTACCAGTTCCTAGTGGCATCTGTGCACAATGGTCAGGATGATCCTCGGTGATTCGGAAAGTCAGAATGATGCAATGTGCAATGCACTTACCGTGAATGGTTTGAAGAGCAGGTCTGTAGACCTGGATCTAGACGGTGTTGTGTCCTTATAAGAAGCTTGATGAAAGAAGAGCGGTCAGCTACCGAGCGTTCAAGGCGGGATATCGTGCATCGTCTCCGATGTCATACATGCAGGCCAAGTGGAACCATGTATGAGCTCACTGCAGCGTGGGTGGTTGACCTTGTCAAGTTCAATTGCACCGCAGAGCATGTGAAGGCCTGATGCAAGGTTCGCTAAAACAGACATACCAGCGATGCAGCCCTCATGCAAGGGGACTGTCCATGCCATTCGATAACGAGATTAGCGTTGGATGTGAAATCAAACCAAAATGGCTGACACCTGCATCCTGTGAGATCAATCTTGGGTGATTGGGCTCATTGGAACCTGAAGGTTTGTGCCTTCTACACTCTGATCAGCAGGGTCTTTGCCTTAAGCTGAGGCCAACATTGACTTGACTTGATGGGGATGTAGCGTCTGCACGACCCTGCAGGAAGTGTGGGGCACGTGGATATACGTGGAGAAATGGAGAACTGAAAGGCTCTGTCAAATAATTCTCCATTGATATAGGAGGTAAGGGTACTCCGTGCACCAGCATGGTTGGTATTTAACCCGCTTGGAGCAACAGCATTGATGAGGCCCGGGCTTGGGGGGAGGAAAGTCCAATTTCTGAAGCTTGACCAATTTTTGGATTGGGTTTGAAAATTTTTGATTGTCCGGCTAGGCTTTTATCTTATTTTTGTTTTAATAAGATACTAAAGTATGAAGTGGGAAGTACAGAGTATTGGGAGTCAGCCTTGAAATCGGGTAATTGGCTATATGAAAATTCCAAAAAGCAATAACAGTAATAATGAGATTGATCAAATCATGACCACTTGTAAATACTCTGAAATGCCCATCAAAAAGGCGAAGTGTTCCTCACAGCCTCAATGCCCCATTTATAACGCTAACCCAATATGGTTAGACCAAACCCCTAGAATCCGATGCCATTACACCTCCAAGTTGCAGAATAGGCTCCTCAATTCCCTGTCAATGGTGTATTTGATACACAATCCCTCTGGGATCCATAATTCTATGGATCACAGTTGACATGGCTACATATCCCCCAGGTCGTCGCTCCCACCGGAAGTCACGGGCCGGCTGTGTGCAATGCAAAAAACGAAAAGTCAAGGTACGAGATCCGAGCATCAATGTGAACGCCAACTCACAATCTTGCAGTGTGATGAAAACAAGCCACACTGCCATAACTGTGAGAGGCATGGGGTAGGCTGCTCCTTTGCTAGCGCTTCCCGGGCGCCCTCCACAACACCTGTGGACTTTGCAGAGTCACCCGCGGTGCCCTCTGGCCCAGAAAGTGCAGCATCTAGAATGACTACGATACTGCCTCCAATTCACCCAATCATACCCCAGAGCTTGCCAAGTATGCATTCATTAGCGCCCTTTCCCACATTGGCAGTTTTTGATCTGGAACTTTTACACTACTACACAACTTCAACTTGCTACACATTATCCCGAAGTCCAGCAGTTCAAACAGTCTGGCGCGAAGAAGCACCTCGAATTGGGTTCTCAGAACCCCTGGTCCTGCACTCACTGCTGGCTCTCACCGCGCTGCATCTAGCTCGCTCCGATGAATCCCGACGCGCGAGCTGTCTTGCACACGCGCACATGCATCACAACATGGCAGTGCGAGAGGTTGTCCCGTTAGTCGCATCACTAGCGCAGGATAACGGCGCTGCTCTATTCATGTTCTCTACACTGACTTGCATGTTCTCCTGCGCCAAACCATCCGAAGAAGGCCAGTTCCTTGTTCTTTTCGAGCGCGGCGATCTATCAGATTGGGCGCGTTTCTTCCGGGGAACAAAAACCATCATCCAGAGCAGTGGAGAGGATCTGGCCAAGGGGAGGCTGGCCCCTATCTTCATGAATGGCACCTTCGTAGCGGCTGCTTACCGCTCGCCACAGGCGCTTGAGCACGGCAAGCCGTATGTCTGGGAGTTGCGGGAGATAGTACGGAGCGAATGCTCGTCGGATCCGCAGCTCCGACGTATCTATCAGGAGGCTTTGGATGAATTAGGGCGAACGCTGGCTCTAACGATACGGCCTGATAGCATGCGCAGACTTGAGACTGCCGACGTTTTCCGATGGTTGCTTGATATTTCGGATGATTATTTGAATCTTGTGTGTCAGGAAGAGCCTATTGCATTGATTATATTTGCCCATTGGTGTGCGGCTATTCGTCAGATCGAGTGGATGTGGTGGATGGAGGGTTTGAGCTCGCGTCTTCTTGCACAGCTCTCTTCTGTGTTGGATGTGAAATACAGGGAGTGGCTTCGGTGGCCCGATGAAATTATCAATGGGAGACAGGACCTCATATGATGAGGGAGATGAGACATTTAAAGACTGGCCTCATCTAAGGGCAATACAAAAAACAACTTCAGAAGCAGTCCGATCACCGTCCTGAAAGTCTTGTTTGGTAGATATCCACTCGTGTCCGAACACGATTTGCATTTTACTGGGTTAAGCGCCTGGAACCCGGGTTTGGAGCGAGCAAGTCCATGAAAGGGAAAATAAGAGACGAGCAGCGTAGCTGATCTATTAGTAGCCTGCCATATCAACGCAAACATGATATTCCCCACATACCTGTTTCGCTCACACTAGAGTATATTGAACATTCATGCACTGTATCATTCTAGGCAGATTGCGAGTGATATATGCCCATCTATGCGTGACTGGAGTAACTCTCTGGCCTGAGTGATCAAGTGGTCGTTTACACTAACTGGTAATTATATTACCCAAAAGATTCCCTGAATGCTTTCCTCGGCGTCTTTGCGGATCATGAGCACCAGGAGACATCGCAGATTTCTGCAATCTCCAATCCACCCGATATCGTGAATTCTCCCGCAACTCACAAAAGTACGGGGGCTGCCTTTCAGACACGGGGCTCTAATCCAACTCAAATGTTATTGTGTGTTTTGCACTCCAGACTCAAGAGTAATGTGCATTGTGAGTGGCAAAGAGAAAACCCAAATATAAAGCCTCGTATTCGTATAGCCCGGAACAGCACGGGGTCGTATTCGGGTTCGGGTTCGGGTCCTGAACTTGCGATGTCTTGCATTTCGCACTCAATCTCAGAATGTCGATCGTTCTTTACCTCGGCCAAATCTCATATTTATAACCCACCGTGTATCCGGCTAACATGATTTCGTGAATCCGCAGAGATGGGTATATTAACTAATATGCAACATGTGCTGGTGACAGGTGTTATCACGGTATATCATCAGCATCTCCTGACATTTTCGTGAATCTGACATATACAGGGGATCCTGTATATCATTTCAAAAGTGGTGTATAATGTGTTTTTCCACCCATTGAGCCGCTTTCCAGGGCCAGTGGAACACAAAATAACTCGACTAGCATATTCATGGAAAGCGGCGCGGGGAACTCTCCCTTTTGACATGTTGGCAATGCACAAGCGGTACGGCGATATTGTCCGTATTGCACCAGATGAACTGGCTTTCTCGCATCCAGATGCTTGGCAAGAAATCATGGGCCACAGAAAAGGACAACCTGAATTTAATAAAGCGACATGGTTTTATCGACCGGTGGAAGACCAGCCGACTCACGTGGTCAATGCGACAAGAGAGCAACATGGGCGTCTTCGGAGACAGCTGGCTCATGGGTTTTCCGAGAAAGCGATGAGAGACCAGGAGCCGTTGATACGGGGGTATGTGGATCTGCTTCTTGAACGACTGGGTGGATTTTGCACTGGTGATTCCGTGGCGCTTTCGGATTGGTATAACTTCACTACTTTTGATATCATTGGAGACTTGGCTTTTGGGGAGCCGTTTGGATGTCTGCAGGGATCTGATTTGGATGGGTGGATTAAAGGGATTTTTGATGCTGGTCGGCTTGGGATCCTGTTGCAGACTTTGTCGTTTTTCCCGCTTGTGAAGCGTGCATTGATATCGATGGCGCCTGCGTCGATGAAAGAAGCTCATGAAAAGCATATGAGACTGACTCAGGAGAAGATGATGCGTCGGATGGAGAAAGAAGAAGGTCGACCAGATTTGATTGAGGGTCTTTTGAGAAAGAAGGACGAACTGGTGAGTTATTCGATTGATATAAGGCGCAAGGCACAAGCTGACAATGTGTAGGGCTTGACGGTTGATGAACTCATTGCCAATGCTGAAATTCTCATCATTGGAGGATCGGAAACGACGGCCTCTTTGTTGAGTGGAGTTACTTACCTCCTTCTCACAAACCCACACGCCCACAATAAGTTGAAGGATGAAGTACGCTCTACATTCGAGAGTCAAGCAGACATCAACTTGATCTCTGTTAACAAGCTATCGTATATGCTTGCATGTCTCGACGAGGCAATGCGCATGTACCCACCCATCGCCAACGGACTGCCTCGTCTCTGTCCGGATGTCGGTGCTACTATAATGGGAGAACACATTCCACCAAATGTATGTCTGATCCCTAATGAGGATATGCTTGACCAAGGACTGACCCCAATGTGAAGACTTTTGTATCAGTTCACCATTGGGCACTTTATCGACGAGATGATTATTTCAAAGACCCAAATACATTTCACCCGGAGCGATTCCTAGGCGACGACTCATTTGCAGACGACCGGCGCGAAGTATTACAGCCATTCCACGTTGGCCCACGAAACTGTCTTGGCAGAAAGTAAGTTTGAATACAGTTGAGCGAGAGGCTATACTGACTCTCTACCAGTCTTGCGTATAGTGAGATGCGCTTGATTTTAGCGCTGATAATCTTCAACTTCGACATAACTATCGAGGATGAGGCACGGGATTGGATCAACCAGAGGAACTTCATCATGTGGGAGAAGGGGCCATTAAAAGTCCGCTTGAATCGAGTATAAGTTTACAAGTTTAGATATATCCTTGTTGAGACTCTATCAGGTTCATGTGTAGAGAAGTATCCCTGATTGATGAAAGTCAAAAGGTGTTTCCGTACATCTCCACGGCAAAGGGGGGACTCAGTATCTAGGATCCTTCGGACATTATCTGCTCCCTTGGAGCAATGTGAGCTTGTGATTGATATTCTTATCAATAGAAGCCAAATTATCCAGGAGTTTGACCACACTTTCCACAGTCTTTCGGGCGCCCTCAGCCCCCACGAAGAAGAAATGGGTACCGTGAATGTCCATGGTCATCAGATCAGGAATTCTTAAAATGGCCTTCTGCAGCTCAGAGAACTCGAGTTCCAAGTGTCCACCATTGTGGCAGACATTCGAGATTCCATCACTGATCAATTTGCTAGTAGCTCGCTGAACCATAAGGTAGCCCCAGGTGGCTTTGTCGGTCAAGGCATGTCGGAAATCAAGGTGACTGGTTGGATAAATAGCTGCCATCCACGGCAAATTTTGAAAATCATGCGCTTGGCCATCTTTCAAGAATTGCAATTGATCATCTTCAACGAAATCACTAGTGTCGGAATCATAATGAAGACCAGATGCAGTGAGGCCAATAGGAGTTGCACCGAGATAGTCCCGTTTGTAAGTATCTGCGTGGAACATGGGTGCTATCCATCCATATTCATCACGGTTGAGATAAATCTGCTCGTAGAGTTGTTCTAGAAATCGTGTTTCCAGCTCAGGTTTCGTGGCATACCCGGCGGGGGTTTTGACCAAGTCCCCTTTAGACACGACGGGTTGAATCCCGGGCAGGGCCGGTGTTGCAGCGAGGGAGACAAAGAGCTCAACCTCGATGCCTAGTCGGCGGGTTTGGACAGTCACAGGGTGAAGGATCTTGCCAGCCATGCTCCAAGCAAGAATCACCACTTTGCGAGCAAGATTGTGCTCTGTGATCACTTTGTTGATGATCGCAGCGGCTTGTTGGCCCCATTCGGGAATCGTGAAGTCGGGGCTGGTGGCTGGCATGATGGGCTGTTCAGCATCTATAGGGTAGGATATTCCCAGGAATCCGTAGCCGTGATGGTTGAACCAGTAAGAGAGGAAGTCCTCGTTGCGACTGTTTTGGTGTCCGCCGTATGAGATTCGGGCATTGTGGGCCATGCCGGGGATGAAGGCGATGAGTGGCTTGAATGCATCATTCGCAGGAGAGTACTTATGAAGGACAGGATGGCGACCTATAGTATCCAACTGTTCTCCGTCGAAAAGTGGCATTTTTAGATTCGGGGTTGAATTGTGGGGTAAATCAGAGGGAAGAAGTGGGAAGGGGGAGAGATATCAAAGTAATTAGATCTCACCCTAGACTGCTATTTTAGACATCATTTTACATTGCAAAATACACAAATTCTACAATAATCAAGAGCTTCACAACATAATTAAGGTGTATATCCATATTAAGTCCCGCTTGTACAGAATCCCCAAATCGCTCTGTAAACATAGCACAATTCATAGCATCATAAACCAAAACAAAAACAAAACGCAAATATCGAGCTCAAGCCTGTCTTAAACAGCGAACTTCATGGGTATTTAGTTTTCCGTATGCAGCATGGATCTCATAAAAAAAAGCGAATAAACAAATAAACATAATGTCGTTTACACACTCGCCGTGCGCCTAGGAACCTGGCTCGGTTTCTGAGCATATGCAATAAACATGCGGAAACCAGTTCCGCGCTTCTGGCACTCTCGGAGGAGTTTGCGGTCGTCCCAGATTGATCTGGGGTGTGAAATGGGGTCTTCGTAGCATTTGGAGTACCACCATCTTCCGACGCGGGCGACGATCTTGGCGATTGATTCGTCATTTGCGGGGGAGGGGGAGGGGTCGGAGAGGAGGTCGCCGAGGGATATGTTTGCATCTGGGGATTGGTAGGTTGGGACTGGGCTGGTTCCTGGGTTTGTGACTGAGATGGTTGGGATGGGGAATGCGGTTGATGGAGTTGAGAAAGAATGGGTTGAGGAAGAGGAGTCTGAAGATCGGAGGACAACTCCTGCTACTGGGATGCGGACGATGCAGCGACGGAGACTGTCGAAGCCTTGGGCGCCGATTTCGCGTTGGATGCTATCGCTTGTGGGTTTGAGGCAGAGCGTGGAATCAGAGAGACAGGTCATTTCTTTCAGTTGGCGGATTGCTTTGCGTGTTTGTGGTCCCATGTTGACCATGTCGCGGTCGAGGAGGGTCATTTCTAGATACCCGCCTGTGCGGAGGACGCGCTTGCATTCTTGGACAATGTTGCCTTGGACGGCCTCGGAGCATACCGCAGGGAATCGAAGAACGACCACTGTGAAGTAGTCCTTCGGGAAGGGAAGTGGGTTTCCAAGTCCGGCGTGGTACACTGTGTGATGGTTGGTGGGAGGCTGCCATGCGGCAGGGTGAGGAGCCGATGTTGAGACAGGGGGTCCGCTGAGACTGTATATCTCTGCGTCAGGGTATGTTAATGAGCAGTAGAAAGACCAGTCATCATTTCCCAATCCATCGATCACAAGTATCCGGCCTTGGGCTCCCGCTTTAACGTGATTTTGTGCCGGGCTGAAAAGGACTCGACCAAAAGATAACCAACGACTTGTCATCATCGAGGCCGAACGCATATTAGTGCTTGTGACTGCATCCCACTCATGCTCTGAAGAGCCGGGCTCTTGTTGGCGGTGGACCTTGGGCCGGGGAGAGGGAACAGCAGCAAGCGAGTTTAGAAATGTAGATTGGTTTTCACGACGCTTCTCGGTGGTAGACGACGGCTCGGTGGATTCGGTCAAGTCATCCATCTCGTCGTTCAGATGTCCATACGGCGCAGCAAGATCGCTATACGAAGGCTGCGAAGAAGGGGCCGTGGAAGACTGCAGGGCCGAGACGATTCGAGACCTTCGAAGGTGAACCGAACTGGCACTCGATCGGACCGAAGTGCCACCAGGGACAGACTGGGGTTGAACGCTATTCAACCCATCTTGAAGAGCTCTGCTTGCCATCGTTGCGAGTTCAAACCTATCCGTCTCGTCGTCCTTGTTGGTCTCTTCTGGCTTAGGCGTAGGCTTGTCTGGCGACAAGACATGGTCAATCAAATCATCAAACTCATTCCACACTTCATCCTCAGTAGGTGGCGAGCCAGGAACCGGTGCAACGGCCGTGACTGCAGCCAGAGCCCCTGAACTCTCTGAAGAGGTCGAGTCTTTCTTCGGTGGGAATTGGAGAAATTCGTAAGTCGAAAAGGGCCCAGCAAGAAATTCCAAAGCACTAGTATCCTCAGCTGCGCTGAATGTCGGGTTGAATCCGCGACCCCACTCAGGAAACTCATTAGGCGCGAATCCAGGAGCGAATGGCATTTGTACATTGGGGGTGGCGTTCACTAAGAGTGGAGATTCACGCATAGTCTCTGTTGTGGGGACTGTGAGAGCTGGGGTCTCGATGCCACTGAAGGGCCGGGAGAAAGATTGCATGGCCGGCCGATGATGTCTGTCACGTCTTGAAACTACCTGGGGTATTCTACCAATAGAGGCCAGCCGTCTTGGTCTTTGCTCGGGCGATTTTTCAAGCTCTGGGGGCATTAGATTGCGGTTGAACATAGCCGTCCGCGGTGATGGGCGATCGTCTTTTTCAAATTCACTGTGCATCTTTGGTGGGGAAGGCAGCAGGATCGAGGGCTCTCTCTTTCTTATATTCAGGCCTCGTGGGACTTCGACTGGCTTCAGCACCTCTTCATCCTCGGTTGGTGGCGAGTCTTCGATCTTCTTGATAATTTCATCCAGCTCATCCGAATCAGTGTCTACCAAAGCATAATGGGCAACAGGCCGAGTGTTTAACACTGGTTTGATGGCCGCATGAAGCCTGGTAGTTGGAGGGGCTGTGACCGGAGGTGCTGTCTTCTGCTCAGGACTGCGGCTCTTCTGGAAGAAACTCCACATGGATGTTTTCTCTTTCTTGGCGTGTTGTGGCTCGGCCTTTACAGCCTTAGCTGGCTTCTTTGGAGACTGTTGAACAATACGACTTGGCTGACTTGGAGCCACGATGCTAGGAGCCACGGTGCTTGATTGTTGGCTTGACAAAGATGTGCTTGTCGCAGATGCTTGAGGATTCGAAAATACACCATGCTTCTTTCCTTTGGGGACTGGCATTCGTGACTTCGACGTATTGACACGGCCTCCGGTTCTAGGTTGACATGCGGGGCTCTTGTTGCGCGCCATGCGGTCAAACTGATCCGGCGTGAGAGTCTCACCGGACGTTTCAGTTGACGTAGCCAGAGAATCGGTAGATGGAGCAGTCGAGTATGAGAGCAGTTGACGAGGCAGGGTAGAAACAGATGCGACGCTCACACTGCTCATACTTTGCTCACTTTGCGTCCGTGACAAAGATGCACCATCCATTCCACCACCATTGATAATGACAGGTTCAAGACGGCTCATGAGAAAATCATCGATTTCCAACTCCGGACGACTTGACTGACTCCCCTTGCTGGCTGCACTTCGAGTCGTGCTAGTTGATCTCGTTCTCGTGCCACTGCTACTGCTCCCACTTGCCTTACGGCCCCGTTGTCCATACTTCCCATATCCTTCATGTCCCGTTCCAGCCGTGGGACCTTTGCGAGGTAGGCGAGGTTCAGTTGCAGCCTCTGCCAAGTCTGGCTTGGACTTTTTGGAGAAGAGCCCGAATCGCTTGGAGACAGGTATCTTCGGCTCTGTAGCCTCTTTCGGTGCCTCCTTTGTTAATGTCCGAGGTGACTTTCGAGATAGGATTGGTGAGAGGCCATCACGAGAAGGGACTTGCGATAGACCCCTCGAATGTAGCGAGTCGATCGATGCAGCGGCCGATTGATTGGGTGTTGGTGTCGGTCGTTGACTTGCTAGCACTTTCTCTATTGACTCGCGTCTCGTATGTCCTGTTGATCTGATGTATCGCAGATTGCTTTGGACAACAGGGGATGTTTCCAGTTCCAAGCGATGAGTTCCGTCTCTGCTTGGTCGTGGTGGAGTCTGTGGTGGCTCCGCTGCGCGTGCGGGGGATTCCGTTACCCCTTGCGGATCAAACAGACGTCTTTCTGCTTCTTCGACTTCCCTGCGAGCCTTGGCGACGTCGATGTCTGCAACTTCTGGGGAGCTGGGAGTGAATGGGTGATTGCTTGCCGCAGGCACGTGGGGATCTCTGGTGTCGACGGATCCCAATCTGGTTTGTTTGAGTTTACCTGCATTTATACCGCGCACTGGTCTCGATTCGGGCTTGGTGGTATTCGGCTGGTTCCCGATTTTGACCTCTGGCTTTTCCTGGCGAGGGCTTGGGTGGACCGGTGGAGAGAACACAGGCAATCTGGTCTGAGAAGGGCTCGGCTGCCGCAGACGACCGATCTTGGTGGGGTGGACAATACCGGGAGAATATGACGATAGTGACGTCGGTGTTGAGCCTCGACTCCAAACGCTTGGAGACACCGAGTATCTTGTCGAGGGACTACTGGCCGAAAAGAAAGGCGTGGGGGGAGGTGGCAGGTTCTGGGTATCAACTGTTGTTCTGAGACTTGCCAGCTCTTTCGGCCCACTGTATTTGGAACTCGCCGAATTCAAGGTCGCATTACTATTGTTCTTTTGACTCGGGTTGTATGGGGTGGCAGATTGCGTCGGGGGTGTGGGTGCTGGTTGATATGCAGGGACATTGTTCATGTTGTCTTGAGAGCCCTGGGGAATGACGAGGCTGAGCTTGTTGGACTGGGATTGCTCCACATGTTGGCCTATTGTGGGTGCTCTTCTTCGCAAGACATTCCGCACTCGTTTCAGAGGCAATTGTTGTCCAGCAACAAACAGCGAGGGATTCGTCTCTGGACTTGAGACCGACGAGAATGATCGTTGGGTGGAATTTTGCGAAGATGCGGCAGACACTGGCGTAGTTGGGGACGCTGTACTACCGATATTGGGACGTGGAAGCATAGACAGCCGATGGCCACGGCTAGATCTTTTGACCGTCGGGAGGGTATCGACATCAGAGGTCTTGGGTTGATTCGCACTCGGTCTCGCGATAGAAGGATGTCCATACCCAGTGGCCGAGGCCATGTGATCAGAACCGTACGACATGGTGTACTCGAGATTCCTGTCTCCCCAACGTATGATTTGGGTAGTACTTCAATATAGTGATCATCACGTCTAGTTTTCTGTACCCACGTTAGTCTCAATCATCTAATCTCCGCGATGGACTCACTTTGAATCATGACAAACGGGTAATATTGGCGCCTAGCGCATAATAAAAGATAAACATATATTATATATATATATTCTGCGGGTATCAAGTTGCACAAGGGAAGATTAAGAAATAAATCGCCGGCCTGCAGACGTCAGATAAAAAAACGTCTGTGGATATAGCTGCAGCTGCTTCGCCACGGTGTGGCGTTGCAAGGGTTTTCCGAGACCACGTCAGAATTCCAATCAGACAGCAAACAGAAAATAAAAACAAGAAAACGGAACAGAAGAGCGTCAAACGAGAAAGGGAAGTCCGAGACAGACATTTATGTGTTTTATGTGTGCCCCTCGTTGTGGAGAAAAGAAAAAAGCCTTGAACCGCCATGACTACTCGTAGAATTCTACTCCGATCATCGCTCCTCATTGGCAAAGAGGTGATGAAAATCGAACTAAATCCAGAATTTCACAAATAATATTCTAAACACTCCAGACCCTCTAATGTCAGGGAATTTTACACCCGCGCACGGAAGTCTAGAGGTCCACTGGGATCTACTTGGACGGAGTCTGGAGGGAAGATGCGACTCGTTGGAATCGATTCTCGGCGGCAACGAAAACCACACTGCATCCAACCTGACAGGCTAACTCCGTGAGCGCGCTATGGCGGATTCGTCATGGCTTACTTTGCAATGCTGACTTGAGCATTTCATAGTTGAGTCAAGCTGAGTGCATGCAGGTTAACCGTATCGCGCTGGTTATCGCGTCTCTCGCCTCTTGGACAACACATTCGGAGACGCCGAGTCGATCCAAATCGGGCGAGATCGTCCTTTGGTTTCTTCCGTCTTTCGTCTCTGGTCTGGTGCTTCTGGATTACTCGTATCTCTTATTGTTTCCCTCTTTCCTTCTTTTCCTCCGTAAGATCATATTCTGCAGTCGGAGAATTTTCCGTGAATTGCATATGCAGACGTAATCCATACGCGCCGATGCTAAGCGTGAGACAGATCAAGTGTCAAGGAAATTAAAACTCATCCAGAGTTGACTGTTCTTTGGTTCCAAGGCCCGTCCCGAGAGCCTTTTCCAGTGGAGATGTCAGGATATCGTGTGAATTGTACGGAGGATTGCGCATGGATTTCTCGTTTCGATGTGGAGGCCGCTAGAGTATAGGCTGTGATGGCCCACTGGCTGATGGAGCAATGAACACGCCCTGGGGGATCATCGCAAGTTAGCTCTGCAGCCACAGTCTAAAAAAAGGCCACATTGTGGATTGCCATTCGCGGGGGCCAAGTGGAGGGAAAAAAGCAGACGGCAGACTCGTGCTCAAGGTGAAAGTATCGAAATTGTAAGGCCTGTCTGCCCTCACTGGTCAATGCCCACGCAGGAACAAGCGACTAATGCACTGTTCAGCTGTTTCGCACACGATATCACCGGGGAACTCCAGCTGGGCGCCGCGAGAGAACTTAAGATTGAGTTTGCGAGACGGGATGGTCTGTTCTGTTGGCGATTAGTCCTTTACCACTACTCCTACACACCACACGGAGTACACCGGATAGTACTTGTACATCTACGAGATCATCCAACAAATTTCTAGTGCTTATATTAAAACAATTCGAAATGGACTGATGTCCAATAGCATATCAACACAAAATGAAAAGAAAATAACGCCCATGAGATACATCAATAGATCATTTAGGCCGCAGCAGCAAACCGCTTCTTGCGAGCCTCCATGGCCGCATGATCCTTCTCGCTCCAGTTCTTCGATGCGCCCGCACTCCCACCCACAGCAGGCTTCTTAACACCAGCATTGGTCTTGTTGCCCTCATTGCGGTTCCGGTTTCCATCCCCACGACGGTTCCGGTTGCGACCCGTGTCGCGTCGCTTACCACCACGGGCATCCCGAGAATCATTTCCACGCTTGCGAGGACGCTCATCGGGAAGAGCCTGATCAAGACGACTGACACCAGTTTCCTCAACGCCAGTACCAAACCGCTGAGCCCGCTCCAATTGCTTCGTAGCCTCTTTCAACGCTGTCTCCTCAGACTCGACGATGCCAAACTTCTCGGCGCGCGCCTTGCGCTTGGCCAGCTCTGCTTCAAGGTCGGTTTGCGGGAGTCCGCGCGTGTAGTCGACGGGGGGCTTGGTCTCGGGGGCTGCTTCGGTGGCGGCTTGGGCGGGGACTGCGCCGGTTGACTCGACCTTCAGGTCGTCGGTTGTGGCAGGGTTCTCGTCGAGCTTCTGGTTGGGGACTGCGACGGGGTTGGAGACGGGGCCTTGGCCACCAGCGGCGATGGCAGCAGCTCCGGTTTCTGTGGAGGCCTGCGCGGGTGTCTCTGAAGGCTCGTCGTCCCAATCGATGACGTCCTCGGCGGCGTCGGTCTTGGGGGCAGGCGCAGGCGCAGCAGCATCGGTGGGCTTGTTCTGGTCGTTTTCTTGGAGGCGGGAGACCATGTCGGCCTTCTTGCCTGTGTGAGGGAGGGATCGAGCCTTGAGGATCTCGACCAGCTCGGCGTTGGTCTTCTTGCTGTAGTCGGTCATTTTGCGATAGATTGCTTGGTGTAGATTCAGGTAGAGACAGGGAGAGGATGATATAGCAAAGATCCCAGGACTTCGTAGATTGAAAACAAATTGGAAATCCAAGACGCGACTGACCCGGGGAGCTTCAAGGCTGAGCAGTTGTGTATGTAATTGGACACCTCAGGCACCAACGACAACATCACATCTTCCCTTCTTTTCGTCTTTTGCCACTCACTTTGCATTCATTGTTTTGATGGATGGCTCTGAAAGACTCGGAGGATTTAAAGCATATTATCAAAGGTATAAAGGAATTAACGCGACATCCTGCAGTTATGATTCGCCTGTTCACTATCTCTGAAGACCACAAAGACGACCCTGCTTCAAAGAACTTCAAAGGCCCGAGGGAGTTCATCACTCGCCTATGATTGGACCCCAGATTAACATATTACTGAAATTTGTACATGAGGGGATTCGGGATTATCGAGAAGATTGAGTAGTGCTTGCGGATTTCCAGAACATCTATGATGGAGGCTTACTACCTGCACGAATGCATCAAGGATGAAAATCACTAGTTCCAAGGCTATATTCGAGCATCCCCTGACGCTTATATAAACTAAAGCTTAATCGATCAAGCTCCGTGAATCTTCTTCATCTCAAACCCAGTCACACCAGGCTGACAATCCACACCATCGGCAACCTCGAAAGATACACCGCAGTATCCATCAATGCTAATAGCAATTCCAATAAAGTTTGTATCATCCTGTCCTTCTCCAGTAGCCATATCATTGCCATCTCTGTCTCGAACAGCACAATTGTCAGGTAACTCTGCATGCGTGTAGCAGTAGAATTGTAACTCTCCTCCCTCTTCCAAGCAGCCGCCGGTGAGAGAGTATAGGGCACCATCACCACCCATGCACGGAGCATAGCCGTCTGGGTAGTCGATATTGTAGACCTGGGATCCGTCTTCCTTGAGGATAGAGAAGCCGCTGTCGTGACCGATCATTGAGCTGCCTGATGGTGGGGAAATGGTTGAGTAGCTTCCGCTGCTCCAGACGGCGTTGAGTTTTTGGCCGCAGTAGCCGGTGGAGGCGAAGAGGAGGGTGCCCAGTGAGAGGGCTTTAGTGATGCTAGGAAGAGACATGATGGTGTTTGTGGAAGCGAAGCTGGGTATTTTGGGCTTGCAATACAAGAATGTTGAGATTTGTGAGGGCTTCCGGGAATTATCTTAATGTAGCTCTTTATAGACCTCTTCACTTCACTTTGGCCCCCAATGAGATATTGAAATATTACGTTGAAGGATAGCCGTTTCATACCCCATAGCCCCCAACTGATCCCCGACATAGTTCCCCAATACGGCATGAAGATCATGAGAAACCCCCCATTTCGGGGATTCATCATCTCTGTTGTTCCTGCATGACATGTACGTCATGGAGGTAAGCACCGGGGAAATGGGACGCCTGATGACATTTCTGCAGGCAATTTTGGCAGATCTACAGGCTCGAAGAATTTGGACTTCTCCTGAAGTCTTGGTATTATATCACACATCTTTGCACAAACTTACTTCAGAAATGAAAAAAGTACTCCATTGAAGTTTCTATGGCAAACAAGGGAAAGATACCGTCTTTCTCTTCTTGCTATGTAGTCTATATTGATGGAAACTGGTCTATGGGCATTGATGGATGAGGGTGATGAGGTAGACTGGATCTGATACCCGTTGGGGGCCAAAAACAGTTGATCGTCAACAAGAAAAGCGCCCCCAGAGAAGCAGGCTTGAGGAGATCTTGGCACTTGTCATCGGTAAAACTGCGTCTTGTTTGAGGGTTCATGAGCAACGTCGTTTGGCGATGTGCATCTCACAGTCTGAGCTCTCGTATGAATCTTCTCGCATTCGGTGCTTGCCTGAAGCTTCGATTCTATCAGGCGATGCTCGAGAATAAAATCGATATGCAGGCTCTGTTGCTGTCACGACATGAGAGAGAAGATGCTTGGCAAATGCGGCAGCAGTGGCAGCTGCATAGTTCTGCCATTCTTTGTTCTTGTGTGAATCGGAGTAATCGCAAATTCCACGGATGATCAAGGATGGCAGTATGTTCACGATGCCTGCAGCTTCCATTTCAAAGCACATTACATTGTACTTCTTCGCGATATTGTCTCTTGTCTCGGCGCTCTTCATCACCTGATTCCCTGATGCAATTAAGCCGTAATGTATGCGCGGATGACTCGTCGATCGCTTGGGCCGATCTTGCATCTTGGATGGATCACAATTATCACAGGTGGGCTGATCTGTAGGGTGTGGATGTTGAGGATGGAAGAGATTGTCATTGGCAGCTCCTGGGTATGAAAATTCAGCATCTTGCTCGCTTATCTGTTGCAGATATGGCTCCAGCGATGAGAGGGAGATACTTGGATCAGACTGCATAAGACTTGACACAGATCTCAGGAAGCGAGGGGAGGGCTGAAGGTGTCCATTGAGCTGAATATTCCCATTTTCCAGCGTCTTGACCATGTCATATTGCAGGACACCGACATTCTCGCCCACCGGCTTGCTGACCACGACATCTCCCAATCGAATATCGTTCGTTGCTGAAGGCGCACCACCTCCAATGCCAACCAACAAGCAGAACTGGAGAGACAGAAACGTTCTCTTCATGTTGGATGCAACATCGGTAGCCGATCCGATGCCATACTCGCCATTTGGAAGACAAGTAGCGACGACGAAGTTATCAGACATGCACCCAAAAACATAGGCATTAGGATCCGTGGGTGGAGCTTGCCTTTTATGGGACTCATCAAACAGCATCCGTACTGCTTTTAGCTCAATAGGGAGTGCACAGATGATTCCAACGGTGTAGGCGTGGGTCGATATCTGGGTGGTTCTCAAAGACAGCATTGCCCTTTTTGCAGGTACTCTATCATAACTCCGGTCCATGCTTTGTATCGAGACTGACTCTGACGAGGACAGACTGTCTCCAATTCCGCTATCATGGGACAATGATTCGCTACCATGATCGGATTTTGGAGCTCTCGGTCTGAATGGCTGTCTCAAAGGCTCTCCTGTGTCAGGCCAATACCACAGGTTCGATTGGTTTTCACCAAAAATAAAAGCGCCGCCGCTTAGTTTCCCGCTTTTTTTCATCGGCGGTAGTCGTCGAGCCAACTTTGATGGCAAAAGAGTTTGAACGATGTCGGAATGTGAGCTCTGATCATTGACTGTACACTCACATCTTGCTGATATTCTATCTGGAACATGCCAGATGATTTGGTCAGTCAATATTGGCGGATTTGAATTCAGATTTCCACAGCAGTTGGTTGCGATTCGCTTTAAGTCCTCGTGGCAGACCGTCAAGTAGGACTTTCCAGTAGGAACCTGACTCCACTCAGTGCATGAAGCACTTGATCGAATGATATCCCCGAACCCAGAGCCAAATAAAGTGACTGCCCGAATAGACCTGATAAGATCTACCCAAGACAGGCCAGCTGGATCTAACTTGGCTTCTTTTGCGTAGATAGGATCACACTCAGATACCAAGTTATTCAACTCCCAGCCTTCCAATCGTGATCTCGGTGCACCCAATGCAGGACAAGAAGTCAAAGCGGCCGATTGCAAGTCAATTGTCTTTTCCAAAACCTCGAACAGCTCAGTGACGTGCTCATCAAAGCGCACACGTTGATCATCATTGTATTCATACACATAGGCTTGCCTATTGGAACCATCACCTAGAGTCCACGACGCAGAGCAAGGCTGATAGCGACGGGGATATTTGAGGTTGTTGCGATCAAACGCCACTGTGCTCATGAAGGGCCCCCCGCCGTCCCGTTCGAGCGAGGCTAGAACAAGATGCAGGAGAGTACTTGTACCATTCACTAGCCAACCACGTTTTTCTTCTTCGTCCCAAAGTAGGAAGAACTTTTGCTCAATCCATTTGAGATTTTTGGTATAATGACTGCCCGCACCACGCACCCTAGAATCCTTCTTGCCGACAGCAAATATTTCCCTGTCGTCGATTGGATGACTCGTTGTGATCGAAGCATTTGCCAACAAACATCCCTTGGAGGCTTTGGGGAGATTTGAGCTCTCGATTTGATAGGATGCATGCGGATCACCTGTCTCCATCAGCACACAGAACTTATGCCTTTTGTTGATATCTCGCCCGAAATAGTCACATACCTGCCATACATATTGCGGCTGAACACCACCCAAGGATGTGACGAGAATGTTCAAGGTCTGCTGGCTGCACCGTGTAATTTGACAGATGGATTCCTTCATTGTACGATACTCTCTCACCGTCCTTGCAGGATGTTAAATGCCACAACATGACGTCGGTGTCACGTTTGATAGACATCAACATTGTCGAGAAGCCTTTGAAAAACAACTTCCCCGCAAAAGGCTGTACATGCGAGGTTCCGACAAGAATTGCCATCAGGCCGATATGCATCTCTAGCCCCGGGTGGAGGATTGATCGCCGCTTGATGGGATATCCTTCAACGACGACAGGGTTTCGAAATAGATCAACCCAGCAAGTTCCATTGGAGGTGGGTGGGCAAATAATTGGCTCCGCAGAAAAGTTAATTTTGCATTTCACTTCTAAATTGGATTTCGGTTCGTCCATGACTTGGGGTAAGAGAAAAGGTCGGCAGGTTGCCGGTCGGTCTTCGACGGGAGAAGAGCGAAGGGCCGAGCCCATCCATGAAAGAATCACGCCCACTTCAATGACCCAACTCGAAATGCCAATGACAAGAACTTGAATAGAGTATTTTTTACTCCTATTGGCCTCTTCGAGTAATTGGGCTGAAAGTGAAGTGTGATCTGGCAGTGATGCTTTGCGTATGTTAACAACAATGCTATCCAGAGAACACCGGGTCCTTGACTCACAGAGCGATTCACTTGAAGGGTATTTCTTGACAAGGTCTTGAATGAGTTGAAGAACCTGTATCCCACTAGAAGGCCAAGTCTGCCGGAGATACCCAGCGCATGTCGATGCTTGGGCCATGGCAGTCGACCCAGTCAGTACTATAGCGTTTGCCAATGCATTCTCTGGGCCCTCCAAATACTCTTGCTCCTTTATGAATGCGATAGGGTCCCATTCAACAACGAAAGTGACATGGAAACGCTGTGGTGTCGCCTTTCGGCTAACCTTCCGGGATATGGGAAGCATTTGAGAGATGCCGCGCGAGATACTCCCAAGGATATCAACATCTGTAGACTGCGTCGCACACTCTCTGTTGAGCTCTGAAAAGAACTTGCCATATGCTGGACTAGAGTTTAAAATGGCTTCGTAACGCTCAAGCCCAGGCAACTCTTCGTCCAGTATATCGTCCTCTGACTGCGCATCTGAGAGGTCTTTGCCCTCTTGCTTTGTCACTTTGGATTCTTCGAGGTCGTCATTCGCATGCCATCTTCTCAGCTTCTCTGTCAAGGACATCGCTTCAGATTTATCTCGATTTTGCCATGACTTCTGCTCACTTGACAACATCTCCTGGCAGCTTTCTGCAATAGTCCTATACGATATGTTAATCTTCCTTCTTTTTGTCTTGTCTATCTCGTTTTGATTTCAAACTTACTTTCGGTTTTTCCGAATGAAGTACATCAGGTCCAAATCCAGCGAGGATTCAGCATTTTCACCAATGCTCAGTGACAGGTCTTTCAGCAAGGCTGGCATCGCCTTGCAAACTTGCTCTTGAATGTCATCTTGGGTAATGTTGATTTTCAGTCTCTCCGATATCGCCTTTGCGATTGATTTCACATAAGCAATCTTCGATGAGCCCGTAACTGAAGATGCTGTGGAGTAGATGCTGCCTTCCTCCTCAATCTGGGCTAGAGACTCAATTGCTTCGCCGGCGGCTTCCCCATCCGCCGTGAATACTATTTCCATATCATGCTGTCTCGGCCAGCTGGTGATTCCAGAAGTAAGCTGAGGAGGTTTGTTGCGTATTTGGTCCTTGTCGTTGGTTGCCACACTCTTTCCCGGGGCACTCGAGCCATACCCAGAATCCACAAATTTGGATTGTTGATGATGCGGCGGTACGCGAGAGGGAGTGTGATTTCCAGGCATTTCATCAACTCCACTGTGCATCTGTTCCAAATTTTGAGCTTGTGTAGCAAGATTTCTCTGCTGCTGCTGCTGGCTCTTTCCTCGATCGCGGCGCATCACCTCAACGGTCCACGCTTTGGCTGCCTTTTCCAGACCTGGGCCATATTGTTGCGCAAGGCTTGGCGGGTACTGATTGGGTGCGCCGTAGTGGGACTCGTATTCACATCGCATGCGAACCAGTCTCTGATGATAAAGGTCTGTATAATTGCCTGGGGGGTGTAGAAATCTCCCATTTTGGTCCATCTGGAGCACACGTCCCTGATATGGAGCCGTAAAAACTTGTTGCTCATCTGGTTGATCTTGCGCGCTTTGCCTCTGCTTCACAATCTGCATCTGAGCATACTGGGAACGCATGAGCTGCGCTTGGTAGGCATGCTTTGCTTTTTGGGGAATCATCTGACGGGACTGGCCACTTTGCTGCTGTTGATCTTCGAGGAGCCCCATTTGCTGTTGAGCTTGATGTTTTTGTATGTTTTGCTGGGCGTTTGCATTGGCTTCCATTTGAGCAAATTGTTGTGGCGTATATTGATTGGGCTGCATTTGACCTCGCTGTGCTTCAAGAACTTGAATCGCACTTTGGTGCAACATCGTCTCTAGATGTTGGTGGGGTGTGAGCTGCATCGTCCTGGTAGATCGGGGAGAACCGTTCGATTGAAAGACGGAGTCCGCTGTGCCTCCGGGTCTGACTAGTCTTTCCCCTGCCCAATGATGTAAAGTTCAGTTCTCTTTCTGTGGTCGTTTCTTTGGATGAGTCCTTCCAACTTACAATCTGGGTCGCCTTTGAGGAAAGAATCAAGATGTCTAATATGACTGCTGACTTGCTTGTTCGTACGCGTCTTCCCAGTCAATCGCTCAATGTGTTTAGCGATGAACTCATTACGCCCAGGCCCGTCCTTCGTCCCCTGTTGCCTTTGCTGTGAGTCCCTTTCCATGAGGGCTATTCTTACGAAGCACCCAAAAAGTCAATGGTAAACTCCAACGGATACGGGATAGTGAGAACTGACCTTGTTGAAACGCATGTTCAATTTCGTCGGACCAGACTATCTCACCATCTTTGCCAATTCCACGCGCTGGTTTTGCTCTATATTCAAGATACGGACGTGATCCGAGATAGCCTGGTCCATCGAGCCGGAAAGCGCGTTCCGGGCCTCGTGCTATACCCGTTGCGGTCGATGGTTCGATCTTACTTTCATCTCCAGTCGGTTGAAAGCTGTTTATGTCCATATTTGAGACCCAAAAGAGTCATTGCCAGAGGCCGAGTTGAATGAGTCGAATTTTGATTTCGACGTATAATCGAGACAGAATAAGAGGGGCTATGCAGCTCAGCCGCAGCGCTTGGGCAGCGCTACAAGCGCTCTCCGAGTCAAATTCGCCATGCATGGAGCTGCAAACTAGTCTACTCCCGTCTACGAATCAAATAGACCTTATAATCGTTTTGATTAAGTATTACCCAGAGGCTAGTAAGAAAGACCACATGAAGGGCAAAAGGGAGAAATAAATTGCAGAACGCTCCCCACGTACTCCGTGTGGTCGAATGTGATTACTTCGCTGTGCTAATTTTGCGATTCATTTCTTGCCAATTCTAACCCAGTGGTGCTTTTCCCGCTTTGATCGATACGGTTTAATTGTGGATTATGCGCGCTCTTAATATTGGAAACAGTAACTCTGGGAACCTCCAGGTGTCATAGAGCTTGTTGGGCAACTCTGCTAACATCTCCTTCTCCCAAACTTCGAAACACTCGTTTATGCTGCTCCAAAAGAACCAGTGTTGCAACAGTCTGAGGCCCAAGTCGAGCAAAGCTAGGGGTCCAGCCTCGAAATATCCATCTGATCCCTTCAGTGATGGTGAGATCCTTGGTGACTTGAACAACCCCCACTGCGCCCGAAGACCCCATCAACTGTGTCTTGATAACATCGATCGGACTGCATACAGTGGTAGCAACCAGCGCCGCCATGAAGGAAGCTAAAAAGTGTAGCCCAGGATGATCACCGGAGATCCCAGTGCTTGCAACTAATAGATCCCTAAAACTATCGTATGAAGCAAGCTGGCAGCTGGTCATCATACCACAGCGGAAAGCGTTGGGCCATAAGCCTTGTGCAAATGCTCTCCGGCCTTCTTGTCGTTTGATCTGTGCCCACGCATCGAAGATGTGACGATAGTTTCGCCGAAGGTGGGGAGGTAGTGAGCCATCGTTCTGCATCCGGATATTACCGATATCTGAGGCATTTCCAAAGATTGCACCAGTGAACCCTGATATTCCCGCAAGTAATCCCAGCACGGGTGGAGAATTCGGGATGTTGTTTGCCTTCGTCTGCTCTTTCAATGTCTCGTAGAGACCGATGCGGACTGAGCCATATGTCACTATCAAACAAATCAGCAGGAATTAAGATCAATGACTTAGACAAACTGACACTGTCTCATAATTCCAGCAGAAAGCTTGAGTATATCAGCATAATAAATTCAACACCACGCTTAGGGGCCACTTACCCCATTATAAAGCGCAGAAACACCTTCTCCCCGAACAACTCGGATGCAAGTCGCAAGAGTGTTTGCTTTTGCTCCAGTCTCCATCTGCATCCTCACTTTGACTGATTTTGTACTTATCAGTCTCTTGATTCATGCCCGGGTGGGTATACTCACTCAGGTCCAGAGGGTGGGAGACCAGCACAGCCATGCATGATGCAGAGCCCCCAAACCATTTGGGATATTTGATGTGAGACTCTGCTGATTTGGCCATAGTTACTAATTGTCTTAAAGAACAAAGATAACCCCTATTATTTGCTTTTCTAGATGCTTTTGTATATGTTGCGGTTACATATAGCCGATTTGGAGTCCTCCCCAAAAAGCCGTCCTGCATGCGGGGATTGCCGAGCGATCTCTGGAGTCAATATTTTGGTAATGCAATGGTCAGATCTAGGCTAAATGTAAGTATTGAGCGGTGTTTACGGCTACCAAATAGTTCACTTCCCAGGCTCCCACTCGTGCTAAAAGCCTTCGAAGATAGCAGCCTACGCCAGGAAACACAGCTCACAGAAGAAGAATCGGGTTCACTATACACAGGGCTTATTGAAGCAGTAGTTGGGGGAGATAAAAGCAGACACACAAAGGAGAATGACAAGACATAATAGCACAACGCCATGGGAAGAAAACATGGAACATTTGGTACACCCAGGCCAGCATCGAAAGATTGAGGGTTTACAGATCACTCAAGGAAAAAGCTGGTTCCTCGTTTCGTCTTTGCCCCCAGCACAGGCGAATCTAACCATCTAAGAGTGCCATGGGAAGGTTTTCTTCAGTTTTGGTTTTTCGTTTTAATTATTGCGTTGCCAACTTGGTTTACCGGTCAACCTCACCGAACACCAGATCCATAGTACCTAGTTGATTGTTAGTAGATATTTCTGGGATCGCAGGATGTGGAAACTTACCGATAATAGCGACAGCATCGGCGAGAAGGTGACCACGAGACACCTGGTCGAAACCACCCAAGTGGGCGAAACCAGGAGCACGGATCTTACAGCGGTATGGACGCTCGCTGCCATCGGAGACAAGGAACACACCCATCTCACCCTTGGGGGCCTCAATGGCGGAGTATGTCTCACCAGGGGGCACGGAGTAACCCTTGGTGAAGAGCAGGAAGTGGTGAATGAGAGCCTCCATGTTCTCCTTCATGGCGGCACGGGGAGGAGGAGAGATCTTGTAGTCCTCAACGCGAACGGGGCCCTCGGGCATCTTGTTCAGGCACTGGTGAATAATGCGGAGGGACTGGCGGAACTCCTCCATACGGCAGAGGTAACGGTCGTAGCAGTCACCGTTAACACCGACGGGAACATCGAACTCGACCTGGTCGTAGGCATCGTAAGGCTGCGACTTGCGGATATCGTAGGGAACACCGGATCCACGAAGCATGACACCAGTGAAACTCATGCTGAGAGCATCAGCAGCGTTGACAACTCCGACACCCTGGGTACGGGCCTTCCAGATACGGTTGTCTGTGAGCAGCTCCTCGGTTTCGTCAATGCGGTCACCGAACTGAGTAGCCCACTGGTAAATGTCGTCAAGGAGACCAATGGGGATATCCTGCGAGACACCACCGGGGCGAACGTAGGCAGCGTGAAGACGAGCACCGGAGACACGCTCGTAGAATTCCTAAAATATCCATCAGAAATCAATGTATCAAGTGAATGGCAATTGGTAGCTCTTCAATTACTCACCATGAGCTTCTCACGCTCCTCGAAACCCCACAAGAAAGGAGTAAGGGCGCCAACGTCCATAGCGTGAGACAGGACGGACATGAGGTGGTTCAAGATTCGGGTCATCTCGCCGAAGAGGGTACGAATCCACTTGGCGCGCTCGGGAAGCTCAACGTTCAGAAGCTTCTCAACAGCCAGGGAGAAGCACTGCTCGTTGGTCATCATGGAAACGTAGTCCAATCGATCAAAGTAAGGCAAGGCCTGCATGTAAGTCTTGTACTCAATCAACTTCTCGGTACCACGGTGAAGCAGACCGACGTGGGGATCGGATCGGACGATCTCTTCACCATTCAGCTCCAGAATCAAACGGAGCACACCGTGAGCAGCAGGGTGCTGGGGACCGAAGTTGACAGTGTAGTGACGGATCTTGCGGTCGATCCCTTCGGCCGCGGATTCCAGGCCAGCGGCATCGGGGTCCTCGGTTACGGGCTTGTTGGCCAGAGAGGTGAAAGTAGGGTCGGTAGGCACAAGTCGTGTGGCCTGGTAAGCGGCAGCCTCTGCATGACGGCGGGGAACAGAGGTGGTTATCGAGCGAGAACGAGGAATGGATGTGTTCAACGAGGAGGGGCGGAGGCAGAGTCTTTTGGGCGCATTGCCCGCCAGGCGGGCGAAAGAGGCGGCCATGAAGGATGAGTAGTGGGAGGTCCGAGGGGGAAGAGAGGGGAGATGATCCTCAAACCAGGCGCATTCAATGGGTGGAGATGGCTCGCTACGGAAAAGGACTGGTAAATTGAAGTTGGCCCGGAGTCGCGCATTTTGGCTCGTCACGTGAAGAGCTGCCGGGTCATCAGCCCGATTCTGGTTGGCTTGCTGCGGTGTCTATACTGTATTGGCACTAGTGATGCGCCATACTATATTAGGTAAGGTGACATTCCAATTCCGACATAGCCAGCACAAACATATTTATGCAGCTCACGTAATCCATACTTATGTCCACAGAATAAAGACCTACCTTCTGCCTCAGGCAACATAGAAAATTGCTTCGAGAAATTCCTCTTATCGGTGATCGCGGATTTTACCCTCAACCTTCACCAAGCCCTCTATAATTGCCCACCATGGCGCCTCTTGTCCCCTCGCAGGAGGAGCTGCAGCGTCGCCGAGTATGTTCAAAAAGTCCAGGAACTATTATATATGCTAATAGTCCTAGATCATCGGCATTAATGCTGAAACCGTCACCAATATCCCCTCCACAGATTTTCCCGGTCACTGGCCCGGAGAGTCGCATGGCTGGGCAGTCGACGAATTCCAGAAGGTATGTCCTACAATTCCTTCGGGGGCTATCAGATGTGCGATCCGGTCAGTACTAACCCTTCGCACCAAATAGAATTTCCAGGTCGAGTTCCACCGCAATGACCAATTCGAGGCTTCCTTCTCGCTGATCGGACTCGATGCCTCGGTCGCCAATGCTTTCCGCCGTATTCTCATGGCCGAAATCCCGACCATCGCCATTGAAGATGTCTTCATTCACAACAACACCTCTGTCATCCAAGACGAAGTGCTCGCACAACGACTGGGTCTGATCCCGCTGAAGGGTTCCGTCGAGGGAATCAATTGGATGCAATGGTTCAAGAAGGCCACAGAGGAAGGCGGAGAGGAAGACGGTCCTTGCGATTTCAACACCATCGTGCTCCACCTCGATATGGAATGCTACAAGAATGAGCACGCAGCCAAGGACGAACAGGACCCCCGCAAGCTCTACACCAACGCCCACGTCTACGCCAAGGACCTTATGTTCACTCCTGTCGGTCGTCAGGAGCAATACTTCGTTGGTGATGGTGCCATTGCGCCAGTTAACCCTGACATTTTGATCGCCAAGATGCGTCCTGGCCAGGCTATCCAGATGGAACTTCACTGTCAAAAGGGTATTGGTGCCGATCACGCCAAGTTCTCCCCCGTTGCCACTGCCTCATACCGTCTCCTGCCCGATATCAAGATCGAGCGCCCTATCATCGGCGACGACGCGAAGAAGTTCGCCAAGTGTTTCCCCAAGGGTGTGATTGGCCTTGAGCCCGTCACCTCCGCGGAGGCTGCGCAACGCGGAAGCGGATACGAAGGCCACTCTGGCGAGCAGAAGGCTGTCGTGAAGGACGCTTTCTCGGATACCGTTAGCAGAGAGTGCTTGCGCCACGACGAGTTCAAGGACAAGGTCAAGCTCGGACGTGTGCGTGACCACTTCATCTTCAACGTCGAGAGCACTGGTCAATTCGACAGTGACGTCCTCTTCCTGGAGGCCGTCAAGGTCTTGAAGCTCAAGTGCAACCGGTGGAAGAGAGGTCTGACCGACCTGATGGCTTAGGCTAGCACTCTACACCTTATTTATGCATTCTCGGCGTTGGATATATTGGCTACGTTTGCGCTGTACATTTACGAAAAGTTTGGTCGGGACTCCGCTTCACGAGGCTGGAGTGTGGATGCTGTTAATTGTCTTGGAAAAGAGCAGGCTAGCAGCTATCTTTTGAATTGAACACAAGTAACTAGAGCTTGCATTGCTGGTCATAATGTAGTTGGTTGTGGTAAACTTCTCATCAACAGGACCGCGAAATCCCTCAACTGAAGTTGAGGCGGAAGCGGAAATCGATAGTGTAGGCTGGGTCACTAACGGCGATCTCTTGGCCGTCCTCAATCAGATCTGCCAGCTTAAGTTTCAAGTTATGTCTTGTCGATTCTTCCAGCTGAGGTGGGAAACGTTGGTAGAGGGTCTTCTCTTCGGTCCGCATGCTCGGTTTCTTCAGTTGAGACTCGGCCCTCTCACCCAGACTCTCAATGAATTCACCCAGTGTCATATTGCGATCCACGTTCATCTTCCGAGCAAGGTTACCACACACAGGACAGTCGGACTTTTTCTCAGCCTCGAAGGTGTAGGTGTACACCCCTTCCTCGCCGGCATACATCATGTAGTTGTCCAAGTATGGGTTGCAGGAGCTAGCAATCTTGAGCACCTCGGAAGTAGTGGATGCAGCAATTACGGCATTGGTTGATGCAATAGCGGGAATGATGTTTTTGACAACGCCCTGGGTCATCTGGAAGGTGACACCATGGATGTGGAAGTGCTGTGCACGTTCATAGGCGGCATTGTACACCCACGAGATATGTTCCATGTCATCACTGTCAAAGGTATCATCTTTGCGCTTCTCTTGCCATGCAATCTGATGGGCCCATTCAATGCAATGCTGGGGCTGACGTGGAATAGTGGCAATGGTGCAGAGGGGAACTGCTGGACGAGGGGCGTGCATATCAAGTTGACACTCAATGCATGATGATAAAGTTGGCAGAATAACACGTGCCTGTCCCTTGAAACCTGTTTTGAATTAGTTCTGTCCCTGGATGGAGTAGCATAGTAGGTCGTACCTTCAGTTCCTCCGTCGACCAACGGCTTCAAACTCTCAGGGTCTTCCATGTCGACCATCGAGATTAGTGTGGCGTTGATCCAGCGGCGGGCTTCGATACTGTCCAGCCCACAGATTACAATCTTAAACTGCATGTAGTAATCTTCATCCTTATCCTGGATTTTGCCAACATAGGGCGTGATGGTGACTCCCTTCACTCTCTTTTGGACGAAAGCGGCAGCAACTTCGGCTTTGGGCTTTCCAATATCCGCCTGGCGGAAGAGGAACTGGCGGTTTAGATTTGAAATGTCAATGGTGTCTGTGGATTGTAAGCCTCCCGCTTTGGCAAAAAGAGCTCAACCCATACCCATATCAATCACATGGATGTCTTTGAATCCGGAGAGAGCGAGGTTCTTCAAGATTTCACATCCTAGTCCTCCGGCGCCACTGCATTCTTGTTAGTCCGCTGGCGGGGGTATCAATATCTGGCCAGGCCGACACACATTACTCTAGTAGCCAAGTTAGTAACAGTGATGTCTGTCTACACGATACATCCACTTACAGAATCTTGGATGACTCGAGAGACTGGATGGTCTCTGGTCCAGGGACCCAATCTTCATCTGTATAAGGCCCGGGTTTGCTTAAAACATTGTAAAGGTGCTTCCTGTGGGGTAGACATTAGAGATGAACAACATCCAGAGTGGCGGCAACTAACCATCGACCCTGCTGATCCACGACCGGAGCCTCTGGACTTCCCGGGGTTTCAGCATCCAGATCCATCTTGATAATGTTCTCTGTTGCAAGTGATGAAAAGTATAGGTCCGATCACCTATCAAGTCGCGGTCGGCTGTTGAGCCCTTAGCTTGGAGCTGGTACTTGGGATGGCGAGGAGCTTACCTTGAAAGAGCACTGGAAATGGACACGGGTCAGTTTTTTTCGAATAACAAAAGCAGAAGTCTTTGCACAAAGTATCGCGAAGTCCAAAGTGACAACGCTCACCTGGACCTCACCTGGCGTGGGCTGCTGACTAACATGCCCGCATACTGGAAACTTCACCTCCACAGCCTTTCGTCGAAAACAATATTTTGGTGCGAATGAATATGGAGGGTCTTTTGACAGAAGTGAAGACAGTCAAGCGGGATCCAGACTCTTTCATCACCCCTGCTGCCCCCGCTCAAGTCTCAACACAACACCTAGATCTCGACCACCTATCATCCCGTCATATCATAGATCTACTCAAGTCAAACCCCGATCGTGAGCAACTGTCTGCCATCCTAGCATGGATTGATCCTTTCAGCAAGCCCAAAACTCCAAGGGACTTTGATCTTCGACTTGCAAGTCCCACCACAGCTCAGATTCTCCAACTGTTAGTCAGCACTACGATTCCCACCCATTGGGGATTGCTTGATGCCAAAGAGAGCAAGGGGAAAGATTCGAAATCTCGAGCAGCATTATTGAGATGTCTGAGCAGCGTTGCTGGAGTTGGCTCCCTGGTAGCCCAGCTGCGGACTCTGATCAGCAACGCACGCGCCTCCGCCCACCAAGCCCAAGGCTCAAGTAGCCAGCTCGGCATTCGCGAGCTTTTGGCTGTACTAGCGGCTTTGTTGGAGCCGAGGGACTTCTTGCTCAGACTTTCCTCGGACATATCGAAGATTTATGATAACAAGACCAAGCAGCAGGTTGCGTGGCGAGAGCTTGTGTCCCTTGTTGCTGCCGGTAAGACATTGTCTACAGCGGCTGAAGCTCTTACTGTTCTTGATGAACCTCCACCATCTTCGGTCTCATGGGTCGGTACTGGTTCTCAGTACGCGGTGTGGGTTGGCCGCAATGTTGCCCATATGGCAGTCAAACTCAGCCAGGATGACGAAAACAGCTGGGGGTCACTGGCTCTTTTCACAGGCAGAGCCTTGAGTCTCGGCTATACTGGTCAGTATGAAAGACTGTTTATTATGGTCCCCAAGCTAACATGACATAGATCAACTGGTCAAAGAGATCTACACGGGTCTGCTTCTCGAGCACCTCTTGCATGAGCCTTTTGCCTCATTACTTAATCGACTCAAATCGATGGAGCAAACTTCTTTCATTGAAGCGGTCTTCCGCGATGTTCAGCGAAAGCACTTCTCAGACGATTTATCCGGGCCAGTGGGCCACCCAATGGCTTCATCGGAGACTATCAAGGCAGTCGCAGCTCTATCCTACACTGTCCTCACTTCTCGATCCAATTCGGAGGCTCTGGTCATTGAATGGCTCTCCAAATCACAAGGCGGCTCAATCAGTACTTTGGGATTACGTCGCGCGCTTTTAGCCGCATATAGTAAACGCAGCGGTTGGTCTTATACGGTCTTCTACGGTCTTGAAAGGCAATGTCATAGCTAACAACTGCCACAGATGTACTCAAGTCGGTCCTCGATCGCAGTTTGGAAAATTTTGGAGACAAATTCTCTATCAAACATGTTCCAATGGTTGTACAAAATGGTAAGTCCGCCCTTGATGCCTCGTTTGAAAAAGACCAGATTCTAAAAGACCTATCAGCAAATGCGCAAACGATTCTTCTTGCTGCCGGTCATCTCCATCGATTGAAAAAACAAATGGTGCAAGAATCAGGCCGGTCAAGTGCATTCTTAAACGCAGTCTCGAACCGACTAGCTGCGTCTTCAAACAGAGCTCGGTTCCTTGGTATGGTCGTTGGAACGGGAATGTCCGCCCTCATCGAAGAACCAGAAAAAGCTCTGAAGTTCGACCTTGAGGAAATGAGAAGCGAAGAAGCACAGTGGTATCTGAGTCTGACCAACGTTTCAGATGAGCTTGGGTCGCTTAGAACATCCCTGGAAATGTTGCGAGAGACCCAGTCCAAGAGGCCAGAACAGACACGGCCGAAACTAGCACCGAAACCAAAAGCCCACGCTCAGCGTCAAGGAACAAGCAAGATTGTTGCAATTGAAGAAATAGAGGACAGTGATGAGGATGAGGATGATGACCTCATCCCATATGAGAAGCCAGACGACGATGCATACGATTCTGATGACGATCCCACGTTAATTCAACGAAACAAACCAACTGCGCCTGTGTGAGTATTGATTCACTGAAGTACAATTCGCATGAAAATGCTAACAAATGTCAGATACATCCGCGATCTGATCCCAGCCCTTAGAGACACCGAAAATGTCGAACGGCATCATCTTGCCATTACGACAGCCCCATCTTTGATCCGTCGCAAGATTGGCTTTGGTACCGAACTTGCCGAACAGATTGAGGAGCTGGCCTTGACAATCGTTGGTCTTCAAAATGACAACAACCACCCGACATTCCATGAATCTCGCCTACAGAGTATGATCGCATTGATTGTGTCCCAACCCTTCAAAATGGGCCGCTGGTTTACTGCTATCTACTTTGACGGAGACATATCTCAAGTGCAAAGATCTGCTGTACTTACTGCACTGGGTCTCAGTGCTCGCGAGATTGCTGGCAACGGAGAGGATGACACCAAGGCATTGAATCTACCTGATACTGGCGATACATCATTCCCATCCAAGCGTCTGTCGCCTGCGTTGGAAGCCATGTATTCTGACCCCAAAGAGTCCCCAATTGCAACGCTCACACGCGAAATGTCCCGCACGTCGTTGCAGCCACTCGCAGCAAACGCAGCAGACGCAATGACGGGCCCCAATGCTCTTAAAGTGCGCACCTTCTCGTCGCGCATGGAAGTTGAAAAGAAACGCCAGCAGCGTGATACGCAGCGCCAAAAATCCACAATAAAGGATCTGCATAAAGTACTGGCCGAAGGCTTCTTCTTCCCGATGCAAGGTCGATTCGAGATACTCATGCTGCATCTTTCATCGTATGTTGCATCGCCCCAATCCGATTCCTCATACTGACATGATAGCAGTTCATCCAACTCTTCATACAACCCATTCTTCATCCCCCATCTCCTGACCCTATTCCTCCAAACCCTCACTCTCATCCTCTCCACAACAGGCCCCAGTAGCCCCTTCCTACCCGGCCTCACTCACGAAGCCCTCTCGCTCCTCCTTTCACTGCACACGGCTTCAGCATCCAGTGAGCCAACGGTAACCGCCGCTCTACTATCGTTGTTCCTGGCTGTGGTAGACCTCAATATTGCATCAGGCTCGAATGGCGAGGAACGTCTTGTGACTGAGTATGCGACTCGGGTAATCGAGCTACGCGAGTGGGCCTCTCAAATTTTCGACAGGACGCCACCCTCTGCTGCATCGGCCGATCCAAGATCCGCCGTCACTGATCCACAGGAGCAGATACGTACGCTCTCTGCTGGTGTGATGGTGCGACTTGGGGAGGTCATGGAGCGATACCAAGGCCGATTGATGGGTGTGCATTCTGGATTTAGCTATTAATTTGATGAACCGCTTGTAGTTACCTACGCAAGTTGACTTGGTACAAGGTCATATGTACCGGATAATGCCTGGCGCTCGAGACTTTTCCCTTTCCATTTTAGTGCTCACCTCTTGCCGCTTTTTGATCTCGGAGTAAAACTGAGCCCTGTGCCTGATATACGGTGGAAACATGAATGACTAATGTGGGGCATGCCTACGAGTAGTCTCAATACCATTTTATTCAGACTAATCGCTGGTTCAGAGCTTTGAGCACAAGAATCCATTCTGAAAATTTTGGTCAGATTTTACCTCTGCGATGTACTGTACCTACTATAGGCCCAAGAAAAAGCAAACACAATCTGCATTGACCATCTATCAGCTGAATTTGAGGTAGTGTCACCTTAAGTGCCAAGCTACTAGTTTGTGCGCCTTGCAGCGATCTGATCTCGAACCTTACACCATGTAGTAGATAAATCCTATATACAGATCCCAGCTTGATGAATAATGTGAGACATCAATATAACTAGTACCGCGGATACACGGCATTTGAGTATTTTAGCTGCATACCTAGTCGCTGAATCGACCCGCATATCCAAGAAGACATTTCTACCATCACTCCCTTTTTCACTAGGTAACTTGGATCAGCCTGATCCGTAATAGCCCCGTGGGATAGACGGCACTCTAGTTTAGAGATATGTAGATCATTCATAGTTGGTAGCCCAGAAACATCCGATAAGTATATCTAGAATTTTTTCTCCGCCTGGTAACAACTTCAAATCGTTGAACACTTGTCCTCTACCTAAATTCAAGGCCACGCTCGAGTTAAGATGGCAATAACCAAACTATACCTCACAAATAGGATCTCCCTTATAAGTGTGCACACAAATGCTTTTGTATGAACGGTATCTTCGGCTTGAATCAATGTCACACTATTTGAGTGTTAGCAAATAATTGTGATCAACGAAAATCCTAACTAGGATTTTCAAGAGATTTTTTACAATGGTAGGAACCAGACAAAGGAAGTCATATAAAACAAATTGCTCATCATGTCCAGCACCTACCTGAGGATCTTTAAATATTCCTGAAACTTCGGTACAAACATCATATGTGTAGTCATAGGTGGTTGTTTTGCAGGTACAGCTCCAGCCCTTGCCTATAGCCAAGGGAAGCCTAGGAACAAGTTACTTTAAGCCACCGGTTAAATGATAGGATAACCACGTACCATGAAGCCATGATCATAGCTGTGACAAATGTTAACTTCATTTTAAGATAGAAATGTATAGAATTTGGAGTGTTTTGAAGCCCGCAGAGAGATTGAGATTTAGGTGATATGGAACAATGAGAAATTGATGACAAGGGGGAGGCGAGATTTATATATGCAGAGACAAGGAGAGCTACCCCATACATAACTGGAAACTAGTCAGGTTTCATTTGTCTTGAGCATATAGTACAATACTTATTGATAGGCTCCTTACCTCTATAAGGTAATCTTAAAACTCTGTAGTCATTGCAATAATCGAACCACAAATTCAGAACTTTAGAAGGCAAGGGGATTGATGATCATACCCTCTTGCGGATGTAGACTTCCACATCTTCTGCCCAACACTTCAGTCCCACCTTCATGCCACCCCTTATTACAGTCAACTAAATGCCGGACACTAATTGCCACTGCTGTAAAATTTCTAGATGACTCGATCGTATCCGTCAACTTCCCGCTGAATTACCTTCAACACCTTTGGAATCAGGTCAGTTGTCATAAGTAATTTGCGACGATTCGTCAAAAGCGGATCCCATTCGAGCCCTACTACAGCATCTTTGCAGATCGCCTTCCCGCGGAGCGTAGAGCACCCCCGTCCAGCAAGAACAGCACAGTTACTTAAGTATGCACAACAGGAGACCATTATATAGGCAGATAAATAGCAGCCCAAACAAAAACAGGCCAATCTTATTAGTATTACTGAGAACAGAAGTGCAAGAAAGGCAGGCTATAAGAAGGCCCTTGGTCTAGATTATACATCTACTCTTGATATTGTTAATGACTTTAGCAATCTCTACTCTAATCAGGGCCAGCTCAAAGAGGCCGAAAAGTTGTACCATCGAGCAATGGCAGACACTGAGTGATCAGAGTAGGTACCTAGGTACAGAGTGGCACTGAGTAATCAGTGAGCATCCAATGAGCATTTACATAGTATCAGTCATCATGCACGTGACTGCTCTAAAGCTGATCACTGACTCTGAGCTCGTGCTGATATCTACTCTGAAAGCCTGAGCCTGAGCACCCTCATTAAAGCGGCGGCAGCCCAAATAGGAAATCCCCACCCGCCAGGGAAAATCCGGTATAGTTGCATATGTCAAATGTATGATTGATATGGAAAGAATAATCTACCATCTACTTGTGAACTTGCAAAGTTGTCATGAAATGCAGATGTTGCCTGACTACTCCCGAAAATGACATATCCTTCTGAACGCCATAGATTAATCTATTTACTTCGCGTCAGCCGGACCAAAGCTGCCCTTCTCAATAGCTGCCTCCATCATGCGGTCACCACTAATGATACTCGTGGTACAGATAACGATCTTCCTCTTCGGCGCTTCCTGGGCAGCAATAAAGCGCAGCGCGGCAATTTCCGTAAACGTAATACCACCAAGGAAGAAGACATACACAGTCTTAGTGCCCGAGTTCCCGCTGAGGGTCTGACGCGCGCGGACAGCCTTGTCATCACCTTTCTGTACAATGCTGAATGTCGCACCTCGTGCACTTTTGACCACATCCTCGAAACCAAGCCAGCCAGGAGACATTGTGCTGGCGTTGTTGAGCGCAGCAGCCGGCGTCCCTCCTTTGATAAGCGAAACCATGTATGATTTCTGAAGAACGCATTGAACTAGGCGGACGCTCAGTGGCGCAAAGCCACTGTACACATAGGAGATATCGTTGGGGTCCTTTTCGCTGACTTCCTCGATGACAAGACGGAGGTTCTTGCGCAGGTATCCGTAGTTTGTCTTACTTCCTGCCTGTGCACCCGAAGTCGAGAGAAGCATGGTTGTAGCTGGAGATCGAGGTTGGAGCAATTCCATTTTCTCCAGCGCCCAGAATGTGAGAAGATGCTGGTGGCCGTATGCTTGAACGATTTGTCGCTTAAAGTTTTCTAAGTCGCGTGGGCGGAGACCTCCAGACATGCACGATTCCAGACATAGCAGCCGTAGAACTGTTTTTAAAGGAACATCTCGGGCAATAAGTTCTTCGATAGTCTCGTGCTGGTATGTCGAGTCTGCGCCGGCAGCGTTGTTCTGTTGGACTTCTAAGGTTTTGCGGAATGTTTCGGAGCGCGTGAGTCGCATTATTTCTTCTGCTAGGTTGGTGTGGGTTCGTAGACTCTGGTGCTCCAGTTGATATGTTGGCAACCGGTTCACGAACTCTCGAAGTTCACCGGTTGTTTTAGCTGTGTGGCGGGTCTCGTATTCATTCTCCAGGCGACGCGCAACCTTGTTCAATATATCACCCACGATTGCGAAGTTTGCGTCTCGAAGCTGATTGAACAATTGATCTGAGGCATCCAGCTGAACCTTCCGTTTAGGCGGACCATGCTGCTGGGGTGACTTGGATGATTCCTGTGGCTGGGGTGCCGATGCAGGACCGACAATGCTTGTGTCGACATCTGCCTGGTTGTTCTTGATACCGACGTATTCATCAATCAACCCTTCATACGTGAGTTGCGTGAGAAGAGCAGTTCCAAAGTCCACATCACGATCTATGATGATCAGGCTCTCTACATTGGAGCTGGGCAATAATCCCCGTGCAGATGGATCGGCTAATCCAGAGCTTTCCTCTGCATCGAGTTCTTTCCTCATGCGTAGCAGCAGGTCTGTCAAGCGGCGGGCATTATCGCCCTTTCCAACAATCCGTGGGAAATACCCGTGGCGCTGTTGGATGCCCATGAGAGCCTTGGCGGCATGGAATATGCACCCGGGATCTTTATGCTATTTTGCATTAGACAAAGATAGAATATAGCAACGACAATTGTCCACTTACCAGATATAAATCGCTAAATGAATCGTCCAGTTCTAGCGACAAGACATCTTGTTCTAAAGGCATGAACAGCAGTGGGAGTTCGGCGATATTCACATCCCCGGTTATACCGGCCTCTTCCAATACTGCATTGCCCACAAGAGTCCGTCTTGGAGAAAAGAAGATAGAGAACTCATGCTCAACGTTGCCGTTGTTCTGCAAACGTTTAATCTGCTCTGTTGAAAGAATAAATGTCAGCTCATCCTGATGGCGCTCAATGTAGATGTCTTAAAGATGCCCTAATGAAATGAGCCTGAATGTTGTTGATAATTGGTATATCAATATAGGGAGAAAATGAACCAGATTGCATAGAGTGGGCGAAGATCTGCGTAATCTGGCAACGACCCATAATAGATCCTCAGGAAGATCCAGTCCACGGCTTTACAGACCGAGAAAAGAAGGCAAAAAGGTCATGTCATACCTGCCACAATTCGAACGTGGCGAGCCTTCTCGCCACGAACTAAGAATACCACATTGCGTTGTGATGAGTCAATGTTTGCATTCTCCAGATAGAAGACTCGATGGACTCCATAGTCTTGGAGCTCGGAGAACTTGACGAATAGCCCCACTGGACCAGCCAGCTCCTGACTTATGACGAGGTTCTTCTTCCCCCGGACCTGAGCGAGTAGTTAGCGTCAGTTTCCAAATCGGGGGAGCTCTGCTCACGCCTTCCAGTAAAGTGAGGAGATCCCTCCGCGCCTTGTCCTTGAAATGGTCAGCATCAGACCCCGAGAAGGGCGCCATTTCATTGAAACAGGCAGCAGAATGTCGAGTGGCCAAAAATAAACAGATGTCGTCGAAGTGCCACTGCGCCCGCTTTGGGTTTAGCACTGCCACTGCTGATGTAACTGCGTAACGTTTTGTATTTGTATTGGCCTTTATGCGGTGGTAAGTGGGGGTTTGTGTGGGTAACTTTGGTATCTGCTGTGTATATTTATTACCAGGCGGCGATCTCGAACATCCAATGCTCCCCTGAAGGCGTCTCACTATTGATCTATTTTGTCTCACTTTCTTTCTCTTCTTTTCTCCCTCTTATATTTGCTCCCAACTGTCCTCGACCTTCTCCTTAAACCTATCACATTTACAACTAATAATTCCCCCCACCATGGGTCTATTCAACAAGAAATCCGATGGCGACGACGATTCCAACCGCCGAGCACTCTTTGGGCGGAAGAAGGACAAGAGTCCCGCATCCCCTGCCAACCCTTACGCCCAACCAATTCCAGTAGACCCCTACACCAAGGCCAAGATCGGAGCCGGAGTCGCCCCCTTGCCTGCCGACCACCCTGCCGCCAACGGTGGCCCCGCGTCGCAGAGCCCCCACAACATCCCCTCCGACAACAAGTACTCCGGCTACGCTGCCAACAAATACGGTAACCAGGGCGGCTATGGAAGTGATCGATTCGGTGGATCTGGCGCAGGCGTCGGTTCTCCCGCCTCGGGCTCTGGCTCCGGCTCAGGCTCGCGTTACGGAACAGGTGGCTACGGTGGTCTCGGTAGCTCTGATCCCAATGACCCTGATGCAGCTCGCAATGAGCTCTTCAGCGGCGCTAAGCGCACACCCGACAACTCCAACTCGGGCGGTAACCCGCCGCCATACTCCGAGGGCCAGGGTGGCCAAGGTGGACAGCCGAACTACGGAGGCGGTAGCAACGAGTACAGCATGGCGACATTCCAGGATCGTCAGTTGACTGCAGAGGAGGAAGAAGAGGAGGAGATCCAAGCTACTAAGAACGAGATGCGATTCGTGAAGCAGGGAGATGTGGCGTCCACGCGGAATGCGCTCCGAGCTGCAGCTCAGGCTGAAGAGACTGGTCGTTCTACACTGGCTCGACTAGGCGCCCAGGGAGAGTCGATCCACGATACTGAGAAGAGTCTGGATATGACGACGATCGAGGGTCGTATTGCGGAGGAGAAGGCGAAGGAGCTTAAGACTCTCAACAAGAGCATGTTCGCTGTGCATGTTGCCAACCCATTCACTGCTTCCCGGCGTCGACGCGAGCGTGACGAGAAGGTCCTCAACACACATCGTGAGGAGCGGAATGTTCGTGACGGCACACGCTCTGAGGCGCACGGCACCAACCAGCGTATGGACCGGGTGTTCCGTGACATTGACCGTGATGCCGCGAAGCAGGGCAAGGGCAAGAAGGCCAGTGTCACTGAGCGTGCCAAGTACCAGTTCGAGGCGGATAGCGAAGACGAGCAGATGGAGGACGAGATCGAGCAGAACTTGGATCTGCTTGGAGGTGCTACTGGTCGTTTGAATGGTCTTGCCAAGGCGACTGGCAAGGAGCTTGATGAGCAGAACAGACATTTGGAGCGTATTACAGGCAAGGTATGTTTTTTTGTCATATCATTTGCTGCATGATGAGACTAACTGGTTACAGAGCGACTTCGTCGACGATCAGATTGCCATGAACCGGGCCAAGCTCGACCGGATTCACTAGAAATGTCCGAAGCAATAGGGGTTGCGATATGCCTGGTGCTGTCGAGCCCGGTAATTCATCTGCTTGTGCTCATGAATCACACATTGGCGTTGGGGTTGGTTCTGCATTGTCCGTGGGTCACGGAGCCCACTAAAACAGTTCGATACTGAACAATAATTGCATACTGATTTTGACAGTATTCCAAGTAGAGCTTTACATATAGTTCGATCTGATAACACAAAGTTACACGAAGATCGACACTGCGGGGAGTGTGGGGAAGATGAACCTCTGCACCTGGGACACTTCCCTAACACAGCTCTCAGTGTTACATTCTTCAACATCCTCATCGGCAGTAGTAATGCCTCACTGCCACTCTCTCAGCAGCTCATACCCAGCCCTCATGGTCATTGGCAAAGGCCCCAAAACCTAGGCCGCAACGCCTACTTTATAGCCGGCGCATTTCGCACAGTCCACAATGATCGCCTCAACCCCCTCCCACTAGCAAACACAATGTTGGACAAATCATCCCACATCGACATACAACCCCTATGCAGCGCAAGACTTCCAATCCAACCTCAACCGCATGACAAGCAACCACACCAACCCAGCCTCTCAGCAGCCCTAGTCCAAGACTCAAACTCAACAATAACCTAGCTACCATCCAATGGCATCCGCCTTCAACTCCTCTTCTACCGCTAAGCCAAAACCAAACAACCGAAATCGAATTCCAGAGCGGCCTAGCCCTCAAAACAAGACGGGGCCAAGAGCACTCGTCGTAAACCAACTTCGCGCAGTCCGCAATGCAAGAGTCCGTATCTTCTCCGCACTGCCCTCATCACGCAAGGCGAAGTGGCAGGCACCCTCGTTTTCCCGGGTACTCCGCCCCACAAAGAGACGAGCCATGCTGGCTAAGTGCCTCAAGCGGATCGTATGATGATCCCCTGCGAATTCCCACAAATCCCTGAGGATTCGTATTGCCCTTGTATGAAGTCAGGAGCTCTTACAATTATCCTTTCCTCTAAGACAGATGTCCTCATCTGCAAATCCTACACTGTGTCACATCTTTGGCCGTGGATATCGCTGTGTGATTTGGTCTGGCGGAAGGGTGTTGGGGATGCGGTTCTTAGCTGACCCGATTCTGAACCTTGTTCCGGGGTGATCTTTGGCTGCGATGACGATTGTCGTGCTCTTTGTTCGTCGTGAGAACTGTTGCGGAACCCTGAAGAAGTAGGGTGGTAGTGGTAGTGAATAGATTTCGTTAAATCCCTCAAAAACTTAGTTTATGGGGAAAATGCTGGAGAGTGTCAACTCTTCTTTGTTTACCAAACAGAGACTAAATCTTTTGATCTCGGATTTAAAAGAATTGGCGTGTTTCGTATGTTGATCGAGTAACCTTTCTTTGTTTTCGATATCTCTTCGAAAATCTACTTTCGAAGCATTTCGTATGTTGATCGGGTGACCTTTCTTTGTTTTCGATATCTCTTCGAATATCTATTTTCGTAGTAGCGATATTTCTTTGTGTTGTACAGTATATAGATCGGGTGGTCGACGGTTATTTTGTAGTGTTTATCAACATTCTTAGATTCAAGTATTTGCGATGGCTGTCCTAGGTCCCAATCTTCGTGCGAATCCTACGCTGTTGATCCGTCAGTGGTGCATGTCTTGTCTCCGCAATTCGACAACGCCCGCTCCCGCGGCTACAGTCTTTGATATTCCTTGTCGGTTACCATTGCGGAGTCTGTGCTCGACGTTGGTTCCTGCGGTAGGAGAAGTCTCTGCGTTGAATCCAAAGCTGGAAGACTTCTCCTTCCGTTGGAACGAACGCCGAGCACAGATTCCTCGATGGTTAGTCGACAACCAATGTCAAAGATTGTAGTCGCAGGAGCAGGCGCTTTCGAACTGCGGCGGAGATAAGACATGCACCCTGGGGAGGTTGTGTCAGGTTTGGGATGCTAAAACTGCTTGGTGGGCACCGGGGGAGAAGTATACTACTTCCGTTGGAAATGAGGTCGAGAGGTAGGATCCTGCTGTAAAGTATGGGCCTGGGACGAAACGCTTAACTATCCAAGTCTAATTGGGCTTTGCCAATTCTGGCAGTGAAGGTTGCAGCGGGTATCAGTTCCACGTTTGGCGAGCTGTCAATCTTGAGGCTGTGGCGGTCATCCCGGAGGCAACGAGTATATTCCTAGGTTGGATTGTATGGGAGAGATGCATGAAACCATATTCGATGATGGCTACTCTGGTGGGCTGGCATTGACCTCCCGTGCTGTGTTTGGACGCCGTGGTGGTCGTGCAGCCGCGGAGCGAGTTGGGCAGATGAGGAGATAGCCCTAAAGCTGTAATACTTTGGGCGTATGGACAGGTTGGGCTCATTGGTAGAGGGTCTGACCATCTCTTGAGTAACCATTGCAGTCTGGTACTGACCATCACACCACACAGCATCCAATATCAAATTTACTTAAGTATTGAAACCAAAGGGCTCAATGCTAAAGTACTTGTAAATAGCCTAGGAACTTCATCGGATAAAATAAGATAAAACAAGATATATACGAGATGGAAGTAAATGTTGAGAATGTCTTTATTGATTAGACAATAATGTCATAGTAGCGACTGTAAGAGCCTTGAGCTCCAAACAATAAAACAAAAACTTTCCTATGCCACGGGTATCATCACCAACACCATCCCAAACACTCGAAAACAGACCCGGCGGGAAAAGAGTGTGCCAGAAGGCACACGAGAAAGAAAATGTGTAAATATAATAGATCAGAACCATGCCAAGCGCAGGCTCGAAAAAGTCCAGACGAGAAAGAAAATTGGTGGCCAAAACATCGAATCATCAAAAGCCCATGGTATCGAGAAAAGAAAAAGAAAAAAGAGGTGACGCCCAGGTCTAGTGATAGAAGAAAAAGAAACAAAAATCCAGTAACGCATCCAGCCGGGAACCTCTATGGTCGTAACGTCAAAATGAAATAGAAAAAAAATAGGGCTCTCCCTAGCCCTGGGCCCTCGATCCGAGCCCACTATAACCACCACCGGGGGTATAGACAGGGTGTTTTCTCTCCGATTAGGAAAAATGTTTCCGGAGTATGTATAGAGGAAAAAGAAAGGGTATCCATGTTGTACAGGTACAAGGAGAACCGAGCCGTCAGGCCAACGCAGTTGGAGTAAACAGGCTCGGGGCGGTTTTGGGTGGATCCTGTTGATTACAGGGAGAGCGCGCTCGAGGTCGGCCTCGAGTAGAAGGTAGTCGTATGAGAATATTCGCGAAATTACTCATCGTCGTCACCGGAACCGCTGTCCTTCTCGCCCTTGTGGACTTTCTTGTGGCGGCGCAGGTTTGAAACGACGGAGAAGTGCCGCCCGCAGCCTTCAACATCACACGCGAATGCTGGAATAAAGTTAGAATCGATATTTCGCAATGCTTTGTGTTTTTGGAACTCACGCTTCTCGCCAGTGTGACTGTACATATGCGTTTGCAAAGATGAGGGACGCGTGAAACGCTTATCGCAGACCTTGCACTTGTGCTTCTTCTGGGTGTTTGAGGGCAACTTGGAGCTGAATTGGCTCATCATAGATTGCGGGCCAGGGGGAGCACTGCCAGCCAATAAGCTGGTCGGCCGGGGCAGAGTGCGCGACTCGTATGACTCGGATGTTGTGGAGCTGTAGTCTGTGACGGAGGAGTCGACGGAGCCGACTGAAGCGCTGTAGTAGGGGTAGTTGCCGCCGGAGGAGATGGAGGAGGCGGAAGAGTGGGTAGAAGGGAAACCGTAGGAATCGGCTGAGCTGCGTGCGCCACGAGGGCCAGGGCCGTAGATGTTGCGCGGGGTCAGGTCCTGGCTGAGAGCGACCATTCCACGGCTGGCATCGAGCGCATCACCGAAGGTGGGTGCGGAAGCGGTAGAGTTCACGCGAGCATCTCTGTGCGTTGTGTGAGCTTCTTTGCGCGCTAGATAACGCAGTTCGCGGGGGGTTCCAACTTACGTGTGGGAAATGCGACGGGTGTCTGTGGGTGAAGGGTGGATGGGAGCATAGCTGACGGGGGCGTAGCTGGCCGGCGCGAAACTGCTCATTGGGGGTGCGGTGGTGTAGGAGGGGGCCTGGTCGAAGGTGGTGCGCGGGACCTCGTGTTGCATTCCCATCACCTCAGGGCCGTAGCTGGGGGCATAGGTGCTGCCAGCGACCATTGTAGGAGCCGAGACGGGGATGTTGGGGTATGGCATAGACATGCCCGTGCGGTTGACTTCCTCCTGCTTCACTCCAATGGGCATGCTGCCGCCATTGCCCATAGATGTCGCGTAGACTGGGGGTGTCGAGTGCGACGAGGTGTGAGCGGCCCAGGGGTCTGTGAATTGTGGTTGATTGTGGTAGACATTGTCGAAGCCCATGCCGCCGTAGGGACGGTTCTGATTTTCCATAACCATCGTCATGGTAGTAAGATCGTCAGAGTGATAAACACGAAGATCAATATTATATATTCCGAAGGAAGGAGAAAGGAAAATTGAGGCAGTCTGGGGAAGGGGATCGGCGAAGCTTATGAAGGGGACAAACAATATAAGGTGTTGAGGCAGAGTCCCATACTCCAGTGCCACTGACGACGTCCCGTCGGGGATTGCAGATCGTTACAATACCACGGTATGGTAACTTTCCCTTTTTGCGTTTTTTTTTTTTTTGGTTTTTTTAATTCTTTTTTTTTCATTTCTTATTTCCTATTTTCATTTTCATTTTATTTCCTTTATTTTCCCCTAACTTTTCTGACTTTTCCTTTTTCTTATTTTCTTTATTTTATTCGAACCTTTTCGACTTTTTTGCTGAACCTCGAGACAATTTGGTTGGTCTACTTTAGTGTCAAATAGTCAATTGTGGCTCCAGTTGGACCCTGCCAGTATATCCCTCTTCAGACTAAAATACTACCATCTCGATCAGGGTCTAAAATATATTAATTGCAATTGCTTAACTTAGGAATGGAAGATCTGAAGATTCGATGTATTTAGACGCGCAGACAGGAATGTGGACGCCGGGAT